ACAGGCTCGTCTTTCATCTCACAACATGAAGGGATGTCTGAATCCCCTGTGGAGACCTTAGAGAAAGCCCTAGGTCCCTGCCTCATTTTGACGGAATGCCTCACATCCCGCTGACACCTCGAGAGGCACGCGGAGTTCATTGCTTCAAAAGGTGACGATGCCTGACTCCTCTTGAATACTGATAGGAATCCCAAAATCCCTGTGGCTATTGGAAAGGGTCCTTGGGTGCCCTGCCTCACCTCGAGAAGCGTCCTTTTGCCCTGCCAAGCCTCGAAGAGATTCCTGAGGTGTCCCTCGTTACTAGACAGGAGTCCTGACGTCACTGAAGAAACTCGTGTTTTGAAGGGCCATCCCCGCCGTAAGTCGAGAACATACACCAGGTCCCCGCCGCAACTCGAGAAAAACCATGAGACTTCCCCCTAGAGGCGAGATGAGGCCCCATTCCCCTGCAGTGCATGCAGAGCTATTCCGTGATCCCATTCAAACAAGTCAGGAGCTTCGACTTGCTTAATGGATATCGAGACAGTCCCCAAGAACACTGTCACCAGTCTAGACGGAACCTGAGGTCACCCCAGCAAAGCAAAGCAGCTCCATGTGCCCCAAATCAACCCGAGATGAGGCCCGATTCCCCTGCATTGACTCCAGAGCTATTCCCCGTTCCCCATTCAGCACGACCGGTGTCTCGACTTCCTTCAGGCAACTCCAGAGATGCCCTGAGAACACTGTCCCAAGTCTAGAGGAACACCAACTTCAGCACAGCAACTCGAGGAATGCTCCGTGTACCCCAAATCGTCTCGAGATGAGAGCTGATTCCCTGGCTTAGGCTCAAGACGTATGCCAACTTCCCAGAAGCACCTCAGGAGGAGGCTTCTCTCAGCTATAAGTATGTGGGAGGGACCCCGAGTTTGCTGCCTCAAGGGGAATATACAGCGAGAAGCCCTAACTTGAAAGGAGGCCGGATTTCCTTGCAGTGGCTTGAATACAGGCTCGTCTTTCATCTCACAACATGAAGGGATGTCTGAATCCCCTGTGGAGACCTTAGAGAAAGCCCTAGGTCCCTGCTTCATTTTGACGGAATGCCTCACAACCCGCTGACACCTCGAGAGGCACGCGGAGTTCATTGCTTCAAAAGGTGACGATGCCTGACTCCTCTTGAATACTGATAGGAATCCCAAAATCCCTGTGGCTACTGGAAAGGGTCCTTGGGTGCCCTGCCTCACCTCGAGAAGCGTCCCTTTTGTCCTGCCAAGGCTCGAAGAGATTCCTGAGGTGTCCCTCGTTACTAGACAGGAGTCCTGACGTCACTGAAGAAACTCGTGTTTTGAAGGGCCATCCCCGCCGTAAGTCGAGAACATACCCCAGGTCCCCGCCGCAACTCGAGAAAAACCATGAGAATTCCCCCTAGAGGGGAGATGAGGCCCCATTCCCCTGCAGTGCATGCAGAGCTATTCCGTGATCCCATTCAAACAAGTCAGGAGTTTCGACTTGCTTAATGGATCTCGAGACAGTCCCCAAGAACACTGTCACCAGTCTAGACGGACCCTGAGGTCACCCAGCAATGCAAAGCAGCTCCATGTGCCCCAAATCAACTCGAGATGAGGCCCGATTCCCCTGCATTGACTCCAGAGCCATTCCCCGTTCCCCATTCAGCACGACCTGTGGCTCTACTTCCTTCAGGCAACTCCAGAGATGCCCCGAGAACACTGTCCCAAGTCTAGAGGAACACCAACTTCAGCACAGCAACTCGAGGAATGCTCCGTGTACCCCAAATCGTCTCGAGATGAGAGCTGATTCCCTGGCTTAGGCTCAAGACGTATGCCAACTTCCCAGAAGCACCTCAGGAGGAGGCTTCTCTCAACAATAGGTATGTGCGAGGGACCCCGAGTTTGTTGCCTCAAGGGGAATATACAGCGAGAAGCCCTAACTTGAAACGCGGCCGGATTTCCTTGCAGTGGCTTGAATACAGGCTCGTCTTTCATCTCACAACATGAAGGGATGTCTGAATCCCCTGTGGAGACCTTAGAGAAAGCCCTAGGTCCCTGCCTCATTTTGACGGAATGCCTCACATCCCGCTGACACCTCGAGAGGCACGCGGAGTTCATTGCTTCAATAGGTGACGATGCCTGACTCCTCTTGAATACTGATAGGAATCCCAAAATCCCTGTGGCTACTGGAAAGGGTCCTTGGGTGCCCTGCCTCACCTCGAGAAGCGTCCCTTTTGCCCTGCCAAGCCTCGAAGAGATTCCTGAGGTGTCCCTCGTTACTAGACAGGAGTCCTGACGTCACTGAAGAAACTCGTGCTTTGAAGGGCCATCCCCGCCGTAAGTCGAGAACATACCCCAGGTCCCCGCCGCAACTCGAGAAAAACCATGAGACTTCCCCCTAGAGGCGAGATGAGGCCCCATTCCCCTGCAGTGCATGCAGAGCTATTCCGTGATCCCATTCAAACAAGTCAGGAGCTTCGACTTGCTTAATGGATCTCGAGACAGTCCCCAAGAACACTGTCACCAGTCTAGACGGACCCTGAGGTCATGCCAGCAACGCAAAGCAGCTCCATGTGCCCCAAATCAACTCGAGATGAGGCCCGATTCCCCTGCATTGACTCCCGAGCCATTCCCCGTTCCCCATTCAACACGACCGGTGGCTCGACTTCCTTCAGGCAACTCCAGAGATGCCCCGAGAACACTGTCCCAAGTCCAGAGGAACACCAACTTCAGCACAGCAACTCGAGGAATGCTCCGTGTACCCCAAATCGTCTCGAGATGAGAGCTGATTCCCTGGCTTAGGCTCAAGACGTATGCCAACTTCCCAGAAGCACCTCAGGAGGAGGCTTCTCTCAGCAATAGGTATGTGGGAGGGACCCCGAGTTTGCTTCCTCAAGGGGAATATACAGCGAGAAGCCCTAACTTGAAAGGAGGCCGGATTTCCTTGCAGTGGCTTGAATACAGGCTCGTCTTTCATCTCACAAAATGAAGGGATGTCTGAATCCCCTGTGGAGACCTTAGAGAAAGCCCAGGTCCCTGCCTCATTTTGACGGAATGCCTCACATCCCGCTGACACCTCGAGAGGCACGCGGATTTCATTGCTTCAAAAGGTGACGAAGCCTGACTCCTCTTGAATACTGATAGGAATCCCAAAATCCCTGTGGCTATTGGAAAGGGTCCTTGGGTGCCCTACCTCACCTCGAGAAGCGTCCTTTTGCCCTGCCAAGCCTCGAAGAGATTCCTGAGGTGTCCCTCGTTACTAGACAGGAGTCCTGACGTCACTGAAGAAACTCGTGTTTTGAAGGGCCATCCCCGCCGTAAGTCGAGAACATACCCCAGGTCCCCGCCGCAACTCGAGAAAAACCATGAGACTTCCCCCTAGAGGCGAGATGAGGCCCCATTCCCCTGCAGTGCATGCAGAGCTATTCCGTGATCCCATTCAAACAAGTCAGGAGCTTCGACTTGCTTCATGGATCTCGAGACAGTACCCAAGAACACTGTCACCAGTCTAGACGGACCCTGAGGTCACCCCAGCAACGCAAAGCAGCTCCATGTGCCCCAAATCAACTCGAGATGAGGCCCGATTCCCCTGCATTGACTCCAGAGCCATTCCCCGTTCCCCATTCAACACGACCGGTGGCTCGACTTCCTTCAGGCAACTCCAGAGATGCCCCGAGAACACTGTCCCAAGTCTAGAGGAACACCAACTTCAGCACAGCAACTCGAGGAATGCTCCGTGTACCCCAAATCGTCTCGAGATGAGAGCTGATTCCCTGGCTTAGGCTCAAGACGTATGCCAACTTCCCAGAAGCACCTCAGGAAGAGGCTTCTCTCAGCAATAGGTATGTGGGAGGGACCCCGAGTTTGTTGCCTCAAGGGGAATATACAGCGAGAAGCCCTAACTTGAAAGGAGGCCGGATTTCCTTGCAGTGGCTTGAATACAGGCTCGTCTTTCATCTCACAACATGAAGGGATGTCTGAATCCCCTGTGGAGACCTTAGAGAAAGCCCTAGGTCCCTGCCTCATTTTGACGGAATGCCTCACATCCCGCTGACACCTCGAGAGGCACGCGGAGTTCATTGCTTCAAAAGGTGACGATGCCTGACTCCTCTTGAATACTGATAGGAATCCCAAAATCCCTGTGGCTATTGGAAAGGGTCCTTGGGTGCCCTGCCTCACCTCGAGAAGCGTCCTTTTGCCCTGCCAAGCCTCGAAGAGATTCCTGAGGTGTCCCTCGTTACTAGACAGGAGTCCTGACGTCACTGAAGAAACTCGTGTTTTGAAGGGCCATCCCCGCCGTAAGTCGAGAACATACACCAGGTCCCCGCCGCAACTCGAGAAAAACCATGAGACTTCCCCCTAGAGGCGAGATGAGGCCCCATTCCCCTGCAGTGCATGCAGAGCTATTCCGTGATCCCATTCAAACAAGTCAGGAGCTTCGACTTGCTTAATGGATATCGAGACAGTCCCCAAGAACACTGTCACCAGTCTAGACGGAACCTGAGGTCACCCCAGCAAAGCAAAGCAGCTCCATGTGCCCCAAATCAACCCGAGATGAGGCCCGATTCCCCTGCATTGACTCCAGAGCTATTCCCCGTTCCCCATTCAGCACGACCGGTGTCTCGACTTCCTTCAGGCAACTCCAGAGATGCCCTGAGAACACTGTCCCAAGTCTAGAGGAACACCAACTTCAGCACAGCAACTCGAGGAATGCTCCGTGTACCCCAAATCGTCTCGAGATGAGAGCTGATTCCCTGGCTTAGGCTCAAGACGTATGCCAACTTCCCAGAAGCACCTCAGGAGGAGGCTTCTCTCAGCTATAAGTATGTGGGAGGGACCCCGAGTTTGCTGCCTCAAGGGGAATATACAGCGAGAAGCCCTAACTTGAAAGGAGGCCGGATTTCCTTGCAGTGGCTTGAATACAGGCTCGTCTTTCATCTCACAACATGAAGGGATGTCTGAATCCCCTGTGGAGACCTTAGAGAAAGCCCTAGGTCCCTGCTTCATTTTGACGGAATGCCTCACAACCCGCTGACACCTCGAGAGGCACGCGGAGTTCATTGCTTCAAAAGGTGACGATGCCTGACTCCTCTTGAATACTGATAGGAATCCCAAAATCCCTGTGGCTACTGGAAAGGGTCCTTGGGTGCCCTGCCTCACCTCGAGAAGCGTCCCTTTTGTCCTGCCAAGGCTCGAAGAGATTCCTGAGGTGTCCCTCGTTACTAGACAGGAGTCCTGACGTCACTGAAGAAACTCGTGTTTTGAAGGGCCATCCCCGCCGTAAGTCGAGAACATACCCCAGGTCCCCGCCGCAACTCGAGAAAAACCATGAGAATTCCCCCTAGAGGGGAGATGAGGCCCCATTCCCCTGCAGTGCATGCAGAGCTATTCCGTGATCCCATTCAAACAAGTCAGGAGTTTCGACTTGCTTAATGGATCTCGAGACAGTCCCCAAGAACACTGTCACCAGTCTAGACGGACCCTGAGGTCACCCAGCAATGCAAAGCAGCTCCATGTGCCCCAAATCAACTCGAGATGAGGCCCGATTCCCCTGCATTGACTCCAGAGCCATTCCCCGTTCCCCATTCAGCACGACCTGTGGCTCTACTTCCTTCAGGCAACTCCAGAGATGCCCCGAGAACACTGTCCCAAGTCTAGAGGAACACCAACTTCAGCACAGCAACTCGAGGAATGCTCCGTGTACCCCAAATCGTCTCGAGATGAGAGCTGATTCCCTGGCTTAGGCTCAAGACGTATGCCAACTTCCCAGAAGCACCTCAGGAGGAGGCTTCTCTCAACAATAGGTATGTGCGAGGGACCCCGAGTTTGTTGCCTCAAGGGGAATATACAGCGAGAAGCCCTAACTTGAAACGCGGCCGGATTTCCTTGCAGTGGCTTGAATACAGGCTCGTCTTTCATCTCACAACATGAAGGGATGTCTGAATCCCCTGTGGAGACCTTAGAGAAAGCCCTAGGTCCCTGCCTCATTTTGACGGAATGCCTCACATCCCGCTGACACCTCGAGAGGCACGCGGAGTTCATTGCTTCAATAGGTGACGATGCCTGACTCCTCTTGAATACTGATAGGAATCCCAAAATCCCTGTGGCTACTGGAAAGGGTCCTTGGGTGCCCTGCCTCACCTCGAGAAGCGTCCCTTTTGCCCTGCCAAGCCTCGAAGAGATTCCTGAGGTGTCCCTCGTTACTAGACAGGAGTCCTGACGTCACTGAAGAAACTCGTGCTTTGAAGGGCCATCCCCGCCGTAAGTCGAGAACATACCCCAGGTCCCCGCCGCAACTCGAGAAAAACCATGAGACTTCCCCCTAGAGGCGAGATGAGGCCCCATTCCCCTGCAGTGCATGCAGAGCTATTCCGTGATCCCATTCAAACAAGTCAGGAGCTTCGACTTGCTTAATGGATCTCGAGACAGTCCCCAAGAACACTGTCACCAGTCTAGACGGACCCTGAGGTCATGCCAGCAACGCAAAGCAGCTCCATGTGCCCCAAATCAACTCGAGATGAGGCCCGATTCCCCTGCATTGACTCCAGAGCCATTCCCCGTTCCCCATTCAACACGACCGGTGGCTCGACTTCCTTCAGGCAACTCCAGAGATGCCCCGAGAACACTGTCCCAAGTCCAGAGGAACACCAACTTCAGCACAGCAACTCGAGGAATGCTCCGTGTACCCCAAATCGTCTCGAGATGAGAGCTGATACCCTGGCTTAGGCTCAAGACGTATGCCAACTTCCCAGAAGCACCTCAGGAGGAGGCTTCTCTCAGCAATAGGTATGTGGGAGGGACCCCGAGTTTGCTGCCTCAAGGGGAATATACAGCGAGAAGCCCTAACTTGAAAGGAGGCCGGATTTCCTTGCAGTGGCTTGAATACAGGCTCGTCTTTCATCTCACAACATGAAGGGATGTCTGAATCCCCTGTGGAGACCTTAGAGAAAGCCCTAGGTCCCTGCCTCATTTTGACGGAATGCCTCACATCCCGCTGACACCTCGAGAGGCACGCGGAGTTCATTGCTTCAAAAGGTGACGATGCCTGACTCCTCTTGAATACTGATAGGAATCCCAAAATCCCTGTGGCTATTGGAAAGGGTCCTTGGGTGCCCTGCCTCACCTCGAGAAGCGTCCTTTTGCCCTGCCAAGCCTCGAGGAGATTCCTGAGGTGTCCCTCGTTACTAGACAGGAGTCCTGACGTCACTGAAGAAACTCGTGTTTTGAAGGGCCATCCCCACCGTAAGTCGAGAACATACCCCAGGTCCCCGCCGCAACTCGAGAAAAACCATGAGGCTTCCCCCTAGAGGCGAGATGAGGCCCCATTCCCCTGCAGTGCATGCAGAGCTATTCCGTGATCCCATTCAAACAAGTCAGGAGCTTCGACTTGCTTCATGGATCTCAAGACAGTCCCCAAGAACACTGTCACCAGTCTAGACGGACCCTGAGGTCACCCCAGCAACGCAAAGCAGCTCCATGTGCCCCAAATCAACTCGAGATGAGGCCAGATTCCCCTGCATTGACTCCAGAGCCATTCCCCGTTCCCCATTCAACACGACCGGTGGCTCGACTTCCTTCAGGCAACTCCAGAGATGCCCCGAGAACACTGTCCCAAGTCCAGAGGAACACCAACTTCAGCACAGCAACTCGAGGAATGCTCCGTGTACCCCAAATCGTCTCGAGATGAGAGCTGATTCCCTGGCTTAGGCTCAAGACGTATGCCAACTTCCCAGAAGCACCTCAGGAGGAGGCTTCTCTCAGCAATAGGTATGTGGGAGGGACCCCGAGTTTGCTGCCTCAAGGGGAATATACAGCGAGAAGCCCTAACTTGAAAGGAGGCCGGATTTCCTTGCAGTGGCTTGAATACATGCTCGTTTTTCATCTCACAACATGAAGGGATGTCTGAATCCCCTGTGGAGACCTTAGAGAAAGCCCTAGGTCCCTGCCTCATTTTGACGGAATGCCTCACATCCCGCTGACACCTCGAGAGGCACGCGGAGTTCATTGCTTCAAAAGGTGACGATGCCTGACTCCTCTTGAATACTGATAGGAATCCCAAAATCCCTGTGGCTATTGGAAAGGGTCCTTGGGTGCCCTGCCTCACCTCGAGAAGCGTCCTTTTGCCCTGCCAAGCCTCGAAGAGATTACTGAGGTGTCCCTCGTTACTAGACAGGAGTCCTGACGTCACTGAAGAAACTCGTGTTTTGAAGGGCCATCCCCGCCGTAAGTCGAGAACATACCCCAGGTACCCGCCGCAACTCGAGAAAAACCATGAGACTTCCCCCTAGAGGCGAGATGAGGCCCCATTCCCCTGCAGTGCATGCAGAGCTATTCCGTGATCCCATTCAAACAAGTCAGGAGCTTCGACTTGCTTAATGGATCTCGAGACAGTCCCCAAGAACACTGTCACCAGTCTAGATGGACCCTGAGGTCACCCCAGCAACGCAAAGCAGCTCCATGTGCCCCAAATCAACCCGAGATGAGGCCCGATTCCCCTGCATTGACTCCAGAGCCATTCCCCGTTCCCCATTCAACACGACCGGTGTCTCGACTTCCTTCAGGCAACTCCAGAGATGCCCCGAGAACACTGTCCCCAGTCTAGAGGAACACCAACTTCAGCACAGCAACTCGAGGAATGCTCCGTGTACCCCAAATCGTCTCGAGATGAGAGCTGATTCCCTGGCTTAGGCTCAAGACGTATGCCAACTTCCCAGAAGCACCTCAGGAGGAGGCTTCTCTCAGCTATAAGTATGTGGGAGGGACCCCGAGTTTGCTGCCTCAAGGGGAATATACAGCGAGAAGCCCTAACTTGAAAGGAGGCCGGATTTCCTTGCAGTGGCTTGAATACAGGCTCGTCTTTCATCTCACAACATGAAGGGATGTCTGAATCCCCTGTGGAGACCTTAGAGAAAGCCCTAGGTCCCTGCCTCATTTTGACGGAATGCCTCACATCCCGCTGACACCTCGAGAGGCACGCGGAGTTCATTGCTTCAAAAGGTGACGATGCCTGACTCCTCTTGAATACTGATAGGAATCCCAAAATCCCTGTGGCTACTGGAAAGGGTCCTTGGGTGCCCTGCCTCACCTCGAGAAGCGTCCCTTTTGTCCTGCCAAGCCTCGAAGAGATTCCTGAGGTGTCCCTCGTTACTAGACAGGAGTCCTGACGTCACTGAAGAAACTCGTGTTTTGAAGGGCCATCCCCGCCGTAAATCGAGAACATACCCCAGGTCCCCGCCGCAACTCGAGAAAAACCATGAGACTTCCCCCTAGAGGCGAGATGAGGCCCCATTCCCCTGCAGTGCATGCAGAGCTATTCCGTGATCCCATTCAAACAAGTCAGGAGCTTCGACTTGCTTAATGGATCTCGAGACAGTCCCCAAGAACACTGTCACCAGTCTAGACGGACCCTGAGGTCACCCAGCAATGCAAAGCAGCTCCATGTGCCCCAAATCAACTCGAGATGAGGCCCGATTCCCCTTCATTGACTCCAGAGCCATTCCCCGTTCCCCATTCAGCACGACCGGTGGCTCTACTTCCTTCAGGCAACTCCAGAGATGCCCCGAGAACACTGTCCCAAGTCTAGAGGAACACCAACTTCAGCACAGCAACTCGAGGAATGCTCCGTGTACCCCAAATCGTCTCGAGATGAGAGCTGATTCCCTGGCTTAGGCTCAAGACGTATGCCAACTTCCCAGAAGCACCTCAGGAGGAGGCTTCTCTCAGCAATAGGTATGTGGGAGGGACCCCGAGTTTGCTGCCTCAAGGGGAATATACAGCGAGAAGCCCTAACTTGAAAGGCGGCCGGATTTCCTTGCAGTGGCTTGAATACAGGCTCGTCTTTCATCTCACAACATGAAGGGATGTCTGAATCCCCTGTGGAGACCTTAGAGAAAGCCCTAGGTCCCTGCCTCATTTTGAGGGAATGCCTCACATCCCGCTGACACCTCGAGAGGCCCGCGGAGTTCATTGCTTCAAAAGGTGACGATGCCTGACTCCTCTTGAATACTGATAGGAATCCCAAAATCCCTGTGGCTATTGGAAAGGGTCCTTGGGTGCCCTGCCTCACCTCGGGAAGCGTCCTTTTGCCCTGCCAAGCCTCGAAGAGATTTCTGAGGTGTCCCTCGTTACTAGACAGGAGTCCTGACGTCACTGAAGAAACTCGTGTTTTGAAGGGCCATCCCCGCCGTAAGTCGAGAACATACCCCAGGTCCCCGCCGCAACTCGAGAAAAACCATGAGACTTCCCCCTAGAGGCGAGATGAGGCCCCATTCCCCTGCAGTGCATGCAGAGCTATTCCGTGATCCCATTCAAACAAGTCAGGAGCTTCGACTTGCTTAATGGATCTCTAGACAGTCCCCAAGATCACTGTCACCAGTCTAGACGGACCCTGAGGTCACCCCAGCAAAGCAAAGCAGCTCCATGTGCCCCAAATCAACTCGAGATGAGGCCCGATTCCCCTGCATTGACTCCAGAGCCATTCCCCGTTCCCCATTCAACACGACCGGTGGCTCGACTTCCTTCAGGCAACTCCAGAGATGCCCCGGGAACACTGTCCCAAGTCTAGAGGAACACCAACTTCAGCACAGCAACTCGAGGAATGCTCCGTGTACCCCAAATCGTCTCGAGATGCGAGCTGATTCCCTGGCTTAGGCTCAAGACGTATGCCAACTTCCCAGAAGCACCTCAGGAGGAGGCTTCTCTCAGCAATAGGTATGTGCGAGGGACCCCGAGTTTGTTGCCTCAAGGGGAATATACAGCGAGAAGCCCTAACTTGAAACGCGGCCGGATTTCCTTGCAGTGGCTTGAATACAGGCTCGTCTTTCATCTCACAACATGAAGGGATGTCTGAATCCCCTGTGGAGACCTTAGAGAAAGCCCTAGGTCCCTGCCTCATTTTGACAGAATGCCTCACATCCCGCTGACACCTCGAGAGGCACGCGGAGTTCATTGCTTCAAAAGGTGACGATGCCTGACTCCTCTTGAATACTGATAGGAATCCCAAAATCCCTGTGGCTACTGGAAAGGGTCCTTGGGTGCCCTGCCTCACCTCGAGAAGCGTCCCTTTTGCCCTGCCAAGCCTCGAAGAGATTCCTGAGGTGTCCCTCGTTACTAGACAGGAGTCCTGACGTCACTGAAGAAACTCGTGTTTTGAAGGGCCATCCCCGCCGTAAGTCGAGAACATACCCCAGGTCCCCGCCGCAACTCGAGAAAAACCATGAGACTTCCCCCTAGAGGCGAGATGAGGCCCCATTCCCCTGCAGTGCATGCAGAGCTATTCCGTGATCCCATTCAAACAAGTCAGGAGCTTCGACTTGCTTAATGGATCTCGAGACAGTCCCCAAGAACACTGTCACCAGTCTAGACGGACCCTGAGGTCACCCCAGCAACGCAAAGCAGCTCCATGTGCCCCAAATCAACTCGAGATGAGGCCCGATTCCCCTGCATTGACTCCAGAGCCATTCTCCGTTCCCCATTCAACACGACCGGTGGCTCGACTTCCTTCAGGCAACTCCAGAGATGCCCCGAGAACACTGTCCCAAGTCCAGAGGAACACCAACTTCAGCACAGCAACTCGAGGAATGCTCCGTGTACCCCAAATCGTCTCGAGATGAGAGCTGATACCCTGGCTTAGGCTCAAGACGTATGCCAACTTCCCAGAAGCACCTCAGGAGGAGGCTTCTCTCAGCAATAGGTATGTGGGAGGGACCCCGAGTTTGCTGCCTCAAGGGGAATATAGAGCGAGAAGCCCTAACTTGAAAGGAGGCCGGATTTCCTTGCAGTGGCTTGAATACAGGCTCGTCTTTCATCTCACAACATGAAGGTATGTCTGAATCCCCTGTGGAGACCTTAGAGAAAGCCCTAGGTCCCTGACTCATTTTGACGGAATGCCTCACATCCCGCTGACACCTCGAGAGGCACGCGGAGTTCATTGCTTCAAAAGGTGACGATGCCTGACTCCTCTTGAATACTGATAGGAATCCCAAAATCCCTGTGGCTATTGGAAAGGGTCCTTGGGTGCCCTGCCTCACCTCGAGAAGCGTCCTTTTGCCCTGCCAAGCCTCGAAGAGATTCCTGAGGTGTCCCTCGTTACTAGACAGGAGTCCTGACGTCACTGAAGAAACTCGTGTTTTGAAGGGCCATCCCCGCCGTAAGTCGAGAACATACCCCAGGTCCCCGCCGCAACTCGAGAAAAACCATGAGACTTCCCCCTAGAGGCGAGATGAGGCCCCATTCCCCTGCAGTGCATGCAGAGCTATTCCGTGATCCCATTCAAACAAGTCAGGAGCTTCGACTTGCTTCATGGATCTCGAGACAGTCCCCAAGAACACTGTCACCAGTCTAGACGGACCCTGAGGTCACCCCAGCAACGCAAAGCAGCTCCATGTGCCCCAAATCAACTCGAGATGAGGCCCGATTCCCCTGCATTGACTCCAGAGCCATTCCCCGTTCCCCATTCAACACGACCGGTGGCTCGACTTCCTTCAGGCAACTCCAGAGATGCCCCGAGAACACTGTCCCAAGTCCAGAGGAACACCAACTTCAGCACAGCAACTCGAGGAATGCTCCGTGTACCCCAAATCGTCTCGAGATGAGAGCTGATTCCCTGGCTTAGGCTCAAGACGTATGCCAACTTCCCAGAAGCACCTCAGGAGGAGGCTTCTCTCAGCAATAGGTATGAGCGAGGGACCCCGAGTTTGTTGCCTCAAGGGGAATATACAGCGAGAAGCCCTAACTTGAAAGGAGGCCGGATTTCCTTGCAGTGGCTTGAATACAGGCTCGTCTTTCATCTCACAACATGAAGGGATGTCTGAATCCCCTGTGGAGACCTTAGAGAAAGCCCTAGGTCCCTGCCTCATTTTGACGGAATGCCTCACATCCCGCTGACACCTCGAGAGGCACGCGGAGTTCATTGCTTCAAAAGGTGACGATGCCTGACTCCTCTTGAATACTGATAGGAATCCCAAAATCCCTGTGGCTACTGGAAAGGGTCCTTGGGTGCCCTGCCTCACCTCGAGAAGCGTCCCTTTTGCCCTGCCAAGCCTGGAAGAGATTCCTGAGGTGGCCCTCGTTACTAGACAGGAGTCCTGACGTCACTGAAGAAACTCGTGTTTTGAAGGGCCATCCCCGCCGTAAGTCGAGAACATACCCCAGGTCCCCGCCGCAACTCGAGAAAAACCATGAGACTTCCCCCTAGAGGCGAGATGAGGCCCCATTCCCCTGCAGTGCATGCAGAGCTATTCCGTGATCCCATTCAAACAAGTCAGGAGCTTCGACTTGCTTAATGGATCTCGAGACAGTCCCCAAGAACACTGTCACCAGTCTAGACGGACCCTGAGGTCACCCAGCAATGCAAAGCAGCTCCATGTGCCCCAAATCAACTCGATATGAGGCCCGATTCCCCTGCATTGACTCCAGAGCCATTCCCCGTTCCCCATTCAGCACGACCGGTGGCTCTACTTCCTTCAGGCAACTCCAGAGATGCCCCGAGAACACTGTCCCAAGTCTAGAGGAACACCAACTTCAGCACAGCAACTCGAGGAATGCTCCGTGTACCCCAAATCGTCTCGAGATGAGAGCTGATTCCCTGGCTTAGGCTCAAGACGTATGCCAACTTCCCAGAAGCACCTCAGGAGGAGGCTTCTCTCAGCAATAGGTATGTGGGAGGGACCCCGAGTTTGCTGCCTCAAGGGGAATATACAGCGAGAAGCCCTAACTTGAAAGGCGGCCGGATTTCCTTGCAGTGGCTTGAATACAGGCTCGTCTTTCATCTCACAACATGAAGGGATGTCTGAATCCCCTGTGGAGACCTTAGAGAAAGCCCTAGGTCCCTGCCTCATTTTGAGGGAATGCCTCACATCGCGCTGACACCTCGAGAGGCACGCGGAATTCATTGCTTCAAAAGGTGACGATGCCTGACTCCTCTTGAATACTGATAGGAATCCCAAAATCCCTGTGGCTACTGGAAAGGGTCCTTGGGTGCCCTGCCTCACCTCGAGAAGCGTCCCTTTTGCCCTGCCAAGCCTCGAAGAGATTCCTGAGGTGTCCCTCGTTACTAGACAGGAGTCCTGACGTCACTGAAGAAACTCGTGTTTTGAAGGGCCATCCCCGCCGTAAGTCGAGAACATACCCCAGGTCCCCGCCGCAACTCGAGAAAAACCATGAGACTTCCCCCTAGAGGCGAGATGAGGCCCCATTCCCCTGCAGTGCATGCAGAGCTATTCCGTGATCCCATTCAAACAAGTCAGGAGCTTCGACTTGCTTAATGCATCTCTAGACAGTCCCCAAGATCACTGTCACCAGTCTAGACGGACCCTGAGGTCACCCCAGCAACGCAAAGCAGCTCCATGTGCCCCAAATCAACTCGAGATGAGGCCCGATTCCCCTGCATTGACTCCAGAGCCATTCCCCGTTCCCCATTCAACACGACCGGTGGCTCGACTTCCTTCAGGCAACTCCAGAGATGCCCTGAGAACACTGTCCCAAGTCTAGAGGAACACCAACTTCAGCACAGCAACTCGAGGAATGCTCCGTGTACCCCAAATCGTCTCGAGATGCGAGCTGATTCCCTGGCTTAGGCTCAAGACGTATGCCAACTTCCCAGAAGCACCTCAGGAGGAGGCTTCTCTCAGCAATAGGTATGTGGGAGGGACCCCGAGTTTGCTGCCTCAAGGGGAATATACAGCGAGAAGCCCTAACTTGAAACGCGGCCGGATTTCCTTGCAGTGGCTTGAATACAGGCTCGTCTTTCATCTCACAACATGAAGGGATGTCTGAATCCCCTGTGGAGACCTTAGAGAAAGCCCTAGGTCCCTGCCTCATTTTGACGGAATGCCTCACATCCCGCTGACACCTCGAGAGGCACGCGGAGTTCATTGCTTCAAAAGGTGACGATGCCTGACTCCTCTTGAATACTGATAGGAATCCCAAAATCCCTGTGGCTATTGGAAAGGGTCCTTGGGTGCCCTGCCTCACCTCGAGAAGCGTCCCTTTTGTCCTGCCAAGCCTCGAAGAGATTCCTGAGGTGTCCCTCGTTACTAGACAGGAGTCCTGACGTCACTGAAGAAACTCGTGTTTTGAAGGGCCATCCCCGCCGTAAGTCGAGAACATACCCCAGGTCCCCGCCGCAACTCGAGAAAAACCATGAGACTTCCCCCTAGAGGCGAGATGAGGCCCCATTCCCCTGCAGTGCATGCAGAGCTATTCCGTGATCCCATTCAAACAAGTCAGGAGCTTCGACTTGCTTCATGGATCTCGAGACAGTACCCAAGAACACTGTCACCAGTCTAGACGGACCCTGAGGTCACCCCAGCAAAGCAAAGCAGCTCCATGTGCCCCAAATCAACTCGAGATGAGGCCCGATTCCCCTACATTGACTCCAGAGCCATTCCCCGTTCCCCATTCAACACGACCGGTGGCTCGACTTCCTTCAGGCAACTCCAGAGATGCCCCGAGAACACTGTCCCAAGTCTAGAGGAACACCAACTTCAGCACAGCAACTCGAGGAATGCTCCGTGTACCCCAAATCGTCTCGAGATGAGAGCTGATTCCCTGGCTTAGGCTCAAGACGTATGCCAACTTCCCAGAAGCACCTCAGGAGGAGGCTTCTCTCAGCAATAGGTATGTGGGAGGGACCCCGAGTTTGCTGCCTCAAGGGGAATATACAGCGAGAAGCCCTAACTTGAAAGGAGGCCGGATTTCCTTGCAGTGGCTTGAATACAGGCTCGTCTTTCATCTCACAACATGAAGGGATGTCTGAATCCCCTGTGGAGACCTTAGAGAAAGCCCTAGGTCCCTGCCTCATTTTGACGGAATGCCTCACATCCCGCTGACACCTCGAGAGGCACGCGGAGTTCATTGCTTCAAAAGGTGACGATGCCTGACTCCTCTTGAATACTGATAGGAATCCCAAAATCCCTGTGGCTATTGGAAAGGGTCCTTGGGTGCCCTGCCTCACCTCGAGAAGCGTCCTTTTGCCCTGCCAAGCCTCGAAGAGATTCCTGAGGTGTCCCTCGTTACTAGACAGGAGTCCTGACGTCACTGAAGAAACTCGTGTTTTGAAGGGCCATCCCCGCCGTAAGTCGAAAACATACACCAGGTCCCCGCCGCAACTCGAGAAAAACCATGAGACTTCCCCCTAGAGGCGAGATGAGGCCCCATTCCCCTGCAGTGCATGCAGAGCTATTCCGTGATCCCATTCAAACAAGTCAGGAGCTTCGACTTGCTTAATGGATCTCGAGACAGTCCCCAAGAACACTGTCACCAGTCTAGACGGACCCTGAGGTCACCCCAGCAACGCAAAGCAGCGCCATGTGCCCCAAATCAACCCGAGATGAGGCCCGATTCCCCTGCATTGACTCCAGAGCCATTCCCCATTCCCCATTCACCACGACCGGTCTCTCGACTTCCTTCAGGCAACTCCAGAGATGCCCCGAGAACACTGTCCCAAGTCTAGAGGAACACCAACTTCAGCACAGCAACTCGAGGAATGCTCCGTGTACCCCAAATCGTCTCGAGATGAGAGCTGATTCCCTGGCTTAGGCTCAAGACGTATGCCAACTTCCCAGAAGCACCTCAGGAGGAGGCTTCTCTCAGCTATAAGTATGTGGGAGGGACCCCGAGTTTGCTGCCTCAAGGGGAATATACAGCGAGAAGCCCTAACTTGAAAGGAGGCCGGATTTCCTTGCAGTGGCTTGAATACAGGCTCGTCTTTCATCTCACAACATGAAGGGATGTCTGAATCCCCTGTGGAGACCTTAGAGAAAGCCCTAGGTCCCTGCCTCATTTTGACGGAATGCCTCACATCCCGCTGACACCTCGAGAGGCACGAAGAGTTCATTGCTTCAAAAGGTGACGATGCCTGACTCCTCTTGAATACTGATAGGAATCCCAAAATCCCTGTGGCTACTGGAAAGGGTCCTTGGGTGCCCTGCCTCACCTCGAGAAGCGTCCCTTTTGTCCTGCCAAGCCTCGAAGAGATTCCTGAGGTGTCCCTCGTTACTAGACAGGAGTCCTGACGTCACTGAAGAAACTCGTGTTTTGAAGGGCCATCCCCGCCGTAAGTCGAGAACATACCCCATGTCCCCGCCGCAAATCGAGAAAAACCATGAGACTTCCCCCTAGAGGCGAGATGAGGCCCCATTCCCCTGCAGTGCATGCAGAGCTATTCCGTGATCCCATTCAAACAAGTCAGGAGCTTCGACTTGCTTCATGGATCTCGAGACAGTCCCCAAGAACACTGTCACCAGTCTAGACGGACCCTAAGGTCACCCAGCAATGCAAAGCAGCTCCATGTGCCCCAAATCAACTCGAGATGAGGCCCGATTCCCCTGCATTGACTCCAGAGCCATTCCCCGTTCCCCATTCAGCACGACCGGTAGCTCTACTTCCTTCAGGCAACTCCAGAGATGCCCCGAGAACACTGTCCCAAGTCTAGAGGAACACCAACTTCAGCACAGCAACTCGAGGAATGCTCCGTGTACCCCAAATCGTCTCGAGATGAGAGCTGATTCCCTGGCTTAGGCTCAAGACGTATTCCAACTTCCCAGAAGCACCTCAGGAGGAGGCTTCTCTCAGCAATAGGTATGTGGGAGGGACCCCGAGTTTGCTGCCTCAAGGGGAATATACAGCGAGAAGCCCTAACTTGAAAGGCGGCCGGATTTCCTTGCAGTGGCTTGAATACAGGCTCGTCTTTCATCTCACAACATGAAGGGATGTCTGAATCCCCTGTGGAGACCTTAGAGAAAGCCCTAGGTCCCTGCCTCATTTTGACGGAATGCCTCACATCCCGCTGACACCTCGAGAGGCCCGCGGAGTTCATTGCTTCAAAAGGTGACGATGCCTGACTCCTCTTGAATACTGATAGGAATCCCAAAATCCCTGTGGCTACTGGAAAGGGTCCTTGGTTGCCCTGCCTCACCTCGAGAAGCGTCCCTTTTGCCCTGCCAAGCCTCGAATAGATTCCTGAGGTGTCCCTCGTTACTAGACAGGAGTCCTGACGTCACTGAAGAAACTCGTGTTTTGAAGGGCCATCCCAGCCGTAAGTCGAGAACATACCCCAGGTCCCCGCCGCAACTCGAGAAAAACCATGAGACTTCCCCCTAGAGGCGAGATGAGGCCCCATTCCCCTGCAGTGCATGCAGAGCTATTCCGTGATCCCATTCAAACAAGTCAGGAGCTTCGACTTGCTTCATGGATCTCGAGACAGTACCCAAGAACACTGTCACCAGTCTAGACGGACCCTGAGGTCACCCCAGCAAAGCAAAGCAGCTCCATGTGCCCCAAATCAACCTGAGATGAGGCCCGATTCCCCTGCATTGACTCCAGAGCCATTCCCCATTCCCCATTCAGCACGACCGGTGTCTCGACTTCCTTCAGGCAACTCCAGAGATGCCCCGAGAACACTGTCCCAAGTCTAGAGGAACACCAACTTCAGCACAGCAACTCGAGGAATGCTCCGTGTACCCCAAATCGTCTCGAGATGAGAGCTGATTCCCTGGCTTAGGCTCAAGACGTATGCCAACTTCCCAGAAGCACCTCAGGAGGAGGCTTCTCTCAGCTATAAGTATGTGGGAGGGACCCCGAGTTTGCTGCCTCAAGGGGAATATACAGCGAGAAGCCCTAACTTGAAAGGAGGCCGGATTTCCTTGCAGTGGCTTGAATACAGGCTCGTCTTTCATCTCACAACATGAAGGGATGTCTGAATCCCCTGTGGAGACCTTAGAGAAAGCCCTAGGTCCCTGCCTCATTTTGACGGAATGCCTCACATCCCGCTGACACCTCGAGAGGCACGCAGAGTTCATTGCTTCAAAAGGTGACGATGCCTGACTCCTCTTGAATACTGATAGGAATCCCAAAATCCCTGTGGCTACTGGAAAGGGTCCTTGGGTGCCCTTCCTCACCTCGAGAAGCGTCCCTTTTGTCCTGCCAAGCCTCGAAGAGATTCCTGAGGTGTCCCTCGTTACTAGACAGGAGTCCTGACGTCACTGAAGAAACTCGTGTTTTGAAGGGCCATCCCCGCCGTAAGTCGAGAACATACCCCATGTCCCCGCCGCAAATCGAGAAAAACCATGAGACTTCCCCCTAGAGGCGAGATGAGGCCCCATTCCCCTGCAGTGCATGCAGAGCTATTCCGTGATCCCATTCAAACAAGTCAGGAGCTTCGACTTGCTTAATGGATCTCGAGACAGTCCCCAAGAACACTGTCACCAGTCTAGACGGACCCTGAGGTCACCCAGCAATGCAAAGCAGCTCCATGTGCCCCAAATCAACTCGAGATGAGGCCCGATTCCCCTGCATTGACTCCAGAGCCATTCCCCGTTCCCCATTCAGCACGACCGGTAGCTCTACTTCCTTCAGGCAACTCCAGAGATGCCCCGAGAACACTGTCCCAAGTCTAGAGGAACACCAACTTCAGCACAGCAACTCGAGGAATGCTCCGTGTACCCCAAATCGTCTCGAGATGAGAGCTGATTCCCTGGCTTAGGCTCAAGACGTATGCCAACTTCCCAGAAGCACCTCAGGAGGAGGCTTCTCTCAGCTATAAGTATGTGGGAGGGACCCCGAGTTTGCTGCCTCAAGGGGAATATACAGCGAGAAGCCCTAACTTGAAAGGAGGCCGGATTTCCTTGCAGTGGCTTGAATACAGGCTCGTCTTTCATCTCACAACATGAAGGGATGTCTGAATCCCCTGTGGAGACCTTAGAGAAAGCCCTAGGTCCCTGCCTCATTTTGACGGAATGCCTCACATCCCGATGACACCTCGAGAGGCACGCGGAGTTCATTGCTTCAAAAGGTGACGATGCCTGACTCCTCTTGAATACTGATAGGAATCCCAAAATCCCTGTGGCTACTGGAAAGGGTCCTTGGGTGCCCTGCCTCACCTCGAGAAGCGTCCCTTTTGCCCTGCCAAGCCTCGAAGAGATTCCTGAGGTGTCCCTCGTTACTAGACAGGAGTCCTGACGTCACTGAAGAAACTCGTGTTTTGAAGGGCCATCCCAGCCGTAAGTCGAGAACATACCCCAGGTCCCCGCCGCAACTCGAGAAAAACCATGAGACTTCCCCCTAGAGGCGAGATGAGGCCCCATTCCCCTGCAGTGCATGCAGAGCTATTCCGTGATCCCATTCAAACAAGTCAGGAGCTTCGACTTGCTTAATGCATCTCTAGACAGTTCCCAAGATCACTGTCACCAGTCTAGACGGACCCTGAGGTCACCCCAGCAACGCAAAGCAGCTCCATGTGCCCCAAATCAACTCGAGATGAGGCCCGATTCCCCTGCATTGACTCCAGAGCCATTCCCCGTTCCCCATTCAACACGACCGGTGGCTCGACTTCCTTCAGGCAACTCCAGAGATGCCCCGAGAACACTGTCCCAAGTCTAGAGGAACACCAACTTCAGCACAGCAACTCGAGGAATGCTCCGTGTACCCCAAATCGTCTCGAGATGCGAGCTGATTCCCTGGCTTAGGCTCAAGACGTATGCCAACTTCCCAGAAACACCTCAGGAGGAGGCTTCTCTCAGCAATAGGTATGTGGGAGGGACCCCGAGTTTGCTGCCTCAAGGGGAATATACAGCGAGAAGCCCTAACTTGAAACTCGGCCAGATTTCCTTGCAGTGGCTTGAATACAGGCTCGTCTTTCATCTCACAACATGAAGGGATGTCTGAATCCCCTGTGGAGACCTTAGAGAAACCCTAGGTCCCTGCCTCATTTTGACGGAATGCCTCACATCCCGCTGACACCTCGAGAGGCAGGCGGAGTTCATTGCTTCAAAAGGTGACGATGCCTGACTCCTCTTGAATACTGATAGGAATCCCAAAATCCCTGTGGCTATTGGAAAGGGTCGTTGGGTGCCCTGCCTCACCTCGGGAAGCGTCCTTTTGCCCTGCCAAGCCTCGAAGAGATTCCTGAGGTGTCCCTCGTTACTAGACAGGAGTCCTGACGTCACTGAAGAAACTCGTGTTTTGAAGGGCCATCCCCGCCGTAAGTCGAGAACATACCCCAGGTCCCCGCCGCAACTCGAGAAAAACCATGAGACTTCCCCCTAGAGGCGAGATGAGGCCCCATTCCCCTGCAGTGCATGCAGAGCTATTCCGTGATCCCATTCAAAGAAGTCAGGAGCTTCGACTTGCTTCATGGATCTCGAGACAGTCCCCAAGAACACTGTCACCAGTCTAGACGGACCCTGAGGTCACCCCAGCAACGCAAAGCAGCTCCATGTGCCACAAATCAACTCGAGATGAGGCCCGATTCCCCTGCATTGACTCCAGAGCCATTCCCCGTTCCCCATTCAACACGACCGGTGGCTCGACTTCCTTCAGGCAACTCCAGAGATGCCCCGAGAACACTGTCCCAAGTCCAGAGGAACACCAACTTCAGCACAGCAACTCGAGGAATGCTCCGTGTACCCCAAATCGTCTCGAGATGCGAGCTGATTCCCTGGCTTAGGCTCAAGACGTATGCCAACTTCCCAGAAGCACCTCAGGAGGAGGCTTCTCTCAGCAATAGGTATGTGGGAGGGACCCCGAGTTTGCTGCCTCAAGGGGAATATACAGCGAGAAGCCCTAACTTGAAAGGAGGCCGGATTTCCTTGCAGTGGCTTGAATACAGGCTCGTCTTTCATCTCACAACATGAAGGGATGTCTGAATCCCCTGTGGAGACCTTAGAGAAAGCCCTAGGTCCCTGCCTCATTTTGACGGAATGCCTCACATCCAGCTGACACCTCGAGAGGCACGCGGAGTTCATTGCTTCAAAAGGTGACGATGCCTGACTCCTCTTGAATACTGATAGGAATCCCAAAATCCCTGTGGCTATTGGAAAGGGTGCTTGGGTGCCCTGCCTCACCTCGAGAAGCGTCCTTTTGCCCTGCCAAGCCTCGAAGAGATTCCTGAGGTGTCCCTCGTTACTAGACAGGAGTCCTGACGTCACTGAAGAAACTCGTGTTTTGAAGGGCCATCCCCGCCGTAAGTCGAGAACATACCCCAGGTCCCCGCCGCAACTCGAGAAAAACCATGAGACTTCCCCCTAGAGGCGAGATGAGGCCCCATTCCCCTGCAGTGCATGCAGTGCTATTCCGTGATCCCATTCAAACAAGTCAGGAGCTTCGACTTGCTTCATGGATCTCGAGACAGTCCCCAAGAACACTGTCACCAGTCTAGACGGACCCTGAGGTCACCCCAGCAACGCAAAGCAGCTCCATGTGCCCCAAATCAACTCGAGATGAGGCCCGATTCCCCTGCATTGACTCCAGAGCCATTCCCCGTTCCCCATTCAACACGACCGGTGACTTGACTTCCTTCAGGCAACTCCAGAGATGCCCCGAGAACACTGTCCCAAGTCTAGAGGAACACCAACTTCAGCACAGCAACTCGAGGAATGCTCCGTGTACCCCAAATCGTCTCGAGATGCGAGCTGATTCCCTGGCTTAGGCTCAAGACGTATGCCAACTTCCCAGAAGCACCTCAGGAGGAGGCTTCTCTCAGCAATAGGTATGTGCGAGGGACCCCGAGTTTGTTGCCTCAAGGGGAATATACAGCGAGAAGCCCTAACTTGAAACGAGGCCGGATTTCCTTGCAGTGGCTTGAATACAGGCTCGTCTTTCATCTCACAACATGAAGGGATGTCTGAATCCCCTGTGGAGACCTTAGAGAAAGCCCTAGGTCCCTGCCTCATTTTGACGGAATGCCTCACATCCCGCTGACACCTCGAGAGGCACGCGGAGTTCATTGCTTCAAAAGGTGACGATGCCTGACTCCTCTTGAATACTGATAGGAATCCCAAAATCCCTGTGGCTACTGGAAAGGGTCCTTGGGTGCCCTGCCTCACCTCGAGAAGCGTCCCTTTTGCCCTGCCAAGCCTCGAAGAGATTCCTGAGGTGTCCCTCGTTACTAGACAGGAGTCCTGACGTCACTGAAGAAACTCGTGTTTCGAAGGGCCATCCCCGCCGTAAGTCGAGAACATACCCCAGGTCCCTGCCGCAACTCGAGAAAAACCATGAGACTTCCCCCTAGAGGCGAGATGAGGCCCCATTCCCCTGCAGTGCATGCAGAGCTATTCCGTGATCCCATTGAAACAAGTCAGGAGCTTCGACTTGCTTCAAGGATCTCGAGACAGTCCCCAAGAACACTGTCACCAGTCTAGACGGACCCTGAGGTCACCCCAGCAACGCAAAGCAGCTCCATGTGCCCCAAATCAACTCGAGATGAGGCCCGATTCCCCTGCATTGACTCCAGAGCCATTCCCCGTTCCCCATTCAACACGACCGGTGGCTCGACTTCCTTCAGGCAACTCCAGAGATGCCCCGAGAACACTGTCCCAAGTCTAGAGGAACACCAACTTCAGCACAGCAACTCGAGGAATGCTCCGTGTACCCCAAATCGTCTCGAGATGAGAGCTGATTCCCTGGCTTAGGCTCAAGACGTATGCCAACTTCCCAGAAGCACCTCAGGAGGAGGCTTCTCTCAGCAATTGGTATGTGGGAGGGACCCCGAGTTTGCTGCCTCAAGGGGAATATACAGCGAGAAGCCCTAACTTGAAAGGAGGCCGGATTTCCTTGCAGTGGCTTGAATACAGGCTCGTCTTTCATCTCACAACATGAAGGGATGTCTGAATCCCCTGTGGAGACCTTAGAGAAAGCCCTAGGTCCCTGCCTCATTTTGACGGAATGCCTCACATCCCGCTGACACCTCGAGAGGCACGCGGAGTTCATTGCTTAAAAAGGTGACGATGCCTGACTCCTCTTGAATACTGATAGGAATCCCAAAATCCCTGTGGCTATTGGAAAGGGTCCTTGGGTGCCCTGCCTCACCTCGAGAAGCGTCCTTTTGCCCTGCCAAGCCTCGAAGAGATTCCTGAGGTGTCCCTCGTTACTAGACAGGAGTCCTGACGTCACTGAAGAAACTCGTGTTTTGAAGTGCCATCCCCGCCGTAAGTCGAAAACATACACCAGGTCCCCGCCGCAACTCGAGAAAAACCATGAGACTTCCCCCTAGAGGCGAGATGAGGCCCCATTCCCCTGCAGTGCATGCAGAGCTATTCCGTGATCCCATTCAAACAAGTCAGGAGCTTCGACTTGCTTAATGGATCTCGAGACAGTCCCAAGAACACTGTCACCAGTCTAGACGGACCCTGAGGTCACCCCAGCAACGCAAAGCAGCTCCATGTGCCCCAAATCAACTCGAGATGAGGCCCGATTCCCCTGCATTGACTCCAGAGCCATTCCCCGTTCCCCATTCAGCACGACCGGTGTCTCGACTTCTTTCAGGCAACTCCAGAGATGCCCCGAGAACACTGTCCCAACTCTAGAGGAACACCAACTTCAGCACAGCAACTCGAGGAATGCTCCGTGTACCCCAAATCGTCTCGAGATGAGAGCTGATTCCCTGGCTTAGGCTCAAGACGTAGGCCAACTTCCCAGAAGCACCTCAGGAGGAGGCTTCTCTCAGCTATAAGTATGTGGGAGGGACCCCGAGTTTGCTGCCTCAAGGGGAATATACAGCGAGAAGCCCTAACTTGAAAGGCGGCCGGATTTCCTTGCAGTGGCTTGAATACAGGCTCGTCTTTCATCTCACAACATGAAGGGATGTCTGAATCCCCTGTGGAGACCTTAGAGAAAGCCCTAGGTCCCTGACTCATTTTGACGGAATTCCTCACATCCCGCTGACACCTCGAGAGGCACGCGGAGTTCATTGCTTCAAAAGGTGACGATGCCTGACTCCTCTTGAATACTGATAGGAATCCCAAAATCCCTGTGGCTATTGGAAAGGGTCCTTGGGTGCCCTGCCTCACCTCGAGAAGCGTCCTTTTGCCCTGCCAAGCCTCGAAGAGATTCCTGAGGTGTCCCTCGTTACTAGACAGGAGTCCTGACGTCACTGAAGAAACTCGTGTTTTGAAGGGCCATCCCCGCCGTAAGTCGAGAACATACCCCAGGTCCGCGCCGCAACTCGAGAAAAACCATGAGACTTCCCCCTAGAGGCGAGATGAGGCCCCATTCCCCTGCAGTGCATGCAGAGCTATTCCGTGATCCCATTCAAACAAGTCAGGAGCTTCGCCTTGCTTAATGGATCTCGAGACAGTCCCCAAGAACACTGTCACCAGTCAAGACGGACCCTGAGGTCACCCCAGCAACGCAAAGCAGCTCCATGTGCCCCAAATCAACTCGAGATGAGGCCCGATTCCCCTGCATTGACTCCAGAGCCATTCCCCGTTCCCCATTCAACACGACCGGTGGCTCGACTTCCTTCAGGCAACTCCAGAGATGCCCCGAGAACACTTTTCCCAAGTCCAGAGGAACACCAACGTCAGCACAGCAACTCGAGGAATGCTCCGTGTACCCCAAATCGTCTCGAGATGAGAGCTGATTCCCTGGCTTAGGCTCAAGACGTATGCCAACTTCCCAGAAGCACCTCAGGAGGAGGCTTCTCTCAGCAATAGGTATGTGGGAGGGACCCCGAGTTTGCTGCCTCAAGGGGAATAAACAGCGAGAAGCCCTAACTTGAAAGGAGGCCGGATTTCCTTGCAGTGGCTTGAATACAGGCTCGTCTTTCATCTCACAACATGAAGGGATGTCTGAATCCCCTGTGGAGACCTTAGAGAAAGCCCTAGGTCCCTGCCTCATTTTGACGGAATGCCTCACATCCCGCTGACACCTTGAGAGGCACGCGGAGTTCATTGCTTCAAAAGGTGACGATGCCTGACTCCTCTTGAATACTGATAGGAATCCCAAAATCCCTGTGGCTATTGGAAAGGGTCCTTGGGTGCCGTGCCTCACCTCGAGAAGCGTCCTTTTGCCCTGCCAAGCCTCGAAGAGATTCCTGAGGTGTCCCTCGTTACTAGACAGGAGTCCTGACGTCACTGAAGAAACTCGTGTTTTGAAGGGCCATCCCCGCCGTAAGTCGAGAACATACCCCAGGTCCCCGCCGCAACTCGAGAAAAACCATGAGACTTCCCCCTAGAGGCGAGATGAGGCCCCATTCCCCTGCAGTGCATGCAGAGCTATTCCGTGATCCCATTCAAACAAGTCAGGAGCTTCGACTTCCTTCATGGATCTCGAGACAGTCCCCAAGAACACTGTCAGCAGTCTAGACGGACCCTGAGGTCACCCCAGCAACGCAAAGCAGCTCCATGTGCCCCAAATCAACTCGAGATGAGGCCCGATTCCCCTGCATTGACTCCAGAGCCATTCCCCGTTCCCCATTCAACACGACCGGTGGCTCGACTTCCTTCAGGCAACTCCAGAGATGCCCCGAGAACACTGTCCCAAGTCTAGAGGAACACCAACTTCAGCACAGCAACTCGAGGAATGCTCCGTGTACCCCAAATCGTCTCGAGATGAGAGCTGATTCCCTGGCTTAGGCTCAAGACGTAGGCCAACTTCCCAGAAGCACCTCAGGAGGAGGCTTCTCTCAGCTATAAGTATGTGGGAGGGACCCCGAGTTTGCTGCCTCAAGGGGAATATACAGCGAGAAGATCTAACTTGAAAGGAGGCCGGATTTCCTTGCAGTGGCTTGAATACAGGCTCGTCTTTCATCTCACAACATGAAGGGATGTCTGAATCCCCTGTGGAGACCTTAGAGAAAGCCCTAGGTCCCTGCCTCATTTTGACGGAATGCCTCACATCCCGCTGACACCTCGAGAGGCACGCGGAGTTCATTGCTTCAAAAGGTGACGATGCCTGACTCCTCTTGAATACTGATAGGAATCCCAAAATCCCTGTGGCTACTGGAAAGGGTCCTTGGGTGCCCTGCCTCACCTCGAGAAGCGTCCCTTTTGCCCTGCCAAGCCTCGAAGAGATTCCTGAGGTGTCCCTCGTTACTAGACAGGAGTCCTGACGTCACTGAAGAAACTCGTGTTTTGAAGGGCCATTCCCGCCGTAAGTCGAGAACATACCCCAGGTCCCCGCCGCAACTCGAGAAAAACCATGAGACTTCCCCCTAGAGGCGAGATGAGGCCCCATTCCCCTGCAGTGCATGCAGAGCTATTCCGTGATCCCATTCAAACAAGTCAGGAGCTTCGACTTGCTTAATGGATCCCGAGACAGTCCCCAAGAACACTGTCACCAGTCTAGACGGAGCCTGAGGTCACCCCAGCAACGCAAAGCAGCTCCATGTGCCCCAAATCAACTCGAGATGAGGCCCGATTCCCCTGCATTGACTCCAGAGCCATTCCCCGTTCCCCATTCAACACGACCGGTGGCTCGACTTCCTTCAGGCAACTCCAGAGATGCCCCGAGAACACTGTCCCAAGTCTAGAGGAACACCAACTTCAGCACAGCAACTCGAGGAATGCTCCGTGTACCCCAAATCGTCTCGAGATGAGAGCTGATTCCCTGGCTTAGGCTCAAGACGTATGCCAACTTCCCAGAAGCACTTCAGGAGGAGGCTTCTCTCAGCAATAGGTATGAGGGAGGGACCCCGAGTTTGCTGCCTCAAAGGGAATATACAGCGAGAAGCCCTAACTTGAAAGGAGGCCGGATTTCCTTGCAGTGGCTTGAATACAGGCTCGTCTTTCATCTCACAACATGAAGGGATGTCTGAATCCCCTGTGGAGACCTTAGAGAAAGCCCTAGGTCCCTGCCTCATTTTGACGGAATGCCTCACATCCCGCTGACACCTCGAGAGGCACGCGGAGTTCATTGCTTCAAAAGGTGACGATGCCTGACTCCTCTTGAATACTGATAGGAATCCCAAAATCCCTGTGGCTACTGGAAAGGGTCCTTGGGTGCCCTGCCTCAACTCGAGAAGCGTCCCTTTTGCACTGCCAAGCCTCGAAGAGATTCCTGAGGTGTCCCTCGTTACTAGACAGGAGTCCTGACGTCACTGAAGAAACTCGTGTTTTGAAGGGCCATCCCCGCCGTAAGTCGAGAACATACCCCAGGTCCCCGCCGCAACTCGAGAAAAACCATGAGACTTCCCCCTAGAGGCGAGATGAGGCCCCATTCCCCTGCAGTGCATGCAGAGCTATTCCGTGATCCCATTCAAACAAGTCAGGAGCTTCGCCTTGCTTAATGGATCTCGAGACAGTCCCCAAGAACACTGTCACCAGTCTAGACGGACCCTGAGGTCACCCCAGCAACGCAAAGCAGCTCCATGTGCCCCAAATCAACTCGAGATGAGGCCCGATTCCCCTGCATTGACTCCAGAGCCATTCCCCGTTCCCCATTCAACACGACCGGTGGCTCGACTTCCTTCAGGCAACTCCAGAGATGCCCCGAGAACACTGTCCCAAGTCTAGAGGAACACCAACTTCAGCACAGCAACTCGAGGAATGCTCCGTGTACACCAAATCGTCTCGAGATGAGAGCTGATTCCCTGGCTTAGGCTCAAGACGTAGGCCAACTTCCCAGAAGCACCTCAGGAGGAGGCTTCTCTCAGCAATAGGTATGTGGGAGGGACCCCGAGTTTGCTGCCTCAAGGGGAATATACAGCGAGAAGCCCTAACTTGAAAGAGGCCGGATTTCCTTGCAGTGGCTTGAATACAGGCTCGTCTTTCATCTCACAACATGAAGGGATATCTGAATCCCCTGTGGAGACCTTAGAGAAAGCCCTAGGTCCCTGCCTCATTTTGACGGAATGCCTCACATCCCGCTGACACCTCGAGAGGCACGCGGAGTTCATTGCTTCAAAAGGTGACGATGCCTGACTCCTCTTGAATACTGATAGGAATCCCAAAATCCCTGTGGCTACTGGAAAGGGTCCTTGGGTGCCCTGCCTCTCCTCGAGAAGCGTCCCTTTTGCCCTGCCAAGCCTCGAAGAGATTCCTGAGGTGTCCCTCGTTACTAGACAGGAGTCCTGACGTCACTGAAGAAACTCGTGTTTTGAAGGGCCATCCCCGCCGTAAGTCGAGAACATACCCCAGGTCCCCGCCGCAACTCGAGAAAAACCATGAGACTTCCCCCTAGAGGCGAGATGAGGCCCCATTCCCCTGCAGTGCATGCAGAGCTATTCCGTGATCCCATTCAAACAAGTCAGGAGCTTCGACTTGCTTCATGGATCTCAAGACATTCCCCAGAACACTGTCACCAGTCTAGACGGTCCCTGAGGTCACCACAGCAACGCAAAGAAGCTCCATGTGCCCCAAATCAACTCGAGATGAGGCCCGATTCCGCTGCATTGACTCCAGAGCCATTCCCCGTTCCCCATTCAACACGACCGGTGGCTCGACTTCCTTCAGGCAACTCCAGAGATGCCCCGAGAACACTGTCCCAAGTCTAGAGGAACACCAACTTCAGCACAGCAACTCGAGGAATGCTCCGTGTACCCCAAATCGTCTCGAGATGAGAGCTGATTCCCTGGCTTAGGCTCAAGACGTATGCCAACATCCCAGAAGCACCTCAGGAGGAGGCTTCTCTCAGCAATAGGTATGTGGGAGGGACCCCGAGTTTGCTGCCTCAAGGGGAATATACAGCGAGAAGCCCTAACTTGAAACGCGGCTGGATTTCCTTGCAGTGGCTTGAATACAGGCTCGTCTTTCATCTCACAACATGAAGGGATGTCTGAATCCCCTGTGGAGACCTTAGAGAAAGCCCTAGGTCCCTGCCTCATTTTGACGGAATGCCTCACATCCCGCTGACACTTCGAGAGGCACGCGGAGTTCATTGCTTCAAAAGGTGACGATGCCTGACTCCTCTTGAATACTGATAGGAATCCCAAAATCCCTGTGGCTATTGGAAAGGGTCCTTGGGTGCCCTGCCTCACATCGAGAAGCGTCCTTTTGCCCTGCCAAGCCTCGAAGAGATTCCTGAGGTGTCCCTCGTTACTAGACAGGAGTCCTGACGTCACTGAAGAAACTCGTGTTTTGAAGGGCCATCCCCGCCGTAAGTCGAGAACATACACCAGGTCCCCGCCGCAACTCCAGAAAAACCATGAGACTTCCCCCTAGAGGCGAGATGAGGCCCCATTCCCCTGCAGTGCATGCAGAGCTATTCCGTGATCCCATTCAAACAAGTCAGGAGCTTCGACTTGCTTCATGGATCTCGAGACAGTCCCCAAGAACACTGTCACCAGTCTAGACGGACCCTGAGGTCAACCCAGCAACGCAAAGCAGCTCCATGTGCCCCAAATCAACTCGAGATGAGGCCCGATTCCCCTGCATTGACTCCAGAGCCATTCCCCGTTCCCCATTCAACACGACCGGTGGCTCGACTTCCTTCAGGCAACTCCAGAGATGCCCCGAGAACACTGTCCCAAGTCCAGAGGAACACCAACTTCAGCACAGCAACTCGAGGAATGCTCCGTGTACCCCAAATCGTCTCAAGATGAGAGCTGATTACCTGGCTTAGGCTCAAGACGTATGCCAACTTCCCAGAAGCACCTCAGGAGGAGGCTTCTCTCAGCAATAGGTATGTGGGAGGGACCCCGAGTTTGCTGCCTCAAGGGGAATATACAGCGAGAAGCCCTAACTTGAAAGGAGGCCGGATTTCCTTGCAGTGGCTTGAATACAGGCTCGTCTTTCATCTCACAACATGAAGGGATGTCTGAATCCCCTGTGGAGACCTTAGAGAAAGCCCTAGGTCCCTGCCTCATTTTGACGGAATACCTCACATCCCGCTGACACCTTGAGAGGCACGCGGAGTTCATTGCTTCAAAAGGTGACGATGCCTGACTCCTCTTGAATACTGATAGGAATCCCAAAATCCCTGTGGCTATTGGAAAGGGTCCTTGAGTGCCGTGCCTCACCTCGAGAAGCGTCCTTTTGCCCTGCCAAGCCTCGAAGAGATTCCTGAGGTGTCCCTCGTTACTAGACAGGAGTCCTGACGTCACTGAAGAAACTCGTGTTTTGAAGGGCCATCCCCGCCGTAAGTCGAGAACATACCCCAGGTCCGCGCCGCAACTCGAGAAAAACCATGAGACTTCCCCCTAGAGGCGAGATGAGGCCCCATTCCCCTGCAGTGCATGCAGAGCTATTCCGTGATCCCATTCAAACAAGTCAGGAGCTTCGACTTGCTTCATGGATCTCGAGACAGTCCCCAAGAACACTGTCACCAGTCTAGACGGACCCTGAGGTCACCCCAGCAACGCAAAGCAGCTCCATGTGCCCCAAATCAACTCGAGATGAGGCCCGATTCCCCTGCATTGACTCCAGAGCCATTCCCCGTTCCCCATTCAGCATGACCGGTGGCTCTACTTCCTTCAGGCAACTCCAGAGATGCCCCGAGAACACTGTCCCAAGTCTAGAGGAACACCAACTTCAGCACAGCAACTCGAGGAATGCTCCGTGTACCCCAAATCGTCTCGAGATGAGAGCTGATTCCCTGGCTTAGGCTCAAGACGTAGGCCAACTTCCCAGAAGCACCTCAGGAGGAGGCTTCTCTCAGCAATAGGTATGTGGGAGGGACCCCGAGTTTACGGCCTCAAGGGGAATATACAGCGAGAAGCCCTAACTTGAAAGAGGCCGGATTTCCTTGCAGTGGCTTGAATACAGGCTCGTCTTTCATCTCACAACATGAAGGGATGTCTGAATCCCCTGTGGAGACCTTAGAGAAAGCCCTAGGTCCCTGCCTCATTTTGACGGAATGCCTCACATCCTGCTGACAACTCGAGAGGCACGCGGAGTTCATTGCTTCAAAAGGTGACGATGCCTGACTCCTCTTGAATACTGATAGGAATCCCAAAATCCCTGTGGCTACTGGAAAGGGTCCTTGGGTGCCCTGCCTCACCTCGAGAAGCGTCCCTTTTGCCCTGCCAAGCCTCGAAGAGATTCCTGAGGTGTCCCTCGTTACTAGACAGGAGTCCTGACGTCACTGAAGAAACTCGTGTTTTGAAGGGCCATCCCCGCTGTAAGTCGAGAACATACCCCAGGTCCCCGCCGCAACTCGAGAAAAACCATGAGACTTCCCCCTAGAGGCGAGATGAGGCCCCATTCCCCTGCAGTGCATGCAGAGCTATTCCGTGATCCCATTCAAACAAGTCAGGAGCTTCGACTTGCTTAATGGATCTCGAGACAGTCCCCAAGAACACTGTCACCAGTCTAGACGGACCCTGAGGTCACCCCAGCAACGCAAAGCAGCTCCATGTGCCCCAAATCAACTCGAGATGAGGCCTGATTCCCCTGCATTGACTCCAGAGCCATTCCCCGTTCCCCATTCAACACGACCGGTGGCTCGACTTCCTTCAGGCAACTCCAGAGATGCCCCGAGAACACTGTCCCAAGTCTAGAGGAACACCAACTTCAGCACAGCAACTCGAGGAATGCTCCGTGTACACCAAATCGTCTCGAGATGAGAGCTGATTCCCTGGCTTAGGCTCAAGACGTATGCCAACTTCCCAGAAGCACCTCAGGAGGAGGCTTCTCTCAGCAATAGGTATGTGGGAGGGACCCCGAGTTTACTGACTCAAGGGGAATATACAGCGAGAAGCCCTAACTTGAAAGGAGGCCGGATTTCCTTGCAGTGGCTTGAATACAGGCTCGTCTTTCATCTCACAACATGAAGGGATGTCTGAATCCCCTGTGGAGACCTTAGAGAAAGCCCTAGGTCCCTGCCTCATTTTGACGGAATGCCTCACATCCCGCTGACACCTCGAGAGGCACGCGGAGTTCATTGCTTCAAAAGGTGACGATGCCTGACTCCTCTTGAATACTGATAGGAATCCCAAAATCCCTGTGGCTACTGGAAAGGGTCCTTGGGTGCCCTGCCTCACCTCGAGAAGCGTCCCTTTTGCCCTGCCAAGCCTCGAAGAGATTCCTGAGGTGTCCCTCGTTACTAGACAGGAGTCCTGACGTCACTGAAGAAACTCGTGTTTTGAAGGGCCATCCCCGCCGTAAGTCGAGAACATACCCCAGGTCCCCGCCGCAACTCGAGAAAAACCATGAGACTTCCCCCTAGAGGCGAGATGAGGCCCCATTCCCCTGCAGTGCATGCAGAGCTATTCCGTGATCCCATTCAAAGAAGTCAGGAGCTTCGACTTGCTTAATGGATCCCGACACAGTCCCCAAGAACACTGTCACCAGTCTAGACGGACCCTGAGGTCACCCCAGCAACGCAAAGCAGCTCCATGTGCCCCAAATCAACTCGAGATGAGGCCCGATTCCCCTGCATTGACTCCAGAGCCATTCCCCGTTCCCCATTCAACACGACCGGTGGCTCGACTTCCTTCAGGCAACTCCAGAGATGCCCCGAGAACACTGTCCCAAGTCTAGAGGAACACCAACTTCAGCACAGCAACTCGAGGAATGCTCCGTGTACCCCAAATCGTCTCGAGATGAGAGCTGATTCCCTGGCTTAGGCTCAAGACGTATGCCAACTTCCCAGAAGCACTTCAGGAGGAGGCTTCTCTCAGCAATAGGTATGAGTGAGGGACACCGAGTTTGCTGCCTCAAAGGGAATATACAGCGAGAAGCCCTAACTTGAAAGGAGGCCGGATTTCCTTGCAGTGGCTTGAATACAGGCTCGTCTTTCATCTCACAACATGAAGGGATGTCTGAATCCCCTGTGGAGACCTTAGAGAAAGCCCTAGGTCCCTGCCTCATTTTGACGGAATGCCTCACATCCCGCTGACACCTCGAGAGGCACGCGGAGTTCATTGCTTCAAAAGGTGACGATGCCTGACTCCTCTTGAATACTGATAGGAATCCCAAAATCCCTGTGGCTACTGGAAAGGGTCCTTGGGTGCCCTGCCTCACCTCGAGAAGCGTCCCTTTTGCCCTGCCAAGCCTCGAAGAGATTCCTGAGGTGTCCCTCGTTACTAGACAGGAGTCCTGACGTCACTGAAGAAACTCGTGTTTTGAAGGGCCATCCCCGCCGTAAGTCGAGAACATACCCCAGGTCCCCGCCGCAACTCGAGAAAAACCATGAGACTTCCCCCTAGAGGCGAGATGAGGCCCCATTCCCCTGCAGTGCATGCAGAGCTATTCCGTGATCCCATTCAAAGAAGTCAGGAGCTTCGACTTGCTTAATGGATCTCGAGACAGTCCCCAAGAACACTGTCACCAGTCTAGACGGACCCTGAGGTCACCCCAGCAAAGCAAAGCAGCTCCATGTGCCCCAAATCAACTCGAGATGAGGCCCGATTCCCCTGCATTGACTCCAGAGCCATTCCCCGTTCCCCATTCAACACGACCGGTGGCTCGACTTCCTTCAGGCAACTCCAGAGATGCCCCGAGAACACTGTCCCAAGTCTAGAGGAACACCAACTTCAGCACAGCAACTCGAGGAATGCTCCGTGTACCCCAAATCGTCTCGAGATGAGAGCTGATTCCCTGGCTTAGGCTCAAGACGTATGCCAACTTACCAGAAGCACTTCAGGAGGAGGCTTCTCTCAGCAATAGGTATGTGGGAGGGACCCCGAGTTTGCTGCCTCAAGGGGAATATACAGCGAGAAGCCCTAACTTGAAAGGAGGCCGGATTTCCTTGCAGTGGCTTGAATACAGGCTCGTCTTTCATCTCACAACATGAAGGGATGTCTGAATCCCCTGTGGAGACCTTAGAGAAAGCCCTAGGTCCCTGCCTCATTTTGACGGAATGCCTCACATCCCGCTGACACCTCGAGAGGCACGCGGAGTTCATTGCTTCAAAAGGTGACGATGCCTGACTCCTCTTGAATACTGATAGGAATCCCAAAATCCCTGTGGCTACTGGAAAGGGTCCTTGGGTGCCCTGCCTCACTTCGAGAAGCGTCACTTTTGCCCTGCCAAGCCTCGAAGAGATTCCTGAGGTGTCCCTCGTTACTAGACAGGAGTCCTGACGTCACTGAAGAAACTCGTGTTTTGAAGGGCCATCCCAGCCGTAAGTCGAGAACATACCCCAGGTCCCCGCCGCAACTCGAGAAAACCATGAGACTTCCCCCTAGAGGCGAGATGAGGCCCCATTCCCCTGCAGTGCATGCAGAGCTATTCCGTGATCCCATTCAAAGAAGTCAGGAGCTTCGACTTGCTTAATGGATCTCGAGACAGTCCCTAAGAACACTGTCACCAGTCTAGACGGACCCTGAGGTCACCCCAGCAACGCAAAGCAGCTCCATGTGCCCCAAATCAACTCGAGATGAGGCCCGATTCCCCTGCATTGACTCCAGAGCCATTCCCCGTTCCCCATTCAACACGACCGGTGGCTCGACTTCCTTCAGGCAACTCCAGAGATGCCCCGAGAACACTGTCCCAAGTCTAGAGGAACACCAACTTCAGCACAGCAACTCGAGGAATGCTCCGTGTACCCCAAATCGTCTCGAGATGAGAGCTGATTCCCTGGCTTAGGCTCAAGACGTATGCCAACTTCCCAGAAGCACCTCAGGAGGAGGCTTCTCTCAGCATTAGGTATGTGGGAGGGACCCCGAGTTTGCTGCCTCAAGGGGAATATACAGCGAGAAGCCCTAACTTGAAAGGAGGCCGGATTTCCTTGCAGTGGCTTGAATACAGGCTCGTCTTTCATCTCAAAACATGAAGGGATGTCTGAATCCCCTGTGGAGACCTTGGAGAAAGCCCTAGGTCCCTGCCTCATTTTGACGGAATGCCTCACATCCCGCTGACACCTCGAGAGGCACGCGGAGTTCATTGCTTCAAAAGGTGACGATGCCTGACACCTCTTGAATACTGATAGGAACCCCAAAATCCCTGTGGCTACTGGAAAGGGTCCTTGGGTGCCCTGCCTCACCTCGAGAAGCGTCCCTTTTGCCCTGCCAAGCCTCGAAGAGATTCCTGAGGTGTCCCTTGTTACTAGACAGGAGTCCAGACGTCACTGAAGAAACTCGTGTTTTGAAGGGCCATCCCCGCCGTAAGTCGAGAACATACCCCAGGTCCCCGCCGCAACTCGAGAAAAACCATGAGACTTCCCCCTAGAGGCGAGATGAGGCCCCATTCCCCTGCAGTGCATGCAGAGCTATTCCGTGATCCCATTCAAACAAGTCAGGAGCTTCGACTTGCTTAATGGATCTCGAGACAGTCCCCAAGAACACTGTCACCAGTCTAGACGGACACTGAGGTCACCCCAGCAACGCAATGCAGCTCCATGTGCCCCAAATCAACTCGAGATGAGGCCCGATTCCCCTGCATTGACTCCAGAGCCATTCCCCTTTCCCCATACAACACGACCGGTGGCTCGACTTCCTTCAGGCAACTCCAGAGATGCCCCGAGAACACTGTCACAAGTCTAGAGGAACACCAACTTCAGCACAGCAACTCGAGGAATGCTCCGTGTACCCCAAATCGTCTCGAGATGAGAGCTGATTCCCTGGCTTAGGCTCAAGACGTATGCCAACTTCCCAGAAGCACTTCAGGAGGAGGCTTCTCTCAGCAATAGGTATGTGGGAGGGACCCCGAGTTTGCTGCCTCAAGGGGAATATACAGCGAGAAGCCCTAACTTGAAAGGAGGCCGGATTTCCTTGCAGTGGCTTGAATACAGGCTCGTCCTTCATCTCACAACATGAAGGGATGTCTGAATCCCCTGTGGAGACCTTAGAGAAAGCCCTAGGTCCCTGCCTCATTTTGACGGAATGCCTCACATCCCGCTGACACCTCGAGAGGCACGCGGAGTTCATTGCTTCAAAAGGTGACGATGCCTGACTCCTCTTGAATACTGATAGGAATCCCAAAATCCCTGTGGCTAATGGAAAGGGTCCTTGGGTGCCCTGCCTCACTTCGAGAAGCGTCCCTTTTGCCCTGCCAAGCCTCGAAGAGATTCCTGAGGTGTCCCTCGTTACTAGACAGGAGTCCTGACGTCACTGAAGAAACTCGTGTTTTGAAGGGCCATCCCCGCCGTAAGTCGAGAACATACCCCAGGTCCCCGCCGCAACTCGAGAAAAACCATGAGACTTCCCCCTAGAGGCGAGATGAGGCCCCATTCCCCTGCAGTGCATGCAGAGCTATTCCGTGATCCCATTCAAACAAGTCAGGAGCTTCGACTTGCTTAATGGATTCCGAGACAGTCCCCAAGAACACTGTCACCAGTCTAGACGGAGCCTGAGGTCACCCCAGCAACGCAAAGCAGCTCCATGTGCCCAAAATCAACTCGAGATGAGGCCCGATTCCCCTGCATTGACTCCAGAGCCATTCCCCGTTCCCCATTCAACACGACCGGTGGCTCGACTTCCTTCAGGCAACTCCAGAGATGCCCCGAGAACACTGTCCCAAGTCTAGAGGAACACCAACTTCAGCACAGCAACTCGAGGAATGCTCCGTGTACCCCAAATCGTCTCGAGATGAGAGCTGATACCCTGGCTTAGGCTCAAGACGTATGCCAACTTCCCAGAAGCACCTCCAGAGGAGGCTTCTCTCAGCAATAGGTATGTGGGAGGGACCCCGAGTTTGCTGCCTCAAGGGGAATATACAGCGAGAAGCCCTAACTTGAAAGGAGGCCGGATTTCCTTGCAGTGGCTTGAATACAGGCTCGTCTTTCATCTCACAACATGAAGGGATGTCTGAATCCCCTGTGGAGACCTTAGAGAAAGCCCTAGGTCCCTGCCTCATTTTGACGGAATGCCTCACATCCCGCTGACACCTCGAGAGGCACGCGGAGTTCATTGCTTCAAAAGGTGACGATGCCTGACTCCTCTTGAATACTGATAGGAATCCCAAAATCCCTGTGGCTACTGGAAAGGGTCCTTGGGTGCCCTGCCTCACCTCGAGAAGCATCGCTTTTGCCCTGCCAAGCCTCGAAGAGATTCCTGAGGTGTCCCTCGTTACTAGACAGGAGTCCTGACGTCACTGAAGAAACTCGTGTTTTGAAGGGCCATCCCCGCCGTAAGTCGAGAACATACCCCAGGTCACCGCCGCAACTCGAGAAAACCATGAGACTTCCCCCTAGAGGCGAGATGAGGCCCCATTCCCCTGCAGTGCATGCAGAGCTATTCCGTGATCCCATTCAAACAAGTCAGGAGCTTCGACTTGCTTAACGGATCTCGAGACAGTCCCTAAGAACACTGTCACCAGTCTAGACGGACCCTGAGGTCACCCCAGCAACGCAAAGCAGCTCCATGTGCCCCAAATCAACTCGAGATGAGGCCCGATTCCCCTGCATTGACTCCAGAGCCATTCCCCATTCCCCATTCAACACGACCGGTGGCTCGACTTCCTTCAGGCAACTCCAGAGATGCCCCGAGAACACTGTCCCAAGTCTAGAGGAACACCAACTTCAGCACAGCAACTCGAGGAATGCTCCGTGTACACCAAATCGTCTCGAGATGAGAGCTGATTCCCTGGCTTAGGCTCAAGACGTAGGCCAACTTCCCAGAAGCACCTCAGGAGGAGGCTTCTCTCAGCAATAGGTATGTGGGAGGGACCCCGAGTTTGCTGCCTCAAGGGGAATATACAGCGAGAAGCCCTAACTTGAAAGAGGCCGGATTTCCTTGCAGTGGCTTGAATACAGGCTCGTCTTTCATCTCACAACATGAAGGGATGTCTGAATCCCCTGTGGAGACCTTAGAGAAAGCCCTAGGTCCCTGCCTCATTTTGACGGAATGCCTCACATCCCGCTGACACCTCGAGAGGCACGCGGAGTTCATTGCTTCAAAAGGTGACGATGCCTGACTCCTCTTGAATACTGATATGAATCCCAAAATCCCTGTGGCTACTGGAAAGGGTCCTTGGGTGCCCTGCCTCTCCTCGAGAAGCGTCCCTTTTGCCCTGCCAAGCCTCGAAGGGATTCCTGAGGTGTCCCTCGTTACTAGACAGGAGTCCTGACGTCACTGAAGAAACTCGTGTTTTGAAGGGCCATCCCCGCCGTAAGTCGAGAACATACCCCAGGTCCCCGCCGCAACTCGAGAAAAACCATGAGACTTCCCCCTAGAGGCGAGATGAGGCCCCATTCCCCTGCAGTGCATGCAGAGCTATTCCGTGATCCCATTCAAACAAGTCAGGAGCTTCGACTTGCTTCATGGATCTCAAGACAGTCCCCAAGAACACTGTCACCAGTCTAGACTGTCCCTGAGGTCACCACAGCAACGCAAAGCAGCTCCATGTGCCCCAAATCAACTCGAGATGAGGCCCGATTCCGCTGCATTGACTCCAGAGCCATTCCCCGTTCCCCATTCAACACGACCGGTGGCTCGACTTCCTTCAGGCAACTCCAGAGATGCCCCGAGAACACTGTCCCAAGTCTAGAGGAACACCAACTTCAGCACAGCAACTCGAGGAATGCTCCGTGTACCCCAAATCGTCTCGAGATGAGAGCTGATTCCCTGGCTTAGGCTCAAGACGTATGCCAACTTCCCAGAAGCACCTCAGGAGGAGGCTTCTCTCAGCAATAGGTATGTGGGAGGGACCCCGAGTTTGCTGCCTCAAGGGGAATATACAGCGAGAAGCCCTAACTTGAAACGCGGCTGGATTTCCTTGCGGTGGCTTGAATACAGGCTCGTCTTTCATCTCACAACATGAAGGGATGTCTGAATCCCCTGTGGAGACCTTAGAGAAAGCCCTAGGTCCCTGCCTCATTTTGACGGAATGCCTCACATCCCGCTGACACCTCGACAGGCACGCGGAGTTCATTGCTTCAAAAGGTGACGATGCCTGACTCCTCTTGAATACTGATAGGAATCCCAAAATCCCTGTGGCTATTAGAAAGGGTCCTTGGGTGCCCTGCCTCACCTCGAGAAGCGTCCTTTTGCCCTGCCAAGCCTCGAAGAGATTCCTGAGGTGTCCCTCGTTACTAGACAGGAGTCCTGACGTCACTGAAGAAACTCGTGTTTTGAAGGGCCATCCCCGCCGTAAGTCGAGAACATACCCCAGGTCCCCGCCGCAACTCGAGAAAAACCATGAGACTTCCCCCTAGAGGCGAGATGAGGCCCCATTCCCCTGCAGTGCATGCAGAGCTATTCCGTGATCCCATTCAAACAAGTCAGGAGCTTCGACTTGCTTCATGGATCTCGAGACAGTCCCCAAGAACACTGTCACCAGTCTAGACGGACCCTGAGGTCACCCCAGCAACGCAAAGCAGCTCCATGTGCCCCAAATCAACTCGAGATGAGGCCCGATTCCCCTGCATTGACTCCAGAGCCATTCCCCGTTCCCCATTCAACACGACCGGTGGCTCGACTTCCTTCAGGCAACTCCAGAGATGCCCCGAGAACACTGTCCCAAGTCCAGAGGAACAGCAACTTCAGCACAGCAACTGGAGGAATGCTCCGTGTACCCCAAATCGTCTCGAGATGAGAGCTGATTCCCTGGCTTAGGCTCAAGACGTAGGCCAACTTCCCAGAAGCACCTCAGGAGGAGGCTTCTCTCAGCAATAGGTATGTGGGAGGGACCCCGAGTTTACGGCCTCAAGGGGAATATACAGCGAGAAGCCCTAACTTGAAAGAGGCCGGATTTCCTTGCAGTGGCTTGAATACAGGCTCGTCTTTCATCTCACAACATGAAGGGATGTCTGAATCCCCTGTGGAGACCTTAGAGAAAGCCCTAGGTCCCTGCCTCATTTTGACGGAATGCCTCACATCCTGATGACACCTCGAGAGGCACGCGGAGTTCATTGCTTCAAAAGGTGACGATGCCTGACTCCTCTTGAATACTGATAGGAATCCCAAAATCCCTGTGGCTACTGGAAAGGGTCCTTGGGTGCCCTGCCTCACCTCGAGAAGCGTCCCTTTTGCCCTGCCAAGCCTCGAAGAGATTCCTGAGGTGTCCCTCGTTACTAGACAGGAGTCCTGACGTCACTGAAGAAACTCGTGTTTTGAAGGGCCATCCCCGCCGTAAGTCGAGAACATACCCCAGGTCCCCGCCGCAACTCGAGAAAAACCATGAGACTTCCCCCTAGAGGCGAGATGAGGCCCCATTCCCCTGCAGTGCATGCAGAGCTATTCCGTGATCCCATTCAAAGAAGTCAGGAGCTTCGACTTGCTTAATGGATCCCGAGACAGTCCCCAAGAACACTGTCACCAGTCTAGACGGACCCTGAGGTCACCCCAGCAACGCAAAGCAGCTCCATGTGCCCCAAATCAACTCGAGATGAGGCCCGATTCCCCTGCATTGACTCCAGAGCCATTCCCCGTTCCCCATTCAACACGACCGGTGGCTCGACTTCCTTCAGGCAACTCCAGAGATGCCCCGAGAACACTGTCCCAAGTCTAGAGGAACACCAACTTCAGCACAGCAACTCGAGGAATGCTCCGTGTACCCCAAATCGTCTCGAGATGAGAGCTGATTCCCTGGCTTAGGCTCAAGACGTATGCCAACTTCCCAGAAGCACTTCAGGAGGAGGCTTCTCTCAGCAATAGGTATGAGTGAGGGACCCCGAGTTTGCTGCCTCAAAGGGAATATACAGCGAGAAGCCCTAACTTGAAAGGAGGCCGGATTTCCTTGCAGTGGCTTGAATACAGGCTCGTCTTTCATCTCACAACATGAAGGGATGTGTGAATCCCCTGTGGAGACCTTAGAGAAAGCCCTAGGTCCCTGCCTCATTTTGACGGAATACCTCACATCCCGCTGACACCTTGAGAGGCACGCGGAGTTCATTGCTTCAAAAGGTGACGATGCCTGACTCCTCTTGAATACTGATAGGAATCCCAAAATCCCTGTGGCTATTGCAAAGGGTCCTTGGGTGCCCTGCCTCACCTCGAGAAGCGTCCTTTTGCCCTGCCAAGCCTCGAAGAGATTCCTGAGGTGTCCCTCGTTACTAGACAGGAGTCCTGACGTCACTGAAGAAACTCGTGTTTTGAAGGGCCATCCCCGCCGTAAGTCGAGAACATACCCCAGGTCCCCGCCGCAACTCGAGAAAAACCATGAGACTTCCCCCTAGAGGCGAGATGAGGCCCCATTCCCCTGCAGTGCATGCAGAGCTATTCCGTGATCCCATTCAAACAAGTCAGGAGCTTCGACTTGCTTCATGGATCTCGAGACAGTCCCCAAGAACACTGTCACCAGTCTAGACGGACCCTGAGGTCACCCCAGCAACGCAAAGCAGCTCCATGTGCCCCAAATCAACTCGAGATGAGGCCCGATTCCCCTGCATTGACTCCAGAGCCATTCCCTGTTCCCCATTCAACACGACCGGTGTCTCGACTTCCTTCAGGCAACTCCAGAGATGCCCCGAGAACAATGTCCCAAGTCTAGAGGAACACCAACTTCAGCACAGCAACTCGAGGAATGCTCCGTGTACCCCAAATCGTCTCGAGATGAGAGCTGATTCCCTGGCTTAGGCTCAAGACGTAGGCCAACTTCCCAGAAGCACCTCAGGAGGAGGCTTCTCTCAGCAATAGGTATGTGGGAGGGACCCCGAGTTTACGGCCTCAAGGGGAATATACAGCGAGAAGCCCTAACTTGAAAGAGGCCGGATTTCCTTGCAGTGGCTTGAATACAGGCTCGTCTTTCATCTCACAACATGAAGGGATGTCTGAATCCCCTGTGGAGACCTTAGAGAAAGCCCTAGGTCCCTGCCTCATTTTGACGGAATGCCTCACATCCCGCTGACACCTCGAGAGGCACGCGGAGTTCATTGCTTCAAAAGGTGACGATGCCTGACTCCTCTTGAATACTGATAGGAATCCCAAAATCCCTGTGGCTACTGGAAAGGGTCCTTGGGTGCCCTGCCTCACCTCGAGAAGCGTCCCTTTTGCCCTGCCAAGCCTCGAAGAGATTCCTGAGGTGTCCCTCGTTTCTAGACAGGAGTCCTGACGTCACTGAAGAAACTCGTGTTTTGAAGGGCCATCCCCGCCGTAAGTCGAGAACATACCCCAGGTCCCCGCCGCAACTCGAGGAAAACCATGAGACTTCCCCCTAGAGGCGAGATGAGGCCCCATTCCCCTGCAGTGCATGCAGAGCTATTCCGTGATCCCATTCAAAGAAGTCAGGAGCTTCGACTTGCTTAATGGATCCCGAGACAGTCCCCAAGAACACTGTCACCAGTCTAGACGGACCCTGAGGTCACCCCAGCAACGCAAAGCAGCTCCATGTGCCCCAAATCAACTCGAGATGAGGCCCGATTCCCCTGCATTGACTCCAGAGCCATTCCCCGTTCCCCATTCAACACGACCGGTGGCTCGACTTCCTTCAGGCAACTCCAGAGATGCCCCGAGAACACTGTCCCAAGTCTAGAGGAACACCAACTTCAGCACAGCAACTCGAGGAATGCTCCGTGTACCCCAAATCGTCTCGAGATGAGAGCTGATTCCCTGGCTTAGGCTCAAGACGTATGCCAACTTCCCAGAAGCACCTCAGGAGGAGGCTTCTCTCAGCAATAGGTATGTGGGAGGGACCCCGAGTTTGCTGCCTCAAGGGGAATATACAGCGAGAAGCCCTAACTTGAAAGGAGGCCGGATTTCCTTGCAGTGGCTTGAATACAGGCTCGTCTTTCATCTCAAAACATGAAGGGATGTCTGAATCCCCTGTGGAGACCTTGGAGAAAGCCCTAGGTCCCTGCCTCATTTTGACGGAATGCCTCACATCCCGCCGACACCTCAAGAGGCATGCGGAGTTCATTGCTTCAAAAGGTGACGATGCCTGACACCTCTTGAATACTGATAGGAATCCCAAAATCCCTGTGGCTACTGGAAAGGGTCCTTGGGTGCCCTGTCTCACCTCGAGAAGCGTCCCTTTTGCCCTGCCAAGCCTCGAAGAGATTCCTGAGGTGTCCCTCGTTACTAGACAGGAGTCCTGACGTCACTGAAGAAACTCGTGTTTTGAAGGGCCATCCCCGCCGTAAGTCGAGAACATACCCCAGGTCCCCGCCGCAACTCGAGAAAAACCATGAGACTTCCCCCTAGAGGCGAGATGAGGCCCCATTCCCCTGCAGTGCATGCAGAGCTATTCCGTGATCCCATTCAAAGAAGTCAGGAGCTTCGACTTGCTTAATGGATCTCGAGACAGTCCCCAAGAACACTGTCACCAGTCTATACGGACCCTGAGGTCACCCCAGCAAAGCAAAGCAGCTCCATGTGCCCCAAATCAACTCGAGATGAGGCCCGATTCCCCTGCATTGACTCCAGAGCCATTCCCCGTTCCCCATTCAACACGACCGGTGGCTCGACTTCCTTCAGGCAACTCCAGAGATGCCCCGAGAACACTGTCCCAAGTCTAGAGGAACACCAACTTCAGCACAGCAACTCGAGGAATGCTCCGTGTACCCCAAATAGTCTCGAGATGAGAGCTGATTCCCTGGCTTAGGCTCAAGACGTATGCCAACTTCCCAGAAGCACCTCAGGAGGAGGCTTCTCTCAGCAATAGGTATGTGGGAGGGACCCCGAGTTTGCTGCCTCAAGGGGAATATACAGCGAGAAGCCCTAACTTGAAAGGAGGCCGGATTTCCTTGCAGTGGCTTGAATACAGGCTCGTCTTTCATCTCACAACATGAAGGGATGTCTGAATCCCCTGTGGAGACCTTAGAGAAAGCCCTAGGTCCCTGCCTCATTTTGACGGAATGCCTCACATCCCGCTGACACCTCGAGAGGCATACGGAGTTCATTGCTTCAAAAGGTGACGATGCCTGACTCCTCTTGAATACTGATAGGAATCCCTAAATCCCTGTGGCTACTGGAAAGGGTCCTTGGGTGCCCTGCCTCACTTCGAGAAGCGTCACTTTTGCCCTGCCAAGCCTCGAAGAGATTCCTGAGGTGTCCCTCGTTACTAGACAGGAGTCCTGACGTCACTGAAGAAACTCGTGTTTTGAAGGGCCATCCCAGCCGTAAGTCGAGAACATACCCCAGGTCCCCGCCGCAACTCGAGAAAACCATGAGACTTCCCCCTAGAGGCGAGATGAGGCCCCATTCCCCTGCAGTGCATGCAGAGCTATTCCGTGATCCCATTCAAAGAAGTCAGGAGCTTCGACTTGCTTAATGGATCTCGAGACAGTCCCTAAGAACACTGTCACCAGTCTAGACGGACCCTGAGGTCACCCCAGCAACGCAAAGCAGCTCCATGTGCCCCAAATCAACTCGAGATGAGGCCCGATTCCACTGCATTGACTCCAGAGCCATTCCCCGTTCCCCATTCAACACGACCGGTGGCTCGACTTCCTTCAGGCAACTCCAGAGATGCCCCGAGAACACTGTCCCAAGTCTAGAGGAACACCAACTTCAGCACAGCAACTCGAGGAATGCTCCGTGTACCCCAAATCGTCTCGAGATGAGAGCTGATTCCCTGGCTTAGGCTCAAGACGTATGCCAACTTCCCAGAAGCACCTCAGGAGGAGGCTTCTCTCAGCAATAGGTATGTGGGAGGGACCCCGAGTTTGCTGCCTCAAGGGGAATATACAGCGAGAAGCCCTAACTTGAAAGGAGGCCAGATTTCCTTGCAGTGGCTTGAATACAGGCTCGTCTTTCATCTCAAAACATGAAGGGATGTCTGAATCCCCTGTGGAGACCTTGGAGAAAGCCCTAGGTCCTTGCCTCATTTTGACGGAATGCCTCACATCCCGCCGACACCTCAAGAGGCACGCGGAGTTCATTGCTTCAAAAGGTGACGATGCCTGACACCTCTTGAATACTGATAGGAATCCCAAAATCCCTGTGGCTACTGGAAAGGGTCCTTGGGTGCCCTGTCTCACCTCGAGAAGCGTCCCTTTTGCCCTGCCAAGCCTCGAAGAGATTCCTGAGGTGTCCCTCGTTACTAGACAGGAGTCCTGACGTAACTGAAGAAACTCGTGTTTTGAAGGGCCATCTCCGCTGTAAGTCGAGAACATACCCCAGGTCCCCGCCGCAACTCGAGAAAAACCATGAGACTTCCCCCTAGAGGCGAGATGAGGCCCCATTCCCCTGCAGTGCATGCAGAGCTCTTCCGTGATCCCATTCAAACAAGTCAGGAGCTTCGACTTGCTTAATGGATCTCAAGACAGTCCCCAAGAACACTGTCACCAGTCTAGACGGACCCTGAGGTCACCCCAGCAACGCAATGCAGCTCCATGTGCCCCAAATCAACTCGAGATGAGGCCCGATTCCCCTGCATTGACTCCAGAGCCATTCCCCTTTCCCCATACAACACGACCGGTGGCTCGACTTCCTTCAGGCAACTCCAGAGATGCCCCGAGAACACTGTCCCAAGTCTAGAGGAACACCAACTTCAACACAGCAACTCGAGGAATGCTCCGTGTACCCCAAATCGTCTCGAGATGAGAGCTGATTCCCTGGCTTAGGCTCAAGACCTATGCCAGCTTCCCAGAAGCACGTCAGGAGGAGGCTTCTCTCACCAATAGGTATGTGGGAGGGACCCCGAGTTTGCTGCCTCAAGGGGAATATACAGCGAGAAGCCCTAACTTGAAAGGAGGCCGGATTTCCTTGCAGTGGCTTTATTACAGGCTCGTCTTTCATCTCAAAACATGAAGGGATGTCTGAATCCCCTGTGGAGACCTTGGAGAAAGCCCTAGGTCCCTACCTCATTTTGACGGAATGCCTCACATCCCGCTGACACCTCGAGAGGCACGCGGAGTTCATTGCTTCAAAAGGTGACGATGCCTGACTCCTCTTGAATACTGATAGGAATCCCAAAATCCCTGTGGCTACTGGAAAGGGTCCTTGGGTGCCCTGCCTCACCTCGAGAAGCGTCCCTTTTGCCCTGCCAAGCCTCGAAGAGATTCCTGAGGTGTCCCTCGTTACTAGACAGGAGTCCTGACATCACTGAAGAAACTCGTGTTTTGAAGGGCCATCCCCGCCGTAAGTCGAGAACATACCCCAGGTCCCCGCCGCAACTCGAGAAAAACCATGAGACTTCCCCCTAGAGGCGAGATGAGGCCCCATTCCCCTGCAGTGCATGCAGAGCTATTCCGTGATCCCATTCAAACAAGTCAGGAGCTTCGACTTGCTTAATGGATCTCGAGACAGTCCCCAAGAACACTGTCACCAGTCTAGACGGACCCTGAGGTCACCCCAGCAAGGCAAAGCAGCTCCATGTGCCCCAAATCAACTCGAGATGAGGCCCGATTCCCCTGCATTGACTCCAGAGCCATTCCCCGTTCCCCATTCAACACGACCGGTGGCTCGACTTCCTTCAGGCAACACCAGAAATGCCCCGAGAACACTGTCCCAAGTCTAGAGGAACACCAACTTCAGCACAGCAACTCGAGGAATGCTCCGTGTACCCCAAATCGTCTCGAGATGAGAACTGATTCCCTGGCTTAGACTCAAGACGTATGCCAACTTCCCAGAAGCACTTCAGGAGGAGGCTTCTCTCAGCAATAGGTATGAGTGAGGGACCCCGAGTTTGCTGCCTCAAAGGGAATATACAGCGAGAAGCCCTAACTTGAAAGGAGGCCGGATTTCCTTGCAGTGGCTTGAATACAGGCTCGTCTTTCATCTCACAACATGAAGGGATGTCTGAATCCCCTGTGGAGACCTTAGAGAAAGCCCTAGGTCCCTGCCTCATTTTGACGGAATGCCTCACATCCCGCTGACACCTCGAGAGGCACGCGGAGTTGATTGCTTCAAAAGGTGACGATGCCTGACTCCTCTTGAATACTGATAGGAATCCCAAAATCCCTGTGGCTACTGGAAAGGGTCCTTGGGTGCCCTGCCTCACCTCGAGAAGCGTCCCTTTTGCCCTGCCAAGCCTCGAAGAGATTCCTGAGGTGTCCCTCGTTACTAGACAGGAGTCCTGACGTCACTGAAGAAACTCGTGCTTTGAAGGGCCATCCCCGCCGTAAGTCGAGAACATACCCCAGGTCCCCGCCGCAACTCGAGAAAAACCATGAGACTTCCCCCTAGAGGCGAGATGAGGCCCCATTCCCCTGCAGTGCATGCAGAGCTATTCCGTGATCCCATTCAAACAAGTCAGGAGCTTCGACTTGCTTAATGGATCTCGAGACAGTCCCCAAGAACACTGTCACCAGTCTAGACGGACCCTGAGGTCACCCCAGCAAAGCAAAGCAGCTCCATGTGCCCCAAATCAACTCGAGATGAGGCCCGATTCCCCTGCATTGACTCCAGAGCCATTCCCCGTTCCCCATTCAACACGACCGGTGGCTCGACTTCCTTCAGGCAACTCCAGAGATGCCCCGAGAACACTGTCCCAAGTCTAGAGGAACACCAACTTCAGCACAGCAACTCGAGGAATGCTCCGTGTACCCCAAATCGTCTCGAGATGAGAGCTGATTCCCTGGCTTAGGCTCAAGACGTATGCCAACTTCCCAGAAGCACCTCAGGAGGAGGCTTCTCTCAGCAATAGCTATGTGGGAGGGACCCCGAGTTTGCTGCCTCAAGGGGAATATACAGCGAGAAGCCCTAACTTGAAAGGAGGCCGGATTTCCTTGCAGTGGCTTGAATACAGGCTCGTCTTTCATCTCAAAACATGAAGGGATGTCTGAATCCCCTGTGGAGACCTTGGAGAAAGCCCTAGGTCCCTGCCTCATTTTGACGGAATGCCTCACATCCCGCTGACACCTCGAGAGGCACGCGGAGTTCATTGCTTCAAAAGGTGACGATGCCTGACACCTCTTGAATACTGATAGGAATCCCAAAATCCCTGTGGCTACTGGAAAGGGTCCTTGGGTGCCCTGCCTCACCTCGAGAAGCGTCCCTTTTGCCCTGCCAAGCCTCGAAGAGATTCCTGAGGTGTCCCTCGTTACTAGACAGGAGTCCTGACGTCACTGAAGAAACTCGTGTTTTGAAGGGCCATCTCCGCCGTAAGTCGAGAACATACCCCAGGTCCCCGCCGCAACTCGAGAAAAACCATGAGACTTCCCCCTAGAGGCGAGATGAGGCCCCATTCCCCTGCAGTGCATGCAGAGCTCTTCCGTGATCCCATTCAAACAAGTCAGGAGCTTCGACTTGCTTAATGGATCTCGAGACAGTCCCCAAGAACACTGTCACCAGTCTAGACGGACCCTGAGGTCACCCCAGCAACGCAATGCAGCTCCATGTGCCCCAAATCAACTCGAGATGAGGCCCGATTCCCCTGCATTGACTCCAGAGCCATTCCCCTTTCCCCATACAACACGACCGGTGGCTCGACTTCCTTCAGGCAACTCCAGAGATGCCCCGAGAACACTGTCCCAAGTCTAGAGGAACACCAACTTCAACACAGCAACTCGAGGAATGCTCCGTGTACCCCAAATCGTCTCGAGATGAGAGCTGATTCCCTGGCTTAGGCTCAAGAAGTATGCCAACTTCCCAGAAGCACGTCAGGAGGAGGCTTCTCTCACCAATAGGTATGTGGGAGGGACCCCGAGTTTGCTGCCTCAAGGGGAATATACAGCGAGAAGCCCTAACTTGAAAGGAGGCCGGATTTCCTTGCAGTGGCTTGAATACAGGCTCGTCTTTCATCTCACAACATGAAGGGATGTCTGAATCCCCTGGGGAGACCTTAGAGAAAGCCCTAGGTCCCTGCCTCATTTTGACGGAATGCCTCACATCCCGCTGACACCTCGAGAGGCACGCGGAGTTCATTGCTTCAAAAGGTGACGATGCCTGACTCCTCTTGAATACTGATAGGAATCCCAAAATCCCTGTGGCTACTGGAAAGGGTCCTTGGGTGCCCTGCCTCACTTCGAGAAGCGTCACTTTTGCCCTGCCAAGCCTCGAAGAGATTCCTGAGGTGTCCCTCGTTACTAGACAGGAGTCCTGACGTCACTGAAGAAACTCGTGTTTTGAAGGGCCATCCCCGCCGTAAGTCGAGAACATACCCCAGGTCCCCGCCGCAACTCGAGAAAACCATGAGACTTCCCCCTAGAGGCGAGATGAGGCCCCATTCCCCTGCAGTGCATGCAGAGCTATTCCGTGATCCCATTCAAAGAAGTCAGGAGCTTCGACTTGCTTAATGGATCTCGAGACAGTCCCTAAGAACACTGTCACCAGTCTAGACGGACCCTGAGGTCACCCCAGCAACGCAAAGCAGCTCCATGTGCCCCAAATCAACTCGAGATGAGGCCCGATTCCCCTGCATTGACTCCAGAGCCATTCCCCGTTCCCCATTCAACACGACCGGTGGCTCGACTTCCTTCAGGCAACTCCAGAGATGCCCCGAGAACACTGTCCCAAGTCTAGAGGAACACCAACTTCAGCACAGCAACTCGAGGAATGCTCCGTGTACCCCAAATCGTCTCGAGATGAGAGCTGATTCCCTGGCTTAGGCTCAAGACGTATGCCAACTTCCCAGAAGCACCTCAGGAGGAGGCTTCTCTCAGCAATAGGTATGTGGGAGGGACCCCGAGTTTGCTGCCTCAAGGGGAATATACAGCGAGAAGCCCTAACTTGAAAGGAGGCCGGATTTCCTTGCAGTGGCTTGAATACAGGCTCGTCTTTCATCTCAAAACATGAAGGGATGTCTGAATCCCCTGTGGAGACCTTGGAGAAAGCCCTAGGTCCCTGCCTCATTTTGACGGAATGCCTCACATCCCGCTGACACCTCGAGAGGCACGCGGAGTTCATTGCTTCAAAAGGTGACGATGCCTGACACCTCTTGAATACTGATAGGAATCCCAAAATCCCTGTGGCTACTGGAAAGGGTCCTTGGGTGCCCTGCCTCACCTCGAGAAGCGTCCCTTTTGCCCTGCCAAGCCTCGAAGAGATTCCTGAGGTGTCCCTCGTTACTAGACAGGAGTCCTGACGTCACTGAAGAAACTCGTGTTTTGAAGGGCCATCTCCGCCGTAAGTCGAGAACATACCCCAGGTCCCCGCCGCAACTCGAGAAAAACCATGAGACTTCCCCCTAGAGGCGAGATGAGGCCCCATTCCCCTGCAGTGCATGCAGAGCTCTTCCGTGATCCCATTCAAAGAAGTCAGGAGCTTCGACTTGCTTAATGGATCTCGAGACAGTCCCCAAGAACACTGTCACCAGTCTAGACGGACCCTGAGGTCACCCCAGCAACGCAATGCAGCTCCATGTGCCCCAAATCAACTCGAGATGAGGCCCGATTCCCCTGCATTGACTCCAGAGCCATTCCCCTTTCCCCATACAACACGACCGGTGGCTCGACTTCCTTCAGGCAACTCCAGAGATGCCCCGAGAACACTGTCCCAAGTCTAGAGGAACACCAACTTCAACACAGCAACTCGAGGAATGCTCCGTGTACCCCAAATCGTCTCGAGATGAGAGCTGATTCCCTGGCTTAGGCTCAAGACGTATGCCAACTTCCCAGAAGCACGTCAGGAGGAGGCTTCTCTCACCAATAGGTATGTGGGAGGGACCCCGAGTTTGCTGCCTCAAGGGGAATATACAGCGAGAAGCCCTAACTTGAAAGGAGGCCGGATTTCCTTGCAGTGGATTTATTACAGGCTCGTCTTTCATCTCAAAACATGAAGGGATGTCTGAATCCCCTGTGGAGACCTTGGAGAAAGCCCTAGGTCCCTACCTCATTTTGACGGAATGCCTCACATCCCGCTGACACCTCGAGAGGCACGCGGAGTTCATTGCTTCAAAAGGTGACGATGCCTGACTCCTCTTGAATACTGATAGGAATCCCAAAATCCCTGTGGCTACTGGAAAGGGTCCTTGGGTGCCCTGCCTCACTTCGAGAAGCGTCACTTTTGCCCTGCCAAGCCTCGAAGAGATTCCTGAGGTGTCCCTCGTTACTAGACAGGAGTCCTGACGTCACTGAAGAAACTCGTGTTTTGAAGGGCCATCCCAGCCGTAAGTCGAGAACATACCCCAGGTCCCCGCCGCAACTCGAGAAAACCATGAGACTTCCCCCTAGAGGCGAGATGAGGCCCCATTCCCCTGCAGTGCATGCAGAGCTATTCCGTGATCCCATTCAAAGAAGTCAGGAGCTTCGACTTGCTTAATGGATCTCGAGACAGTCCCTAAGAACACTGTCACCAGTCTAGACGGACCCTGAGGTCACCCCAGCAACGCAAAGCAGCTCCATGTGCCCCAAATCAACTCGAGATGAGGCCCGATTCCACTGCATTGACTCCAGAGCCATTCCCCGTTCCCCATTCAACACGACCGGTGGCTCGACTTCCTTCAGGCAACTCCAGAGATGCCCCGAGAACACTGTCCCAAGTCTAGAGGAACACCAACTTCAGCACAGCAACTCGAGGAATGCTCCGTGTACCCCAAATCGTCTCGAGATGAGAGCTGATTCCCTGGCTTAGGCTCAAGACGTAGGCCAACTTCCCAGAAGCACCTCAGGAGGAGGCTTCTCTCAGCAATAGGTATGTGGGAGGGACCCCGAGTTTGCTGCCTCAAGGGGAATATACAGCGAGAAGCCCTAACTTGAAAGGAGGCCGGATTTCCTTGCAGTGGCTTGAATACAGGCTCGTCTTTCATCTCAAAACATGAAGGGATGTCTGAATCCCCTGTGGAGACCTTGGAGAAAGCCCTAGGTCCTTGCCTCATTTTGACGGAATGCCTCACATCCCGCCGACACCTCAAGAGGCACGCGGAGTTCATTGCTTCAAAAGGTGACGATGCCTGACACCTCTTGAATACTGATAGGAATCCCAAAATCCCTGTGGCTACTGGAAAGGGTCCTTGGGTGCCCTGTCTCACCTCGAGAAGCGTCCCTTTTGCCCTGCCAAGCCTCGAAGAGATTCCTGAGGTGTCCCTCGTTACTAGACAGGAGTCCTGACGTAACTGAAGAAACTCGTGTTTTGAAGGGCCATCTCCGCTGTAAGTCGAGAACATACCCCAGGTCCCCGCCGCAACTCGAGAAAAACCATGAGACTTCCCCCTAGAGGCGAGATGAGGCCCCATTCCCCTGCAGTGCATGCAGAGCTCTTCCGTGATCCATTCAAACAAGTCAGGAGCTTCGACTTGCTTAATGGATCTCAAGACAGTCCCCAAGAACACTGTCACCAGTCTAGACGGACCCTGAGGTCACCCCAGCAACGCAATGCAGCTCCATGTGCCCCAAATCAACTCGAGATGAGGCCCGATTCCCCTGCATTGACTCCAGAGCCATTCCCCTTTCCCCATACAACACGACCGGTGGCTCGACTTCCTTCAGGCAACTCCAGAGATGCCCCGAGAACACTGTCCCAAGTCTAGAGGAACACCAACTTCAACACAGCAACTCGAGGAATGCTCCGTGTACCCCAAATCGTCTCGAGATGAGAGCTGATTCCCTGGCTTAGGCTCAAGACCTATGCCAACTTCCCAGAAGCACCTCAGGAGGAGGCTTCTCTCACCAATAGGTATGTGGGAGGGACCCCGAGTTTGCTGCCTCAAGGGGAATATACAGCGAGAAGCCCTAACTTGAAAGGAGGCCGGATTTCCTTGCAGTGGCTTTATTACAGGCTCGTCTTTCATCTCAAAACATGAAGGGATGTCTGAATCCCCTGTGGAGACCTTGGAGAAAGCCCTAGGTCCCTACCTCATTTTGACGGAATGCCTCACATCCCGCTGACACCTCGAGAGGCACGCGGAGTTCATTGCTTCAAAAGGTGACGATGCCTGACTCCTCTTGAATACTGATAGGAATCCCAAAATCCCTGTGGCTACTGGAAAGGGTCCTAGGGTGCCCTGCCTCACCTCGAGAAGCGTCCCTTTTGCCCTGCCAAGCCTCGAAGAGATTCCTGAGGTGTCCCTCGTTACTAGACAGGAGTCCTGACATCACTGAAGAAACTCGTGTTTTGAAGGGCCATCCCCGCCGTAAGTCGAGAACATACCCCAGGTCCCCGCCGCAACTCGAGAAAAACCATGAGACTTCCCCCTAGAGGCGAGATGAGGCCCCATTCCCCTGCAGTGCATGCAGAGCTATTCCGTGATCCCATTCAAACAAGTCAGGAGCTTCGACTTGCTTAATGGATCTCGAGACAGTCCCCAAGAACACTGTCACCAGTCTAGACGGACCCTGAGGTCACCCCAGCAAGGCAAAGCAGCTCCATGTGCCCCAAATCAACTCGAGATGAGGCCCGATTCCCCTGCATTGACTCCAGAGCCATTCCCCGTTCCCCATTCAACACGACCGGTGGCTCGACTTCCTTCAGGCAACACCAGAAATGCCCCGAGAACACTGTCCCAAGTCTAGAGGAACACCAACTTCAGCACAGCAACTCGAGGAATGCTCCGTGTACCCCAAATCGTCTCGAGATGAGAACTGATTCCCTGGCTTAGACTCAAGACGTATGCCAACTTCCCAGAAGCACTTCAGGAGGAGGCTTCTCTCAGCAATAGGTATGAGTGAGGGACCCCGAGTTTGCTGCCTCAAAGGGAATATACAGCGAGAAGCCCTAACTTGAAAGGAGGCCGGATTTCCTTGCAGTGGCTTGAATACAGGCTCGTCTTTCATCTCACAACATGAAGGGATGTCTGAATCCCCTGTGGAGACCTTAGAGAAAGCCCTAGGTCCCTGCCTCATTTTGACGGAATGCCTCACATCCCGCTGACACCTCGAGAGGCACGCGGAGTTCATTGCTTCAAAAGGTGACGATGCCTGACTCCTCTTGAATACTGATAGGAATCCCAAAATCCCTGTGGCTACTGGAAAGGGTCCTTGGGTGCCCTGCCTCACCTCGAGAAGCGTCCCTTTTGCCCTGCCAAGCCTCGAAGAGATTCCTGAGGTGTCCCTCGTTACTAGACAGGAGTCCTGACGTCACTGAAGAAACTCGTGTTTTGAAGGGCCATCCCCGCCGTAAGTCGAGAACATACCCCAGGTCCCCGCCGCAACTCGAGAAAAACCATGAGACTTCCCCCTAGAGGCGAGATGAGGCCCCATTCCCCTGCAGTGCATGCAGAGCTATTCCGTGATCCCATTCAAACAAGTCAGGAGCTTCGACTTGCTTAATGGATCTCGAGACAGTCCCCAAGAACACTGTCACCAGTCTAGACGGACCCTGAGGTCACCCCAGCAAAGCAAAGCAGCTCCATGTGCCCCAAATCAACTCGAGATGAGGCCCGATTCCCCTGCATTGACTCCAGAGCCATTCCCCGTTCCCCATTCAACACGACCGGTGGCTCGACTTCCTTCAGGCAACTCCAGAGATGCCCCGAGAACACTGTCCCAAGTCTAGAGGAACACCAACTTCAGCACAGCAACTCGAGGAATGCTCCGTGTACCCCAAATCGTCTCGAGATGAGAGCTGATTCCCTGGCTTAGGCTCAAGACGTATGCCAACTTCCCAGAAGCACCTCAGGAGGAGGCTTCTCTCAGCAATAGCTATGTGGGAGGGACCCCGAGTTTGCTGCCTCAAGGGGAATATACAGCGAGAAGCCCTAACTTGAAAGGAGGCCGGATTTCCTTGCAGTGGCTTGAATACAGGCTCGTCTTTCATCTCAAAACATGAAGGGATGTCTGAATCCCCTGTGGAGACCTTGGAGAAAGCCCTAGGTCCCTGCCTCATTTTGACGGAATGCCTCACATCCCGCTGACACCTCGAGAGGCACGCGGAGTTCATTGCTTCAAAAGGTGACGATGCCTGACACCTCTTGAATACTGATAGGAATCCCAAAATCCCTGTGGCTACTGGAAAGGGTCCTTGGGTGCCCTGCCTCACCTCGAGAAGCGTCCCTTTTGCCCTGCCAAGCCTCGAAGAGATTCCTGAGGTGTCCCTCGTTACTAGACAGGAGTCCTGACGTCACTGAAGAAACTCGTGTTTTGAAGGGCCATCTCCGCCGTAAGTCGAGAACATACCCCAGGTCCCCGCCGCAACTCGAGAAAAACCATGAGACTTCCCCCTAGAGGCGAGATGAGGCCCCATTCCCCTGCAGTGCATGCAGAGCTCTTCCGTGATCCCATTCAAACAAGTCAGGAGCTTCGACTTGCTTAATGGATCTCGAGACAGTCCCCAAGAACACTGTCACCAGTCTAGACGGACCCTGAGGTCACCCCAGCAACGCAATGCAGCTCCATGTGCCCCAAATCAACTCGAGATGAGGCCCGATTCCCCTGCATTGACTCCAGAGCCATTCCCCTTTCCCCATACAACACGACCGGTGGCTCGACTTCCTTCAGGCAACTCCAGAGATGCCCCGAGAACACTGTCCCAAGTCTAGAGGAACACCAACTTCAACACAGCAACTCGAGGAATGCTCCGTGTACCCCAAATCGTCTCGAGATGAGAGCTGATTCCCTGGCTTAGGCTCAAGAAGTATGCCAACTTCCCAGAAGCACGTCAGGAGGAGGCTTCTCTCACCAATAGGTATGTGGGAGGGACCCCGAGTTTGCTGCCTCAAGGGGAATATACAGCGAGAAGCCCTAACTTGAAAGGAGGCCGGATTTCCTTGCAGTGGCTTTATTACAGGCTTGTCTTTCATCTCAAAACATGAAGGGATGTCTGAATACCCTGTGGAGACCTTGGAGAAAGCCCTAGGTCCCTACCTCATTTTGACGGAATGCCTCACATCCCGCTGACACCTCGAGAGGCACGCGGAGTTCATTGCTTCAAAAGGTGACGATGCCTGACTCCTCTTGAATACTGATAGGAATCCCAAAATCCCTGTGGCTACTGGAAAGGGTCCTTGGGTGCCCTGCCTCACTTCGAGAAGCGTCCCTTTTGCCCTGCCAAGCCTCGAAGAGATTCCTGAGGTGTCCCTCGTTACTAGACAGGAGTCCTGACATCACTGAAGAAACTCGTGTTTTGAAGGGCCATCCCCGCCGTAAGTCGAGAACATACCCCAGGTCCCCGCCGCAACTCGAGAAAAACCATGAGACTTCCCCCTAGAGGCGAGATGAGGCCCCATTCCCCTGCAGTGCATGCAGAGCTATTTCGTGATCCCATTCAAACAAGTCAGGAGCTTCGACTTGCTTAATGGATCTCGAGAGAGTCCCCAAGAACACTGTCACCAGTCTAGACGGACCCTGAGGTCACCCCAGCAAGGCAAAGCAGCTCCATGTGCCCCAAATCAACTCGAGATGAGGCCCGATTCCCCTGCATTGACTCCAGAGCCATTCCCCGTTCCCCATTCAGCACGACCGGTGGCTCGACTTCCTTCAGGCAACTCCAGAGATGCCCCGAGAACACTGTCCCAAGTCTAGAGGAACACCAACTTCAGCACAGCAACTCGAGGAATGCTCCGTGTACCCCAAATCGTCTCGAGATGAGAGCTGATTCCCTGGCTTAGGCTCAAGACGTATGTCAACTTCCCAGAAGCACCTCAGGAGGAGGCTTCTCTCAGCAATAGGTATGTGGGAAGGACCCCGAGTTTGCTGCCTCAAGGGGAATATACAGCGAGAAGCCCTAACTTGAAAGGAGGCCGGATTTCCTTGCAGTGGCTTGAATACAGGCTCGTCTTTCATCTCACAACATGAAGGGATGTCTGAATCCCCTGGGGAGACCTTAGAGAAAGCCCTAGGTCCCTGCCTCATTTTGACGGAATGCCTCACATCCCGCTGACACCTCGAGAGGCACGCGGAGTTCATTGCTTCAAAAGGTGACGATGCCTGACTCCTCTTGAATACTGATAGGAATCCCAAAATCCCTGTGGCTACTGGAAAGGGTCCTTGGGTGCCCTGCCTCACTTCGAGAAGCGTCACTTTTGCCCTGCCAAGCCTCGAAGAGATTCCTGAGGTGTCCCTCGTTACTAGACAGGAGTCCTGACGTCACTGAAGAAACTCGTGTTTTGAAGGGCCATCCCCGCCGTAAGTCGAGAACATACCCCAGGTCCCCGCCGCAACTCGAGAAAACCATGAGACTTCCCCCTAGAGGCGAGATGAGGCCCCATTCCCCTGCAGTGCATGCAGAGCTATTCCGTGATCCCATTCAAAGAAGTCAGGAGCTTCGACTTGCTTCATGGATCTCGAGACAGTCCCTAAGAACACTGTCACCAGTCTAGACGGACCCTGAGGTCACCCCAGCAACGCAAAGCAGCTCCATGTGCCCCAAATCAACTCGAGATGAGGCCCGATTCCCCTGCATTGACTCCAGAGCCATTCCCCGTTCCCCATTCAACACGACCGGTGGCTCGACTTCCTTCAGGCAACTCCAGAGATGCCCCGAGAACACTGTCCCAAGTCTAGAGGAACACCAACTTCAGCACAGCAACTCGAGGAATGCTCCGTGTACCCCAAATCGTCTCGAGATGAGAGCTGATTCCCTGGCTTAGGCTCAAGACGTATGCCAACTTCCCAGAAGCACCTCAGGAGGAGGCTTCTCTCAGCAATAGGTATGTGGGAGGGACCCCGAGTTTGCTGCCTCAAGGGGAATATACAGCGAGAAGCCCTAACTTGAAAGGAGGCCGGATTTCCTTGCAGTGGCTTGAATACAGGCTCGTCTTTCATCTCAAAACATGAAGGGATGTCTGAATCCCCTGTGGAGACCTTGGAGAAAGCCCTAGGTCCCTGCCTCATTTTGACGGAATGCCTCACATCCCGCTGACACCTCGAGAGGCACGCGGAGTTCATTGCTTCAAAAGGTGACGATGCCTGACACCTCTTGAATACTGATAGGAATCCCAAAATCCCTGTGGCTACTGGAAAGGGTCCTTGGGTGCCCTGCCTCACCTCGAGAAGCGTCCCTTTTGCCCTGCCAAGCCTCGAAGAGATTCCTGAGGTGTCCCTCGTTACTAGACAGGAGTCCTGACGTCACTGAAGAAACTCGTGTTTTGAAGGGCCATCTCCGCCGTAAGTCGAGAACATACCCCAGGTCCCCGCCGCAACTCGAGAAAAACCATGAGACTTCCCCCTAGAGGCGAGATGAGGCCCCATTCCCCTGCAGTGCATGCAGAGCTCTTCCGTGATCCCATTCAAACAAGTCAGGAGCTTCGACTTGCTTAATGGATCTCGAGACAGTCCCCAAGAACACTGTCACCAGTCTAGACGGACCCTGAGGTCACCCCAGCAACGCAAAGCAGCTCCATGTGCCCCAAATCAACTCGAGATGAGGCCCGATTCCCCTGCATTGACTCCAGAGCCATTCCCCTTTCCCCATACAACACGACCGGTGGCTCGACTTCCTTCAGGCAACTCCAGAGATGCCCCGAGAACACTGTCCCAAGTCTAGAGGAACACCAACTTCAACACAGCAACTCGAGGAATGCTCCGTGTACCCCAAATCGTCTCGAGATGAGAGCTGATTCCCTGGCTTAGGCTCAAGACGTATGCCAACTTCCCAGAAGCACGTCAGGAGGAGGCTTCTCTCACCAATAGGTATGTGGGAGGGACCCCGAGTTTGCTGCCTCAAGGGGAATATACAGCGAGACGCCCTAACTTGAAAGGAGGCCGGATTTCCTTGCAGTGGATTTATTACAGGCTCGTCTTTCATCTCAAAACATGAAGGGATGTCTGAATCCCCTGTGGAGACCTTGGAGAAAGCCCTAGGTCCCTACCTCATTTTGACGGAATGCCTCACATCCCGCTGACACCTCGAGAGGCACGCGGAGTTCATTGCTTCAAAAGGTGACGATGCCTGACTCCTCTTGAATACTGATAGGAATCCCAAAATCCCTGTGGCTACTGGAAAGGGTCCTTGGGTGCCCTGCCTCACCTCGAGAAGCGTCCCTTTTGCCCTGCCAAGCCTCGAAGAGATTCCTGAGGTGTCCCTCGTTACTAGACAGGAGTCCTGACATCACTGAAGAAACTCGTGTTTTGAAGGGCCATCCCCGCCGTAAGTCGAGAACATACCCCAGGTCCCCGCCGCAACTCGAGAAAAACCATGAGACTTCCCCCTAGAGGCGAGATGAGGCCCCATTCCCCTGCAGTGCATGCAGAGCTATTTCGTGATCCCATTCAAACAAGTCAGGAGCTTCGACTTGCTTAATGGATCTCGAGAGAGTCCCCAAGAACACTGTCACCAGTCTAGACGGACCCTGAGGTCACCCCAGCAAGGCAAAGCAGCTCCATGTGCCCCAAATCAACTCGAGATGAGGCCCGATTCCCCTGCATTGACTCCAGAGCCATTCCCCGTTCCCCATTCAGCACGACCGGTGGCTCGACTTCCTTCAGGCAACTCCAGAGATGCCCCGAGAACACTGTCCCAAGTCTAGAGGAACACCAACTTCAGCACAGCAACTCGAGGAATGCTCCGTGTACCCCAAATCGTCTCGAGATGAGAGCTGATTCCCTGGCTTAGGCTCAAGACGTATGTCAACTTCCCAGAAGCACCTCAGGAGGAGGCTTCTCTCAGCAATAGGTATGTGGGAAGGACCCCGAGTTTGCTGCCTCAAGGGGAATATACAGCGAGAAGCCCTAACTTGAAAGGAGGCCGGATTTCCTTGCAGTGGCTTGAATACAGGCTCGTCTTTCATCTCACAACATGAAGGGATGTCTGAATCCCCTGTGGAGACCTTAGAGAAAGCCCTAGGTCCTTGCCTCATTTTGACGGAATGCCTCACATCCCGCTGACACCTCGAGAGGCACGTGGAGTTCATTGCTTCAAAAGGTGACGATGCCTGACTCCTCTTGAATACTGATAGGAATCCCAAAATCCCTGTGGCTATTGGAAAGGGTCCTTGGGTGCCCTGCCTCACCTCGAGAAGCGTCCTTTTGCCCTGCCAAGCCTCGAAGAGATTCCTGAGGTGTCCCTCGTTACTAGACAGGAGTCCTGACGTCACTGAAGAAACTCGTGTTTTGAAGGGCCATCCCCGCCGTAAGTCGAGAACATACCCCAGGTCCCCGCCGCAACTCGAGAAAAACCATGAGACTTCCCCCTAGAGGCGAGATGAGGCCCCATTCCCCTGCAGTGCATGCAGAGCTATTCCGTGATCCCATTCAAACAAGTCAGGAGCTTCGACTTGCTTCATGGATCTCGAGACAGTCCCCAAGAACACTGTCACCAGTCTAGACGGACCCTGAGGTCACCCCAGCAACGCAAAGCAGCTCCATGTGCCCCAAATCAACTCGCGATGAGGCCCGATTCCCCTGCATTGACTCCAGAGCCATTCCCCGTTCCCCATTCAACACGACCGGTGGCTCGACTTCCTTCAGGCAACTCCAGAGTTGCCCCAGGAACACTGTCCCAAGTCTAGAGGAACACCAACTTCAGCACAGCAACTCGAGGAATGCTCCGTGTACCCCAAATCGTCTCGAGATGAGAGCTGATTCCCTGGCTTAGTCTCAAGACGTATGCCAACTTCCCAGAAGCACCTCAGGAGGAGGCTTCTCTCAGCAATAGGTATGTGGGAGGGACCCCGAGTTTGCTGCCTCAAGGGGAATATACAGTGAGAAGCCCTAACTTGAAAGGAGGCCGGATTTCCTTGCAGTGGCTTGAATACAGGCTCGTCTTTCATCTCACAACATGAAGGGATGTCTGAATCCCCTGTGGAGACCTTAGAGAAAGCCCTAGGTCCCTGCCTCATTTTGACGGAATGCCTCACATCCCGCTGACACCTCGAGAGGCACGCGGAGTTCATTGCTTCAAAAGGTGACGATGCCTGACTCCTCTTGAATACTGATAGGAATCCCAAAATCCCTGTGGCTACTGGAAAGGGTCCTTGGGTGCCCTGCCTCACCTCGAGAAGCGTCCCTTTTGCCCTGCCAAGCCTCGAAGAGATTCCTGAGGTGTCCCTCGTTACTAGACAGGAGTCCTGACGTCACTGAAGAAACTCGTGTTTGGAAGGGCCATCCCCGCCGTAAGTCGAGAACATACCCCAGGTCCCCGCCGCAACTCGAGAAAAACCATGAGACTTCCCCCTAGAGGCGAGATGAGGCCCCATTCCCCTGCAGTGCATGCAGAGCTATTCCGTGATCCCATTCAAACAAGTCAGGAGCTTCGACTTGCTTAATGGATCTCGAGAGAGTCGCCAAGAACACTGTCACCAGTCTAGACGGACCCTGAGGTCACACCAGCAACGCAAAGCAGCTCCATGTGCCCCAAATCAACTCGAGATGAGGCCCGATTCCCCTGCATTGACTCCAGAGCCATTCCCCGTTCCCCATTCAACACGACCGGTGGCTCGACTTCCTTCAGGCAACTCCAGAGATGCCCCGAGAACACTGTCCCAAGTCTAGAGGAACACCAACTTCAGCACAGCAACTCGAGGAATGCTCCGTGTACCCCAAATCGTCTCGAGATGAGAGCTGATTCCCTGGCTTAGGCTCAAGACGAATGACAACTTCCCAGAAGCACCTCAGGAGGAGGCTTCTCTCAGCAATAGGTATGTGGGAGGGACCCCGAGTTTGCTGCCTCAAGGGGAATATACAGCGAGAAGCCCTAACTTGAAAGGAGGCCGGATTTCCTTGCAGTGGCTTGAATACAGGCTCGTCTTTCATCTCACAACATGAAGGGATGTCTGAATCCCCTGTGGAGACCTTAGAGAAAGCCCTAGGTCCCTGCCTCATTTTGACGGAATGCCTCACATCCCGCTGACACCTCGAGAGGCACGCGGAGTTCATTGCTTCAAAAGGTGACGATGCCTGACTCCTCTTGAATACTGATAGGAATCCCAAAATCCCTGTGGCTACTGGAAAGGGTCCTTGGGTGCCCTGCCTCACCTCGAGAAGCGTCCCTTTTGCCCTGCCAAGCCTCGAAGAGATTCCTGAGGTGTCCCTCGTTACTACACAGGAGTCTTGACGTCACTGAAGAAACTCGTGTTTTGAAGTGCCATCCCCGCCGTAAGTCGAGAACATACCCCAGGTCCCCGCCGCAACTCGAGAAAAACCATGAGACTTCCCCCTAGAGGCGAGATGAGGCCCCATTCCCCTGCAGTGCATGCAGAGCTATTCCGTGATCCCATTCAAACAAGTCAGGAGCTTCGACTTGCTTCATGGATCTCGAGACAGTCCCCAAGAACACTGTCACCAGTCTAGACGGACCCTGAGGTCACCCCAGCAACGCAAAGCAGCTCCATGTGCCCCAAATCAACTCGAGATGAGGCCCGATTCCCCTGCATTGACTCCAGAGCCAATCCCCGTTCCCCATTCAACACGACCGGTGGCTCGACTTCCTTCAGGCAACTCCAGAGATGCCCCGAGAACACTGTCCCAAGTCTAGAGGAACACCAACTTCAACACAGCAACTCGAGGAATGCTCCGTGTACCCCAAATCGTCTCGAGATGAGAGCTGATTCCCTGGCTTAGGCTCAAGACGTATGCCAACTTCCCAGAAGCACCTCAGGGGGAGGCTTCTCTCAGCAATAGGTATATGGGAGGGACCCCGAGTTTGCTGCCTCAAGGGGAATATACAGCGAGAAGCCCTAACTTGAAAGGAGGCGGGATTTCCTTGCAGTGGCTTGATTACAGGCTCGTCTTTCATCTCACAACATGAAGGGATGTCTGAATCCCCTGTGGAGACCTTAGAGAAAGCCCTAGGTCCCTGCCTCATTTTGACGGAATGCCTCACGTCGCGCTGACACCTCGAGAGGCACGCGGAGTTCATTGCTTCAAAAGGTGACGATGCCTGACTCCTCTTGAATACTGATAGGAATCCCAAAATCCCTGTGGCTACTGGAAAGGGTCCTTGGGTGCCCTGCCTCACCTCGAGAAGCGTCCCTTTTGCCCTGCCAAGCCTCGAAGAGATTCCTGAGGTGTCCCTCGTTACTACATAGGAGTCCTGACGTCACTGAAGAAACTCGTGTTTTGAAGGGCCATCCCCGCTGTAAGTCGAGAACATAACCCAGGTCCCCGCCGCAACTCGAGAAAAACCATGAGATTTCCCCCTAGAGGCGAGATGAGGCCCCATTCCCCTGCAGTGCATGCAGAGCTATTCCGTGATCCCATTCAAACAAGTCAGGAGCTTCGACTTGCTTAATGGATCTCGAGAGAGTCCCCAAGAACACTGTCACCAGTCTAGACGGACCCTGAGGTCACCCCAGCAACGCAAAGCAGCTCCATGTGCCCCAAATCAACTCGAGATGAGGCCCGATTCCCCTGCATTGACTCCAGAGCCATTCCCCGTTCCCCATTCAACACGACCGGTGGCTCGACTTCCTTCAGGCAACTCCAGAGATGCCCCGAGAACACTGTCCCAAGTCTAGAGGAACACCAACTTCAGCACAGCAACTCGAGGAATGCTCCGTGTACCCCAAATCGTCTCGAGATGAGAGCTGATTCCCTGGCTTAGGCTCAAGACGTATGCCAACTTCCCAGAAGCACCTCAGGAGGAGGCTTCTCTCAGCAATAGGTATGTGGGAGGGACCCCGAGTTTGCTGCCTCAAGGGGAATATACAGCGAGAAGCCCTAACTTGAAAGGAGGCCGGATTTCCTTGCAGTGGCTTGAATACAGGCTCGTCTTTCATCTCACAACATGAAGGGATGTCTGAATCCCCTGTGGAGACCTTAGAGAAAGCCCTAGGTCCCTGCCTCATTTTGACGGAATGCCTCACATCCCGCTGACACCTCGAGAGGCACGCGGAGTTCATTGCTTCAAAAGGTGACGATGCCTGACTCCTCTTGAATACTGATAGGAATCCCAAAATCCCTGTGGCTACTGGAAAGGGTCCTTGGGTGCCCTGCCTCACCTCGAGAAGCGTCCCTTTTGCCCTGCCAAGCCTCGAAGAGATTCCTGAGGTGTCCCTCGTTACTAGACAGGAGTCCTGACGTCACTGAAGAAACTCGTGTTTTGAAGGGCCATCCCCGCCGTAAGTCGAGAACATACCCCAGGTCCCCGCCGCAACTCGAGAAAAACCATGAGACTTCCCCCTAGAGGCGAGATGAGGCCCCATTCCCCTGCAGTGCATGCAGAGCTATTCCGTGATCCCATTCAAACAAGTCAGGAGCTTCGACTTGCTTCATGGATCTCGAGACAGTCCCCAAGAACACTGTCACCAGTCTAGACGGAACCTGAGGTCACCCCAGCAACGCAAAGCAGCTCCATGTGCCCCAAATCAACTCGAGATGAGGCCCGATTCCCCTGCATTGACTCCAGAGCCATTCCCCGTTCCCCATTCAACACGACCGGTGGCTCGACTTCCTTCAGGCAACTCCAGAGTTGCCCCAGGAACACTGTCCCAAGTCTAGAGGAACACCAACTTCAGCACAGCAACTCGAGGAATGCTCCGTGTACCCCAAATCGTCTCGAGATGAGAGCTGATTCCCTGGCTTAGTCTCAAGACGTATGCCAACTTCCCAGAAGCACCTCAGGAGGAGGCTTCTCTCAGCAATAGGTATGTGGGAGGGACCCCGAGTTTGCTGCCTCAAGGGGAATATACAGTGAGAAGCCCTAACTTGAAAGGAGGCCGGATTTCCTTGCAGTGGCTTGAATACAGGCTCGTCTTTCATCTCACAACATGAAGGGATGTTTGAATCCCCTGTGGAGACCTTAGAGAAAGCCCTAGGTCCCTGCCTCATTTTGACGGAATGCCTCACATCCCGCTGACACCTCGAGAGGCACGCGGAGTTCATTGCTTCAAAAGGTGACGATGCCTGACTCCTCTTGAATACTGATAGGAATCCCAAAATCCCTGTGGCTACTGGAAAGGGTCCTTGGGTGCCCTGCCTCACCTCGAGAAGCGTCCCTTTTGCCCTGCCAAGCCTCGAAGAGATTCCTGAGGTGTCCCTCGTTACTAGACAGGAGTCCTGACGTCACTGAAGAAACTCGTGTTTGGAAGGGCCATCCCCGCCGTAAGTCGAGAACATACCCCAGGTCCCCGCCGCAACTCGAGAAAAACCATGAGACTTCCCCCTAGAGGCGAGATGAGGCCCCATTCCCCTGCAGTGCATGCAGAGCTATTCCGTGATCCCATTCAAACAAGTCAGGAGCTTCGACTTGCTTAATGGATCTCGAGACAGTCTCCAAGAACACTGTCACCAGTCTAGACGGACCCTGAGGTCACCCCAGCAACGCAAAGCAGCTCCATGTGCCCCAAATCAACTCGAGATGAGGCCCGATTCCCCTGCATTGACTCCAGAGCCATTCCCCGTTCCCCATTCAACACGACCGGTGGCTCGACTTCCTTCAGGCAACTCCAGAGATGCCCCGAGAACACTGTCCCAAGTCTAGAGGAACACCAACTTCAGCACAGCAACTCGAGGAATGCTCCGTGTACCCCAAATCGTCTCGAGATGAGAGCTGATTCCCTGGCTTAGGCTCAAGACGAATGACAACTTCCCAGAAGCACCTCAGGAGGAGGCTTCTCTCAGCAATAGGTATGTGGGAGGGACCCCGAGTTTGCTGCCTCAAGGGGAATATACAGCGAGAAGCCCTAACTTGAAAGGAGGCCGGATTTCCTTGCAGTGGCTTGAATACAGGCTCGTCTTTCATCTCACAACATGAAGGGATGTCTGAATCCCCTGTGGAGACCTTAGAGAAAGCCCTAGGTCCCTGCCTCATTTTGACGGAATGCCTCACATCCCGCTGACACCTCGAGAGGCACGCGGAGTTCATTGCTTCAAAAGGTGACGATGCCTGACTCCTCTTGAATACTGATAGGAATCCCAAAATCCCTGTGGCTACTGGAAAGGGTCCTTGGGTGCCCTGCCTCACCTCGAGAAGCGTCCCTTTTGCCCTGCCAAGCCTCGAAGAGATTCCTGAGGTGTCCCTCGTTACTACACAGGAGTCTTGACGTCACTGAAGAAACTCGTGTTTTGAAGTGCCATCCCCGCCGTAAGTCGAGAACATACCCCAGGTCCCCGCCGCAACTCGAGAAAAACCATGAGACTTCCCCCTAGAGGCGAGATGAGGCCCCATTCCCCTGCAGTGCATGCAGAGCTATTCCGTGATCCCATTCAAACAAGTCAGGAGCTTCGACTTGCTTCATGGATCTCGAGACAGTCCCCAAGAACACTGTCACCAGTCTAGACGGACCCTGAGGTCACCCCAGCAACGCAAAGCAGCTCCATGTGCCCCAAATCAACTCGAGATGAGGCCCGATTCCCCTGCATTGACTCCAGAGCCAATCCCCGTTCCCCATTCAACACGACCGGTGGCTCGACTTCCTTCAGGCAACTCCAGAGATGCCCCGAGAACACTGTCCCAAGTCTAGAGGAACACCAACTTCAACACAGCAACTCGAGGAATGCTCCGTGTACCCCAAATCGTCTCGAGATGAGAGCTGATTCCCTGGCTTAGGCTCAAGACGTATGCCAACTTCCCAGAAGCACCTCAGGGGGAGGCTTCTCTCAGCAATAGGTATATGGGAGGGACCCCGAGTTTGCTGCCTCAAGGGGAATATACAGCGAGAAGCCCTAACTTGAAAGGAGGCGGGATTTCCTTGCAGTGGCTTGATTACAGGCTCGTCTTTCATCTCACAACATGAAGGGATGTCTGAATCCCCTGTGGAGACCTTAGAGAAAGCCCTAGGTCCCTGCCTCATTTTGACGGAATGCCTCACGTCGCGCTGACACCTCGAGAGGCACGCGGAGTTCATTGCTTAAAAAGGTGACGATGCCTGACTCCTCTTGAATACTGATAGGAATCCCAAAATCCCTGTGGCTACTGGAAAGGGTCCTTGGGTGCCCTGCCTCACCTCGAGAAGCGTCCCTTTTGCCCTGCCAAGCCTCGAAGAGATTCCTGAGGTGTCCCTCGTTACTACATAGGAGTCCTGACGTCACTGAAGAAACTCGTGTTTTGAAGGGCCATCCCCGCTGTAAGTCGAGAACATACCCCAGGTCCCCGCCGCAACTCGAGAAAAACCATGAGACTTCCCCCTAGAGGCGAGATGAGGCCCCATTCCCCTGCAGTGCATGCAGAGCTATTCCGTGATCCCATTCAAACAAGTCAGGAGCTTCGACTTGCTTAATGGATCTCGAGAGAGTCCCCAAGAACACTGTCACCAGTCTAGACGGACCCTGAGGTCACCCCAGCAACGCAAAGCAGCTCCATGTGCCCCAAATCAACTCGAGATGAGGCCCGATTCCCCTGCATTGACTCCAGAGCCATTCCCCGTTCCCCATTCAACACGACCGGTGGCTCGACTTCCTTCAGGCAACTCCAGAGATGCCCCGAGAACACTGTCCCAAGTCTAGAGGAACACCAACTTCAGCACAGCAACTCGAGGAATGCTCCGTGTACCCCAAATCGTCTCGAGATGAGAGCTGATTCCCTGGCTTAGGCTCAAGACGAATGACAACTTCCCAGAAGCACCTCAGGAGGAGGCTTCTCTCAGCAATAGGTATGTGGGAGGGACCCCGAGTTTGCTGCCTCAAGGGGAATATACAGCGAGAAGCCCTAACTTGAAAGGAGGCCGGATTTCCTTGCAGTGGCTTGAATACAGGCTCGTCTTTCATCTCACAACATGAAGGGATGTCTGAATCCCCTGTGGAGACCTTAGAGAAAGCCCTAGGTCCCTGCCTCATTTTGACGGAATGCCTCACATCCCGCTGACACCTCGAGAGGCACGCGGAGTTCATTGCTTCAAAAGGTGACGATGCCTGACTCCTCTTGAATACTGATAGGAATCCCAAAATCCCTGTGGCTACTGGAAAGGGTCCTTGGGTGCCCTGCCTCACCTCGAGAAGCGTCCCTTTTGCCCTGCCAAGCCTCGAAGAGATTCCTGAGGTGTCCCTCGTTACTACACAGGAGTCTTGACGTCACTGAAGAAACTCGTGTTTTGAAGTGCCATCCCCGCCGTAAGTCGAGAACATACCCCAGGTCCCCGCCGCAACTCGAGAAAAACCATGAGACTTCCCCCTAGAGGCGAGATGAGGCCCCATTCCCCTGCAGTGCATGCAGAGCTATTCCGTGATCCCATTCAAACAAGTCAGGAGCTTCGACTTGCTTCATGGATCTCGAGACAGTCCCCAAGAACACTGTCACCAGTCTAGACGGACCCTGAGGTCACCCCAGCAACGCAAAGCAGCTCCATGTGCCCCAAATCAACTCGAGATGAGGCCCGATTCCCCTGCATTGACTCCAGAGCCAATCCCCGTTCCCCATTCAACACGACCGGTGGCTCGACTTCCTTCAGGCAACTCCAGAGATGCCCCGAGAACACTGTCCCAAGTCTAGAGGAACACCAACTTCAACACAGCAACTCGAGGAATGCTCCGTGTACCCCAAATCGTCTCGAGATGAGAGCTGATTCCCTGGCTTAGGCTCAAGACGTATGCCAACTTCCCAGAAGCACCTCAGGGGGAGGCTTCTCTCAGCAATAGGTATATGGGAGGGACCCTGAGTTTGCTGCCTCAAGGGGAATATACAGCGAGAAGCCCTAACTTGAAAGGAGGCGGGATTTCCTTGCAGTGGCTTGATTACAGGCTCGTCTTTCATCTCACAACATGAAGGGATGTCTGAATCCCCTGTGGAGACCTTAGAGAAAGCCCTAGGTCCCTGCCTCATTTTGACGGAATGCCTCACGTCGCGCTGACACCTCGAGAGGCACGCGGAGTTCATTGCTTAAAAAGGTGACGATGCCTGACTCCTCTTGAATACTGATAGGAATCCCAAAATCCCTGTGGCTACTGGAAAGGGTCCTTGGGTGCCCTGCCTCACCTCGAGAAGCGTCCCTTTTGCCCTGCCAAGCCTCGAAGAGATTCCTGAGGTGTCCCTCGTTACTACATAGGAGTCCTGACGTCACTGAAGAAACTCGTGTTTTGAAGGGCCATCCCCGCTGTAAGTCGAGAACATACCCCAGGTCCCCGCCGCAACTCGAGAAAAACCATGAGACTTCCCCCTAGAGGCGAGATGAGGCCCCATTCCCCTGCAGTGCATGCAGAGCTATTCCGTGATCCCATTCAAACAAGTCAGGAGCTTCGACTTGCTTAATGGATCTCGAGAGAGTCCCCAAGAACACTGTCACCAGTCTAGACGGACCCTGAGGTCACCCCAGCAACGCAAAGCAGCTCCATGTGCCCCAAATCAACTCGAGATGAGGCCCGATTCCCCTGCATTGACTCCAGAGCCATTCCCCGTTCCCCATTCAACACGACCGGTGGCTCGACTTCCTTCAGGCAACTCCAGAGATGCCCCGAGAACACTGTCCCAAGACTAGAGGAACACCAACTTCAGCACAGCAACTCGAGGAATGCTCCGTGTACCCCAAATCGTCTCGAGATGAGAGCTGATTCCCTGGCTTAGGCTCAAGACGAATGACAACTTCCCAGAAGCACCTCAGGAGGAGGCTTCTCTCAGCAATAGGTATGTGGGAGGGACCCCGAGTTTGCTGCCTCAAGGGGAATATACAGCGAGAAGCCCTAACTTGAAAGGAGGCCGGATTTCCTTGCAGTGGCTTGAATACAGGCTCGTCTTTCATCTCACAACATGAAGGGATGTCTGAATCCCCTGTGGAGACCTTAGAGAAAGCCCTAGGTCCCTGCCTCATTTTGACGGAATGCCTCACATCCCGCTGACACCTCGAGAGGCACGCGGAGTTCATTGCTTCAAAAGGTGACGATGCCTGACTCCTCTTGAATACTGATAGGAATCCCAAAATCCCTGTGGCTACTGGAAAGGGTCCTTGGGTGCCCTGCCTCACCTCGAGAAGCGTCCCTTTTGCCCTGCCAAGCCTCGAAGAGATTCCTGAGGTGTCCCTCGTTACTACACAGGAGTCTTGACGTCACTGAAGAAACTCGTGTTTTGAAGTGCCATCCCCGCCGTAAGTCGAGAACATACCCCAGGTCCCCGCCGCAACTCGAGAAAAACCATGAGACTTCCCCCTAGAGGCGAGATGAGGCCCCATTCCCCTGCAGTGCATGCAGAGCTATTCCGTGATCCCATTCAAACAAGTCAGGAGCTTCGACTTGCTTCATGGATCTCGAGACAGTCCCCAAGAACACTGTCACCAGTCTAGACGGACCCTGAGGTCACCCCAGCAACGCAAAGCAGCTCCATGTGCCCCAAATCAACTCGAGATGAGGCCCGATTCCCCTGCATTGACTCCAGAGCCAATCCCCGTTCCCCATTCAACACGACCGGTGGCTCGACTTCCTTCAGGCAACTCCAGAGATGCCCCGAGAACACTGTCCCAAGTCTAGAGGAACACCAACTTCAACACAGCAACTCGAGGAATGCTCCGTGTACCCCAAATCGTCTCGAGATGAGAGCTGATTCCCTGGCTTAGGCTCAAGACGTATGCCAACTTCCCAGAAGCACCTCAGGGGGAGGCTTCTCTCAGCAATAGGTATATGGGAGGGACCCCGAGTTTGCTGCCTCAAGGGGAATATACAGCGAGAAGCCCTAACTTGAAAGGAGGCGGGATTTCCTTGCAGTGGCTTGATTACAGGCTCGTCTTTCATCTCACAACATGAAGGGATGTCTGAATCCCCTGTGGAGACCTTAGAGAAAGCCCTAGGTCCCTGCCTCATTTTGACGGAATGCCTCACGTCGCGCTGACACCTCGAGAGGCACGCGGAGTTCATTGCTTAAAAAGGTGACGATGCCTGACTCCTCTTGAATACTGATAGGAATCCCAAAATCCCTGTGGCTACTGGAAAGGGTCCTTGGGTGCCCTGCCTCACCTCGAGAAGCGTCCCTTTTGCCCTGCCAAGCCTCGAAGAGATTCCTGAGGTGTCCCTCGTTACTACATAGGAGTCCTGACGTCACTGAAGAAACTCGTGTTTTGAAGGGCCATCCCCGCTGTAAGTCGAGAACATAACCCAGGTCCCCGCCGCAACTCGAGAAAAACCATGAGACTTCCCCCTAGAGGCGAGATGAGGCCCCATTCCCCTGCAGTGCATGCAGAGCTATTCCGTGATCCCATTCAAACAAGTCAGGAGCTTCGACTTGCTTAATGGATCTCGAGAGAGTCCCCAAGAACACTGTCACCAGTCTAGACGGACCCTGAGGTCACCCCAGCAACGCAAAGCAGCTCCATGTGCCCCAAATCAACTCGAGATGAGGCCCGATTCCCCTGCATTGACTCCAGAGCCATTCCCCGTTCCCCATTCAACACGACCGGTGGCTCGACTTCCTTCAGGCAACTCCAGAGATGCCCCGAGAACACTGTCCCAAGTCTAGAGGAACACCAACTTCAGCACAGCAACTCGAGGAATGCTCCGTGTACCCCAAATCGTCTCGAGATGAGAGCTGATTCCCTGGCTTAGGCTCAAGACGTATGCCAACTTCCCAGAAGCACCTCAGGAGGAGGCTTCTCTCAGCAATAGGTATGTGGGAGGGACCCCGAGTTTGCTGCCTCAAGGGGAATATACAGCGAGAAGCCCTAACTTGAAAGGAGGCCGGATTTCCTTGCAGTGGCTTGAATACAGGCTCGTCTTTCATCTCACAACATGAAGGGATGTCTGAATCCCCTGTGGAGAACTTAGAGAAAGCCCTAGGTCCCTGCCTCATTTTGACGGAATGCCTCACATCCCGCTGACACCTCGAGAGGCACGCGGAGTTCATTGCTTCAAAAGGTGACGATGCCTGACTCCTCTTGAATACTGATAGGAATCCCAAAATCCCTGTGGCTACTGGAAAGGGTCCTTGGGTGCCCTGCCTCACCTCGAGAAGCGTCCCTTTTGCCCTGCCAAGCCTCGAAGAGATTCCTGAGGTGTCCCTCGTTACTAGACAGGAGTCCTGACGTCACTGAAGAAACTCGTGTTTTGAAGGGCCATCCCCGCCGTAAGTCGAGAACATACCCCAGGTCCCCGCCGCAACTCGAGAAAAACCATGAGACTTCCCCCTAGAGGCGAGATGAGGCCCCATTCCCCTGCAGTGCATGCAGAGCTATTCCGTGATCCCATTCAAACAAGTCAGGAGCTTCGACTTGCTTCATGGATCTCGAGACAGTCCCCAAGAACACTGTCACCAGTCTAGACGGAACCTGAGGTCACCCCAGCAACGCAAAGCAGCTCCATGTGCCCCAAATCAACTCGAGATGAGGCCCGATTCCCCTGCATTGACTCCAGAGCCATTCCCCGTTCCCCATTCAACACGACCGGTGGCTCGACTTCCTTCAGGCAACTCCAGAGTTGCCCCAGGAACACTGTCCCAAGTCTAGAGGAACACCAACTTCAGCACAGCAACTCGAGGAATGCTCCGTGTACCCCAAATCGTCTCGAGATGAGAGCTGATTCCCTGGCTTAGTCTCAAGACGTATGCCAACTTCCCAGAAGCACCTCAGGAGGAGGCTTCTCTCAGCAATAGGTATGTGGGAGGGACCCCGAGTTTGCTGCCTCAAGGGGAATATACAGTGAGAAGCCCTAACTTGAAAGGAGGCCGGATTTCCTTGCAGTGGCTTGAATACAGGCTCGTCTTTCATCTCACAACATGAAGGGATGTCTGAATCCCCTGTGGAGACCTTAGAGAAAGCCCTAGGTCCCTGCCTCATTTTGACGGAATGCCTCACATCCCGCTGACACCTCGAGAGGCACGCGGAGTTCATTGCTTCAAAAGGTGACGATGCCTGACTCCTCTTGAATACTGATAGGAATCCCAAAATCCCTGTGGCTACTGGAAAGGGTCCTTGGGTGCCCTGCCTCACCTCGAGAAGCGTCCCTTTTGCCCTGCCAAGCCTCGAAGAGATTCCTGAGGTGTCCCTCGTTACTAGACAGGAGTCCTGACGTCACTGAAGAAACTCGTGTTTGGAAGGGCCATCCCCGCCGTAAGTCGAGAACATACCCCAGGTCCCCGCCGCAACTCGAGAAAAACCATGAGACTTCCCCCTAGAGGCGAGATGAGGCCCCATTCCCCTGCAGTGCATGCAGAGCTATTCCGTGATCCCATTCAAACAAGTCAGGAGCTTCGACTTGCTTAATGGATCTCGAGACAGTCTCCAAGAACACTGTCACCAGTCTAGACGGACCCTGAGGTCACCCCAGCAACGCAAAGCAGCTCCATGTGCCCCAAATCAACTCGAGATGAGGCCCGATTCCCCTGCATTGACTCCAGAGCCATTCCCCGTTCCCCATTCAACACGACCGGTGGCTCGACTTCCTTCAGGCAACTCCAGAGATGCCCCGAGAACACTGTCCCAAGTCTAGAGGAACACCAACTTCAGCACAGCAACTCGAGGAATGCTCCGTGTACCCCAAATCGTCTCGAGATGAGAGCTGATTCCCTGGCTTAGGCTCAAGACGAATGACAACTTCCCAGAAGCACCTCAGGAGGAGGCTTCTCTCAGCAATAGGTATGTGGGAGGGACCCCGAGTTTGCTGCCTCAAGGGGAATATACAGCGAGAAGCCCTAACTTGAAAGGAGGCCGGATTTCCTTGCAGTGGCTTGAATACAGGCTCGTCTTTCATCTCACAACATGAAGGGATGTCTGAATCCCCTGTGGAGACCTTAGAGAAAGCCCTAGGTCCCTGCCTCATTTTGACGGAATGCCTCACATCCCGCTGACACCTCGAGAGGCACGCGGAGTTCATTGCTTCAAAAGGTGACGATGCCTGACTCCTCTTGAATACTGATAGGAATCCCAAAATCCCTGTGGCTACTGGAAAGGGTCCTTGGGTGCCCTGCCTCACCTCGAGAAGCGTCCCTTTTGCCCTGCCAAGCCTCGAAGAGATTCCTGAGGTGTCCCTCGTTACTACACAGGAGTCTTGACGTCACTGAAGAAACTCGTGTTTTGAAGTGCCATCCCCGCCGTAAGTCGAGAACATACCCCAGGTCCCCGCCGCAACTCGAGAAAAACCATGAGACTTCCCCCTAGAGGCGAGATGAGGCCCCATTCCCCTGCAGTGCATGCAGAGCTATTCCGTGATCCCATTCAAACAAGTCAGGAGCTTCGACTTGCTTCATGGATCTCGAGACAGTCCCCAAGAACACTGTCACCAGTCTAGACGGACCCTGAGGTCACCCCAGCAACGCAAAGCAGCTCCATGTGCCCCAAATCAACTCGAGATGAGGCCCGATTCCCCTGCATTGACTCCAGAGCCAATCCCCGTTCCCCATTCAACACGACCGGTGGCTCGACTTCCTTCAGGCAACTCCAGAGATGCCCCGAGAACACTGTCCCAAGTCTAGAGGAACACCAACTTCAACACAGCAACTCGAGGAATGCTCCGTGTACCCCAAATCGTCTCGAGATGAGAGCTGATTCCCTGGCTTAGGCTCAAGACGTATGCCAACTTCCCAGAAGCACCTCAGGGGGAGGCTTCTCTCAGCAATAGGTATATGGGAGGGACCCCGAGTTTGCTGCCTCAAGGGGAATATACAGCGAGAAGCCCTAACTTGAAAGGAGGCGGGATTTCCTTGCAGTGGCTTGATTACAGGCTCGTCTTTCATCTCACAACATGAAGGGATGTCTGAATCCCCTGTGGAGACCTTAGAGAAAGCCCTAGGTCCCTGCCTCATTTTGACGGAATGCCTCACGTCGCGCTGACACCTCGAGAGGCACGCGGAGTTCATTGCTTAAAAAGGTGACGATGCCTGACTCCTCTTGAATACTGATAGGAATCCCAAAATCCCTGTGGCTACTGGAAAGGGTCCTTGGGTGCCCTGCCTCACCTCGAGAAGCGTCCCTTTTGCCCTGCCAAGCCTCGAAGAGATTCCTGAGGTGTCCCTCGTTACTACATAGGAGTCCTGACGTCACTGAAGAAACTCGTGTTTTGAAGGGCCATCCCCGCTGTAAGTCGAGAACATACCCCAGGTCCCCGCCGCAACTCGAGAAAAACCATGAGACTTCCCCCTAGAGGCGAGATGAGGCCCCATTCCCCTGCAGTGCATGCAGAGCTATTCCGTGATCCCATTCAAACAAGTCAGGAGCTTCGACTTGCTTAATGGATCTCGAGAGAGTCCCCAAGAACACTGTCACCAGTCTAGACGGACCCTGAGGTCACCCCAGCAACGCAAAGCAGCTCCATGTGCCCCAAATCAACTCGAGATGAGGCCCGATTCCCCTGCATTGACTCCAGAGCCATTCCCCGTTCCCCATTCAACACGACCGGTGGCTCGACTTCCTTCAGGCAACTCCAGAGATGCCCCGAGAACACTGTCCCAAGTCTAGAGGAACACCAACTTCAGCACAGCAACTCGAGGAATGCTCCGTGTACCCCAAATCGTCTCGAGATGAGAGCTGATTCCCTGGCTTAGGCTCAAGACGTATGCCAACTACCCAGAAGCACCTCAGGAGGAGGCTTCTCTCAGCAATAGGTATGTGGGAGGGACCCCGAGTTTGCTGCCTCAAGGGGAATATACAGCGAGAAGCCCTAACTTGAAAGGAGGCCGGATTTCCTTGCAGTGGCTTGAATACAGGCTCGTCTTTCATCTCACAACATGAAGGGATGTCTGAATCCCCTGTGGAGACCTTAGAGAAAGCCCTAGGTCCCTGCCTCATTTTGACGGAATGCCTCACATCCCGCTGACACCTCGAGAGGCACGCGGAGTTCATTGCTTCAAAAGGTGACGATGCCTGACTCCTCTTGAATACTGATAGGAATCCCAAAATCCCTGTGGCTACTGGAAAGGGTCCTTGGGTGCCCTGCCTCACCTCGAGAAGCGTCCCTTTTGCCCTGCCAAGCCTCGAAGAGATTCCTGAGGTGTCCCTCGTTACTAGACAGGAGTCCTGACGTCACTGAAGAAACTCGTGTTTTGAAGGGCCATCCCCGCCGTAAGTCGAGAACATACCCCAGGTCCCCGCCGCAACTCGAGAAAAACCATGAGACTTCCCCCTAGAGGCGAGATGAGGCCCCATTCCCCTGCAGTGCATGCAGAGCTACTCCGTGATCCCATTCAAACAAGTCAGGAGCTTCGACTTGCTTAATGGATCTCGAGACAGTCCCCAAGAACACTGTCACCAGTCTAGACGGACCCTGAGGTCACCCCAGCAACGCAAAGCAGCTCAATGTGCCCCAAATCAACTCGAGATGAGGCCCGATTCCCCTGCATTGACTCCAGAGCCATTCCCCGTTCCCCATTCAGCACGACCGGTGGCTCGACTTCCTTCAGGCAACTCCAGAGATGCCCCGAGAACACTGTCCCAAGTCTAGAGGAACACCAACTTCAGCACAGCAACTCGAGGAATGCTCCGTGTACCCCAAATCGTCTCGAGATGAGAGCTGATTCCCTGGCTTAGGCTCAAGACGTATGCCAACTTCCCAGAAGCACCTCAGGAGGAGGCTTCTCTCAGCAATAGGTATGTGGGAGGGACCCCGAGTTTGCTGCCTCAAGGGGAATATACAGCGAGAAGCCCTAACTTGAAAGGAGGCCGGATTTCCTTGCAGTGGCTTGAATACAGGCTCGTCTTTCATCTCACAACATGAAGGGATGTCTGAATCCCCTGTGGAGACCTTAGAGAAAGCCCTAGGTCCCTGCCTCATTTTGACGGAATGCCTCACATCCCGCTGACACCTCGAGAGGCACGCGGAGTTCATTGCTTCAAAAGGTGACGATGCCTGACTCCTCTTGAATACTGATAGGAATCCCAAAATCCCTGTGGCTACTGGAAAGGGTCCTTGGGTGCCCTGCCTCACCTCGAGAAGCGTCCCTTTTGCCCTGCCAAGCCTCGAAGAGATTCCTGAGGTGTCCCTCGTTACTACACAGGAGTCTTGACGTCACTGAAGAAACTCGTGTTTTGAAGTGCCATCCCCGCCGTAAGTCGAGAACATACCCCAGGTCCCCGCCGCAACTCGAGAAAAACCATGAGACTTCCCCCTAGAGGCGAGATGAGGCCCCATTCCCCTGCAGTGCATGCAGAGCTATTCCGTGATCCCATTCAAACAAGTCAGGAGCTTCGACTTGCTTCATGGATCTCGAGACAGTCCCCAAGAACACTGTCACCAGTCTAGACGGACCCTGAGGTCACCCCAGCAATGCAAAGCAGCTCCATGTGCCCCAAATCAACTCGAGATGAGGCCCGATTCCCCTGCATTGACTCCAGAGCCATTCCCCGTTCCCCATTCAACACGACCGGTGGCTCGACTTCCTTCAGGCAACTCCAGAGATGCCCCGAGAACACTGTCCCAAGTCTAGAGGAACACCAACTTCAACACAGCAACTCGAGGAATGCTCCGTGTACCCCAAATCGTCTCGAGATGAGAGCTGATTCCCTGGCTTAGGCTCAAGACGTATGCCAACTTCCCAGAAGCACCTCAGGGGGAGGCTTCTCTCAGCAATAGGTATGTGGGAGGGACCCCGAGTTTGCTGCCTCAAGGGGAATATACAGCGAGAAGCCCTAACTTGAAAGGAGGCGGGATTTACTTGCAGTGGCTTGATTACAGGCTCGTCTTTCATCTCACAACATGAAGGGATGTCTGAATCCCCTGTGGAGACCTTAGAGAAAGCCCTAGGTCCCTGCCTCATTTTGACGGAATGCCTCACGTCGCGCTGACACCTCGAGAGGCACGCGGAGTTCATTGCTTAAAAAGGTGACGATGCCTGACTCCTCTTGAATACTGATAGGAATCCCAAAATCCCTGTGGCTACTGGAAAGGTTCCTTGGGTGCCCTGCCTCACCTCGAGAAGCGTCCCTTTTGCCCTGCCAAGCCTCGAAGAGATTCCTGAGGTGTCCCTCGTTACTAGCCAGGAGTCCTGACGTCACTGAAGAAACTCGTGTTTTGAAGGGCCATCCCCGCTGTAAGTCGAGAACATAACCCAGGTCCCCGCCGCAACTCGAGAAAAACCATGAGAATTCCCCCTAGAGGCGAGATGAGGCCCCATTCCCCTGCAGTGCATGCAGAGCTATTCCGTGATCCCATTCAAACAAGTCAGGAGCTTCGACTTGCTTAATGGATCTCGAGACAGTCCCCAAGAACACTGTCACCAGTCTAGACGGACCCTGAGGTCACCCCAGCAACGCAAAGCAGCTCCATGTGCCCCAAATCAACTCGAGATGAGGCCCGATTCCCCTGCATTGACTCCAGAGCCATTCCCCGTTCCCCATTCAGCACGACCGGTGGCTCGACTTCCTTCAGGCAACTCCAGAGATGCCCCGAGATCACTGTCCCAAGTCTAGAGGAACACCAACTTCAGCACAGCAACTCGAGGAATGCTCCGTGTACCCCAAATCGTCTCGAGATGAGAGCTGATTCCCTGGCTTAGGCTCAAGACGTATGCCAACTTCCCAGAAGCACCTCAGGAGGAGGCTTCTCTCAGCAATAAGTATGTGGGAGGGACCCCGAGTTTACTGCCTCAAGGGGAATATACAGCGAGAAGCCCTAACTTGAAACGCGCCCGGATTTCCTTGCAGTGGCTTGAATACAGGCTCGTCTTTCATCTCACAACATGAAGGGATGTTTGAATCCCCTGTGGAGACCTTAGAGAAAGCCCTAGTTCCCTGCCTCATTTTGACGGAATGCCTCACATCCCGCTGACACCTCGAGAGGCACGCGGAGTTCATTGCTTCAAAAGGTGACGATGCCTGACTCCTCTTAAATACTGATAGGAATCCCAAAATCCCTGTGGCTACTGGAAAGGGTACTTGGGTGCCCTGCCTCACCTCGAGAAGCGTCCCTTTTGCCCTGCCAAGCCTCGAAGAGATTCCTGAGGTGTCCCTCGTTACTACACAGGAGTCTTGACGTCACTGAAGAAACTCGTGTTTTGAAGGGTCATCCCCGCCGTATGTCGAGAACATACCCCAGGTCCCAGCCGCAACTCGAGAAAAACCATGAGACTTCCCCCTAGAGGCGAGATGAGGCCCCATTCCCCTGCAGTGCATGCAGAGCTATTCCGTGATCCCATTCAAACAAGTCAGGAGGTTCGACTTGCTTAATGGATCTCGAGAGAGTCCCCAAGAACACTGTCACCAGTCTAGACGGACCCTGAGGTCACCCCAGCAACGCAAAGCAGCTCCATGTACCCCAAATCAACTCGAGATGAGGCCCGATTCCCCTGCATTGACTCCAGAGCCATTCCCCGTTCCCCATTCAACACGACCAGTGTCTCGACTTCCTTCAGGCAACTCCAGAGATGCCCCGAGAACACTGACCCAAGTCTAGAGGAACACCAACTTCAGCACAGCAACTTGAGGAATGCTCCGTGTACCCCAAATCGTCTCGAGATGAGAGCTGATTCCCTGGCTTAGGCTCAAGACGTATGCCAACTTCCCAGAAGCACCTCAGGAGGAGGCTTCTCTCAGCAATAGGTATGTGGGAGGGACCCCGAGTTTGCTGCCTCAAGGGGAATATACAGCGAGAAGCCCTAACTTGAAAGGAGGCCGGATTTCCTTGCAGTGGCTTGAATACAGGCTCGTCTTTCATCTCACAACATGAAGGGATGTCTGAATCCCCTGTGGAGACCTTAGAGAAAGCCCTAGGTCCCTGCCTCATTTTGACGGAATGCCTCGCATCCCGCTGACACTTGGAGAGGCACGCGGAGTTCATTGCTTCAAAAGGTGACGATGCCTGACTCCTCTTGAATACTGATAGGAATCCCAAAATCCCTGTGGCTACTGGAATGGGTCCTTGGGTGCCCTGCCTCACCTCGAGAAGCGTCCCTTTTGCCCTGCCAAGCCTCGAAGAGATTCCTGAGGTGTCCCTCGTTACTAGACAGGAGTCCTGACGTCACTGAAGAAACTCGTGTTTTGAAGGGCCAGCCCCGCCGTAAGTCGAGAACATACCCCAGGTCCCCGCCGCAACTCGAGAAAAACCATGAGACTTCCCCCTAGAGGCGAGATGAGGCCCCATTCCCCTGCAGTGCATGCAGAGCTATTCCGTGATCCCATTCAAACAAGTCAGGAGCTTCGACTTACTTCATGGATCTCGAGACAGTCCCCAAGAACACTGTCACCAGTCTAGACGGACCCTGAGGTCACCCCAGCAACGCAAAGCAGCTCCATGTGCCCCAAATCAACTCGAGATGAGGCCCGATTCCCCTGCATTAACTCCAGAGCCATTCCCCGTTCCCCATTCAACACGACCGGTGGCTCGACTTCCTTCAGGCAACTCCAGAGATGCCCCGAGAACACTGTCCCAAGTCTAGAGGAACACCAACTTCAGCACAGCAACTCGAGGAATGCTCCGTGTACCCCAAATCGTCTCGAGATGAGAGCTGATTCCCTGGCTTAGGCTCAAGACGTATGCCAACTTCCCAGAAGCACCTCAGGAGGAGGCTTCTCTCAGCAATAGGTATGTGGGAGGGACCCCGAGTTTGCTGCCTCAAGGGGAATATACAGCGAGAAGCCCTAACTTGAAAGGAGGCTGGATTTCCTTGCAGTGGCTTGAATACAGGCTCGTCTTTCATCTCACAACATGAAGGGATGTCTGAATCCCCTGTGGAGACCTTAGAGAAAGCCCTAGGTCCCTGCCTCATTTTGACGGAATGCCTCACATCCCGCTGACACCTCGAGAGGCACGCGGAGTTCATTGCTTCAAAAGGTGACGATGCCTGACTCCTCTTGAATACTGATAGGAATCCCAAAATCCCTGTGGCTATTGGAAAGGGTCCTTGGGTGCCCTGCCTCAACTCGAGAAGCGTCCTTTTGCCCTGCCAAGCCTCGAAGAGATTCCTGAGGTGTCCCTCGTTACTAGACAGGAGTCCTGACGTCACTGAAGAAACTCGTGTTTTGAAGGGCCATCCCCGCCGTAAGTCGAGAACATACACCAGGTCCCCGCCGCAACTCGAGAAAAACCATGAGACTTCCCCCTAGAGGCGAGATGAGGCCCCATTCCCCTGCAGTGCATGCAGAGCTATTCCGTGATCCCATTCAAACAAGTCAGGAGCTTCGACTTGCTTAATGGATCTCCAGACAGTCCCCAAGAACACTGTCACCAGTCTAGACGGACCCTGAGGTCACCCCAGCAACGCAAAGCTGCTCCATGTGCCCAAAATCAACTCGAGATGAGGCCCGATTCCCCTGCATTGACTCCAGAGCCATTCCCCGTTCCCCATTCAGCACGACCGGTGGCTCGACTTCCTTCAGGCAACTCCAGAGATGCCCCGAGAACACTGTCCCAAGTCTAGAGGAACACCAACTTCAGCACAGCAACTCGAGGAATGCTCCGTGTACCCCAAATCGTCTCGAGATGAGAGCTGATTCCCTGGCTTAGGCTCAAGACGTATGCCAACTTCCCAGAAGCACCTCAGGAGGAGGCTTCTCTCAGCAATAGGTATGTGGGAGGGACCCCGAGTTTGCTGCCTCAAGGGGAATATACAGCGAGAAGCCCTAACTTGAAAGGAGGCCGGATTTCCTTGCAGTGGCTTGAATACAGGCTCGTCTTTCATCTCACAACATGAAGGGATGTCTGAATCCCCTGTGGAGACCTTAGAGAAAGCCCTAGGTCCCTGCCTCATTTTGACGGAATGCCTCACATCCCGCTGACAACTCGAGAGGCACGCGGAGTTCATTGCTTCAAAAGGTGACGATGCCTGACTCCTCTTGAATACTGATAGGAATCCCAAAATCCCTGTGGCTACTGGAAAGGGTCCTTGGGTGCCCTGCCTCACCTCGAGAAGCGTCCCTTTTGCCCTGCCAAGCCTCGAAGAGATTCCTGAGGTGTCCCTCGTTACTAGACAGGAGTCCTGACGTCAGTGAAGAAACTCGTGTTTTGAGGGGCCATCCCAGCCGTAAGTCGAGAACATACCCCAGGTCCCAGCCGCAACTCGAGAAAAACCATGAGACTTCCCCCTAGAGGCGAGATGAGGCCCCATTCCCCTGCAGTGCATGCAGAGCTATTCCGTGATCCCATTCAAACAAGTCAGGAGCTTCGACTTGCTTAATGGATTTCTAGACAGTCCCCAAGATCACTGTCACCAGTCTAGACGGACCCTGAGGTCACCCCAGCAACGCAAAGCAGCTCCATGTGCCCCAAATCAACTCGAGATGAGGCCCGATTCCCCTGCATTGACTCCAGAGCCATTCCCCGTTCCCCATTCAACACGACCGGTGGCTCGACTTCCTTCAGGCAACTCCAGAGATGCCCCGAGAACACTGTCCCAAGTCTAGAGGAACACCAACTTCAGCACAGCAACACGAGGAATGCTCCGTGTACCCCAAATCGTCTCGAGATGAGAGCTGATTCCCTGGCTTAGGCTCAAGACGTATGCCAACTTCCCAGAAGCACCTCAGGAGGAGGATTCTCTCAGCAATAAGTATGTGGGAGGGACCCCGAGTTTGCTGCCTCAAGGGGAGTATACAGCGAGAAGCCCTAACTTGAAAGGAGGCCGGATTTCATTGCAGTGGCTTGAATACAGGCTCGTCTTTCATCTCACAACATGAAGGGATGTCTGAATCCCCTGTGGAGACCTTAGAGAAAGCCCTAGGTCCCTGCCTCATTTTGACGGAGTGCCTCACATCCCGCTGACACCTCGAGAGGCACGCGTAGTTCATTGCTTCAAAAGGTGACGATGCCTGACTCCTCTTGAATACTGATAGGAATCCCAAAATCCCTGTGGCTACTGGAAAGGGTCCTTGGGTGCCCTGCCTCACCTCGAGAAGCGTCCCTTTTGCCCTGCCAAGCCTCGAAGAGATTCCTGAGGTGTCCCTCGTTACTAGACAGGAGTCCTGACGTCACTGAAGAAACTCGTGTTTTGAAGGGCCATCCCAGCCGTAAGTCGAGAACATACCCCAGGTCCCCGCCGCAACTCGAGAAAAACCATGAGACTTCCCCCTAGAGGCGAGATGAGGCCCCATTCCCCTGCAGTGCATGCAGAGCTATTCCGTGATCCCATTCAAACAAGTCAGGAGCTTCGACTTGCTTCATGGATCTCGAGATAGTCCCCAAGAACACTGTCACCAGTCTAGACGGACCCTGAGGTCACCCCAGCAACGCAAAGCAGCTCCATGTGCCCCAAATCAACTCGAGATGAGGCCCGATTCCCCTGCATTGACTCCAGAGCCATTCCCCGTTCCCCATTCAGCACGACCGGTGTCTCGACTTCCTTCAGGCAACTCCAGAGATGCCCCGAGAACACTGTCCCAAGTCTAGAGGAACACCAACTTCAGCACAGCAACTCGAGGAATGCTCCGTGTACCCCAAATCGTCTCGAGATGAGAGCTGATTCCCTGGCTTAGGCTCAAGACATATGCCAACTTCCCAGAAGCACCTCAGGAGGAGGCTTCTCTCAGCAATAGGTATGTGGAAGGGACCCCGAGTTTGCTTCCTCAAGGGGAATATACAGCGAGAAGCCCTAACTTGAAAGGAGGCCGGATTTCCTTGCAGTGGCTTGAATACAGGCTCGTCTTTCATCTCACAACATGAAGGGATGTCTGAATCCCCTGTGGAGACCTTAGAGAAAGCCCTAGGTCCCTGCCTCATTTTGACGGAATGCCTCACATCCCGCTGACACCTCGAGAGGCACGCGGAGTTCATTGCTTCAAAAGGTGACGATGCCTGACTCCTCTTGAATACTGATAGGAATCCCAAAATCCCTGTGGCTACTGGAAAGGGTCCTTGGGTGCCCTGCCTCACCTCGAGAAGCGTCCCTTTTGCCCTGCCAAGCCTCGAAGAGATTCCTGAGGTGTCCCTAGTTACTAGACAGGAGTCCTGACGTCACTGAAGAAACTCGTGTTTTGAAGGGCCATCCCCGCCGTAAGTCGAGAACATACCCCAGGTCCCAGCCGCAACTCGAGAAAAACCATGAGACTTCCCCCTAGAGGCGAGATGAGGCCCCATTCCCCTGCAGTGCATGCAGAGCTATTCCGTGATCCCATTCAAACAAGTCAGGAGCTTCGACTTGCTTCATGGATCTCGAGACAGTCCCCAAGAACACTGTCACCAGTCTAGACGGACCCTGAGGTCACCCCAGCAACGCAAAGCAGCTCCATGTGCCCCAAATCAACTCGAGATGAGGCCCGATTCCCCTGCATTGACTCCAGAGCCATTCCCCGATCCCCATTCAACACGACCAGTGGCTCGACTTCCTTCAGGCAACTCCAGAGATGCCCCGAGAACACTCTCCCAAGTCCAGAGGAACACCAACTTCAGCACAGCAACTCGAGGAATGCTCCGTGTACCCCAAATCGTCTCGAGATGAGAGCTGATTCCCTGGCTTAGGCTCAAGACGTATGCCAACTTCCCAGAAGCACCTCAGGAGGAGGCTTCTCTCAGCAATAGGTATGTGGGAGGGACCCCGAGTTTGCTTCCTCAAGGGGAATATACAGCGAGAAGCCCTAACTTGAAAGGAGGCCGGATTTCCTTGCAGTGGCTTGAATACAGGCTCGTCTTTCATCTCACAACATGAAGGGATGTCTGAATCCCCTGTGGAGACCTTAGAGAAAGCCCTAGGTCCCTGCCTCATTTTGACGGAATGCCTCACATCCCGCTGACACCTCGAGAGGCACGCGGAGTTCATTGCTTCAAAAGGTGACGATGCCTGACTCCTCTTGAATACTGATAGGAATCCCAAAATCCCTGTGGCTATTGGAAAGGGTCCTTGGGTGCCCTGCCTCACCTCGAGAAGCGTCCTTTTGCCCTGCCAAGCCTCGAAGAGATTCCTGAGGTGTCCCTCGTTACTAGACAGGAGTCCTGACGTCACTGAAGAAACTCGTGTTTTGAAGGGCCATCCCCGCCGTAAATCGAGAACATACCCCAGGTCCCCGCCGCAACTCGAGAAAAACCATGAGACTTCCCCCTAGAGGCGAGATGAGGCCCCATTCCCCTGCAGTGCATGCAGAGCTATTCCGTGATCCCATTCAAACAAGTCAGGAGCTTCGACTTGCTTCATGGATCTCGAGACAGTCCCCAAGAACCCTGTCACCAGTCTAGACGGACCCTGAGGTCACCCCAGCAACGCAAAGCAGCTCCATGTGCCCCAAATCAACTCGAGATGAGGCCCGATTCCCCTGCATTGACTCCAGAGCCATTCCCCGTTCCCCATTCAGCATGACCGGTGGCTCTACTTCCTTCAGGCAACTCCAGAGATGCCCCGAGAACACTGTCCCAAGTCTAGAGGAACACCAACTTCAGCACAGCAACTCGAGGAATGCTCCGTGTACCCCAAATCGTCTCGAGATGAGAGCTGATTCCCTGGCTTAGGCTCAAGACATATGCCAACTTCCCAGAAGCACCTCAGGAGGAGGCTTCTCTCAGCAATAGGTATGTGGGAGGGACCCCGAGTTTGCTGCCTCAAGGGGAATATACAGCGAGAAGCCCTAACTTGAAAGGCGGCCGGATTTCCTTGCAGTGGCTTGAATACAGGCTCGTCTTTCATCTCACAACATGAAGGGATGTCTGAATCCCCTGTGGAGACCTTAGAGAAAGCCCTAGGTCCCTGCCTCATTTTGACGGAATGCCTCACATCCCGCTGACACCTCGAGAGGCACGCGGAGTTCATTGCTTCAAAAGGTGACGATGCCTGACTCCTCTTGAATACTGATAGGAATCCCAAAATCCCTGTGGCTACTGGAAAGGGTCCTTGGGTGCCCTGCCTCACCTCGAGAAGCGTCCCTTTTGCCCTGCCAAGCCTCGAAGAGATTCCTGAGGTGTCCCTCGTTACTATACAGGAGTCCTGACGTCACTGAAGAAACTCGTGTTTTGAAGGGCCATCCCAGCCGTAAGTCGAGAACATACCCCAGGTCCCCGCCGCAACTCGAGAAAAACCATGAGACTTCCCCCTAGAGGCGAGATGAGGCCCCATTCCCCTGCAGTGCATGCAGAGCTATTCCGTGATCCCATTCAAACAAGTCAGGAGCTTCGACTTGCTTAATGGATCTCTAGACAGTCCCCAAGATCACTGTCAGCAGTCTAGACGGACCCTGAGGTCACCCCAGCAACACAAAGCAGCTCCATGTGCCCCAAATCAACTCGAGATGAGGCCCGATTCCCCTGCATTGACTCCAGAGCCATTCCCCGTTCCCCATTCAACACGACCGGTGGCTCGACTTCCTTCAGGCAACTCCAGAGATGCCCCGAGAACACTCTCCCAAGTCCAGAGGAACACCAACTTCAGCACAGCAACTCGAGGAATGCTCCGTGTACCCCAAATCGTCTCGAGATGAGAGCTGATTCCCTGGCTTAGGCTCAAGACGTATGCCAACTTCCCAGAAGCACTTCAGGAGGAGGCTTCTCTCAGCAATAGGTATGTGGGAGGGACCCCGAGTTTGCTTCCTCAAGGGGAATATACAGCGAGAAGCCCTAACTTGAAAGGAGGCCGGATTTCCTTGCAGTGGCTTGAATACAGGCTCGTCTTTCATCTCACAACATGAAGGGATGTCTGAATCCCCTGTGGAGACCTTAGAGAAAGCCCTAGGTCCCTGCCTCATTTTGACGGAATGCCTCACATCCCGCTGACACCTCGAGAGGCACGCGGAGTTCATTGCTTCAAAAGGTGACGATGCCTGACTCCTCTTGAATACTGATAGGAATCCCAAAATCCCTGTGGCTATTGGAAAGGGTCCTTGGGTGCCCTGCCTCACCTCGAGAAGCGTCCTTTTGCCCTGCCAAGCCTCGAAGAGATTCCTGAGGTGTCCCTCGTTACTAGACAGGAGTCCTGACGTCACTGAAGAAACTCGTGTTTTGAAGGGCCATCCCCGCCGTAAGTCAAGAACATACCCCAGGTCCCCGCCGCAACTCGAGAAAAACCATGAGACTTCCCCCTAGAGGCGAGATGAGGCCCCATTCCCCTGCAGTGCATGTAGAGCTATTCCGTGATCCCATTCAAACAAGTCAGGAGCTTCGACATGCTTCATGGATCTCGAGACAGTCCCCAAGAACACTGTCACCAGTCTAGACGGACCCTGAGGTCACCCCAGCAACGCAAAGCAGCTCCATGTGCCCCAAATCAACTCGAGATGAGGCCCGATTCCCCTGCATTGACTCCAGAGCCATTCCCCGTTCCCCATTCAACACGACCGGTGGCTCGACTTCCTTCAGGCAATCCAGAGATGCCCCGAGAACACTCTCCCAAGTCCAGAGGAACACCAACTTCAGCACAGCAACTCGAGGAATGCTCCGTGTACCCCAAATCGTCTCGAGATGAGAGCTGATTCCCTGGCTTAGGCTCAAGACGTAGGCCAACTTCCCAGAAGCACCTCAGGAGGAGGCTTCTCTCAGCAATAGGTATGTGGGAGGAACCCCGAGTTTGCTGCCTCAAGGGGAATATACAGCGAGAAGCCCTAACTTGAAAGGAGGCCGGATTTCCTTGCAGTGGCTTGAATACAGGCTCGTCTTTCATCTCACAACATGAAGGGATGTCTGAATCCCCTGTGGAGACCTTAGAGAAAGCCCTAGGTCCCTGCCTCATTTTGACGGAATGCCTCACATCCCGCTGACACCTCGAGAGGCACGCGGAGTTCATTGCTTCAAAAGGTGACGATGCCTGACTCCTCTTGAATACTGATAGGAATCCCAAAATCCCTGTGGCTATTGGAAAGGGTCCTTGGGTGCCCTGCCTCACCTCGAGAAGCGTCCTTTTGCCCTGCCAAGCCTCGAAGAGATTCCTGAGGTGTCCCTCGTTACTAGACAGGAGTCCTGACGTCACTGAAGAAACTCGTGTTTTGAAGGGCCATCCCCGCCGTAAGTCGAGAACATACCCCAGGTCCCCGCCGCAACTCGAGAAAAACCATGAGACTCCCCTCTAGAGGCGAGATGAGGCCCCATTCCCCTGCAGTGCATGCAGAGCTATTCCATGATCCCATTCAAACAAGTCAGGAGCTTCGACTTGCTTCATGGATCTCGAGACAGTCCCCAAGAACACTGTCACCAGTCTAGACGGACCCTGAGGTCACCCCAGCAACGCAAAGCAGCTCCATGTGCCCCAAATCAACTCGAGATGAGGCCCGATTCCCCTGCATTGACTCCAGAGCCATTCCCCGTTCCCCATTCAGCACGACCGGTGTCTCGACTTCCTTCAGGCAACTCCAGAGATGCCCCGAGAACACTGTCCCAAGTCTAGAGGAACACCAACTTCAGCACAGCAACTCGAGGAATGCTCCGTGTACCCCAAATCGTCTCGAGATGAGAGCTGATTCCCTGGCTTAGGCTCAAGACGTATGCCAACTTCCCAGAAGCACCTCAGGAGGAGGCTTCTCTCAGCTATAAGTATGTGGGAGGGACCCCGAGTTTGCTGTCTCAAGGGGAATATACAGCGAGAAGCCCTAACTTGAAAGGAGGCCGGATTTCCTTGCAGTGGCTTGAATACAGGCTCGTCTTTCATCTCACAACATGAAGGGATGTCTGAATCCCCTGTGGAGACCTTAGAGAAAGCCCTAGGTCCCTGCCTCATTTTGACGGAATGCCTCACATCCCGCTGACACCTCGAGAGGCACGCGGAGTTCATTGCTTCAAAAGGTGACGATGCCTGACTCCTCTTGAATACTGATAGGAATCCCAAAATCCCTGTGGCTACTGGAAAGGGTCCTTGGGTGCCCTGCCTCACCTCGAGAAGCGTCCCTTTTGCCCTGCCAAGCCTCGAAGAGATTCCTGAGGTGTCCCTCGTTACTAGACAGGAGTCCTGACGTCACTGAAGAAACTCGTGTTTTGAGGGGCCATCCCAGCCGTAAGTCGAGAACATACCCCAGGTCCCCGCCGCAACTCGAGAAAAACCATGAGACTTCCCCCTAGAGGCGAGATGAGGCCCCATTCCCCTGCAGTGCATGCAGAGCTATTCCGTGATCCCATTCAAACAAGTCAGGAGCTTCGACTTGCTTAATGGATCTCTAGACAGTCCCCAAGATCACTGTCACCAGTCTAGACGGACCCTGAGGTCACCCCAGCAACGCAAAGCAGCTCCATGTGCCCCAAATCAACTCGAGATGAGGCCCGATTCCCCTGCATTGACTCCAGAGCCATTCCCCGTTCCCCATTCAACACGACCGGTGGCTCGACTTCCTTCAGGCAACTCCAGAGATGCCCCGAGAACACTGTCCCAAGTCTAGAGGAACACCAACTTCAGCACAGCAACTCGAGGAATGCTCCGTGTACCCCAAATCGTCTCGAGATGAGAGCTGATTCCCTGGCTTAGGCTCAAGACATATGCCAGCTTCCCAGAAGCACCTCAGGAGGAGGCTTCTCTCAGCAATAGGTATGTGGAAGGGACCCCGAGTTTGCTTCCTCAAGGGGAATATACAGCGAGAAGCCCTAACTTGAAAGGAGGCCGGATTTCCTTGCAGTGGCTTGAATACAGGCTCGTCTTTCATCTCACAACATGAAGGGATGTCTGAATCCCCTGTGGAGACCTTAGAGAAAGCCCTAGGTCCCTGCCTCATTTTGACGGAATGCCTCACATCCCGCTGACACCTCGAGAGGCACGCGGAGTTCATTGCTTCAAAAGGTGACGATGCCTGACTCCTCTTGAATATTGATAGGAATCCCAAAATCCCTGTGGCTACTGGAAAGGGTCCTTGGGTGCCCTGCCTCACCTCGAGAAGCGTCCCTTTTGCCCTGCCAAGCCTCGAAGAGATTCCTGAGGTGTCCCTCGTTACTAGACAGGAGTCCTGACGTCACTGAAGAAACTCGTGTTTTGAAGGGCCATCCCCGCCGTAAGTCGAGAACATACCCCAGGTCCCAGCCGCAACTCGAGAAAAACCATGAGACTTCCCCCTAGAGGCGAGATGAGGCCCCATTCCCCTGCAGTGCATGCAGAGCTATTCCGTGATCCCATTCAAACAAGTCAGGAGCTTCGACTTGCTTCATGGATCTCGAGACAGTCCCCAAGAACACTGTCACCAGTCTAGACGGACCCTGAGGTCACCCCAGCAACGCAAAGCAGCTCCATGTGCCCCAAATCAACTCGAGATGAGGCCCGATTCCCCTGCATTGACTCCAGAGCCATTCCCCGTTCCCCATTCAACACGACCGGTGGCTCGACTTCCTTCAGGCAACTCCAGAGATGCCCCGAGAACACTCTCCCAAGTCCAGAGGAACACCAACTTCAGCACAGCAACTCGAGGAATGCTCCCTGTACACCAAATCGTCTCGAGATGAGAGCTGATTCCCTGGCTTAGGCTCAAGACGTATGCCAACTTCCCAGAAGCACCTCAGGAGGAGGCTTCTCTCAGCAATAGGTATGTGGGAGGGACCCCGAGTTTGCTGCCTCAAGGGGAATATACAGCGAGAAGCCCTAACTTGAAAGGAGGCCGGATTTCCTTGCAGTGGCTTGAATACAGGCTCGTCTTTCATCTCACAACATGAAGGGATGTCTGAATCCCCTGTGGAGACCTTAGAGAAAGCCCTAGGTCCCTGCCTCATTCTGACGGAATGCCTCACATCCCGCTCACACCTCGAGAGGCACGCGGAGTTCATTGCTTCAAAAGGTGACGATGCCTGACTCCTCTTGAATACTGATAGGAATCCCAAAATCCCTGTGGCTACTGGAAAGGGTCCTTGGGTGCCCTGCCTCACCTCGAGAAGCGTCCCTTTTGCCCTGCCAAGCCTCGAAGAGATTCCTGAGGTGTCCCTCGTTACTATACAGGAGTCCTGACGTCACTGAAGAAACTCGTGTTTTGAAGGGCCATCCCAGCCGTAAGTCGAGAACATACCCCAGGTCCCCGCCGCAACTCGAGAAAAACCATGAGACTTCCCCCTAGAGGCGAGATGAGGCCCCATTCCCCTGCAGTGCATGCAGAGCTATTCCGTGATCCCATTCAAACAAGTCAGGAGCTTCGACTTGCTTAATGGATCTCTAGACAGTCCCCAAGATCACTGTCAGCAGTCTAGACGGACCCTGAGGTCACCCCAGCAACACAAAGCAGCTCCATGTGCCCCAAATCAACTCGAGATGAGGCCCGATTCCCCTGCATTGACTCCAGAGCCATTCCCCGTTCCCCATTCAACACGACCGGTGGCTCGACTTCCTTCAGGCAACTCCAGAGATGCCCCGAGAACACTCTCCCAAGTCCAGAGGAACACCAACTTCAGCACAGCAACTCGAGGAATGCTCCGTGTACCCCAAATCGTCTCGAGATGAAAGCTGATTCCCTGGCTTAGGCTCAAGACGTATGCCAACTTCCCAGAAGCACCTCAGGAGGAGGCTTCTCTCAGCAATAGGTATGTGGGAGGGACCCCGAGTTTGCTTCCTCAAGGGGAATATACAGCGAGAAGCCCTAACTTGAAAGGAGGCCGGATTTCCTTGCAGTGGCTTGAATACAGGCTCGTCTTTCATCTCACAACATGAAGGGATGTCTGAATCCCCTGTGGAGACCTTAGAGAAAGCCCTAGGTCCCTGCCTCATTTTGACGGAATGCCTCACATCCCGCTGACACCTCGAGAGGCACGCGGAGTTCATTGCTTCAAAAGGTGACGATGCCTGACTCCTCTTGAATACTGATAGGAATCCCAAAATCCCTGTGGCTATTGGAAAGGGTCCTTGGGTGCCCTGCCTCACCTCGAGAAGCGTCCTTTTGCCCTGCCAAGCCTCGAAGAGATTCCTGAGGTGTCCCTCGTTACTAGACAGGAGTCCTGACGTCACTGAAGAAACTCGTGTTTTGAAGGGCCATCCCCGCCGTAAGTCGAGAACATACCCCAGGTCCCCGCCGCAACTCGAGAAAAACCATGAGACTTCCCCCTAGAGGCGAGATGAGGCCCCATTCCCCTGCAGTGCATGTAGAGCTATTCCGTGATCCCATTCAAACAAGTCAGGAGCTTCGACATGCTTCATGGATCTCGAGACAGTCCCCAAGAACACTGTCACCAGTCTAGACGGACCCTGAGGTCACCCCAGCAACGCAAAGCAGCTCCATGTGCCCCAAATCAACTCGAGATGAGGCCCGATTCCCCTGCATTGACTCCAGAGCCATTCCCCGTTCCCCATTCAACACGACCGGTGGCTCGACTTCCTTCAGGCAATCCAGAGATGCCCCGAGAACACTCTCCCAAGTCCAGAGGAACACCAACTTCAGCACAGCAACTCGAGGAATGCTCCGTGTACCCCAAATCGTCTCGAGATGAGAGCTGATTCCCTGGCTTAGGCTCAAGACGTAGGCCAACTTCCCAGAAGCACCTCAGGAGGAGGCTTCTCTCAGCAATAGGTATGTGGGAGGGACCCCGAGTTTGCTGCCTCAAGGGGAATATACAGCGAGAAGCCCTAACTTGAAAGGAGGCCGGATTTCCTTGCAGTGGCTTGAATACAGGCTCGTCTTTCATCTCACAACATGAAGGGATGTCTGAATCCCCTGTGGAGACCTTAGAGAAAGCCCTAGGTCCCTGCCTCATTTTGACGGAATGCCTCACATCCCGCTGACACCTCGAGAGGCACGCGGAGTTCATTGCTTCAAAAGGTGACGATGCCTGACTCCTCTTGAATACTGATAGGAATCCCAAAATCCCTGTGGCTATTGGAAAGGGTCCTTGGGTGCCCTGCCTCACCTCGAGAAGCGTCCTTTTGCCCTGCCATGCCTCGAAGAGATTCCTGAGGTGTCCCTCGTTACTAGACAGGAGTCCTGACGTCACTGAAGAAACTCGTGTTTTGAAGGGCCATCCCCGCCGTAAGTCGAGAACATACCCCAGGTCCCCGCCGCAACTCGAGAAAAACCATGAGACTCCCCCCTAGAGGCGAGATGAGGCCCCATTCCCCTGCAGTGCATGCAGAGCTATTCCATGATCCCATTCAAACAAGTCAGGAGCTTCGACTTGCTTCATGGATCTCGAGACAGTCCCCAAGAACACTGTCACCAGTCTAGACGGACCCTGAGGTCACCCCAGCAACGCAAAGCAGCTCCATGTGCCCCAAATCAACTCGAGATGAGGCCCGATTCCCCTGCATTGACTCCAGAGCCATTCCCCGTTCCCCATTCAGCACGACCGGTGTCTCGACTTCCTTCAGGCAACTCCAGAGATGCCCCGAGAACACTGTCCCAAGTCTAGAGGAACACCAACTTCAGCACAGCAACTCGAGGAATGCTCCGTGTACCCCAAATCGTCTCGAGATGAGAGCTGATTCCCTGGCTTAGGCTCAAGACGTATGCCAACTTCCCAGAAGCACCTCAGGAGGAGGCTTCTCTCAGCTATAAGTATGTGGGAGGGACCCCGAGTTTGCTGCCTCAAGGGGAATATACAGCGAGAAGCCCTAACTTGAAAGGAGGCCGGATTTCCTTGCAGTGGCTTGAATACAGGCTCGTCTTTCATCTCACAACATGAAGGGATGTCTGAATCCCCTGTGGAGACCTTAGAGAAAGCCCTAGGTCCCTGCCTCATTTTGACGGAATGCCTCACATCCCGCTGACACCTCGAGAGGCACGCGGAGTTCATTGCTTCAAAAGGTGACGATGCCTGACTCCTCTTGAATACTGATAGGAATCCCAAAATCCCTGTGGCTACTGGAAAGGGTCCTTGGGTGCCCTGCCTCACCTCGAGAAGCGTCCCTTTTGCCCTGCCAAGCCTCGAAGAGATTCCTGAGGTGTCCCTCGTTACTAGACAGGAGTCCTGACGTCACTGAAGAAACTCGTGTTTTGAGGGGCCATCCCAGCCGTAAGTCGAGAACATACCCCAGGTCCCCGCCGCAACTCGAGAAAAACCATGAGACTTCCCCCTAGAGGCGAGATGAGGCCCCATTCCCCTGCAGTGCATGCAGAGCTATTCCGTGATCCCATTCAAACAAGTCAGGAGCTTCGACTTGCTTAATGGATCTCTAGACAGTCCCCAAGATCACTGTCACCAGTCTAGACGGACCCTGAGGTCACCCCAGCAACGCAAAGCAGCTCCATGTGCCCCAAATCAACTCGAGATGAGGCCCGATTCCCCTGCATTGACTCCAGAGCCATTCCCCGTTCCCCATTCAACACGACCGGTGGCTCGACTTCCTTCAGGCAACTCCAGAGATGCCCCGAGAACACTGTCCCAAGTCTAGAGGAACACCAACTTCAGCACAGCAGCTCGAGGAATGCTCCGTGTACCCCAAATCGTCTCGAGATGAGAGCTGATTCCCTGGCTTAGGCTCAAGACATATGCCAACTTCCCAGAAGCACCTCAGGAGGAGGCTTCTCTCAGCAATAGGTATGTGGAAGGGACCCCGAGTTTGCTTCCTCAAGGGGAATATACAGCGAGAAGCCCTAACTTGAAAGGAGGCCGGATTTCCTTGCAGTTCCTTGAATACAGGCTCGTCTTTCATCTCACAACATGAAGGGATGTCTGAATCCCCTGTGGAGACCTTAGAGAAAGCCCTAGGTCCCTGCCTCATTTTGACGGAATGCCTCACATCCCGCTGACACCTCGAGAGGCACGCGGAGTTCATTGCTTCAAAAGGTGACGATGCCTGACTCCTCTTGAATACTGATAGGAATCCCAAAATCCCTGTGGCTACTGGAAAGGGTCCTTGGGTGCCCTGCCTCACCTCGAGAAGCGTCCCTTTTGCCCTGCCAAGCCTCGAAGAGATTCCTGAGGTGTCCCTCGTTACTAGACAGGAGTCCTGACGTCACTGAAGAAACTCGTGTTTTGAAGGGCCATCCCCGCCGTAAGTCGAGAACATACCCCAGGTCCCAGCCGCAACTCGAGAAAAACCATGAGACTTCCCCCTAGAGGCGAGATGAGGCCCCATTCCCCTGCAGTGCATGCAGAGCTATTCCGTGATCCCATTCAAACAAGTCAGGAGCTTCGACTTGCTTCATGGATCTCGAGACAGTCCCCAAGAACACTGTCACCAGTCTAGACGGACCCTGAGGTCACCCCAGCAACGCAAAGCAGCTCCATGTGCCCCAAATCAACTCGAGATGAGGCCCGATTCCCCTGCATTGACTCCAGAGCCATTCCCCGTTCCCCATTCAACACGACCGGTGGCTCGACTTCCTTCAGGCAACTCCAGAGATGCCCCGAGAACACTCTCCCAAGTCCAGAGGAACACCAACTTCAGCACAGCAACTCGAGGAATGCTCCGTGTACCCCAAATCGTCTCGAGATGAGAGCTGATTCCCTGGCTTAGGCTCAAGACGTAGGCCAACTTCCCAGAAGCACCTCAGGAGGAGGCTTCTCTCAGCAATAGGTATGTGGGAGGGACCCCGAGTTTGCTTCCTCAAGGGGAATATACAGCGAGAAGCCCTAACTTGAAAGGAGGCCGGATTTCCTTGCAGTGGCTTGAATACAGGCTCGTCTTTCATCTCACAACATGAAGGGATGTCTGAATCCCCTGTGGAGACCTTAGAGAAAGCCCTAGGTCCCTGCGTCATTTTGACGGAATGCCTCACATCCCGCTGACACCTCGAGAGGCACGCGGAGTTCATTGCTTCAAAAGGTGACGATGCCTGACTCCTCTTGAATACTGATAGGAATCCCAAAATCCCTGTGGCTATTGGAAAGGGTCCTTGGGTGCCCTGCCTCACCTCGAGAAGCGTCCTTTTGCCCTGCCAAGCCTCGAAGAGATTCCTGAGGTGTCCCTCGTTACTAGACAGGAGTCCTGACGTCACTGAAGAAACTCGTGTTTTGAAGGGCCATCCCCGCCGTAAATCGAGAACATACCCCAGGTCCCCGCCGCAACTCGAGAAAAACCATGAGACTTCCCCCTAGAGGCGATATGAGGCCCCATTCCCCTGCAGTGCATGCAGAGCTATTCCGTGATCCCATTCAAACAAGTCAGGAGCTTCGACTTGCTTAATGGATCTCGAGACAGTCCCCAAGAACACTGTCACCAGTCTAGACGGACCCTGAGGTCACCCCAGCAACGCAAAGCAGCTCCATGTGCCCCAAATCAACTCGAGATGAGGCCCGATTCTCCTGCATTGACTCCAGAGCCATTCCCCGTTCCCCATTCAGCATGACCGGTGGCTCTACTTCCTTCAGGCAACTCCAGAGATGCCCCGAGAACACTGTCCCAAGTCTAGAGGAACACCAACTTCAGCACAGCAACTCGAGGAATGCTCCGTGTACCCCAAATCGTCTCGAGATGAGAGCTGATTCCCTGGCTTAGGCTCAAGACGTAGGCCAACTTCCCAGAAGCACCTCAGGAGGAGGCTTCTCTCAGCAATAGGTATATGGGAGGGACCCCGAGTTTGCTGCCTCAAGCGGAATATACAGCGAGAAGCCCTAACTTGATAGGAGGCCAGATTTCCTTGCAGTGGCTTGAATACAGGCTCGTCTTTCATCTCACAACATGAAGGGATGTCTGAATCCCCTGTGGAGACCTTAGAGAAAGCCCTAGGTCCCTGCCTCATTTTGACGGAATGCCTCACATCCCGCTGACACCTCGAGAGGCACGCGGAGTTCATTGCTTCAAAAGGTGACGATGCCTGACTCCTCTTGAATACTGATAGGAATCCCAAAATCCCTGTGGCTACTGGAAAGGGTCCTTGGGTGCCCTGCCTCACCTCGGGAAGCGTCCTTTTGCCCTGCCAAGCCTCATAGAGATTCCTGAGGTGTCCCTCGTTACTAGACAGGAGTCCTGACGTCACTGAAGAAACTCGTGTTTTGAAGGGCCATCCCCGCCGTAAGTCGAGAACATACCCCAGGTCCCCGCCGCAACTCGAGAAAAACCATGAGACTTCCCCCTAGAGGCGAGATGAGGCCCCATTCCCCTGCAGTGCATGCAGAGCTATTCCGTGATCCCATTCAAACAAGTCAGGAGCTTCGACTTGCTTCATGGATCTCGAGACAGTCCCCAAGAACACTGTCACCAGTCTAGACGGACCCTGAGGTCACCCCAGCAACGCAAAGCAGCTCCATGTGCCCCAAATCAACTCGAGATGAGGCCCGATTCCCCTGCATTGACTCCAGAGCCATTCCCCTTTCCCCATTCAACACGACCGGTGGCTCGACTTCCTTCAGGCAACTCCAGAGATGCCCCGAGAACACTGTCCCAAGTCTAGAGGAACACCAACTTCAGCACAGCAACTCGAGGAATGCTCCGTGTACCCCAAATCGTCTCGAGATGAGAGCTGATTCCCTGGCTTAGGCTCAAGACGTATGCCAACTTCCCAGAAGCACCTCAGGAGGAGGCTTCTCTCAGCTATAAGTATGTGAGAGGGACCCCGAGTTTGCTGCCTCAAGGGGAATATACAGCGAGAAGCCCTAACTTGAAAGGAGGCCGGATTTCCTTGCATTGGCTTGAATACAGGCTCGTCTTTCATCTCACAACATGAAGGGATGTCTGAATCCCCTGTGGAGACCTTAGAGAAAGCCCTAGGTCCCTGCCTCATTTTGACGGAATGCCTCACATCCCGCTGACACCTCGAGAGGCACGCGGAGTTCATTGCTTCAAAAGGTGACGATGCCTGACTCCTCTTGAATACTGATAGGAATCCCAAAATCCCTGTGGCTACTGGAAAGGGTCCTTGGGTGCCCTGCCTCACCTCGAGAAGCGTCGCTTTTGCCCTGCCAAGCCTCGAAGAGATTCCTGAGGTGTCCCTCGTTACTAGACAGGAGTCCTGACGTCACTGAAGAAACTCGTGTTTTGAGGGGCCATCCCAGCCGTAAGTCGAGAACATACCCCAGGTCCCCGCCGCAACTCGAGAAAAACCATGAGACTTCCCCCTAGATTCGAGATGAGGCCCCATTCCCCTGCAGTGCATGCAGAGCTATTCCGTGATCCCATTCAAACAAGTCAGGAGCTTCGACTTGCTTAATGGATCTCTAGACAGTCCCCAAGATCACTGTCACCAGTCTAGACGGACCCTGAGGTCACCCCAGCAACGCAAAGCAGCTCCATGTGCCCCAAATCAACTCGAGATGAGGCCCGATTCCCCTGCATTGACTCCAGAGCCATTCCCCGTTCCCCATTCAACACGACCGGTGGCTCGACTTCCTTCAGGCAACTCCAGAGATGCCCCGAGAACACTGTCCCAAGTCTAGAGGAACAACAACATCAGCACAGCAACTCGAGGAATGCTCCGTGTACCCCAAATCGTCTCGAGATGCGAGCTGATTCCCTGGCTTAGGCTCAAGACGTATGCCAACTTCCCAGAAGCACCTCAGGAGGAGGCTTCTCTCAGCAATAGGTATGTGGGAGGGACCCCGAGTTTGCTGCCTCAAGGGGAATATACAGCGAGAAGCCCTAACTTGAAAGGCGGCCGGATTTCCTTGCAGTGGCTTGATTACAGGCTCGTCTTTCATCTCACAACATGAAGGGAAGTCTGAATCCCCTGTGGAGACCTTAGAGAAAGCCCTAGGACCCTGCCTCATTTTGACGGAATGCCTCACGTCGCGCTGACACCTCGAGAGGCACGCGGAGTTCATTGCTTCAAAAGGTGACGATGCCTGACTCCTCTTGAATACTGATAGGAATCCCAAAATCCCTGTGGCTACTGGAAAGGGTCCTTGGGTACCCTGCCTCACCTCAAGAAGCGTCTCTTTTGCCCTGCAAAGCCTCGAAGAGATTCCTGAGGTGTCCCTCGTTACTAGACAGGAGTCCTGACGTCACTGAAGAAACTCGTGTTTTGAAGGGCCATCCCCGCCGTAAGTCGAGAACATACCCCAGGTCCCCGCCGCAACTCGAGAAAAACCATGAGACTTCCCCCTAGAGGCGAGATGAGGCCCCATTCCCCTGCAGTGCATGCAGAGCTATTCCGTGATCCCATTCAAACAAGTCAGGAGCTTCGACTTGCTTCATGGATCTCGAGACAGTCCCCAATAACACTGTCACCAGTCTAGACGGACCCTGAGGTCACCCCAGCAACGCAAAGCAGCTCCATGTGCCCCAAATCAACTCGAGATGAGGCCCGATTCCCCTGCATTGACTCCAGAGCCATTCCCCGTTCCCCATTCAACACGACCGGTGGCTCGACTTCCTTCAGGCAACTCCAGAGATGCCCCGAGAACACTGTCCCAAGTCTAGAGGAACACCAACTTCAGCACAGCAACTCGAGGAATGCTCCGTGTACCCCAAATCGTCTCGAGATGAGAGCTGATTCCCTGGCTTAGGCTCAAGACGTAGGCCAACTTCCCAGAAGCACCTCAGGAGGAGGCTTCTCTCAGCAATAGGTATATGGGAGGGACCCCGAGTTTGCTGCCTCAAGGGGAATATACAGCGAGAAGCCCTAACTTGAAAGGAGGCCGGATTTCCTTGCAGTGGCTTGAATACAGGCTCGTCTTTCATCTCACAACATGAAGGGATGACTGAATCCCCTGTGGAGACCTTAGAGATAGCCCTAGGTCCCTGCCTCATTTTGACGGAATGCCTCACATCCCGCTGACACCTCGAGAGGCACGCGGAGTTCATTGCTTCAAAAGGTGACGATGCCTGACTCCTCTTGAATACTGATAGGAATCCCAAAATCCCTGTGGCTACTGGAAAGGGTCCTTGGGTGCCCTGCCTCACCTCGGGAAGCGTCCTTTTGCCCTGCCAAGCCTCGAAGAGATTCCTGAGGTGTCCCTCGTTACTAGACAGGAGTCCTGACGTCACTGAAGAAACTCGTGTTTTGAAGGGCCATCCCCGCCGTAAGTCGAGAACATACCCCAGGTCCCCGCCGCAACTAGAGAAAAACCATGAGACTTCCCCCTAGAGGCGAGATGAGGCCCCATTCCCCTGCAGTGCATGCAGAGCTATTCCGTGATCCCATTCAAACAAGTCAGGAGATTCGACTTGCTTCATGGATCTCGAGACAGTCCCCAAGAACACTGTCACCAGTCTAGACGGACCCTGAGGTCACCCCAGCAACGCAAAGCAGCTCCATGTGCCCCAAATCAACTCGAGATGAGGCCCGATTCCCCTGCATTGACTCCAGAGCCATTCCCCGTTCCCCATTCAGCACGACCGGTGTCTCGACTTCCTTCAGGCAACTCCAGAGATGCCCCGAGAACACTGTCCCAAGTCTAGAGGAACACCAACTTCAGCACAGCAACTCGAGGAATGCTCCGTGTACCCCAAATCGTCTCGAGATGAGAGCTGATTCCCTGGCTTAGGCTCAAGACGTATGCCAACTTCCCAGAAGCACCTCAGGAGGAGGCTTCTCTCAGCTATAAGTATGTGGGAGGGACCCCGAGTTTGCTGCCTCAAGGGGAATATACAGCGAGAAGCCCTAACTTGAAAGGAGGCCGGATTTCCTTGCAGTGGCTTGAATACAGGCTCGTCTTTCATCTCACAACATGAAGGGATGTCTGAATCCCCTGTGGAGACCTTAGAGAAAGCCCTAGGTCCCTGCCTCATTTTGACGGAATGCCTCACATCCCGCTGACACCTCGAGAGGCACGCGGAGTTCATTGCTTCAAAAGGTGACGATGCCTGACTCCTCTTGAATACTGATAGGAATCCCAAAATCCCTGTGGCTACTGGAAAGGGTCCTTGGGTGCCCTGCCTCACCTCGAGAAGCGTCCCTTTTGCCCTGCCAAGCCTCGAAGAGATTCCTGAGGTGTCCCTCGTTACTAGACAGGAGTCCTGACGTCACTGAAGAAACTCGTGTTTTGAGGGGCCATCCCAGCCGTAAGTCGAGAACATACCCCAGGTCCCCGCCGCAACTCGAGAAAAACCATGAGACTTCCCCCTAGATTCGAGATGAGGCCCCATTCCCCTGCAGTGCATGCAGAGCTATTCCGTGATCCCATTCAAACAAGTCAGGAGCTTCGACTTGCTTCATGGATCTCGAGACAGTCCCCAAGAACACTGTCACCAGTCTAGACGGACCCTGAGGTCACCCCAGCAACGCAAAGCAGCTCCATGTGCCCCAAATCAACTCGAGATGAGGCCCGATTCCCCTGCATTGACTCCAGAGCCATTCCCCGTTCCCCATTCAACACGACCGGTGGCTCGACTTCCTTCAGGCAACTCCAGAGATGCCCCGAGAACACTGTCCCAAGTCTAGAGGAACACCAACTTCAGCACAGCAACTCGAGGAATGCTCCGTGTACCCCAAATCGTCTCGAGATGAGAGCTGATTCCCTGGCTTAGGCTCAAGACGTAGGCCAACTTCCCAGAAGCACCTCAGGAGGAGGCTTCTCTCAGCAATAGGTATATGGGAGGGACCCCGAGTTTGCTGCCTCAAGGGGAATATACAGCGAGAAGCCCTAACTTGAAAGGAGGACAGATTTCCTTGCAGTGGCTTGAATACAGGCTCGTCTTTCATCTCACAACATGAAGGGATGTCTGAATCCCCTGTGGAGACCTTAGAGAAAGCCCTAGGTCCCTGCCTCATTTTGACGGAATGCCTCACATCCCGCTGACACCTCGAGAGGCACGCGGAGTTCATTGCTTCAAAAGGTGACGATGCCTGACTCCTCTTGAATACTGATAGGAATCCCAAAATCCCTGAGGCTACTGGAAAGGGTCCTTGGGTGCCCTGCCTCACCTCGGGAAGCGTCCTTTTGCCCTGCCAAGCCTCGAAGAGATTCCTGAGGTGTCCCTCGTTACTAGACAGGAGTCCTGACGTCACTGAAGAAACTCGTGTTTTGAAGGGCCATCCCCGCCGTAAGTCGAGAACATACCCCAGGTCCCCGCCGCAACTCGAGAAAAACCATGAGACTTCCCCCTAGAGGCCAAATGAGGCCCCATTCCCCTGCAGTGCATGCAGAGCTATTCCGTGATCCCATTCAAACAAGTCAGGAGCTTCGACTTGCTTCATGGATCTCGAGACAGTCCCCAAGAACACTGTCACCAGTCTAGACGGACCCTGAGGTCACCCCAGCAACGCAAAGCAGCTCCATGTGCCCCAAATCAACTCGAGATGAGGCCCGATTCCCCTGCATTGACTCCAGAGCCATTCCCCGTTCCCCATTCAGCACGACCGGTGTCTCGACTTCCTTCAGGCAACTCCAGAGATGCCCCGAGAACACTGTCCCAAGTCTAGAGGAACACCAACATCAGCACAGCAACTCGAGGAATGCTCCGTGTACCCCAAATCGTCTCGAGATGCGAGCTGATTCCCTGGCTTAGGCTCAAGACGTATGCCAACTTCCCAGAAGCACCTCAGGAGGAGGCTTCTCTCAGCAATAGGTATGTGGGAGGGACCCCGAGTTTGCTGCCTCAAGGGGAATATACAGCGAGAAGCCCTAACTTGAAAGGCGGCCGGATTTCCTTGCAGTGGCTTGATTACAGGCTCGTCTTTCATCTCACAACATGAAGGGATGTCTGAATCCCCTGTGGAGACCTTAGAGAAAGCCCTAGGACCCTGCCTCATTTTGACGGAATGCCTCACGTCGCGCTGACACCTCGAGAGGCACGCGGAGTTCATTGCTTCAAAAGGTGACGATGCCTGACTCCTCTTGAATACTGATAGGAATCCCAAAATCCCTGTGGCTACTGGAAAGGGTCCTTGGGTGCTCTGCCTCACCTCAAGAAGCGTCTCTTTTGCCCTGCAAAGCCTCGAAGAGATTCCTGAGGTGTCCCTCGTTACTAGACAGGAGTCCTGACGTCACTGAAGAAACTCGTGTTTTGAAGGGCCATCCCCGCCGTAAGTCGAGAACATACCCCAGGTCCCCGCCGCAACTCGAGAAAAACCATGAGACTTCCCCCTAGAGGCGAGATGAGGCCCCATTCCCCTGCAGTGCATGCAGAGCTATTCCGTGATCCCATTCAAACAAGTCAGGAGCTTCGACTTGCTTCATGGATCTCGAGACAGTCCCCAAGAACACTGTCACCAGTCTAGACGGACCCTGAGGTCACCCCAGCAACGCAAAGCAGCTCCATGTGCCCCAAATCAACTCGAGATGAGGCCCGATTCCCCTGCATTGACTCCAGAGCCATTCCCCGTTCCCCATTCAACACGACCGGTGGCTCGACTTCCTTCAGGCAACTCCAGAGATGCCCCGAGAACACTGTCCCAACTCTAGAGGAACACCAACTTCAGCACAGCAACTCGAGGAATGCTCCGTGTACCCGAAATCGTCTCGAGATGAGAGCTGATTCCCTGGCTTAGGCTCAAGACGTAGGCCAACTTCCCAGAAGAACCTCAGGAGGAGGCTTCTCTCAGCAATAGGTATATGGGAGGGACCCCGAGTTTGCTGCCTCAAGGGGAATATACAGCGAGAAGCCCTAACTTGAAAGGAGGCCGGATTTCCTTGCAGTGGCTTGAATACAGGCTCGTCTTTCATCTCACAACATGAAGGGATGTCTGAATCCCCTGTGGAGACCTTAGAGAAAGCCCTAGGTCCCTGCCTCATTTTGACGGAATGCCACACATCCCGCTGACACCTCGAGAGGCACGCGGAGTTCATTGCTTCAAAAGGTGACGATGCCTGACTCCTCTTGAATACTGATAGGAATCCCAAAATCCCTGTGGCTACTGGAAAGGGTCCTTGGGTGCCCTGCCTCACCTCGGGAAGCGTCCTTTTGCCCTGCCAAGCCTCGAAGAGATTCCTGAGGTGTCCCTCGTTACTAGACAGGAGTCCTGACGTCACTGAAGAAACTCGTGTTTTGAAGGGCCATCCCCGCCGTAAGTCGAGAACATACCCCAGGTCCCCGCCGCAACTCGAGAAAAACCATGAGACTTCCCCCTAGAGGCGAGATGAGGCCCCATTCCCCTGCAGTGCATGCAGAGCTATTCCGTGATCCCATTCAAACAAGTCAGGAGCTTCGACTTGCTTCATGGATCTCGAGACAGTCCCCAAGAACACTGTCACCAGTCTAGACGGACCCTGAGGTCACCCCAGCAACCCAAAGCAGCTCCATGTGCCCCAAATCAACTCGAGATGAGGCCCGATTCCCCTGCATTGACTCCAGAGCCATTCCCCGTTCCCCATTCAACACGACCGGTGGCTCGACTTCCTTCAGGCAACTCCAGAGATGCCCCGAGAACACTGTCCCAAGTCTAGAGGAACACCAACTTCAGCACAGCAACTCGAGGAATGCTCCGTGTACCCCAAATCGTCTCGAGATGAGAGCTGATTCCCTGGCTTTGGCTCAAGACGTAGGCCAACTTCCCAGAAGAACCTCAGGAGGAGGCTTCTCTCAGCAATAGGTATATGGGAGGGACCCCGAGTTTGCTGCCTCAAGGGGAATATACAGCGAGAAGCCCTAACTTGAAAGGAGGCCGGATTTCCTTGCAGTGGCTTGAATACAGGCTCGTCTTTCATCTCACAACATGAAGGGATGTCTGAATCCCCTGTGGAGACCTTAGAGAAAGCCCTAGGTCCCTGCCTCATTTTGACGGAATGCCTCACATCCCGCTGACACCTCGAGAGGCACGCGGAGTTCATTGCTTCAAAAGGTGACGATGCCTGACTCCTCTTGAATACTGATAGGAATCCCAAAATCCCTGTGGCTACTGGAAAGGGTCCTTGGGTGCCCTGCCTCACCTCGGGAAGCGTCCTTTTGCCCTGCCAAGCCTCGAAGAGATTCCTGAGGTGTCCCTCGTTACTAGACAGGAGTCCTGACGTCACTGAAGAAACTCGTGTTTTGAAGGGCCATCCCCGCCGTAAGTCGAGAACATACCCCAGGTCCCCGCCGCAACTCGAGAAAAACCATGAGACTTCCCCCTAGAGGCGAGATGAGGCCCCATTCCCCTGCAGTGCATGCAGAGCTATTCCGTGATCCCATTCAAACAAGTCAGGAGCTTCGACTTGCTTCATGGATCTCGAGACAGTCCCCAAGAACACTGTCACCAGTCTAGACGGACCCTGAGGTCACCCCAGCAACGCAAAGCAGCTCCATGTGCCCCAAATCAACTCGAGATGAGGCCCGATTCCCCTGCATTGACTCCAGAGCCATTCCCCGTTCCCCATTCAACACGACCGGTGGCTCGACTTCCTTCAGGCAACTCCAGAGATGCCCCGAGAACACTGTCCCAAGTCTAGAGGAACACCAACTTCAGCACAGCAACTCGAGGAATGCTCCGTGTACCCCAAATCGTCTCGAGATGAGAGCTGATTCCCTGGCTTAGGCTCAAGACGTAGGCCAACTTCCCAGAAGCACCTCAGGAGGAGGCTTCTCTCAGCAATAGGTATATGGGAGGGACCCCGAGTTTGCTGCCTCAAGGGGAATATACAGCGAGAAGCCCTAACTTGAAAGGAGGACAGATTTCCTTGCAGTGGCTTGAATACAGGCTCGTCTTTCATCTCACAACATGAAGGGATGTCTGAATCCCCTGTGGAGACCTTAGAGAAAGCCCTAGGTCCCTGCCTCATTTTGACGGAATGCCTCACATCCCGCTGACACCTCGAGAGGCACGCGGAGTTCATTGCTTCAAAAGGTGACGATGCCTGACTCCTCTTGAATACTGATAGGAATCCCAAAATCCCTGTGGCTACTGGAAAGGGTCCTTGGGTGCCCTGCCTCACCTCGGGAAGCGTCCTTTTGCCCTGCCAAGCCTCGAAGAGATTCCTGAGGTGTCCCTCGTTACTAGACAGGAGTCCTGACGTCACTGAAGAAACTCGTGTTTTGAAGGGCCATCCCCGCCGTAAGTCGAGAACATACCCCAGGTCCCCGCCGCAACTCGAGAAAAACCATGAGACTTCCCCCTAGAGGCGAGATGAGGCCCCATTCCCCTGCAGTGCATGCAGAGCTATTCCGTGATCCCATTCAAACAAGTCAGGAGCTTCGACTTGCTTCATGGATCTCGAGACAGTCCCCAAGAACACTGTCACCAGTCTAGACGGACCCTGAGGTCACCCCAGCAACGCAAAGCAGCTCCATGTGCCCCAAATCAACTCGAGATGAGGCCCGATTCCCCTGCATTGACTCCAGAGCCATTCCCCGTTCCCCATTCAACACGACCGGTGGCTCGACTTCCTTCAGGCAACTCCAGAGATGCCCCGAGAACACTGTCCCAAGTCTAGAGGAACACCAACTTCAGCACAGCAACTCGAGGAATGCTCCGTGTACCCCAAATCGTCTCGAGATGAGAGCTGATTCCCTGGCTTAGGCTCAAGACGTATGCCAACTTCCCAGAAGCACCTCAGGAGGAGGCTTCTCTCAGCTATAAGTATGTGAGAGGGACCCCGAGTTTGCTGCCTCAAGGGGAATATACAGCGAGAAGCCCTAACTTGAAAGGAGGCCGGATTTCCTTGCAGTGGCTTGAATACAGGCTCGTCTTTCATCTCACAACATGAAGGGATGTCTGAATCCCCTGTGGAGACCTTAGAGAAAGCCCTAGGTCCCTGCCTCATTTTGACGGAATGCCTCACATCCCGCTGACACATCGAGAGGCACGCGGAGTTCATTGCTTCAAAAGGTGACGATGCCTGACTCCTCTTGAATACTGATAGGAATCCCAAAATCCCTGTGGCTACTGGAAAGGGTCCTTGGGTGCCCTGCCTCACCTCGAGAAGCGTCGCTTTTGCCCTGCCAAGCCTCGCAGAGATTCCTGAGGTGTCCCTCGTTACTAGACAGGAGTCCTGACGTCACTGAAGAAACTCGTGTTTTGAGGGGCCATCCCAGCCGTAAGTCGAGAACATACCCCAGGTCCCCGCCGCAACTCGAGAAAAACCATGAGACTTCCCCCTAGATTCGAGATGAGGCCCCATTCCCCTGCAGTGCATGCAGAGCTATTCCGTGATCCCATTCAAACAAGTCAGGAGCTTCGACTTGCTTCATGGATCTCTAGACAGTCCCCAAGATCACTGTCACCAGTCTAGACGGACCCTGAGGTCACCCCAGCAACGCAAAGCAGCTCCATGTGCCCCAAATCAACTCGAGATGAGGCCCGATTCCCCTGCATTGACTCCAGAGCCATTCCCCGTTCCCCATTCAACACGACCGGTGGCTCGACTTCCTTCAGGCAACTCCAGAGATGCCCCGAGAACACTGTCCCAAGTCTAGAGGAACACCAACTTCAGCACAGCAACTCGAGGAATGCTCCGTGTACCCCAAATCGTCTCGAGATGCGAGCTGATTCCCTGGCTTAGGCTCAAGACGTATGCCAACTTCCCAGAAGCACCTCAGGAGGAGGCTTCTCTCAGCAATAGGTATGTGGGAGGGACCCCGAGTTTGCTGCCTCAAGGGGAATATACAGCGAGAAGCCCTAACTTGAAAGGTGGCCGGATTTCCTTGCAGTGGCTTGATTACAGGCTCGTCTTTCATCTCACAACATGAAGGGATGTCTGAATCCCCTGTGGAGACCTTAGAGAAAGCCCTAGGACCCTGCCTCATTTTGACGGAATGCCTCACGTCGCGCTGACACCTCGAGAGGCACGCGGAGTTCATTGCTTCAAAAGGTGACGATGCCTGACTCCTCTTGAATACTGATAGGAATCCCAAAATCCCTGTGGCTACTGGAAAGGGTCCTTGGGTGCCCTGCCTCACCTCAAGAAGCGTCTCTTTTGCCCTGCAAAGCCTCGAAGAGATTCCTGAGGTGTCCCTCGTTACTAGACAGGAGTCCTGACGTCACTGAAGAAACTCGTGTTTTGAAGGGCCATCCCCGCCGTAAGTCGAGAACATACCCCAGGTCCCCGCCGCAACTCGAGAAAAACCATGAGACTTCCCCCTAGAGGCGAGATGAGGCCCCATTCCCCTGCAGTGCATGCAGAGCTATTCCGTGATCCCATTCAAACAAGTCAGGAGCTTCGACTTGCTTCATGGATCTCGAGACAGTCCCCAAGAACACTGTCACAAGTCTAGACGGACCCTGAGGTCACCCCAGCAACGCAAAGCAGCTCCATGTGCCCCAAATCAACTCGAGATGAGGCCCGATTCCCCTGCATTGACTCCAGAGCCATTCCCCGTTCCCCATTCAACACGACCGGTGGCTCGACTTCCTTCAGGCAACTCCAGAGATGCCCCGAGAACACTGTCCCAAGTCTAGAGGAACACCAACTTCAGCACAGCAACTCGAGGAATGCTCCGTGTACCCCAAATCGTCTCGAGATGAGAGCTGATTCCCTGGCTTAGGCTCAAGACGTAGGCCAACTTCCCAGAAGCACCTCAGGAGGAGGCTTCTCTCAGCAACAGGTATATGGGAGGGACCCCGAGTTTGCTGCCTCAAGGGGAATATACAGCGAGAAGCCCTAACTTGAAAGGAGGCCGGATTTCCTTGCAGTGGCTTGAATACAGGCTCGTCTTTCATCTCACAACATGAAGGGATGTCTGAATCCCCTGTGGAGACCTTAGAGAAAGCCCTAGGTCCCTGCCTCATTTTGACGGAATGCCTCACATCCCGCTGACACCTCGAGAGGCACGCGGAGTTCATTGCTTCAAAAGGTGACGATGCCTGACTCCTCTTGAATACTGATAGGAATCCCAAAATCCCTGTGGCTACTGGAAAGGGTCCTTGGGTGCCCTGCCTCACCTCGGGAAGCGTCCTTTTGCCCTGCCAAGCCTCGAAGAGATTCCTGAGGTGTCCCTCGTTACTAGACAGGAGTCCTGACGTCACTGAAGAAACTCGTGTTTTGAAGGGCCATCCCCGCCGTAAGTCGAGAACATACCCCAGGTCCCCGCCGCAACTCGAGAAAAACCATGAGACTTCCCCCTAGAGGCGAGATGAGGCCCCATTCCCCTGCAGTGCATGCAGAGCTATTCCGTGATCCCATTCAAACAAGTCAGGAGCTTCGACTTGCTTCATGGATCTCGAGACAGTCCCCAAGAACACTGTCACCAGTCTAGACGGACCCTGAGGTCACCCCAGCAACGCAAAGCAGCTCCATGTGCCCCAAATCAACTCGAGATGAGGCCCGATTCCCCTGCATTGACTCCAGAGCCATTCCCCGTTCCCCATTCAGCACGACCGGTGTCTCGACTTCCTTCAGGCAACTCCAGAGATGCCCCGAGAACACTGTCCCAAGTCTAGAGGAACACCAACTTCAGCACAGCAACTCGAGGAATGCTCCGTGTACCCCAAATCGTCTCGAGATGAGAGCTGATTCCCTGGCTTAGGCTCAAGACGTATGCCAACTTCCCAGAAGCACCTCAGGAGGAGGCTTCTCTCAGCTATAAGTATGTGGGAGGGACCCCGAGTTTGCTGCCTCAAGGGGAATATACAGCGAGAAGCCCTAACTTGAAAGGAGGCCGGATTTCCTTGCAGTGGCTTGAATACAGGCTCGTCTTTCATCTCACAACATGAAGGGATGTCTGAATCCCCTGTGCAGACCTTAGAGAAAGCCCTAGGTCCCTGCCTCATTTTGACGGAATGCCTCACATCCCGCTGACACCTCGAGACGCACGCGGAGTTCATTGCTTCAAAAGGTGACGATGCCTGACTCCTCTTGAATACTGATAGGAATCCCAAAATCCCTGTGGCTACTGGAAAGGGTCCTTGGGTGCCCTGCCTCACCTCAAGAAGCGTCTCTTTTGCCCTGCAAAGCCTCGAAGAGATTCCTGAGGTGTCCCTCGTTACTAGACAGGAGTCCTGACGTCACTGAAGAAACTCGTGTTTTGAAGGGCCATCCACGCCGTAAGTCGAGAACATAACACAGGTCCCCGCCGCAACTCGAGAAAAACCATGAGACTTCCCCCTAGAGGCGAGATGAGGCCCCATTCCCCTGCAGTGCATGCAGAGCTATTCCGTGATCCCATTCAAACAAGTCAGGAGCTTCGACTTGCTTCATGGATCTCGAGACAGTCCCCAAGAACACTGTCACCAGTCTAGACGGACCCTGAGGTCACCCCAGCAACGCAAAACAGCTCCATGTGCCCCAAATCAACTCGAGATGAGGCCCGATTCCCCTGCATCGACTCCAGAGCCATTCCCCTTTCCCCATTCAACACGACCGGTGGCTCGACTTCCTTCAGGCAACTCCAGAGATGCCCCGAGAACACTGTCCCAAGTCTAGAGGAACACCAACTTCAGCACAGCAACTCGAGGAATGCTCCGTGTACCCCAAATCGTCTCGAGATGAGAGCTGATTCCCGGGCTTATTCTCAAGACGTATGCCAACTTCCCAGAAGCACCTCAGGAGGAGGCTTCTCTCTGCAATAGGTATGTGGGAGGGACCCCGAGTTTGCTGCCTCAAGGGGAATATACAGCGAGAAGCCCTAACTTGAAAGGAGGCCGGATTTCCTTGCAGTGGCTTGAATACAGGCTCGTCTTTCATCTCACAACATGAAGGGATGTCTGAATCCCCTGTGGAGACCTTAGAGAAAGCCCTAGGTCCCTGCCTCATTTTGACGGAATGCCTCACATCCCGCTGACACCTCGAGAGGCACGCGGAGTTCATTGCTTCAAAAGGTGACGATGCCTGACTCCTCTTGAATACTGATAGGAATCCCAAAATCCCTGTGGCTACTGGAAAGGGTCCTTGGGTGTCCTGCCTCACCTCGAGAAGCGTCGCTTTTGCCCTGCCAAGCCTCGAAGAGATTCCTGAGGTGTCCCTCGTTACTAGACAGGAGTCCTCACGTCACTGAAGAAACTCGTGTTTTGAGGGGCCATCCCAGCCGTAAGTCGAGAACATACCCCAGGTCCCCGCCGCAACTCGAGAAAAACCATGAGACTTCCCCCTAGATTCGAGATGAGGCCCCATTCCCCTGCAGTGCATGCAGAGCTATTCCGTGATCCCATTCAAACAAGTCAGGAGCTTCGACTTGCTTCATGGATCTCTAGACAGTCCCCAAGATCACTGTCACCAGTCTAGACGGACCCTGAGGTCACCCCAGCAACGCAAAGCAGCTCCATGTGCCCCAAATCAACTCGAGATGAGGCCCGATTCCCCTGCATTGACTCCAGAGCCATTCCCCGTTCCCCATTCAACACGACCGGTGGCTCGACTTCCTTCAGGCAACTCCAGAGATGCCCCGAGAACACTGTCCCAAGTCTAGAGGAACACCAACTTCAGCACAGCAACTCGAGGAATGCTCCGTGTACCCCAAATCGTCTCGAGATGCGAGCTGATTCCCTGGCTTAGGCTCAAGACGTATGCCAACTTCCCAGAAGCACCTCAGGAGGAGGCTTCTCTCAGCAATAGGTATGTGGGAGGGACCCCGAGTTTGCTGCCTCAAGGGGAATATACAGAGAGAAGCCCTAACTTGAAAGGTGGCCGGATTTCCTTGCAGTGGCTTGATTACAGGCTCGTCTTTCATCTCACAACATGAAGGGATGTCTGAATCCCCTGTGGAGACCTTAGAGAAAGCCCTAGGACCCTGCCTCATTTTGACGGAATGCCTCACGTCGCGCTGACACCTCGAGAGGCACGCGGAGTTCATTGCTTCAAAAGGTGACGATGCCTGACTCCTCTTGAATACTGATAGGAATCCCAAAATCCCTGTGGCTACTGGAAAGGGTCCTTGGGTGCCCTGCCTCACCTCAAGAAGCGTCTCTTTTGCCCTGCAAAGCCTCGAAGAGATTCCTGAGGTGTCCCTCGTTACTAGACAGGAGTCCTGACGTCACTGAAGAAACTCGTGTTTTGAAAGGACATCCCCGCCGTAAGTCGAGAACATACCCCAAGTCCCCGCCGCAACTCGAGAAAAACCATGAGACTTCCCCCTAGAGGCGAGATGAGGCCCCATTCCCCTGCAGTGCATGCAGGGCTATTCCGTGATCCCATTCAAACAAGTCAGGAGCTTCGACTTGCTTCATGGATCTCGAGACAGTCCCCAAGAACACTGTCACCAGTCTAGACGGACCCTGAGGTCACCCCAGCAACGCAAAGCAGCTCCATGTGCCCCAAATCAACTCGAGATGAGGCCCGATTCCCCTGCATTGACTCCAGAGCCATTCCCCGTTCCCCATTCAACACGACCGGTGGCTCGACTTCCTTCAGGCAACTCCAGAGATGCCCCGAGAACACTGTCCCAAGTCTAGAGGAACACCAACTTCAGCACAGCAACTCGAGGAATGCTCCGTGTACCCCAAATCGTCTCGAGATGAGAGCTGATTCCCTGGCTTAGGCTCAAGACGTAGGCCAACTTCCCAGAAGCACCTCAGGAGGAGGCTTCTCTCAGCAATAGGTATATGGGAGGGACCCCGAGTTTGCTGCCTCAAGGGGAATATACAGCGAGAAGCCCTAACTTGAAAGGAGGCCGGATTTCCTTGCAGTGGCTTGAATACAGGCTCGTCTTTCATCTCACAACATGAAGGGATGTCTGAATCCCCTGTGGAGACCTTAGAGAAAGCCCTAGGTCCCTGCCTCATTTTGACGGAATGCCTCACATCCCGCTGACACCTCGAGAGGCACGCGGAGTTCATTGCTTCAAAAGGTGACGATGCCTGACTCCTCTTGAATACTGATAGGAATCCCAAAATCCCTGTGGCTACTGGAAAGGGTCCTTGGGTGCCCTGCCTCACCTCGGGAAGCGTCCTTTTGCCCTGCCAAGCCTCGAAGAGATTCCTGAGGTGTCCCTCGTTACTAGACAGGAGTCCTGACGTCACTGAAGAAACTCGTGTTTTGAAGGGCCATCCCCGCCGTAAGTCGAGAACATACCCCAGGTCCCCGCCGCAACTCGAGAAAAACCATGAGACTTCCCCCTAGAGGCGAGATGAGGCCCCATTCCCCTGCAGTGCATGCAGAGCTATTCCGTGATCCCATTCAAACAAGTCAGGAGCTTCGACTTGCTTCATGGATCTCGAGACAGTCCCCAAGAACACTGTCACCAGTCTAGACGGACCCTGAGGTCACCCCAGCAACGCAAAGCAGCTCCATGTGCCCCAAATCAACTCGAGATGAGGCCCGATTCCCCTGCATTGACTCCAGAGCCATTCCCCGTTCCCCATTCAGCACGACCGGTGTCTCGACTTCTTTCAGGCAACTCCAGAGATGCCCCGAGAACACTGTCCCAAGTCTAGAGGAACACCAACTTCAGCACAGCAACTCGAGGAATGCTCCGTGTACCCCAAATCGTCTCGAGATGAGAGCTGATTCCCTGGCTTAGGCTCAAGACGTATGCCAACTTCCCAGAAGCACCTCAGGAGGAGGCTTCTCTCAGCTATAAGTATGTGGGAGGGACCCCGAGTTTGCTGCCTCAAGGGGAATATACAGCGAGAAGCCCTAACTTGAAAGGAGGCCGGATTTCCTTGCAGTGGCTTGAATACAGGCTCGTCTTTCATCTCACAACATGAAGGGATGTCTGAATCCCCTGTGGAGACCTTAGAGAAAGCCCTAGGTCCCTGCCTCATTTTGACGGAATGCCTCACATCCCGCTGACACCTCGAGAGGCACGCGGAGTTCATTGCTTCAAAAGGTGACGATGCCTGACTCCTCTTGAATACTGATAGGAATCCCAAAATCCCTGTGGCTACTGGAAAGGGTCCTTGGGTGCCCTGCCTCACCTCGAGAAGCGTCCCTTTTGCCCTGCCAAGCCTCGAAGAGATTCCTGAGGTGTCCCTCGTTACTAGACAGGAGTCCTGACGTCACTGAAGAAACTCGTGTTTTGAGGGGCCATCCCAGCCGTAAGTCGAGAACATACCCCAGGTCCCCGCCGCAACTCGAGAAAAACCATGAGACTTCCCCCTAGATTCGAGATGAGGCCCCATTCCCCTGCAGTGCATGCAGAGCTATTCCGTGATCCCATTCAAACAAGTCAGGAGCTTCGACTTGCTTCATGGATCTCGAGACAGTCCCCAAGAACACTGTCACCAGTCTAGACGGACCCTGAGGTCACCCCAGCAACGCAAAGCAGCTCCATGTGCCCCAAATCAACTCGAGATGAGGCCCGATTCCCCTGCATTGACTCCAGAGCCATTCCCCGTTCCCCATTCAACACGACCGGTGGCTCGACTTCTTTCAGGCAACTCCAGAGATGCCCCGAGAACACTGTCCCAAGTCTAGAGGAACACCAACTTCAGCACAGCAACTCGAGGAATGCTCCGTGTACCCCAAATCGTCTCGAGATGAGAGCTGATTCCCTGGCTTAGGCTCAAGACGTAGGCCAACTTCCCAGAAGCACCTCAGGAGGAGGCTTCTCTCAGCAATAGGTATATGGGAGGGACCCCGAGTTTGCTGCCTCAAGGGGAATATACAGCGAGAAGCCCTAACTTGAAAGGAGGACAGATTTCCTTGCAGTGGCTTGAATACAGGCTCGTCTTTCATCTCACAACATGAAGGGATGTCTGAATCCCCTGTGGAGACCTTAGAGAAAGCCCTAGGTCCCTGCCTCATTTTGACGGAATGCCTCACATCCCGCTGACACCTCGAGAGGCACGCGGAGTTCATTGCTTCAAAAGGTGACGATGCCTGACTCCTCTTGAATACTGATAGGAATCCCAAAATCCCTGTGGCTACTGGAAAGGGTCCTTGGGTGCCCTGCCTCACCTCGGGAAGCGTCCTTTTGCCCTGCCAAGCCTCGAAGAGATTCCTGAGGTGTCCCTCGTTACTAGACAGGAGTCCTGACGTCACTGAAGAAACTCGTGTTTTGAAGGGCCATCCCCGCCGTAAGTCGAGAACATACCCCAGGTCCCCGCCGCAACTCGAGAAAAACCATGAGACTTCCCCCTAGAGGCGAGATGAGGCCCCATTCCCCTGCAGTGCATGCAGAGCTATTCCGTGATCCCATTCAAACAAGTCAGGAGCTTCGACTTGCTTCATGGATCTCGAGACAGTCCCCAAGAACACTGTCACCAGTCTAGACGGACCCTGAGGTCACCCCAGCAACGCAAAGCAGCTCCATGTGCCCCAAATCAACTCGAGATGAGGCCCGATTCCCCTGCATTGACTCCAGAGCCATTCCCCGTTCCCCATTCAGCACGACCGGTGTCTCGACTTCCTTCAGGCAACTCCAGAGATGCCCCGAGAACACTGTCCCAAGTCTAGAGGAACACCAACTTCAGCACAGCAACTCGAGGAATGCTCCGTGTACCCCAAATCGTCTCGAGATGAGAGCTGATTCCCTGGCTTAGGCTCAAGACGTATGCCAACTTCCCAGAAGCACCTCAGGAGGAGGCTTCTCTCAGCTATAAGTATGTGAGAGGGACCCCGAGTTTGCTGCCTCAAGGGGAATATACAGCGAGAAGCCCTAACTTGAAAGGAGGCCGGATTTCCTTGCAGTGGCTTGAATACAGGCTCGTCTTTCATCTCACAACATGAAGGGATGTCTGAATCCCCTGTGGAGACCTTAGAGAAAGCCCTAGGTCCCTGCCTCATTTTGACGGAATGCCTCACATCCCGCTGACACATCGAGAGGCACGCGGAGTTCATTGCTTCAAAAGGTGACGATGCCTGACTCCTCTTGAATACTGATAGGAATCCCAAAATCCCTGTGGCTACTGGAAAGGGTCCTTGGGTGCCCTGCCTCACCTCGAGAAGCGTCGCTTTTGCCCTGCCAAGCCTCGAAGAGATTCCTGAGGTGTCCCTCGTTACTAGACAGGAGTCCTGACGTCACTGAAGAAACTCGTGTTTTGAGGGGCCATCCCAGCCGTAAGTCGAGAACATACCCCAGGTCCCCGCCGCAACTCGAGAAAAACCATGAGACTTCCCCCTAGATTCGAGATGAGGCCCCATTCCCCTGCAGTGCATGCAGAGCTATTCCGTGATCCCATTCAAACAAGTCAGGAGCTTCGACTTGCTTCATGGATCTCTAGACAGTCCCCAAGATCACTGTCACCAGTCTAGACGGACCCTGAGGTCACCCCAGCAACGCAAAGCAGCTCCATGAGCCCCAAATCAACTCGAGATGAGGCCCGATTCCCCTGCATTGACTCCAGAGCCATTCCCCGTTCCCCATTCAACACGACCGGTGGCTCGACTTCCTTCAGGCAACTCCAGAGATGCCCCGAGAACACTGTCCCAAGTCTAGAGGAACACCAACTTCAGCACAGCAACTCGAGGAATGCTCCGTGTACCCCAAATCGTCTCGAGATGCGAGCTGATTCCCTGGCTTAGGCTCAAGACGTATGCCAACTTCCCAGAAGCACCTCAGGAGGAGGCTTCTCTCAGCAATAGGTATGTGGGAGGGACCCCGAGTTTGCTGCCTCAAGGGGAATATACAGCGAGAAGCCCTAACTTGAAAGGTGGCCGGATTTCCTTGCAGTGGCTTGATTACAGGCTTGTCTTTCATCTCACAACATGAAGGGATGTCTGAATCCCCTGTGGAGACCTTAGAGAAAGCCCTAGGACCCTGCCTCATTTTGACGGAATGCCTCACGTCGCGCTGACACCTCGAGAGGCACGCGGAGTTCATTGCTTCAAAAGGTGACGATGCCTGACTCCTCTTGAATACTGATAGGAATCCCAAAATCCCTGTGGCTACTGGAAAGGGTCCTTGGGTGCCCTGCCTCACCTCAAGAAGCGTCTCTTTTGCCCTGCAAAGCCTCGAAGAGATTCCTGAGGTGTCCCTCGTTACTAGACAGGAGTCCTGACGTCACTGAAGAAACTCGTGTTTTGAAGGGCCATCCCCGCCGTAAGTCGAGAACATACCCCAGGTCCCCGCCGCAACTCGAGAAAAACCATGAGACTTCCCCCTAGAGGCGAGATGAGGCCCCATTCCCCTGCAGTGCATGCAGAGCTATTCCGTGATCCCATTCAAACAAGTCAGGAGCTTCGACTTGCTTCATGGATCTCGAGACAGTCCCCAAGAACACTGTCACCAGTCTAGACGGACCCTGAGGTCACCCCAGCAACGCAAAGCAGCTCCATGTGCCCCAAATCAACTCGAGATGAGGCCCGATTCCCCTGCATTGACTCCAGAGCCATTCCCCGTTCCCCATTCAACACGACCGGTGGCTCGACTTCCTTCAGGCAACTCCAGAGATGCCCCGAGAACACTGTCCCAAGTCTAGAGGAACACCAACTTCAGCACAGCAACTCGAGGAATGCTCCGTGTACCCCAAATCGTCTCGAGATGAGAGCTGATTCCCTGGCTTAGGCTCAAGACGTAGGCCAACTTCCCAGAAGCACCTCAGGAGGAGGCTTCTCTCAGCAATAGGTATATGGGAGGGACCCCGAGTTTGCTGCCTCAAGGGGAATATACAGCGAGAAGCCCTAACTTGAAAGGAGGCCGGATTTCCTTGCAGTGGCTTGAATACAGGCTCGTCTTTCATCTCACAACATGAAGGGATGTCTGAATCCCCTGTGGAGACCTTAGAGAAAGCCCTAGGTCCCTGCCTCATTTTGACGGAATGCCTCACATCCCGCTGACACCTCGAGAGGCACGCGGAGTTCATTGCTTCAAAAGGTGACGATGCCTGACTCCTCTTGAATACTGATAGGAATCCCAAAATCCCTGTGGCTACTGGAAAGGGTCCTTGGGTGCCCTGCCTCACCTCGGGAAGCGTCCTTTTGCCCTGCCAAGCCTCGAAGAGATTCCTGAGGTGTCCCTCGTTACTAGACAGGAGTCCTGACGTCACTGAAGAAACTCGTGTTTTGAAGGGCCATCCCCGCCGTAAGTCGAGAACATACCCCAGGTCCCCGCCGCAACTCGAGAAAAACCATGAGACTTCCCCCTAGAGGCGAGATGAGGCCCCATTCCCCTGCAGTGCATGCAGAGCTATTCCGTGATCCCATTCAAACAAGTCAGGAGCTTCGACTTGCTTCATGGATCTCGAGACAGTCCCCAAGAACACTGTCACCAGTCTAGACGGACCCTGAGGTCACCCCAGCAACGCAAAGCAGCTCCATGTGCCCCAAATCAACTCGAGATGAGGCCCGATTCCCCTGCATTGACTCCAGAGCCATTCCCCGTTCCCCATTCAGCACGACCGGTGTCTCGACTTCCTTCAGGCAACTCCAGAGATGCCCCGAGAACACTGTCCCAAGTCTAGAGGAACACCAACTTCAGCACAGCAACTCGAGGAATGCTCCGTGTACCCCAAATCGTCTCGAGATGAGAGCTGATTCCCTGGCTTAGGCTCAAGACGTATGCCAACTTCCCAGAAGCACCTCAGGAGGAGGCTTCTCTCAGCTATAAGTATGTGGGAGGGACCCCGAGTTTGCTGCCTCAAGGGGAATATACAGCGAGAAGCCCTAACTTGAAAGGAGGCCGGATTTCCTTGCAGTGGCTTGAATACAGGCTCGTCTTTCATCTCACAACATGAAGGGATGTCTGAATCCCCTGTGGAGACCTTAGAGAAAGCCCTAGGTCCCTGCCTCATTTTGACGGAATGCCTCACATCCCGCTGACACCTCGAGAGGCACGCGGAGTTCATTGCTTCAAAAGGTGACGATGCCTGACTCCTCTTGAATACTGATAGGAATCCCAAAATCCCTGTGGCTACTGGAAAGGGTCCTTGGGTGCCCTGCCTCACCTCAAGAAGCGTCTCTTTTGCCCTGCAAAGCCTCGAAGAGATTCCTGAGGTGTCCCTCGTTACTAGACAGGAGTCCTGACCTCACTGAAGAAACTCGTGTTTTGAAGGGCCATCCACGCCGTAAGTCGAGAACATAACCCAGGTCCCCGCCGCAACTCGAGAAAAACCATGAGACTTCCCCCTAGAGGCGAGATGAGGCCCCATTCCCCTGCAGTGCATGCAGAGCTATTCCGTGATCCCATTCAAACAAGTCAGGAGCTTCGACTTGCTTCATGGATCTCGAGACAGTCCCCAAGAACACTGTCACCAGTCTAGACGGACCCTGAGGTCACCCCAGCAACGCAAAACAGCTCCATGTGCCCCAAATCAACTCGAGATGAGGCCCGATTCCCCTGCATCGACTCCAGAGCCATTCCCCTTTCCCCATTCAACACGACCGGTGGCTCGACTTCCTTCAGGCAACTCCAGAGATGCCCCGAGAACACTGTCCCAAGTCTAGAGGAACACCAACTTCAGCACAGCAACTCGAGGAATGCTCCGTGTACCCCAAATCGTCTCGAGATGAGAGCTGATTCCCGGGCTTATTCTCAAGACGTATGCCAACTTCCCAGAAGCACCTCAGGAGGAGGCTTCTCTCTGCAATAGGTATGTGGGAGGGACCCCGAGTTTGCTGCCTCAAGGGGAATATACAGCGAGAAGCCCTAACTTGAAAGGAGGCCGGATTTCCTTGCAGTGGCTTGAATACAGGCTCGTCTTTCATCTCACAACATGAAGGGATGTCTGAATCCCCTGTGGAGACCTTAGAGAAAGCCCTAGGTCCCTGCCTCATTTTGACGGAATGCCTCACATCCCGCTGACACCTCGAGAGGCACGCGGAGTTCATTGCTTCAAAAGGTGACGATGCCTGACTCCTCTTGAATACTGATAGGAATCCCAAAATCCCTGTGGCTACTGGAAAGGGTCCTTGGGTGCCCTGCCTCACCTCGAGAAGCGTCGCTTTTGCCCTGCCAAGCCTCGAAGAGATTCCTGAGGTGTCCCTCGTTACTAGACAGGAGTCCTCACGTCACTGAAGAAACTCGTGTTTTGAGGGGCCATCCCAGCCGTAAGTCGAGAACATACCCCAGGTCCCCGCCGCAACTCGAGAAAAACCATGAGACTTCCCCCTAGATTCGAGATGAGGCCCCATTCCCCTGCAGTGCATGCAGAGCTATTCCGTGATCCCATTCAAACAAGTCAGGAGCTTCGACTTGCTTCATGGATCTCTAGACAGTCCCCAAGATCACTGTCACCAGTCTAGACGGACCCTGAGGTCACCCCAGCAACGCAAAGCAGCTCCATGTGCCCCAAATCAACTCGAGATGAGGCCCGATTCCCCTGCATTGACTCCAGAGCCATTCCCCGTTCCCCATTCAACACGACCGGTGGCTCGACTTCCTTCAGGCAACTCCAGAGATGCCCCGAGAACACTGTCCCAAGTCTAGAGGAACACCAACTTCAGCACAGCAACTCGAGGAATGCTCCGTGTACCCCAAATCGTCTCGAGATGCGAGCTGATTCCCTGGCTTAGGCTCAAGACGTATGCCAACTTCCCAGAAGCACCTCAGGAGGAGGCTTCTCTCAGCAATAGGTATGTGGGAGGGACCCCGAGTTTGCTGCCTCAAGGGGAATATACAGAGAGAAGCCCTAACTTGAAAGGTGGCCGGATTTCCTTGCAGTGGCTTGATTACAGGCTTGTCTTTCATCTCACAACATGAAGGGATGTCTGAATCCCCTGTGGAGACCTTAGAGAAAGCCCTAGGACCCTGCCTCATTTTGACGGAATGCCTCACGTCGCGCTGACACCTCGAGAGGCACGCGGAGTTCATTGCTTCAAAAGGTGACGATGCCTGACTCCTCTTGAATACTGATAGGAATCCCAAAATCCCTGTGGCTACTGGAAAGGGTCCTTGGGTGCCCTGCCTCACCTCAAGAAGCGTCTCTTTTGCCCTGCAAAGCCTCGAAGAGATTCCTGAGGTGTCCCTCGTTACTAGACAGGAGTCCTGACGTCACTGAAGAAACTCGTGTTTTGAAAGGACATCCCCGCCGTAAGTCGAGAACATACCCCAAGTCCCCGCCGCAACTCGAGAAAAACCATGAGACTTCCCCCTAGAGGCGAGATGAGGCCCCATTCCCCTGCAGTGCATGCAGGGCTATTCCGTGATCCCATTCAAACAAGTCAGGAGCTTCGACTTGCTTCATGGATCTCGAGACAGTCCCCAAGAACACTGTCACCAGTCTAGACGGACCCTGAGGTCACCCCAGCAACGCAAAGCAGCTCCATGTGCCCCAAATCAACTCGAGATGAGGCCCGATTCCCCTGCATTGACTCCAGAGCCATTCCCCGTTCCCCATTCAACACGACCGGTGGCTCGACTTCCTTCAGGCAACTCCAGAGATGCCCCGAGAACACTGTCCCAAGACTAGAGGAACACCAACTTCAGCACAGCAACTCGAGGAATGCTCCGTGTACCCCAAATCGTCTCGAGATGAGAGCTGATTCCCTGGCTTAGGCTCAAGACGTAGGCCAACTTCCCAGAAGCACCTCAGGAGGAGGCTTCTCTCAGCAATAGGTATATGGGAGGGACCCCGAGTTTGCTGCCTCAAGGGGAATATACAGCGAGAAGCCCTAACTTGAAAGGAGGCCGGATTTCCTTGCAGTGGCTTGAATACAGGCTCGTCTTTCATCTCACAACATGAAGGGATGTCTGAATCCCCTGTGGAGACCTTAGAGAAAGCCCTAGGTCCCTGCCTCATTTTGACGGAATGCCTCACATCCCGCTGACACCTCGAGAGGCACGCGGAGTTCATTGCTTCAAAAGGTGACGATGCCTGACTCCTCTTGAATACTGATAGGAATCCCAAAATCCCTGTGGCTACTGGAAAGGGTCCTTGGGTGCCCTGCCTCACCTCGGGAAGCGTCCTTTTGCCCTGCCAAGCCTCGAAGAGATTCCTGAGGTGTCCCTCGTTACTAGACAGGAGTCCTGACGTCACTGAAGAAACTCGTGTTTTGAAGGGCCATCCCCGCCATAAGTCGAGAACATACCCCAGGTCCCCGCCGCAACTCGAGAAAAACCATGAGACTTCCCCCTAGAGGCGAGATGAGGCCCCATTCCCCTGCAGTGCATGCAGAGCTATTCCGTGATCCCATTCAAACAAGTCAGGAGCTTCGACTTGCTTCATGGATCTCGAGACAGTCCCCAAGAACACTGTCACCAGTCTAGACGGACCCTGAGGTCACCCCAGCAACGCAAAGCAGCTCCATGTGCCCCAAATCAACTCGAGATGAGGCCCGATTCCCCTGCATTGACTCCAGAGCCATTCCCCGTTCCCCATTCAACACGACCGGTGGCTCGACTTCCTTCAGGCAACTCCAGAGATGCCCCGAGAACACTGTCCCAAGTCTAGAGGAACACCAACTTCAGCACAGCAACTCGAGGAATGCTCCGTGTACCCCAAATCGTCTCGAGATGAGAGCTGATTCCCTGGCTTAGGCTCAAGACGTATGCCAACTTCCCAGAAGCACCTCAGGAGGAGGCTTCTCTCAGCTATAAGTATGTGGGAGGGACCCCGAGTTTGCTGCCTCAAGGGGAATATACAGCGAGAAGCCCTAACTTGAAAGGAGGCCGGATTTCCTTGCAGTGGCTTGAATACAGGCTCGTCTTTCATCTCACAACATGAAGGGATGTCTGAATCCCCTGTGGAGACCTTAGAGAAAGGCCTAGGTCCCTGCCTCATTTTGACGGAATGCCTCACATCCCGCTGACACCTCGAGAGGCACGTGGAGTTCATTGCTTCAAAAGGTGACGATGCCTGACTCCTCTTGAATACTGATAGGAATCCCAAAATCCCTGTGGCTACTGGAAAGGGTCCTTGGGTGCCCTGCCTCACCTCAAGAAGCGTCTCTTTTGCCCTGCAAAGCCTCGAAGAGATTCCTGAGGTGTCCCTCGTTACTAGACAGGAGTCCTGACGTCACTGAAGAAACTCGTGTTTTGAAGGGCCATCCACGCCGTAAGTCGAGAACATAACCCAGGTCCCCGCCGCAACTCGAGAAAAACCATGAGACTTCCCCCTAGAGGCGAGATGAGGCCCCATTCCCCTGCAGTGCATGCAGAGCTATTCCGTGATCCCATTCAAACAAGTCAGGAGCTTCGACTTGCTTCATGGATCTCGAGACAGTCCCCAAGAACACTGTCACCAGTCTAGACGGACCCTGAGGTCACCCCAGCAACGCAAAACAGCTCCATGTGCCCCAAATCAACTCGAGATGAGGCCCGATTCCCCTGCATCGACTCCAGAGCCATTCCCCTTTCCCCATTCAACACGACCGGTGGCTCGACTTCCTTCAGGCAACTCCAGAGATGCCCCGAGAACACTGTCCCAAGTCTAGAGGAACACCAACTTCAGCACAGCAACTCGAGGAATGCTCCGTGTACCCCAAATCGTCTCGAGATGAGAGCTGATTCCCTGGCTTAGGCTCAAGACGTAGGCCAACTTCCCAGAAGCACCTCAGGAGGAGGCTTCTCTCTGCAATAGGTATGTGGGAGGGACCCCGAGTTTGCTGCCTCAACGGGAATATACAGCGAGAAGCCCTAACTTGAAAGGAGGCCGGATTTCCTTGCAGTGGCTTGAATACAGGCTCGTCTTTCATCTCACAACATGAAGGGATGTCTGAATCCCCTGTGGAGACCTTAGAGAAAGCCCTAGGTCCCTGCCTCATTTTGACGGAATGCCTCACATCCCGCTGACACCTCGGGAGGCACGCGGAGTTCTTTGCTTCAAAAGGTGACGATGCCTGACTCCTCTTGAATACTGATAGGAATCCCAAAATCCCTGTGGCTATTGGAAAGGGTCCTTGGGTGCCCTGCCTCACCTCGAGAAGCGTCCTTTTGCCCTGCCAAGCCTCGAAGAGATTCCTGAGGTGTCCCTCGTTACTAGACAGGAGTCCTGACGTCACTGAAGAAACTCGTGTTTTGAAGGGCCATCCCCGCCGTAAGTCGAGAACATACCCCAGGTCCCCGCCGCAACTCGAGAAAAACCATGAGACTTCCCCCTAGAGGCGAGATGAGGCCCCATTCCCCTGCAGTGCATGCAGAGCTATTCCGTGATCCCATTCAAACAAGTCAGGAGCTTCGACTTGCTTCATGGATCTCGAGACAGTCCCCAAGAACACTGTCACCAGTCTAGACGGACCCTGAGGTCACCCCAGCAACGCAAAGCAGCTCCATGTGCCCCAAATCAACTCGAGATGAGGCCCGATTCCCCTGCATTGACTCCAGAGCCATTCCCCGTTCCCCATTCAACACGACCGGTGGCTCGACTTCCTTCAGGCAACTCCAGAGATGCCCCGAGAACACTGTCCCAAGTCTAGAGGAACACCAACTTCAGCACAGCAACTCGAGGAATGCTCCGTGTACCCCAAATCGTCTCGAGATGAGAGCTGATTCCCTGGCTTAGGCTCAAGACGTAGGCCAACTTCCCAGAAGCACCTCAGGAGGAGGCTTCTCTCAGCAATAGGTATATGGGAGGGACCCCGAGTTTGCTGCCTCAAGGGGAATATACAGCGAGAAGCCCTAACTTGAAAGGAGGCCGGATTTCCTTGCAGTGGCTTGAATACAGGCTCGTCTTTCATCTCACAACATGAAGGGATGTCTGAATCCTCTGTGGAGACCTTAGAGAAAGCCCTAGGTCCCTGCCTCATTTTGACGGAATGCCTCACATCCCGCTGACACCTCGGGAGGCACGCGGAGTTCTTTGCTTCAAAAGGTGACGATGCCTGACTCCTCTTGAATACTGATAGGAATCCCAAAATCCCTGTGGCTACTGGAAAGGGTCCTTGGGTGCCCTGCCTCACCTCGAGAAGCGTCCCTTTTGCCCTGCCAAGCCTCGAAGAGATTCCTGAGGTGTCCCTCGTTACTAGACAGGAGTCCTGACGTCACTGAAGAAACTCGTGTATTGAAGGGCCATCCCCGCCGTAAGTCGAGAACATACCCCAGGTCCCCGCCGCAACTCGAGAAAAACCATGAGACTTCCCCCTAGAGGCGAGATGAGGCCCCATTCCCCTGCAGTGCATGCAGAGCTATTCCGTGATCCCATTCAAACAAGTCAGGAGCTTCGACTTGCTTCATGGATCTCGAGACAGTCCCCAAGAACACTGTCACCAGTCTAGACGGACCCTGAGGTCACCCCAGCAACGCAAAGCAGCTCCATGTGCCCCAAATCAACTCGAGATGAGGCCCGATTCCCCTGCATTGACTCCAGAGCCATTCCCCGTTCCCCATTCAACACGACCGGTGGCTCGACTTCCTTCAGGCAACTCCAGAGATGCCCCGAGAACACTGTCCCAAGTCTAGAGGAACACCAACTTCAGCACAGCAACTCGAGGAATGCTCCGTGTACCCCAAATCGTCTCGAGATGAGAGCTGATTCCCTGGCTTAGGCTCAAGACGTATGCCAACTTCCCAGAAGCACCTCAGGAGGAGGCTTCTCTCAGCAATAAGTATGTGGGAGGGACCCCGAGTTTGCTGCCTCAAGGGGAATATACAGCGAGAAGCCCTAACTTGAAAGGAGGCCGGATTTCCTTGCAGTGGCTTGAATACAGGCTCGTCTTTCATCTCACAACATGAAGGGATGTCTGAATCCCCTGTGGAGACCTTAGAGAAAGCCCTAGGTCCCTGCCTCATTTTGACGGAATGCCTCACATCCCGCTGACACCTCGGGAGGCACGCGGAGTTCTTTGCTTCAAAAGGTGACGATGCCTGACTCCTCTTGAATACTGATAGGAATCCCAAAATCCCTGTGGCTATTGGAAAGGGTCCTTGGGTGCCCTGCCTCACCTCGAGAAGCGTCCTTTTGCCCTGCCAAGCCTCGAAGAGATTCCTGAGGTGTCCCTCGTTACTAGACAGGAGTCCTGACGTCACTGAAGAAACTCGTGTTTTGAAGGGCCATCCCCGCCGTAAGTCGAGAACATACCCCAGGTCCCCGCCGCAACTCGAGAAAAACCATGAGACTTCCCCCTAGAGGCGAGATGAGGCCCCATTCCCCTGCAGTGCATGCAGAGCTATTCCGTGATCCCATTCAAACAAGTCAGGAGCTTCGACTTGCTTCATGGATCTCGAGACAGTCCCCAAGAACACTGTCACCAGTCTAGACGGACCCTGAGGTCACCCCAGCAACGCAAAGCAGCTCCATGTGCCCCAAATCAACTCGAGATGAGGCCCGATTCCCCTGCATTGACTCCAGAGCCATTCCCCGTTCCCCATTCAACACGACCGGTGGCTCGACTTCCTTCAGGCAACTCCAGAGATGCCCCGAGAACACTGTCCCAAGTCTAGAGGAACACCAACTTCAGCACAGCAACTCGAGGAATGCTCCGTGTACCCCAAATCGTCTCGAGATGAGAGCTGATTCCCTGGCTTAGGCTCAAGACGTAGGCCAACTTCCCAGAAGCACCTCAGGAGGAGGCTTCTCTCAGCAATAGGTATATGGGAGGGACCCCGAGTTTGCTGCCTCAAGGGGAATATACAGCGAGAAGCCCTAACTTGAAAGGAGGCCGGATTTCCTTGCAGTGGCTTGAATACAGGCTCGTCTTTCATCTCACAACATGAAGGGATGTCTGAATCCTCTGTGGAGACCTTAGAGAAAGCCCTAGGTCCCTGCCTCATTTTGACGGAATGCCTCACATCCCGCTGACACCTCGGGAGGCACGCGGAGTTCTTTGCTTCAAAAGGTGACGATGCCTGACTCCTCTTGAATACTGATAGGAATCCCAAAATCCCTGTGGCTACTGGAAAGGGTCCTTGGGTGCCCTGCCTCACCTCGAGAAGCGTCCCTTTTGCCCTGCCAAGCCTCGAAGAGATTCCTGAGGTGTCCCTCGTTACTAGACAGGAGTCCTGACGTCACTGAAGAAACTCGTGTTTTGAAGGGCCATCCCCGCCGTAAGTCGAGAACATACCCCAGGTCCCCGCCGCAACTCGAGAAAAACCATGAGACTTCCCCCTAGAGGCGAGATGAGGCCCCATTCCCCTGCAGTGCATGCAGAGCTATTCCGTGATCCCATTCAAACAAGTCAGGAGCTTCGACTTGCTTCATGGATCTCGAGACAGTCCCCAAGAACACTGTCACCAGTCTAGACGGACCCTGAGGTCACCCCAGCAACGCAAAGCAGCTCCATGTGCCCCAAATCAACTCGAGATGAGGCCCGATTCCCCTGCATTGACTCCAGAGCCATTCCCCGTTCCCCATTCAACACGACCGGTGGCTCGACTTCCTTCAGGCAACTCCAGAGATGCCCCGAGAACACTGTCCCAAGTCTAGAGGAACACCAACTTCAGCACAGCAACTCGAGGAATGCTCCGTGTACCCCAAATCATCTCGAGATGAGAGCTGATTCCCTGGCTTAGGCTCAAGACGTATGCCAACTTCCCAGAAGCACCTCAGGAGGAGGCTTCTCTCAGCAATAAGTATGTGGGAGGGACCCCGAGTTTGCTGCCTCAAGGGGAATATACAGCGAGAAGCCCTAACTTGAAAGGAGGCCGGATTTCCTTGCAGTGGCTTGAATACAGGCTCGTCTTTCATCTCACAACATGAAGGGATGTCTGAATCCCCTGTGGAGACCTTAGAGAAAGCCCTAGGTCCCTGCCTCATTTTGACGGAATGCCTCAAAATCCGCTGACACCTCGAGAGGCACGCGGAGTTCATTGCTTCAAAAGGTGACGATGCCTGACTCCTCTTGAATACTGATAGGAATCCCAAAATCCCTGTGGCTACTGGAAAGGGTCCTTGGGTGCCCTGCCTCACCTCGAGAAGCGTCCCTTTTGCCCTGCCAAGCCTCGAAGAGATTCCTGAGGTGTCCCTCGTTACTAGACAGGAGTCCTGACGTCACTGAAGAAACTCGTGTTTTGAAGGGCCATCCCCGCCGTAAGTCGAGAACATACCCCAGGTCCCCGCCGCAACTCGAGAAAAACCATGAGACTTCCCCCTAGAGGCGAGATGAGGCCCCATTCCCCTGCAGTGCATGCAGAGCTATTCCGTGATCCCATTCAAACAAGTCAGGAGCTTCGACTTGCTTCATGGATCTCGAGACAGTCCCCAAGAACACTGTCACCAGTCTAGACGGACCCTGAGGTCACCCCAGCAACGCAAAGCAGCTCCATGTGCCCCAAATCAACTCGAGATGAGGCCCGATTCCCCTGCATTGACTCCAGAGCCATTCCCCGTTCCCCATTCAACACGACCGGTGGCTCGACTTCCTTCAGGCAACTCCAGAGATGCCCCGAGAACACTGTCCCAAGTCTAGAGGAACACCAACTTCAGCACAGCAACTCGAGGAATGCTCCGTGTACCCCAAATCGTCTCGAGATGAGAGCTGATTCCCTGGCTTAGGCTCAAGACGTATGCCAACTTCCCAGAAGCACCTCAGGAGGAGGCTTGTCTCAGCAATAAGTATGTGGGAGGGACCCCGAGTTTGCTGCCTCAAGGGGAATATACAGCGAGAAGCCCTAACTTGAAAGGAGGCCGGATTTCCTTGCAGTGGCTTGAATACAGGCTCGTCTTTCATCTCACAACATGAAGGGATGTCTGAATCCCCTGTGGAGACCTTAGAGAAAGCCCTAGGTCCCTGCCTCATTTTGACGGAATGCCTCACATCCCGCTGACACCTCGGGAGGCACGCGGAGTTCTTTGCTTCAAAAGGTGACGATGCCTGACTCCTCTTGAATACTGATAGGAATCCCAAAATCCCTGTGGCTACTGGAAAGGGTCCTTGGGTGCCCTGCCTCACCTCGAGAAGCGTCCCTTTTGCCCTGCCAAGCCTCGAAGAGATTCCTGAGGTGTCCCTCGTTACTAGACAGGAGTCCTGACGTCACTGAAGAAACTCGTGTTTTGAAGGGCCATCCCCGCCGTAAGTCGAGAACATAGCCCAGGTCCCCGCCGCAACTCGAGAAAAACCATGAGACTTCCCCCTAGAGGCGATATGAGGCCCCATTCCCCTGCAGTGCATGCAGAGCTATTCCGTGATCCCATTCAAACAAGTCAGGAGCTTCGACTTGCTTAATGGATCTCGAGACAGTCCCCAAGAACACTGTCACCAGTCTAGACGGACCCTGAGGTCACCCCAGCAACGCAAAGCAGCTCCATGTGCCCCAAATCAACTCGAGATGAGGCCCGATTCCCCTGCATTGACTCCAGAGCCATTCCCCGTTCCCCATTCAGCACGACCGGTGGCTCGACTTCCTTCAGGCAACTCCAGAGATGCCCCGAGAACACTGTCCCAAGTACAGAGGAACACCAACTTCAGCACAGCAACTCGAGGAATGCTCCGTGTACCCCAAATCGTCTCGAGATGAGAGCTGATTCCCTGGCTTAGGCTCAAGACGTAGGCCAACTTCCCAGAAGCACCTCAGGAGGAGGCTTCTCTCAGCAATAGGTATGTGGGAGGGACCCCGAGTTTGCTGCCTCAAGGGGAATATACAGCGAGAAGCCCTAACGTGAAAGGCGGCCGGATTTCCTTGCAGTGGCTTGAATACAGGCTCGTCTTTCATCTCACAACATGAAGGGATGTCTGAATCCCCTGTGGAGACCTTAGAGAAAGCCCTAGGTCCCTGCCTCATTTTGACGGAATGCCTCACATCCCGCTGACACCTCGAGAGGCACGCGGAGTTCATTGCTTCAAAAGGTGACGATGCCTGACTCCTCTTGAATACTGATAGGAATCCCAAAATCCCTGTGGCTACTGGCAAGGGTCCTTGGATGCCCTGCCGCACCTCGAGAAGCGTCCCTTTTGCCCTGCCAAGCCTCGAAGAGATTCCTGAGGTGTCCCTCGTTACTAGACAGGAGTCCTGACGTCACTGAAGAAACTCGTGTTTTGAAGGGCCATCCCAGCCGTAAGTCGAGAACATACCCCAGGTCCCCGCCGCAACTCGAGAAAAACCATGAGACTTCCCCCTAGAGGCGAGATGAGGCCCCATTCCCCTGCAGTGCATGCAGAGCTATTCCGTGATCCCATTCAAACAAGTCAGGAGCTTCGACTTGCTTAATGGATCTCTAGACAGTCACCAAGAACACTGTCACCAGTCTAGACGGACCCTGAGGTCACCCCAGCAACGCAAAGCAGCTCCATGTACCCCAAATCAACTCGAGATGAGGCCCGATTCCCCTGCATTGACTCCAGAGCCATTCCCCGTTCCCCATTCAACACGACCGGTGGCTTGACTTCCTTCAGGCAACTCCAGAGATGCCCCCAGAACACTGTCCCAAGTCTAGAGGAACACCAACTTCAGCACAGCAACTCGAGGAATGCTCCGTGTACCCCAAATCGTCTCGAGATGAGAGCTGATTCCCTGGCTTAGGCTCAAGACGTATGCCAACTTCCCAGAAGCACCTCAGGAGGAGGCTTCTCTCAGCAATAGGTATGTGGCTGGGACCCCGAGTTTGCTGCCTCAAGGGGAATATACAGCGAGAAGCCCTAACTTGAAAGGAGGCCGGATTTCCTTGCAGTGGCTTGAATACAGGCTCGTCTTTCATCTCACAACATGAAGGGATGTCTGAATCCCCTGTGGAGACCTTAGAGAAAGCCCTAGGTCCCTGCCTCATTTTGACGGAATGCCTCACATCCCGCTGACACCTCGAGAGGCACGCGGAGTTCATTGCTTCAAAAGGTGACGATGCCTGACTCCTCTTGAATACTGATAGGAATCCCAAAATCCCTGTGGCTACTGGAAAGGGTCCTTGGGTGCCCTGCCTCACCTCGAGAAGCGTCCCTTTTGCCCTGCCAAGCCTCGAAGAGATTCCTGAGGTGTCCCTCGTTACTAGACAGGAGTCCTGACGTCACTGAAGAAACTCGTGTTTTGAAGGGCCATCCCCGCCGTAAGTCGAGAACATACCCCAGGTCCCCGCCGCAACTCGAGAAAAACCATGAGACTTCCCCCTAGAGGCGAGATGAGGCCCCATTCCCCTGCAGTGCATGCAGAGCTATTCCGTGATCCCATTCAAACAAGTCAGGAGCTTCGACTTGCTTAATGGATCTCGAGACAGTCCCCAAGAACACTGTCACCAGTCTAGACGGACCCTGAGGTCACCCCAGCAATGCAAAGCAGCTCCATGTGCCCCAAATCAACTCGAGATGAGGCCCGATTCCCCTGCATTGACTCCAGAGTCATTCCCCATTCCCCATTCAACACGACCGGTGGCTCGACTTCCTTCAGGCAACTCCAGAGATGCCCGGAGAACACTGTCCCAAGTCCAGAGGAACACCAACTTCAGCACAGCAACTCGAGGAATGCTCCGTGTACCCCAAATCGTCTCGAGATGAGAGCTGATTCCCTGGCTTAGGCTCAAGACGTATGCCAACTTCCCAGAAGCACCTCAGGAGGAGGCTTCTCTCAGCAATAGGTATGTGGGAGGGACCCCGAGTTTGCTGCCTCAAGGGGAATATTCAGCGAGAAGCCCTAACTTGAAAGGCGGCCGGATTTCCTTGCAGTGGCTTGAATACAGGCTCGTCTTTCATCTCACAACATGAAGGGATGTCTGAATCCCCTGTGGAGACCTTAGAGAAAGCCCTAGGTCCCTGCCTCATTTTGACCGAATGCCTCACATCCCGCTGACACCTCGAGAGGCACGCGGAGTTCATTGCTTCAAAAGGTGACGATGCCTAACTCCTCTTGAATACTGATAGGAATCCCAAAATCCCTGTGGCTACTGGAAAGGGTACTTGGGTGCCCTGCCTCACCTCGAGAAGCGTCCCTTTGGCCCTGCCAAGCCTCGAAGAGATTCCTGAGGTGTCCCTCGTTACTAGACAGGAGTCCTGACGTCACTGAAAAACTCGTGTTTTGAAGGGCCATCCCCGCCGTAAGTCGAGAACATACCCCAGGTCCCCGCCGCAACTCGAGAAAAACCATGAGACTTCCCCCTAGAGGCGAGATGAGGCCCCATTCCCCTGCAGTGCATGCAGAGCTATTCCGTGATCCCATTCAAACAAGTCAGGAGCTTCGACTTGCTTAATGGATCTCGAGACAGTCCCCAAGAACACTGTCACCAGTCTAGACGGACCCTGAGGTCACCCCAGCAACGCAAAGCAGCTCCATGTGCCCCAAATCAACTCGAGATGAGGCCCGATTCCCCTGCATTGACTCCAGAGCCATTCCCCTTTCCCCATTCAACACGACCGGTGGCTCGACTTCCTTCAGGCAACTCCAGAGATGCCCCGAGAACACTGTCCCAAGTCTAGAGGAACACCAACTTCAGCACAGCAACTCGAGGAATGCTCCGTGTACCCCAAATCGTCTCGAGATGCGAGCTGATTCCCTGGCTTAGGCTCAAGACGTATGCCAACTTCCCAGAAGCACCTCAGGAGGAGGCTTCTCTCAGCAATAGGTATGTGCGAGGGACCCCGAGTTTGTTGCCCCAAGGGGAATATACAGCGAGAAGCCCTAACTTGAAAGGAGGCCGGATTTCCTTGCAGTGGCTTGAATACAGGCTCCTCTTTCATCTCACAACATGAAGGGATGTCTGAATCCCCTGTGGAGACCTTAGAGAAAGCCCTAGGTCCCTGCCTCATTTTGACGGAACGCCTCACATCCCGCTGACACCTCGAGAGGCACGCGGAGTTCATTGCTTCAAAAGGTGACGATGCCTGACTCCTCTTGACTACTGATAGGAATCCCAAAATCCCTGTGGCTACTGGAAAGGGTCCTTGGGTGCCCTGCCTCGCCTCGAGAAGCGTCCCTTTTGCCCTGCCAAGCCTCGAAGAGATTCCTGAGGTGTCCCTCGTTACTAGACAGGAGTCCTGACGTCACTGAAGAAACTCGTGTTTTGAAGGGCCATCCCCGCCGTAAGTCGAGAACATACCCCAGGTCCCCGCAGCAACTCGAGAAAAACCATGAGACTTCCCCCTAGAGGCGAGATGAGGCCCCATTCCCCTGCAGTGCATGCAGAGCTATTCCGTGATCCCATTCAAACAAGTCAGGAGCTTCGACTTGCTTAATGGATCTCGAGACAGTCCCCAAGAACACTGTCACCAGTCTAGACGGACCCTGAGGTCACCCCAGCAACGCAAAGCAGCTCCATGTGCCCCAAATCAACTCGAGATGAGGCCCGATTCCCCTGCATTGACTCCAGAGCCATTCCCCGTTCCCCATTCAACACGACCGGTGGCTCGACTTCCTTCAGGCAACTCCAGAGATGCCCCGAGAACACTGTCCCAAGTCTAGAGGAACACCAACTTCAGCACAGCAACTCGAGGAATGCTCCGTGTACCCCAAATCGTCTCGAGATGAGAGCTGATTCCCTGGCTTAGGCTCAAGACGAATGCCAACTTCCCAGAAGCACCTCAGGAGGAGGCTTCTCTCAGCAATAGATATGTGGGAGGGACCCCGAGTTTGCTGCCTCAAGGGGAATATACAGCGAGAAGCCCTAACTTGAAAGGAGGCCGGATTTCCTTGCAGTGGCTTGAATACAGGCTCGTCTTTCATCTCACAACATGAAGGGATGTCTGAATCCCCTGTGGAGACCTTAGAGAAAGCCCTAGGTCCCTGCCTCATTTTGACGGAATGCCTCACATCCCGCTGACACCTCGATAGGCACGCGGAATTCATTGCCTCAAAAGGTGACGATGCCTGACTCCTCTTGAATACTGATAGGAATCCCAAAATCCCTGTGGCTATTGGAAAGGGTCTTTGGGTGCCCTGCCTCACCTCGAGAAGCGTCCTTTTGCCCAGCCAAGCCTCGAAGAGATTCCTGAGGTGTCCCTCGTTACTAGACAGGAGTCCTGACGTCACTGAAGAAACTCGTGTTTTGAAGGGCCATCCCCGCCATAAGTCGAGAACATACCCCAGGTCCCCGCCGCAACTCGAGAAAAACCATGAGACTTCCCCCTAGAGGCGAGATGAGGCCCCATTCCCCTGCAGTGCATGCAGAGCTATTCCGTGATCCCATTCAAACAAGTCAGGAGCTTCGACTTGCTTAATGGATCTCGAGACAGTCCCCAAGAACACTGTCACCAGTCTAGACGGACCCTGAGGTCACCCCAGCAACGCAAAGCAGCTCCATGTGCCCCAAATCAACTAGAGATGAGGCCCGATTCCCCTGCATTGACTCCAGAGCCATTCCCCGTTCCCCATTCAACACGACCGGTGTCTCGACTTCCTTCAGGCAACTCCAGAGATGCCCCGAGAACACTGTCCCAAGTCTAGAGGAACACCAACTTCAGCACAGCAACTCGAGGAATGCTCCGTGTACCCCAAATCGTCTCGAGATGAGAGCTGATTCCCTGGCTTAGGCTCAAGACGTATGCCAACTTCCCAGAAGCACCTCAGGAGGAGGCTTCTCTCAGCTATAAGTATGTGGGAGGGACCCCGAGTTTGCTGCCTCAAGGGGAATATACAGCGAGAAGCCCTAACTTGAAAGGAGGCCGGATTTCCTTGCAGTGGCTTGAATACAGGCTCGTCTTTCATCTCACAACATGAAGGGATGTCTGAATCCCCTGTGGAGACCTTAGAGAAAGCCCTAGGTCCCTGCCTCATTTTGACGGAATGCCTCACATCCCGCTGACACCTCGAGAGGCACGCGGAGTTCATTGCTTCAAAAGGTGACGATGCCTGACTCCTCTTGAATACTGATAGGAATCCCAAAATCCCTGTGGCTACTGGAAAGGGTCCTTGGGTGCCCTGCCTCACCTCGAGAAGCGTCCCTTTTGCCCTGCAAAGCCTCGAAGAGATTCCTGAGGTGTCCCTCGTTACTAGACAGGAGTCCTGACGTCACTGAAGAAACTCGTGTTTTGAAGGGCCATCCCCGCCGTAAGTCGAGAACATACCCCAGGTCCCCGCCGCAACTCGAGAAAAACCATGAGACTTCCCCCTAGAGGCGAGATGAGGCCCCATTCCCCTGCAGTGCATGCAGAGCTATTCCGTGATCCCATTCAAACAAGTCAGGAGCTTCGACTTGCTTAATGGATCTCGAGACAGTCCCCAAGAACACTGTCACCAGTCTAGATGGACCCTGAGGTCACCCCAGCAATGCAAAGCAGCTCCATGTGCCCCAAATCAACTCGAGATGAGGCCCGATTCCCCTGCATTGACTCCAGAGCCATTCCCCGTTCCCCATTCAGCACGACCGGTGGCTCGACTTCCTTCAGGCAACTCCAGAGATGCCCCGAGAACACTGTCCCAAGTCTAGAGGAACACCAACTTCAGCACAGCAACTCGAGGAATGCTCCGTGTACCACAAATCGTCTCGAGATGAGAGCTGATTCCCTGGCTTAGGCTCAAGACATATGCCAACTTCCCAGAAGCACCTCAGGAGGAGGCTTCTCTCAGCAATAGGTATGTGGGAGGGACCCCGAGTTTGCTGCCTCAAGGGGAATATACAGCGAGAAACCCTAACTTGAAAGGCGGCCGGATTTCCTTGCAGTGGCTTGAATACAGGCTCGTCTTTCATCTCACAACATGAAGGGATGTCTGAATCCCCTGTGGAGACCTTAGAGAAAGCCCTAGGTCCCTGCCTCATTTTGACGGAATGCCTCACATCCCGCTGACACCTCGAGAGGCACGCGGAGTTCAGTGCTTCAAAAGGTGACGATGCCTGACTCCTCTTGAATACTGATAGGAATCCCAAAATCCCTGTGGCTACTGGAAAGGGTCCTTGGGTGCCCTGCCTCACCTCGAGAAGCGTCCCTTTTGCCCTGCCAAGCCTCGAAGAGATTCCTGAGGTGTCCCTCGTTACTAGACAGGAGTCCGGACGTCACTGAAGAAACTCGTGTTTTGAAGGGCGATCCCAGCCGTAAGTCGAGAACATACACCAGGTCCCCGCCGCAACTCGAGAAAAACCATGAGACTTCCCCCTAGAGGCGAGATGAGGCCCCATTCCCCTGCATTGCATGCAGAGCTATTCCGTGATCCCATTCAAACAAGTCAGGAGCTTCGACTTGCTTAATGGATCTCTAGACAGTCCCCAAGATCACTGTCACCAGTCTAGACGGACCCTGAGGTCACCCCAGCAACGCAAAGCAGCTCCATGTGCCCCAAATCAACTCGAGATGAGGCCCGATTCCCCTGCATTGACTCCAGAGCCATTCCCCTTTCCCCATTCAGCACGACCGGTGTCTCGACTTCCTTCAGGCAACTCCAGAGATGCCCCGAGAACACTGTCCCAAGTCTAGAGGAACACCAACTTCAGCACAGCAACTCGAGGAATGCTCCGTGTACCCCAAATCGTCTCGAGATGAGAGCTGATTCCCTGGCTTAGGCTCAAGACGTATGCCAACTTCCCAGAAGCACCTCAGGAGGAGGCTTCTCTCAGCTATAAGTATGTGAGAGGGACCCCGAGTTTGCTGCCTCAAGGGGAATATACAGCGAGAAGCCCTAACTTGAAAGGAGGCCGGATTTCCTTGCAGTGGCTTGAATACAGGCTCGTCTTTCATCTCACAACATGAAGGGATGTCTGAATACCCTGTGGAGACCTTAGAGAAAGCCCTAGGTCCCTGCCTCATTTTGACGGAATGCCTCACATCCCGCTGACACATCGAGAGGCACGCGGAGTTCATTGCTTCAAAAGGTGACGATGCCTGACTCCTCTTGAATACTGATAGGAATCCCAAAATCCCTGTGGCTACTGGAAAGGGTCCTTGGGTGCCCTGCCTCACCTCGAGAAGCGTCGCTTTTGCCCTGCCAAGCCTCGAAGAGATTCCTGAGGTGTCCCTCGTTACTAGACAGGAGTCCTGACGTCACTGAAGAAACTCGTGTTTTGAGGGGCCATCCCAGCCGTAAGTCGAGAACATACCCCAGGTCCCCGCCGCAACTCGAGAAAAACCATGAGACTTCCCCCTAGATTCGAGATGAGGCCCCATTCCCCTGCAGTGCATGCAGAGCTATTCCGTGATCCCATTCAAACAAGTCAGGAGCTTCGACTTGCTTCATGGATCTCTAGACAGTCCCCAAGATCACTGTCACCAGTCTAGACGGACCCTGAGGTCACCCCAGCAACGCAAAGCAGCTCCATGTGCCCCAAATCAACTCGAGATGAGGCCCGATTCCCCTGCATTGACTCCAGAGCCATTCCCCGTTCCCCATTCAACACGACCGGTGGCTCGACTTCCTTCAGGCAACTCCAGAGATGCCCCGAGAACACTGTCCCAAGTCTAGAGGAACACCAACTTCAGCACAGCAACTCGAGGAATGCTCCGTGTACCCCAAATCGTCTCGAGATGCGAGCTGATTCCCTGGCTTAGGCTCAAGACGTATGCCAACTTCCCAGAAGCACCTCAGGAGGAGGCTTCTCTCAGCAATAGGTATGTGGGAGGGACCCCGAGTTTGCTGCCTCAAGGGGAATATACAGCGAGAAGCCCTAACTTGAAAGGTGGCCGGATTTCCTTGCAGTGGCTTGATTACAGGCTCGTCTTTCATCTCACAACATGAAGGGATGTCTGAATCCCCTGTGGAGACCTTAGAGAAAGCCCTAGGACCCTGCCTCATTTTGACGGAATGCCTCACGTCGCGCTGACACCTCGAGAGGCACGCGGAGTTCATTGCTTCAAAAGGTGACGATGCCTGACTCCTCTTGAATACTGATAGGAATCCCAAAATCCCTGTGGCTACTGGAAAGGGTCCTTGGGTGCCCTGCCTCACCTCAAGAAGCGTCTCTTTTGCCCTGCAAAGCCTCGAAGAGATTCCTGAGGTGTCCCTCGTTACTAGACAGGAGTCCTGACGTCACTGAAGAAACTCGTGTTTTGAAGGGCCATCCCCGCCGTAAGTCGAGAACATACCCCAGGTCCCCGCCGCAACTCGAGAAAAACCATGAGACTTCCCCCTAGAGGCGAGATGAGGCCCCATTCCCCTGCAGTGCATGCAGAGCTATTCCGTGATCCCATTCAAACAAGTCAGGAGCTTCGACTTGCTTCATGGATCTCGAGACAGTCCCCAAGAACACTGTCACCAGTCTAGACGGACCCTGAGGTCACCCCAGCAACGCAAAGCAGCTCCATGTGCCCCAAATCAACTCGAGATGAGGCCCGATTCCCCTGCATTGACTCCAGAGCCATTCCCCGTTCCCCATTCAACACGACCGGTGGCTCGACTTCCTTCAGGCAACTCCAGAGATGCCCCGAGAACACTGTCCCAAGTCTAGAGGAACACCAACTTCAGCACAGCAACTCGAGGAATGCTCCGTGTACCCCAAATCGTCTCGAGATGAGAGCTGATTCCCTGGCTTAGGCTCAAGACGTAGGCCAACTTCCCAGAAGCACCTCAGGAGGAGGCTTCTCTCAGCAATAGGTATATGGGAGGGACCCCGAGTTTGCTGCCTCAAGGGGAATATACAGCGAGAAGCCCTAACTTGAAAGGAGGCCGGATTTCCTTGCAGTGGCTTGAATACAGGCTCGTCTTTCATCTCACAACATGAAGGGATGTCTGAATCCCCTGTGGAGACCTTAGAGAAAGCCCTAGGTCCCTGCCTCATTTTGACGGAATGCCTCACATCCCGCTGACACCTCGAGAGGCACGCGGAGTTCATTGCTTCAAAAGGTGACGATGCCTGACTCCTCTTGAATACTGATAGGAATCCCAAAATCCCTGTGGCTACTGGAAAGGGTCCTTGGGTGCCCTGCCTCACCTCGGGAAGCGTCCTTTTGCCCTGCCAAGCCTCGAAGAGATTCCTGAGGTGTCCCTCGTTACTAGACAGGAGTCCTGACGTCACTGAAGAAACTCGTGTTTTGAAGGGCCATCCCCGCCGTAAGTCGAGAACATACCCCAGGTCCCCGCCGCAACTCGAGAAAAACCATGAGACTTCCCCCTAGAGGCGAGATGAGGCCCCATTCCCCTGCAGTGCATGCAGAGCTATTCCGTGATCCCATTCAAAAAAGTCAGGAGCTTCGACTTGCTTCATGGATCTCGAGACAGTCCCCAAGAACACTGTCACCAGTCTAGACGGACCCTGAGGTCACCCCAGCAACGCAAAGCAGCTCCATGTGCCCCAAATCAACTCGAGATGAGGCCCGATTCCCCTGCATTGACTCCAGAGCCATTCCCCGTTCCCCATTCAGCACGACCGGTGTCTCGACTTCCTTCAGGCAACTCCAGAGATGCCCCGAGAACACTGTCCCAAGTCTAGAGGAACACCAACTTCAGCACAGCAACTCGAGGAATGCTCCGTGTACCCCAAATCGTCTCGAGATGAGAGCTGATTCCCTGGCTTAGGCTCAAGACGTATGCCAACTTCCCAGAAGCACCTCAGGAGGAGGCTTCTCTCAGCTATAAGTATGTGGGAGGGACCCCGAGTTTGCTGCCTCAAGGGGAATATACAGCGAGAAGCCCTAACTTGAAAGGAGGCCGGATTTCCTTGCAGTGGCTTGAATACAGGCTCGTCTTTCATCTCACAACATGAAGGGATGTCTGAATCCCCTGTGGAGACCTTAGAGAAAGCCCTAGGTCCCTGCCTCATTTTGACGGAATGCCTCACATCCCGCTGACACCTCGAGAGGCACGCGGAGTTCATTGCTTCAAAAGGTGACGATGCCTGACTCCTCTTGAATACTGATAGGAATCCCAAAATCCCAGTGGCTACTGGAAAGGGTCCTTGGGTGCCCTGCCTCACCTCAAGAAGCGTCTCTTTTGCCCTGCAAAGCCTCGAAGAGATTCCTGAGGTGTCCCTCGTTACTAGACAGGAGTCCTGACGTCACTGAAGAAACTCGTGTTTTGAAGGGCCATCCACGCCGTAAGTCGAGAACATAACCCAGGTCCCCGCCGCAACTCGAGAAAAACCATGAGACTTCCCCCTAGAGGCGAGATGAGGCCCCATTCCCCTGCAGTGCATGCAGAGCTATTCCGTGATCCCATTCAAACAAGTCAGGAGCTTCGACTTGCTTCATGGATCTCGAGACAGTCCCCAAGAACACTGTCACCAGTCTAGACGGACCCTGAGGTCACCCCAGCAACGCAAAACAGCTCCATGTGCCCCAAATCAACTCGAGATGAGGCCCGATTCCCCTGCATTGACTCCAGAGCCATTCCCCGTTCCCCATTCAACACGACCGGTGGCTCGACTTCCTTCAGGCAACTCCAGAGATGCCCCGAGAACACTGTCCCAAGTCTAGAGGAACACCAACTTCAGCACAGCAACTCGAGGAATGCTCCGTGTACCCCAAATCGTCTCGAGATGCGAGCTGATTCCCTGGCTTAGGCTCAAGACGTATGCCAACTTCCCAGAAGCACCTCAGGAGGAGGCTTCTCTCAGCAATAGGTATGTGGGAGGGACCCCGAGTTTGCTGCCTCAAGGGGAATATACAGAGAGAAGCCCTAACTTGAAAGGTGGCCGGATTTCCTTGCAGTGGCTTGATTACAGGCTCGTCTTTCATCTCACAACATGAAGGGATGTCTGAATCCCCTGTGGAGACCTTAGAGAAAGCCCTAGGTCCCTGCCTCATTTTGACCGAATGCCTCACATCCCGCTGACACCTCGAGAGGCACGCGGAGTTCATTGCTTCAAAAGGTGACGATGCCTAACTCCTCTTGAATACTGATAGGAATCCCAAAATCCCTGTGGCTACTGGAAAGGGTACTTGGGTGCCCTGCCTCACCTCGAGAAGCGTCCCTTTGGCCCTGCCAAGCCTCGAAGAGATTCCTGAGGTGTCCCTCGTTACTAGACAGGAGTCCTGACGTCACTGAAAAACTCGTGTTTTGAAGGGCCATCCCCGCCGTAAGTCGAGAACATACCCCAGGTCCCCGCCGCAACTCGAGAAAAACCATGAGACTTCCCCCTAGAGGCGAGATGAGGCCCCATTCCCCTGCAGTGCATGCAGAGCTATTCCGTGATCCCATTCAAACAAGTCAGGAGCTTCGACTTGCTTCATGGATCTCTAGACAGTCCCCAAGATCACTGTCACCAGTCTAGACGGACCCTGAGGTCACCCCAGCAACGCAAAGCAGCTCCATGTGCCCCAAATCAACTCGAGATGAGGCCCGATTCCCCTGCATTGACTCCAGAGCCATTCCCCGTTCCCCATTCAACACGACCGGTGGCTCGACTTCCTTCAGGCAACTCCAGAGATGCCCCGAGAACACTGTCCCAAGTCTAGAGGAACACCAACTTCAGCACAGCAACTCGAGGAATGCTCCGTGTACCCCAAATCGTCTCGAGATGCGAGCTGATTCCCTGGCTTAGGCTCAAGACGTATGCCAACTTCCCAGAAGCACCTCAGGAGGAGGCTTCTCTCAGCAATAGGTATGTGGGAGGGACCCCGAGTTTGCTGCCTCAAGGGGAATATACAGCGAGAAGCCCTAACTTGAAAGGTGGCCGGATTTCCTTGCAGTGGCTTGATTACAGGCTCGTCTTTCATCTCACAACATGAAGGGATGTCTGAATCCCCTGTGGAGACCTTAGAGAAAGCCCTAGGACCCTGCCTCATTTTGACGGAATGCCTCACGTCGCGCTGACACCTCGAGAGGCACGCGGAGTTCATTGCTTCAAAAGGTGACGATGCCTGACTCCTCTTGAATACTGATAGGAATCCCAAAATCCCTGTGGCTACTGGAAAGGGTCCTTGGGTGCCCTGCCTCACCTCAAGAAGCGTCTCTTTTGCCCTGCAAAGCCTCGAAGAGATTCCTGAGGTGTCCCTCGTTACTAGACAGGAGTCCTGACGTCACTGAAGAAACTCGTGTTTTGAAGGGCCATCCCCGCCGTAAGTCGAGAACATACCCCAGGTCCCCGCCGCAACTCGAGAAAAACCATGAGACTTCCCCCTAGAGGCGAGATGAGGCCCCATTCCCCTGCAGTGCATGCAGAGCTATTCCGTGATCCCATTCAAACAAGTCAGGAGCTTCGACTTGCTTCATGGATCTCGAGACAGTCCCCAAGAACACTGTCACCAGTCTAGACGGACCCTGAGGTCACCCCAGCAACGCAAAGCAGCTCCATGTGCCCCAAATCAACTCGAGATGAGGCCCGATTCCCCTGCATTGACTCCAGAGCCATTCCCCGTTCCCCATTCAACACGACCGGTGGCTCGACTTCCTTCAGGCAACTCCAGAGATGCCCCGAGAACACTGTCCCAAGTCTAGAGGAACACCAACTTCAGCACAGCAACTCGAGGAATGCTCCGTGTACCCCAAATCGTCTCGAGATGAGAGCTGATTCCCTGGCTTAGGCTCAAGACGTAGGCCAACTTCCCAGAAGCACCTCAGGAGGAGGCTTCTCTCAGCAATAGGTATATGGGAGGGACCCCGAGTTTGCTGCCTCAAGGGGAATATACAGCGAGAAGCCCTAACTTGAAAGGAGGCCGGATTTCCTTGCAGTGGCTTGAATACAGGCTCGTCTTTCATCTCACAACATGAAGGGATGTCTGAATCCCCTGTGGAGACCTTAGAGAAAGCCCTAGGTCCCTGCCTCATTTTGACGGAATGAATCACATCCCGCTGACACCTCGAGAGGCACGCGGAGTTCATTGCTTCAAAAGGTGACGATGCCTGACTCCTCTTGAATACTGATAGGAATCCCAAAATCCCTGTGGCTACTGGAAAGGGTCCTTGGGTGCCCTGCCTCACCTCGGGAAGCGTCCTTTTGCCCTGCCAAGCCTCGAAGAGATTCCTGAGGTGTCCCTCGTTACTAGACAGGAGTCCTGACGTCACTGAAGAAACTCGTGTTTTGAAGGGCCATCCCCGCCGTAAGTCGAGAACATACCCCAGGTCCCCGCCGCAACTCGAGAAAAACCATGAGACTTCCCCCTAGAGGCGAGATGAGGCCCCATTCCCCTGCAGTGCATGCAGAGCTATTCCGTGATCCCATTCAAACAAGTCAGGAGCTTCGACTTGCTTCATGGATCTCGAGACAGTCCCCAAGAACACTGTCACCAGTCTAGACGGACCCTGAGGTCACCCCAGCAACGCAAAGCAGCTCCATGTGCCCCAAATCAACTCGAGATGAGGCCCGATTCCCCTGCATTGACTCCAGAGCCATTCCCCGTTCCCCATTCAGCACGACCGGTGTCTCGACTTCCTTCAGGCAACTCCAGAGATGCCCCGAGAACACTGTCCCAAGTCTAGAGGAACACCAACTTCAGCACAGCAACTCGAGGAATGCTCCGTGTACCCCAAATCGTCTCGAGATGAGAGCTGATTCCCTGGCTTAGGCTCAAGACGTATGCCAACTTCCCAGAAGCACCTCAGGAGGAGGCTTCTCTCAGCTATAAGTATGTGGGAGGGACCCCGAGTTTGCTGCCTCAAGGGGAATATACAGCGAGAAGCCCTAACTTGAAAGGAGGCCGGATTTCCTTGCAGTGGCTTGAATACAGGCTCGTCTTTCATCTCACAACATGAAGGGATGTCTGAATCCCCTGTGGAGACCTTAGAGAAAGCCCTAGGTCCCTGCCTCATTTTGACGGAATGCCTCACATCCCGCTGACACCTCGAGAGGCACGCGGAGTTCATTGCTTCAAAAGGTGACGATGCCTGACTCCTCTTGAATACTGATAGGAATCCCAAAATCCCTGTGGCTACTGGAAAGGGTCCTTGGGTGCCCTGCCTCACCTCAAGAAGCGTCTCTTTTGCCCTGCAAAGCCTCGAAGAGATTCCTGAGGTGTCCCTCGTTACTAGACAGGAGTCCTGACGTCACTGAAGAAACTCGTGTTTTGAAGGGCCATCCACGCCGTAAGTCGAGAACATAACCCAGGTCCCCGCCGCAACTCGAGAAAAACCATGAGACTTCCCCCTAGAGGCGAGATGAGGCCCCATTCCCCTGCAGTGCATGCAGAGCTATTCCGTGATCCCATTCAAACAAGTCAGGAGCTTCGACTTGCTTCATGGATCTCGAGACAGTCCCCAAGAACACTGTCACCAGTCTAGACGGACCCTGAGGTCACCCCAGCAACGCAAAACAGCTCCATGTGCCCCAAATCAACTCGAGATGAGGCCCGATTCCCCTGCATTGACTCCAGAGCCATTCCCCGTTCCCCATTCAACACGACCGGTGGCTCGACTTCCTTCAGGCAACTCCAGAGATGCCCCGAGAACACTGTCCCAAGTCTAGAGGAACACCAACTTCAGCACAGCAACTCGAGGAATGCTCCGTGTACCCCAAATCGTCTCGAGATGCGAGCTGATTCCCTGGCTTAGGCTCAAGACGTATGCCAACTTCCCAGAAGCACCTCAGGAGGAGGCTTCTCTCAGCAATAGGTATGTGGGAGGGACCCCGAGTTTGCTGCCTCAAGGGGAATATACAGAGAGAAGCCCTAACTTGAAAGGTGGCCGGATTTCCTTGCAGTGGCTTGATTACAGGCTCGTCTTTCATCTCACAACATGAAGGGATGTCTGAATCCCCTGTGGAGACCTTAGAGAAAGCCCTAGGTCCCTGCCTCATTTTGACCGAATGCCTCACATCCCGCTGACACCTCGAGAGGCACGCGGAGTTCATTGCTTCAAAAGGTGACGATGCCTAACTCCTCTTGAATACTGATAGGAATCCCAAAATCCCTGTGGCTACTGGAAAGGGTACTTGGGTGCCCTGCCTCACCTCGAGAAGCGTCCCTTTGGCCCTGCCAAGCCTCGAAGAGATTCCTGAGGTGTCCCTCGTTACTAGACAGGAGTCCTGACGTCACTGAAAAACTCGTGTTTTGAAGGGCCATCCCCGCCGTAAGTCGAGAACATACCCCAGGTCCCCGCCGCAACTCGAGAAAAACCATGAGACTTCCCCCTAGAGGCGAGATGAGGCCCCATTCCCCTGCAGTGCATGCAGAGCTATTCCGTGATCCCATTCAAACAAGTCAGGAGCTTCGACTTGCTTAATGGATCTCGAGACAGTCCCCAAGAACACTGTCACCAGTCTAGACGGACCCTGAGGTCACCCCAGCAACGCAAAGCAGCTCCATGTGCCCCAAATCAACTCGAGATGAGGCCCGATTCCCCTGCATTGACTCCAGAGCCATTCCCCGTTCCCCATTCAACACGACCGGTGGCTCGACTTCCTTCAGGCAACTCCAGAGATGCCCCGAGAACACTGTCCCAAGTCTAGAGGAACACCAACTTCAGCACAGCAACTCGAGGAATGCTCCGTGTACCCCAAATCGTCTCGAGATGCGAGCTGATTCCCTGGCTTAGGCTCAAGACGTATGCCAACTTCCCAGAAGCACCTCAGGAGGAGGCTTCTCTCAGCAATAGGTATGTGGGAGGGACCCCGAGTTTGCTGCCTCAAGGGGAATATACAGCGAGAAGCCCTAACTTGAAAGGTGGCCGGATTTCCTTGCAGTGGCTTGATTACAGGCTCGTCTTTCATCTCACAACATGAAGGGATGTCTGAATCCCCTGTGGAGACCTTAGAGAAAGCCCTAGGACCCTGCCTCATTTTGACGGAATGCCTCACGTCGCGCTGACACCTCGAGAGGCACGCGGAGTTCATTGCTTCAAAAGGTGACGATGCCTGACTCTTCTTGAATACTGATAGGAATCCCAAAATCCCTGTGGCTACTGGAAAGGGTCCTTGGGTGCCCTGCCTCACCTCAAGAAGCGTCTCTTTTGCCCTGCAAAGCCTCGAAGAGATTCCTGAGGTGTCCCTCGTTACTAGACAGGAGTCCTGACGTCACTGAAGAAACTCGTGTTTTGAAGGGCCATCCCCGCCGTAAGTCGAGAACATACCCCAGGTCCCCGCCGCAACTCGAGAAAAACCATGAGACTTCCCCCTAGAGGCGAGATGAGGCCCCATTCCCCTGCAGTGCATGCAGAGCTATTCCGTGATCCCATTCAAACAAGTCAGGAGCTTCGACTTGCTTCATGGATCTCGAGACAGTCCCCAAGAACACTGTCACCAGTCTAGACGGACCCTGAGGTCACCCCAGCAACGCAAAGCAGCTCCATGTGCCCCAAATCAACTCGAGATGAGGCCCGATTCCCCTGCATTGACTCCAGAGCCATTCCCCGTTCCCCATTCAACACGACCGGTGGCTCGACTTCCTTCAGGCAACTCCAGAGATGCCCCGAGAACACTGTCCCAAGTCTAGAGGAACACCAACTTCAGCACAGCAACTCGAGGAATGCTCCGTGTACCCCAAATCGTCTCGAGATGAGAGCTGATTCCCTGGCTTAGGCTCAAGACGTAGGCCAACTTCCCAGAAGCACCTCAGGAGGAGGCTTCTCTCAGCAATAGGTATATGGGAGGGACCCCGAGTTTGCTGCCTCAAGGGGAATATACAGCGAGAAGCCCTAACTTGAAAGGAGGCCGGATTTCCTTGCAGTGGCTTGAATACAGGCTCGTCTTTCATCTCACAACATGAAGGGATGTCTGAATCCCCTGTGGAGACCTTAGAGAAAGCCCTAGGTCCCTGCCTCATTTTGACGGAATGAATCACATCCCGCTGACACCTCGAGAGGCACGCGGAGTTCATTGCTTCAAAAGGTGACGATGCCTGACTCCTCTTGAATACTGATAGGAATCCCAAAATCCCTGTGGCTACTGGAAAGGGTCCTTGGGTGCCCTGCCTCACCTCGGGAAGCGTCCTTTTGCCCTGCCAAGCCTCGAAGAGATTCCTGAGGTGTCCCTCGTTACTAGACAGGAGTCCTGACGTCACTGAAGAAACTCGTGTTTTGAAGGGCCATCCCCGCCGTAAGTCGAGAACATACCCCAGGTCCCCGCCGCAACTCGAGAAAAACCATGAGACTTCCCCCTAGAGGCGAGATGAGGCCCCATTCCCCTGCAGTGCATGCAGAGCTATTCCGTGATCCCATTCAAACAAGTCAGGAGCTTCGACTTGCTTCATGGATCTCGAGACAGTCCCCAAGAACACTGTCACCAGTCTAGACGGACCCTGAGGTCACCCCAGCAACGCAAAGCAGCTCCATGTGCCCCAAATCAACTCGAGATGAGGCCCGATTCCCCTGCATTGACTCCAGAGCCATTCCCCGTTCCCCATTCAGCACGACCGGTGTCTCGACTTCCTTCAGGCAACTCCAGAGATGCCCCGAGAACACTGTCCCAAGTCTAGAGGAACACCAACTTCAGCACAGCAACTCGAGGAATGCTCCGTGTACCCCAAATCGTCTCGAGATGAGAGCTGATTCCCTGGCTTAGGCTCAAGACGTATGCCAACTTCCCAGAAGCACCTCAGGAGGAGGCTTCTCTCAGCTATAAGTATGTGGGAGGGACCCCGAGTTTGCTGCCTCAAGGGGAATATACAGCGAGAAGCCCTAACTTGAAAGGAGGCCGGATTTCCTTGCAGTGGCTTGAATACAGGCTCGTCTTTCATCTCACAACATGAAGGGATGTCTGAATCCCCTGTGGAGACCTTAGAGAAAGCCCTAGGTCCCTGCCTCATTTTGACGGAATGCCTCACATCCCGCTGACACCTCGAGAGGCACGCGGAGTTCATTGCTTCAAAAGGTGACGATGCCTGACTCCTCTTGAATACTGATAGGAATCCCAAAATCCCAGTGGCTACTGGAAAGGGTCCTTGGGTGCCCTGCCTCACCTCAAGAAGCGTCTCTTTTGCCCTGCAAAGCCTCGAAGAGATTCCTGAGGTGTCCCGCGTTACTAGACAGGAGTCCTGACGTCACTGAAGAAACTCGTGTTTTGAAGGGCCATCCACGCCGTAAGTCGAGAACATAACCCAGGTCCCCGCCGCAACTCGAGAAAAACCATGAGACTTCCCCCTAGAGGCGAGATGAGGCCCCATTCCCCTGCAGTGCATGCAGAGCTATTCCGTGATCCCATTCAAACAAGTCAGGAGCTTCGACTTGCTTCATGGATCTCGAGACAGTCCCCAAGAACACTGTCACCAGTCTAGACGGACCCTGAGGTCACCCCAGCAACGCAAAACAGCTCCATGTGCCCCAAATCAACTCGAGATGAGGCCCGATTCCCCTGCATTGACTCCAGAGCCATTCCCCGTTCCCCATTCAACACGACCGGTGGCTCGACTTCCTTCAGGCAACTCCAGAGATGCCCCGAGAACACTGTCCCAAGTCTAGAGGAACACCAACTTCAGCACAGCAACTCGAGGAATGCTCCGTGTACACCAAATCGTCTCGAGATGCGAGCTGATTCCCTGGCTTAGGCTCAAGACGTATGCCAACTTCCCAGAAGCACCTCAGGAGGAGGCTTCTCTCAGCAATAGGTATGTGGGAGGGACCCCGAGTTTGCTGCCTCAAGGGGAATATACAGAGAGAAGCCCTAACTTGAAAGGTGGCCGGATTTCCTTGCAGTGGCTTGATTACAGGCTCGTCTTTCATCTCACAACATGAAGGGATGTCTGAATCCCCTGTGGAGACCTTAGAGAAAGCCCTAGGACCCTGCCTCATTTTGACGGAATGCCTCACGTCGCGCTGACACCTCGAGAGGCACGCGGAGTTCATTGCTTCAAAAGGTGACGATGCCTGACTCCTCTTGAATACTGATAGGAATCCCAAAATCCCTGTGGCTACTGGAAAGGGTCCTTGGGTGCCCTGCCTCACCTCAAGAAGCGTCTCTTTTGCCCTGCAAAGCCTCGAAGAGATTCCTGAGGTGTCCCTCGTTACTAGACAGGAGTCCTGACGTCACTGAAGAAACTCGTGTTTTGAAGGGCCATCCCCGCCGTAAGTCGAGAACATACCCCAGGTCCCCGCCGCAACTCGAGAAAAACCATGAGACTTCCCCCTAGAGGCGAGATGAGGCCCCATTCCCCTGCAGTGCATGCAGAGCTATTCCGTGATCCCATTCAAACAAGTCAGGAGCTTCGACTTGCTTCATGGATCTCGAGACAGTCCCCAAGAACACTGTCACCAGTCTAGACGGACCCTGAGGTCACCCCAGCAACGCAAAGCAGCTCCATGTGCCCCAAATCAACTCGAGATGAGGCCCGATTCCCCTGCATTGACTCCAGAGCCATTCCCCGTTCCCCATTCAACACGACCGGTGGCTCGACTTCCTTCAGGCAACTCCAGAGATGCCCCGAGAACACTGTCCCAAGTCTAGAGGAACACCAACTTCAGCACAGCAACTCGAGGAATGCTCCGTGTACCCCAAATCGTCTCGAGATGAGAGCTGATTCCCTGGCTTAGGCTCAAGACGTAGGCCAACTTCCCAGAAGCACCTCAGGAGGAGGCTTCTCTCAGCAATAGGTATATGGGAGGGACCCCGAGTTTGCTGCCTCAAGGGGAATATACAGCGAGAAGCCCTAACTTGAAAGGAGGCCGGATTTCCTTGCAGTGGCTTGAATACAGGCTCGTCTTTCATCTCACAACATGAAGGGATGTCTGAATCCCCTGTGGAGACCTTAGAGAAAGCCCTAGGTCCCTGCCTCATTTTGACGGAATGCCTCACATCCCGCTGACACCTCGAGAGGCACGCGGAGTTCATTGCTTCAAAAGGTGACGATGCCTGACTCCTCTTGAATACTGATAGGAATCCCAAAATCCCTGTGGCTACTGGAAATGGTCCTTGGGTGCCCTGCCTCACCTCGGGAAGCGTCCTTTTGCCCTGCCAAGCCTCGAAGAGATTCCTGAGGTGTCCCTCGTTACTAGACAGGAGTCCTGACGTCACTGAAGAAACTCGTGTTTTGAAGGGCCATCCCCGCCGTAAGTCGAGAACATACCCCAGGTCCCCGCCGCAACTCGAGAAAAACCATGAGACTTCCCCCTAGAGGCGAGATGAGGCCCCATTCCCCTGCAGTGCATGCAGAGCTATTCCGTGATCCCATTCAAACAAGTCAGGAGCTTCGACTTGCTTCATGGATCTCGAGACAGTCCCCAAGAACACTGTCACCAGTCTAGACGGACCCTGAGGTCACCCCAGCAACGCAAAGCAGCTCCATGTGCCCCAAATCAACTCGAGATGAGGCCCGATTCCCCTGCATTGACTCCAGAGCCATTCCCCGTTCCCCATTCAGCACGACCGGTGTCTCGACTTCCTTCAGGCAACTCCAGAGATGCCCCGAGAACACTGTCCCAAGTCTAGAGGAACACCAACTTCAGCACAGCAACTCGAGGAATGCTCCGTGTACCCCAAATCGTCTCGAGATGAGAGCTGATTCCCTGGCTTAGGCTCAAGACGTATGCCACCTTCCCAGAAGCACCTCAGGAGGAGGCTTCTCTCAGCTATAAGTATGTGGGAGGGACCCCGAGTTTGCTGCCTCAAGGGGAATATACAGCGAGAAGCCCTAACTTGAAAGGAGGCCGGATTTCCTTGCAGTGGCTTGAATACAGGCTCGTCTTTCATCTCACAACATGAAGGGATGTCTGAATCCCCTGTGGAGACCTTAGAGAAAGCCCTAGGTCCCTGCCTCATTTTCACGGAATGCGTCACATCCCGCTGACACCTCGAGAGGCACGCGGAGTTCATTGCTTCAAAAGGTGACGATGCCTGACTCCTCTTGAATACTGATAGGAATCCCAAAATCCCAGTGGCTACTGGAAAGGGTCCTTGGGTGCCCTGCCTCACCTCAAGAAGCGTCTCTTTTGCCCTGCAAAGCCTCGAAGAGATTCCTGAGGTGTCCCTCGTTACTAGACAGGAGTCCTGACGTCACTGAAGAAACTCGTGTTTTGAAGGGCCATCCACGCCGTAAGTCGAGAACATACCCCAGGTCCCCGCCGCAACTCGAGAAAAACCATGAGACTTCCCCCTAGAGGCGAGATGAGGCCCCATTCCCCTGCAGTGCATGCAGAGCTATTCCGTGATCCCATTCAAACAAGTCAGGAGCTTCGACTTGCTTCATGGATCTCGAGACAGTCCCCAAGAACACTGTCACCAGTCTAGACGGACCCTGAGGTCACCCCAGCAACGCAAAACAGCTCCATGTGCCCCAAATCAACTCGAGATGAGGCCCGATTCCCCTGCATCGACTCCAGAGCCATTCCCCTTTCCCCATTCAACACGACCGGTGGCTCGACTTCCTTCAGGCAACTCCAGAGATGCCCCGAGAACACTGTCCCAAGTCTAGAGGAACACCAACTTCAGCACAGCAACTCGAGGAATGCTCCGTGTACCCCAAATCGTCTCGAGATGAGAGCTGATTCCCGGGCTTATTCTCAAGACGTATGCCAACTTCCCAGAAGCACCTCAGGAGGAGGCTTCTCTCTGCAATAGGTATGTGGGAGGGACCCCGAGTTTGCTGCCTCAAGGGGAATATACAGCGAGAAGCCCTAACTTGAAAGGAGGCCGGATTTCCTTGCAGTGGCTTGAATACAGGCTCGTCTTTCATCTCACAACATGAAGGGATGTCTGAATCCCCTGTGGAGACCTTAGAGAAAGCCCTAGGTCCCTGCCTCATTTTGACGGAATGCCTCACATCCCGCTGACACCTCGAGAGGCACGCGGAGTTCATTGCTTCAAAAGGTGACGATGCCTGACTCCTCTTGAATACTGATAGGAATCCCAAAATCCCTGTGGCTACTGGAAAGGGTCCTTGGGTGCCCTGCCTCACCTCGAGAAGCGTCGCTTTTGCCCTGCCAAGCCTCGAAGAGATTCCTGAGGTGTCCCTCGTTACTAGACAGGAGTCCTGACGTCACTGAAGAAACTCGTGTTTTGAGGGGCCATCCCAGCCGTAAGTTGATTACATACCCCAGGTCCCCGCCGCAACTCGAGAAAAACCATGAGACTTCCCCCTAGATTCGAGATGAGGCCCCATTCCCCTGCAGTGCATGCAGAGCTATTCCGTGATCCCATTCAAACAAGTCAGGAGCTTCGACTTGCTTCATGGATCTCTAGACAGTCCCCAAGATCACTGTCACCAGTCTAGACGGAACCTGAGGTCACCCCAGCAACGCAAAGCAGCTCCATGTGCCCCAAATCAACTCGAGATGAGGCCCGATTCCCCTGCATTGACTCCAGAGCCATTCCCCGTTCCCCATTCAACACGACCGGTGGCTCGACTTCCTTCAGGCAACTCCAGAGATGCCCCGAGAACACTGTCCCAAGTCTAGAGGAACACCAACTTCAGCACAGCAACTCGAGGAATGCTCCGTGTACCCCAAATCGTCTCGAGATGCGAGCTGATTCCCTGGCTTAGGCTCAAGACGTATGCCAACTTCCCAGAAGCACCTCAGGAGGAGGCTTCTCTCAGCAATAGGTATGTGGGAGGGACCCCGAGTTTGCTGCCTCAAGGGGAATATACAGAGAGAAGCCCTAACTTGAAAGGTGGCCGGATTTCCTTGCAGTGGCTTGATTATAGGCTCGTCTTTCATCTCACAACATGAAGGGATGTCTGAATCCCCTGTGGAGACCTTAGAGAAAGCCCTAGGACCCTGCCTCATTTTGACGGAATGCCTCACGTCGCGCTGACACCTCGAGAGGCACGCGGAGTTCATTGCTTCAAAAGGTGACGATGCCTGACTCCTCTTGAATACTGTTAGGAATCCCAAAATCCCTGTGGCTACTGGAAAGGGTCCTTGGGTGCCCTGCCTCACCTCAAGAAGCGTCTCTTTTGCCCTGCAAAGCCTCGAAGAGATTCCTGAGGTGTCCCTCGTTACTAGACAGGAGTCCTGACGTCACTGAAGAAACTCGTGTTTTGAAGGGCCATCCCCGCCGTAAGTCGAGAACATACCCCAAGTCCCCGCCGCAACTCGAGAAAAACCATGAGACTTCCCCCTAGAGGCGAGATGAGGCCCCATTCCCCTGCAGTGCATGCAGGGCTATTCCGTGATCCCATTCAAACAAGTCAGGAGCTTCGACTTGCTTCATGGATCTCGAGACAGTCCCCAAGAACACTGTCACCAGTCTAGACGGACCCTGAGGTCACCCCAGCAACGCAAAGCAGCTCCATGTGCCCCAAATCAACTCGAGATGAGGCCCGATTCCCCTGCATTGACTCCAGAGCCATTCCCCGTTCCCCATTCAACACGACCGGTGGCTCGACTTCCTTCAGGCAACTCCAGAGATGCCCCGAGAACACTGTCCCAAGACTAGAGGAACACCAACTTCAGCACAGCAACTCGAGGAATGCTCCGTGTACCCCAAATCGTCTCGAGATGAGAGCTGATTCCCTGGCTTAGGCTCAAGACGTAGGCCAACTTCCCAGAAGCACCTCAGGAGGAGGCTTCTCTCAGCAATAGGTATATGGGAGGGACCCCGAGTTTGCTGCCTCAAGGGGAATATACAGCGAGAAGCCCTAACTTGAAAGGAGGCCGGATTTCCTTGCAGTGGCTTGAATACAGGCTCGTGTTTCATCTCACAACATGAAGGGATGTCTGAATCCCCTGTGGAGACCTTAGAGAAAGCCCTAGGTCCCTGCCTCATTTTGACGGAATGCCTCACATCCCGCTGACACCTCGAGAGGCACGCGGAGTTCATTGCTTCAAAAGGTGACGATGCCTGACTCCTCTTGAATACTGATAGGAATCCCAAAATCCCTGTGGCTACTGGAAAGGGTCCTTGGGTGCCCTGCCTCACCTCGGGAAGCGTCCTTTTGCCCTGCCAAGCCTCGAAGAGATTCCTGAGGTGTCCCTCGTTACTAGACAGGAGTCCTGACGTCACTGAAGAAACTCGTGTTTTGAAGGGCCATCCCCGCCGTAAGTCGAGAACATACCCCAGGTCCCCGCCGCAACTCGAGAAAAACCATGAGACTTCCCCCTAGAGGCGAGATGAGGCCCCATTCCCCTGCAGTGCATGCAGAGCTATTCCGTGATCCCATTCAAACAAGTCAGGAGCTTCGACTTGCTTCATGGATCTCGAGACAGTCCCCAAGAACACTGTCACCAGTCTAGACGGACCCTGAGGTCACCCCAGCAACGCAAAGCAGCTCCATGTGCCCCAAATCAACTCGAGATGAGGCCCGATTCCCCTGCATTGACTCCAGAGCCATTCCCCGTTCCCCATTCAGCACGACCGGTGTCTCGACTTCCTTCAGGCAACTCCAGAGATGCCCCGAGAACACTGTCCCAAGTCTAGAGGAACACCAACTTCAGCACAGCAACTCGAGGAATGCTCCGTGTACCCCAAATCGTCTCGAGATGAGAGCTGATTCCCTGGCTTAGGCTCAAGACGTATGCCAACTTCCCAGAAGCACCTCAGGAGGAGGCTTCTCTCAGCTATAAGTATGTGGGAGGGACCCCGAGTTTGCTGCCTCAAGGGGAATATACAGCGAGAAGCCCTAACTTGAAAGGAGGCCGGATTTCCTTGCAGTGGCTTGAATACAGGCTCGTCTTTCATCTCACAACATGAAGGGATGTCTGAATCCCCTGTGGAGACCTTAGAGAAAGGCCTAGGTCCCTGCCTCATTTTGACGGAATGCCTCACATCCCGCTGACACCTCGAGAGGCACGCGGAGTTCAATGCTTCAAAAGGTGACGATGCCTGACTCCTCTTGAATACTGATAGGAATCCCAAAATCCCTGTGGCTACTGGAAAGGGTCCTTGGGTGCCCTGCCTCACCTCAAGAAGCGTCTCTTTTGCCCTGCAAAGCCTCGAAGAGATTCCTGAGGTGTCCCTCGTTACTAGACAGGAGTCCTGACGTCACTGAAGAAACTCGTGTTTTGAAGGGCCATCCACGCCGTAAGTCGAGAACATAACCCAGGTCCCCGCCGCAACTCGAGAAAAACCATGAGACTTCCCCCTAGAGGCGAGATGAGGCCCCATTCCCCTGCAGTGCATGCAGAGCTATTCCGTGATCCCATTCAAACAAGTCAGGAGCTTCGACTTGCTTCATGGATCTCGAGACAGTCCCCAAGAACACTGTCACCAGTCTAGACGGACCCTGAGGTCACCCCAGCAACGCAAAACAGCTCCATGTGCCCCAAATCAACTCGAGATGAGGCCCGATTCCCCTGCATCGACTCCAGAGCCATTCCCCTTTCCCCATTCAACACGACCGGTGGCTCGACTTCCTTCAGGCAACTCCAGAGATGCCCCGAGAACACTGTCCCAAGTCTAGAGGAACACCAACTTCAGCACAGCAACTCGAGGAATGCTCCGTGTACCCCAAATCGTCTCGAGATGAGAGCTGATTCCCGGGCTTATTCTCAAGACGTATGCCAACTTCCCAGAAGCACCTCAGGAGGAGGCTTCTCTCTGCAATAGGTATGTGGGAGGGACCCCGAGTTTGCTGCCTCAAGGGGAATATACAGCGAGAAGCCCTAACTTGAAAGGAGGCCGGATTTCCTTGCAGTGGCTTGAATACAGGCTCGTCTTTCATCTCACAACATGAAGGGATGTCTGAATCCCCTGTGGAGACCTTAGAGAAAGCCCTAGGTCCCTGCCTCATTTTGACGGAATGCCTCACATCCCGCTGACACCTCGGGAGGCACGCGGAGTTCTTTGCTTCAAAAGGTGACGATGCCTGACTCCTCTTGAATACTGATAGGAATCCCAAAATCCCTGTGGCTATTGGAAAGGGTCCTTGGGTGCCCTGCCTCACCTCGAGAAGCGTCCTTTTGCCCTGCCAAGCCTCGAAGAGATTCCTGAGGTGTCCCTCGTTACTAGACAGGAGTCCTGACGTCACTGAAGAAACTCGTGTTTTGAAGGGCCATCCCCGCCGTAAGTCGAGAACATACCCCAGGTCCCCGCCGCAACTCGAGAAAAACCATGAGACTTCCCCCTAGAGGCGAGATGAGGCCCCATTCCCCTGCAGTGCATGCAGAGCTATTCCGTGATCCCATTCAAACAAGTCAGGAGCTTCGACTTGCTTCATGGATCTCGAGACAGTCCCCAAGAACACTGTCACCAGTCTAGACGGACCCTGAGGTCACCCCAGCAACGCAAAGCAGCTCCATGTGCCCCAAATCAACTCGAGATGAGGCCCGATTCCCCTGCATTGACTCCAGAGCCATTCCCCGTTCCCCATTCAACACGACCGGTGGCTCGACTTCCTTCAGGCAACTCCAGAGATGCCCCGAGAACACTGTCCCAAGTCTAGAGGAACACCAACTTCAGCACAGCAACTCGAGGAATGCTCCGTGTACCCCAAATCGTCTCGAGATGAGAGCTGCTTCCCTGGCTTAGGCTCAAGACGTAGGCCAACTTCCCAGAAGCACCTCAGGAGGAGGCTTCTCTCAGCAATAGGTATATGGGAGGGACCCCGAGTTTGCTGCCTCAAGGGGAATATACAGCGAGAAGCCCTAACTTGAAAGGAGGCCGGATTTCCTTGCAGTGGCTTGAATACAGGCTCGTTTTTCATCTCACAACATGAAGGGATGTCTGAATCCTCTGTGGAGACCTTAGAGAAAGCCCTAGGTCCCTGCCTCATTTTGACGGAATGCCTCACATCCCGCTGACACCTCGGGAGGCACGCGGAGTTCTTTGCTTCAAAAGGTGACGATGCCTGACTCCTCTTGAATACTGATAGGAATCCCAAAATCCCTGTGGCTACTGGAAAGGGTCCTTGGGTGCCCTGCCTCACCTCGAGAAGCGTCCCTTTTGCCCTGCCAAGCCTCGAAGAGATTCCTGAGGTGTCCCTCGTTACTAGACAGGAGTCCTGACGTCACTGAAGAAACTCGTGTTTTGAAGGGCCATCCCCGCCGTAAGTCGAGAACATACCCCAGGTCCCCGCCGCAACTCGAGAAAAACCATGAGACTTCCCCCTAGAGGCGAGATGAGGCCCCATTCCCCTGCAGTGCATGCAGAGCTATTCCGTGATCCCATTCAAACAAGTCAGGAGCTTCGACTTGCTTCATGGATCTCGAGACAGTCCCCAAGAACACTGTCACCAGTCTAGACGGACCCTGAGGTCACCCCAGCAACGCAAAGCAGCTCCATGTGCCCCAAATCAACTCGAGATGAGGCCCGATTCCCCTGCATTGACTCCAGAGCCATTCCCCGTTCCCCATTCAACACGACCGGTGGCTCGACTTCCTTCAGGCAACTCCAGAGATGCCCCGAGAACACTGTCCCAAGTCTAGAGGAACACCAACTTCAGCACAGCAACTCGAGGAATGCTCCGTGTACCCCAAATCGTCTCGAGATGCGAGCTGATTCCCTGGCTTAGGCTCAAGACGTATGCCAACTTCCCAGAAGCACCTCAGGAGGAGGCTTCTCTCAGCAATAGGTATGTGGGAGGGACCCCGAGTTTGCTGCCTCAAGGGGAATATACAGAGAGAAGCCCTAACTTGAAAGGTGGCCGGATTTCCTTGCAGTGGCTTGATTATAGGCTCGTCTTTCATCTCACAACATGAAGGGATGTCTGAATCCCCTGTGGAGACCTTAGAGAAAGCCCTAGGACCCTGCCTCATTTTGACGGAATGCCTCACGTCGCGCTGACACCTCGAGAGGCACGCGGAGTTCATTGCTTCAAAAGGTGACGATGCCTGACTCCTCTTGAATACTGTTAGGAATCCCAAAATCCCTGTGGCTACTGGAAAGGGTCCTTGGGTGCCCTGCCTCACCTCAAGAAGCGTCTCTTTTGCCCTGCAAAGCCTCGAAGAGATTCCTGAGGTGTCCCTCGTTACTAGACAGGAGTCCTGACGTCACTGAAGAAACTCGTGTTTTGAAGGGCCATCCCCGCCGTAAGTCGAGAACATACCCCAAGTCCCCGCCGCAACTCGAGAAAAACCATGAGACTTCCCCCTAGAGGCGAGATGAGGCCCCATTCCCCTGCAGTGCATGCAGGGCTATTCCGTGATCCCATTCAAACAAGTCAGGAGCTTCGACTTGCTTCATGGATCTCGAGACAGTCCCCAAGAACACTGTCACCAGTCTAGACGGACCCTGAGGTCACCCCAGCAACGCAAAGCAGCTCCATGTGCCCCAAATCAACTCGAGATGAGGCCCGATTCCCCTGCATTGACTCCAGAGCCATTCCCCGTTCCCCATTCAACACGACCGGTGGCTCGACTTCCTTCAGGCAACTCCAGAGATGCCCCGAGAACACTGTCCCAAGACTAGAGGAACACCAACTTCAGCACAGCAACTCGAGGAATGCTCCGTGTACCCCAAATCGTCTCGAGATGAGAGCTGATTCCCTGGCTTAGGCTCAAGACGTATGCCAACTTCCCAGAAGCACCTCAGGAGGAGGCTTCTCTCAGCTATAAGTATGTGGGAGGGACCCCGAGTTTGCTGCCTCAAGGGGAATATACAGCGAGAAGCCCTAACTTGAAAGGAGGCCGGATTTCCTTGCAGTGGCTTGAATACAGGCTCGTCTTTCATCTCACAACATGAAGGGATGTCTGAATCCCCTGTGGAGACCTTAGAGAAAGGCCTAGGTCCCTGCCTCATTTTGACGGAATGCCTCACATCCCGCTGACACCTCGAGAGGCACGCGGAGTTCAATGCTTCAAAAGGTGACGATGCCTGACTCCTCTTGAATACTGATAGGAATCCCAAAATCCCTGTGGCTACTGGAAAGGGTCCTTGGGTGCCCTGCCTCACCTCAAGAAGCGTCTCTTTTGCCCTGCAAAGCCTCGAAGAGATTCCTGAGGTGTCCCTCGTTACTAGACAGGAGTCCTGACGTCACTGAAGAAACTCGTGTTTTGAAGGGCCATCCACGCCGTAAGTCGAGAACATAACCCAGGTCCCCGCCGCAACTCGAGAAAAACCATGAGACTTCCCCCTAGAGGCGAGATGAGGCCCCATTCCCCTGCAGTGCATGCAGAGCTATTCCGTGATCCCATTCAAACAAGTCAGGAGCTTCGACTTGCTTCATGGATCTCGAGACAGTCCCCAAGAACACTGTCACCAGTCTAGACGGACCCTGAGGTCACCCCAGCAACGCAAAACAGCTCCATGTGCCCCAAATCAACTCGAGATGAGGCCCGATTCCCCTGCATCGACTCCAGAGCCATTCCCCTTTCCCCATTCAACACGACCGGTGGCTCGACTTCCTTCAGGCAACTCCAGAGATGCCCCGAGAACACTGTCCCAAGTCTAGAGGAACACCAACTTCAGCACAGCAACTCGAGGAATGCTCCGTGTACCCCAAATCGTCTCGAGATGAGAGCTGATTCCCGGGCTTATTCTCAAGACGTATGCCAACTTCCCAGAAGCACCTCAGGAGGAGGCTTCTCTCTGCAATAGGTATGTGGGAGGGACCCCGAGTTTGCTGCCTCAAGGGGAATATACAGCGAGAAGCCCTAACTTGAAAGGAGGCCGGATTTCCTTGCAGTGGCTTGAATACAGGCTCGTCTTTCATCTCACAACATGAAGGGATGTCTGAATCCCCTGTGGAGACCTTAGAGAAAGCCCTAGGTCCCTGCCTCATTTTGACGGAATGCCTCACATCCCGCTGACACCTCGGGAGGCACGCGGAGTTCTTTGCTTCAAAAGGTGACGATGCCTGACTCCTCTTGAATACTGATAGGAATCCCAAAATCCCTGTGGCTATTGGAAAGGGTCCTTGGGTGCCCTGCCTCACCTCGAGAAGCGTCCTTTTGCCCTGCCAAGCCTCGAAGAGATTCCTGAGGTGTCCCTCGTTACTAGACAGGAGTCCTGACGTCACTGAAGAAACTCGTGTTTTGAAGGGCCATCCCCGCCGTAAGTCGAGAACATACCCCAGGTCCCCGCCGCAACTCGAGAAAAACCATGAGACTTCCCCCTAGAGGCGAGATGAGGCCCCATTCCCCTGCAGTGCATGCAGAGCTATTCCGTGATCCCATTCAAACAAGTCAGGAGCTTCGACTTGCTTCATGGATCTCGAGACAGTCCCCAAGAACACTGTCACCAGTCTAGACGGACCCTGAGGTCACCCCAGCAACGCAAAGCAGCTCCATGTGCCCCAAATCAACTCGAGATGAGGCCCGATTCCCCTGCATTGACTCCAGAGCCATTCCCCGTTCCCCATTCAACACGACCGGTGGCTCGACTTCCTTCAGGCAACTCCAGAGATGCCCCGAGAACACTGTCCCAAGTCTAGAGGAACACCAACTTCAGCACAGCAACTCGAGGAATGCTCCGTGTACCCCAAATCGTCTCGAGATGAGAGCTGCTTCCCTGGCTTAGGCTCAAGACGTAGGCCAACTTCCCAGAAGCACCTCAGGAGGAGGCTTCTCTCAGCAATAGGTATATGGGAGGGACCCCGAGTTTGCTGCCTCAAGGGGAATATACAGCGAGAAGCCCTAACTTGAAAGGAGGCCGGATTTCCTTGCAGTGGCTTGAATACAGGCTCGTTTTTCATCTCACAACATGAAGGGATGTCTGAATCCTCTGTGGAGACCTTAGAGAAAGCCCTAGGTCCCTGCCTCATTTTGACGGAATGCCTCACATCCCGCTGACACCTCGGGAGGCACGCGGAGTTCTTTGCTTCAAAAGGTGACGATGCCTGACTCCTCTTGAATACTGATAGGAATCCCAAAATCCCTGTGGCTACTGGAAAGGGTCCTTGGGTGCCCTGCCTCACCTCGAGAAGCGTCCCTTTTGCCCTGCCAAGCCTCGAAGAGATTCCTGAGGTGTCCCTCGTTACTAGACAGGAGTCCTGACGTCACTGAAGAAACTCGTGTTTTGAAGGGCCATCCCCGCCGTAAGTCGAGAACATACCCCAGGTCCCCGCCGCAACTCGAGAAAAACCATGAGACTTCCCCCTAGAGGCGAGATGAGGCCCCATTCCCCTGCAGTGCATGCAGAGCTATTCCGTGATCCCATTCAAACAAGTCAGGAGCTTCGACTTGCTTCATGGATCTCGAGACAGTCCCCAAGAACACTGTCACCAGTCTAGACGGAACCTGAGGTCACCCCAGCAACGCAAAGCAGCTCCATGTGCCCCAAATCAACTCGAGATGAGGCCCGATTCCCCTGCATTGACTCCAGAGCAATTCCCCGTTCCCCATTCAACACGACCGGTGGCTCGACTTCCTTCAGGCAACTCCAGAGATGCCCCGAGAACACTGTCCCAAGTCTAGAGGAACACCAACTTCAGCACAGCAACTCGAGGAATGCTCCGTGTACCCCAAATCGTCTCGAGATGAGAGCTGATTCCCTGGCTTAGGCTCAAGACGTATGCCAACTTCCCAGAAGCACCTCAGGAGGAGGCTTCTCTCAGCAATAAGTATGTGGGAGGGACCCCGAGTTTGCTGCCTCAAGGGGAATATACAGCGAGAAGCCCTAACTTGAAAGGAGGCCGGATTTCCTTGCAGTGGCTTGAATACAGGCTCGTCTTTCATCTCACAACATGAAGGGATGTCTGAATCCCCTGTGGAGACCTTAGAGAAAGCCCTAGGTCCCTGCCTCATTTTGACGGAATGCCTCACATCCCGCTGACACCTCGGGAGGCACGCGGAGTTCTTTGCTTCAAAAGGTGACGATGCCTGACTCCTCTTGAATACTGATAGGAATCCCAAAATCCCTGTGGCTACTGGAAAGGGTCCTTGGGTGCCCTGCCTCACCTCGAGAAGCGTCCCTTTTGCCCTGCCAAGCCTCGAAGAGATTCCTGAGGTGTCCCTCGTTACTAGACAGGAGTCCTGACGTCACTGAAGAAACTCGTGTTTTGAAGGGCCATCCCCGCCGTAAGTCGAGAACATACCCCAGGTCCCCGCCGCAACTCGAGAAAAACCATGAGACTTCCCCCTAGAGGCGAGATGAGGCCCCATTCCCCTGCAGTGCATGCAGAGCTATTCCGTGATCCCATTCAAACAAGTCAGGAGCTTCGACTTGCTTAATGGATCTCGAGACAGTCCCCAAGAACACTGTCACCAGTCTAGACGGACCCTGAGGTCACCCCAGCAACGCAAAGCAGCTCCATGTGCCCCAAATCAACTCGAGATGAGGCCCGATTCCCCTGCATTGACTCCAGAGCCATTCCCCGTTCCCCATTCAACACGACCGGTGGCTAGACTTCCTTCAGGCAACTCCAGAGATGCCCCGAGAACACTGTCCCAAGTACAGAGGAACACCAACTTCAGCACAGCAACTCGAGGAATGCTCCGTGTACCCCAAATCGTCTCGAGATGAGAGCTGATTCCCTGGCTTAGGCTCAAGACGTAGGCCAACTTCCCAGAAGCACCTCAGGAGGAGGCTTCTCTCAGCAATAGGTATGTGGGAGGGACCCCGAGTTTGCTGCCTCAAGGGGAATATACAGCGAGAAGCCCTAACTTGAAAGGCGGCCGGATTTCCTTGCAGTGGCTTGAATACAGGCTCGTCTTTCATCTCACAACATGAAGGGATGTCTGAATCCCCTGTGGAGACCTTAGAGAAAGCCCTAGGTCCCTGCCTCATTTTGACGGAATGCCTCACATTCCGCTGACACCTCGAGAGGCACGCGGAGTTCATTGCTTCAAAAGGTGACGATGCCTGACTCCTCTTGAATACTGATAGGAATCCCAAAATCCCTGTGGCTACTGGAAAGGGTCCTTGGATGCCCTGCCGCACCTCGAGAAGCGTCCCTTTTGCCCTGCCAAGCCTCGAAGAGATTCCTGAGGTGTCCCTCGTTACTAGACAGGAGTCCTGACGTCACTGAAGAAACTCGTGTTTTGAAGGGCCATCCCAGCCGTAAGTCGAGAACATACCCCAGGTCCCCGCCGCAACTCGAGAAAAACCATGAGACTTCCCCCTAGAGGCGAGATGAGGCCCCATTCCCCTGCAGTGCATGCAGAGCTATTCCGTGATCCCATTCAAACAAGTCAGGAGCTTCGACTTGCTTAATGGATCTCTAGACAGTCACCAAGAACACTGTCACCAGTCTAGACGGACCCTGAGGTCACCCCAGCAACGCAAAGCAGCTCCATGTACCCCAAATCAACTCGAGATGAGGCCCGATTCCCCTGCATTGACTCCAGAGCCATTCCCCGTTCCCCATTCAACACGACCGGTGGCTTGACTTCCTTCAGGCAACTCCAGAGATGCCCCCAGAACACTGTCCCAAGTCTAGAGGAACACCAACTTCAGCACAGCAACTCGAGGAATGCTCCGTGTACCCCAAATCGTCTCGAGATGAGAGCTGATTCCCTGGCTAAGGCTCAAGACGTATGCCAACTTCCCAGAAGCACCTCAGGAGGAGGCTTCTCTCAGCAATAGGTATGTGGCTGGGACCCCGAGTTTGCTGCCTCAAGGGGAATATACAGCGAGAAGCCCTAACTTGAAAGGAGGCCGGATTTCCTTGCAGTGGCTTGAATACAGGCTCGTCTTTCATCTCACAACATGAAGGGATGTCTGAATCCCCTGTGGAGACCTTAGAGAAAGCCCTAGGTCCCTGCCTCATTTTGACGGAATGCCTCACATCCCGCTGACACCTCGAGAGGCACGCGGAGTTCATTGCTTCAAAAGGTGACGATGCCTGACTCCTCTTGAATACTGATAGGAATCCCAAAATCCCTGTGGCTACTGGAAAGGGTCCTTGGGTGCCCTGCCTCACCTCGAGAAGCGTCCCTTTTGCCCTGCCAAGCCTCGAAGAGATTCCTGAGGTGTCCCTCGTTACTAGACAGGAGTCCTGACGTCACTGAAGAAACTCGTGTTTTGAAGGGCCATCCCCGCCGTAAGTCGAGAACATACCCCAGGTCCCCGCCGCAACTCGAGAAAAACCATGAGACTTCCCCCTAGAGGCGAGATGAGGCCCCATTCCCCTGCAGTGCATGCAGAGCTATTCCGTGATCCCATTCAAACAAGTCAGGAGCTTCGACTTGCTTAATGGATCTCGAGACAGTCCCCAAGAACACTGTCACCAGTCTAGACGGACCCTGAGGTCACCCCAGCAATGCAAAGCAGCTCCATGTGCCCCAAATCAACTCGAGATGAGGCCCGATTCCCCTGCATTGACTCCAGAGTCATTCCCCATTCCCCATTCAACACGACCGGTGGCTCGACTTCCTTCAGGTAACTCCAGAGATGCCCGGAGAACACTGTCCCAAGTCCAGAGGAACACCAACTTCAGCACAGCAACTCGAGGAATGCTCCGTGTACCCCAAATCGTCTCGAGATGAGAGCTGATTCCCTGGCTTAGGCTCAAGACGTATGCCAACTTCCCAGAAGCACCTCAGGAGGAGGCTTCTCTCAGCAATAGGTATGTGGGAGGGACCCCGAGTTTGCTGCCTCAAGGGGAATATTCAGCGAGAAGCCCTAACTTGAAAGGCGGCCGGATTTCCTTGCAGTGGCTTGAATACAGGCTCGTCTTTCATCTCACAAAATGAAGGGATGTCTGAATCCCCTGTGGAGACCTTAGAGAAAGCCCTAGGTCCCTGCCTCATTTTGACCGAATGCCTCACATCCCGCTGACACCTCGAGAGGCACGCGGAGTTCATTGCTTCAAAAGGTGACGATGCCTAACTCCTCTTGAATACTGATAGGAATCCCAAAATCCCTGTGGCTACTGGAAAGGGTACTTGGGTGCCCTGCCTCACCTCGAGAAGCGTCCCTTTGGCCCTGCCAAGCCTCGAAGAGATTCCTGAGGTGTCCCTCGTTACTAGACAGGAGTCCTGACGTCACTGAAAAACTCGTGTTTTGAAGGGCCATCCCCGCCGTAAGTCGAGAACATACCCCAGGTCCCCGCCGCAACTCGAGAAAAACCATGAGACTTCCCCCTAGAGGCGAGATGAGGCCCCATTCCCCTGCAGTGCATGCAGAGCTATTCCGTGATCCCATTCAAACAAGTCAGGAGCTTCGACTTGCTTAATGGATCTCGAGACAGTCCCCAAGAACACTGTCACCAGTCTAGACGGACCCTGAGGTCACCCCAGCAACGCAAAGCAGCTCCATGTGCCCCAAATCAACTCGAGATGAGGCCCGATTCCCCTGCATTGACTCCAGAGCCATTCCCCGTTCCCCATTCAACACGACCGGTGGCTCGACTTCCTTCAGGCAACTCCAGAGATGCCCCGAGAACACTGTCCCAAGTCTAGAGGAACACCAACTTCAGCACAGCAACTCGAGGAATGCTCCGTGTACCCCAAATCGTCTCGAGATGCGAGCTGATTCCCTGGCTTAGGCTCAAGACGTATGCCAACTTCCCAGAAGCACCTCAGGAGGAGGCTTCTCTCAGCAATAGGTATGTGCGAGGGACCCCGAGTTTGTTGCCCCAAGGGGAATATACAGCGAGAAGCCCTAACTTGAAAGGAGGCCGGATTTCCTTGCAGTGGCTTGAATACAGGCTCCTCTTTCATCTCACAACATGAAGGGATGTCTGAATCCCCTGTGGAGACCTTAGAGAAAGCCCTAGGTCCCTGCCTCATTTTGACGGAACGCCTCACATCCCGCTGACACCTCGAGAGGCACGCGGAGTTCATTGCTTCAAAAGGTGACGATGCCTGACTCCTCTTGAATACTGATAGGAATCCCAAAATCCCTGTGGCTACTGGAAAGGGTCCTTGGGTGCCCTGCCTCGCCTCGAGAAGCGTCCCTTTTGCCCTGCCAAGCCTCGAAGAGATTCCTGAGGTGTCCCTCGTTACTAGACTGGAGTCCTGACGTCACTGAAGAAACTCGTGTTTTGAAGGGCCATCCCCGCCATAAGTCGAGAACATACCCCAGGTCCCCGCCGCAACTCGAGAAAAACCATGAGACTTCCCCCTAGAGGCGAGATGAGGCCCCATTCCCCTGCAGTGCATGCAGAGCTATTCCGTGATCCCATTCAAACAAGTCAGGAGCTTCGACTTGCTTCATGGATCTCGAGACAGTCCCCAAGAACACTGTCACCAGTCTAGACGGACCCTGAGGTCACCCCAGCAACGCAAAGCAGCTCCATGTGCCCCAAATCAACTAGAGATGAGGCCCGATTCCCCTGCATTGACTCCAGAGCCATTCCCCGTTCCCCATTCAACACGACCGGTGTCTCGACTTCCTTCAGGCAACTCCAGAGATGCCCCGAGAACACTGTCCCAAGTCTAGAGGAACACCAACTTCAGCACAGCAACTCGAGGAATGCTCCGTGTACCCCAAATCGTCTCGAGATGAGAGCTGATTCCCTGGCTTAGGCTCAAGACGTATGCCAACTTCCCAGAAGCACCTCAGGAGGAGGCTTCTCTCAGCTATAAGTATGTGGGAGGGACCCCGAGTTTGCTGCCTCAAGGGGAATATACAGCGAGAAGCCCTAACTTGAAAGGAGGCCGGATTTCCTTGCAGTGGCTTGAATACAGGCTCGTCTTTCATCTCACAATATGAAGGGATGTCTGAATCCCCTGTGGAGACCTTAGAGAAAGCCCTAGGTCCCTGCCTCATTTTGACGGAATGCCTCACATCCCGCTGACACCTCGAGAGGCACGCGGAGTTCATTGCTTCAAAAGGTGACGATGCCTGACTCCTCTTGAATACTGATAGGAATCCCAAAATCCCTGTGGCTACTGGAAAGGGTCCTTGGGTGCCCTGCCTCACCTCAAGAAGCGTCTCTTTTGCCCTGCAAAGCCTCGAAGAGATTCCTGAGGTGTCCCTCGTTACTAGACAGGAGTCCTGACGTCACTGAAGAAACTCGTGTTTTGAAGGGCCATCCCCGCCGTAAGTCGAGAACATACCCCAGGTCCCCGCCGCAACTCGAGAAAAACCATGAGACTTCCCCCTAGAGGCGAGATGAGGCCCCATTCCCCTGCAGTGCATGCAGAGCTATTCCGTGATCCCATTCAAACAAGTCAGGAGCTTCGACTTGCTTCATGGATCTCGAGACAGTCCCCAAGAACACTGTCACCAGTCTAGACGGACCCTGAGGTCACCCCAGCAACGCAAAGCAGCTCCATGTGCCCCAAATCAACTCGAGATGAGGCCCGATTCCCCTGCATTGACTCCAGAGCCATTCCCCGTTCCCCATTCAACACGACCGGTGGCTCGACTTCCTTCAGGCAACTCCAGAGATGCCCCGAGAACACTGTCCCAAGTCTAGAGGAACACCAACTTCAGCACAGCAACTCGAGGAATGCTCCGTGTACCCCAAATCGTCTCGAGATGAGAGCTGATTCCCTGGCTTAGGCTCAAGACGTAGGCCAACTTCCCAGAAGCACCTCAGGAGGAGGCTTCTCTCAGCAATAGGTATATGGGAGGGACCCCGAGTTTGCTGCCTCAAGGGGAATATACAGCGAGAAGCCCTAACTTGAAAGGAGGCCGGATTTCCTTGCAGTGGCTTGAATACAGGCTCGTCTTTCATCTCACAACATGAAGGGATGTCTGAATCCCCTGTGGAGACCTTAGAGAAAGCCCTAGGTCCCTGCCTCATTTTGACGGAATGCCTCACATCCCGCTGACACCTCGAGAGGCACGCGGAGTTCATTGCTTCAAAAGGTGACGATGCCTGACTCCTCTTGAATACTGATAGGAATCCCAAAATCACTGTGGCTACTGGAAAGGGTCCTTGGGTGCCCTGCCTCACCTCGGGAAGCGTCCTTTTGCCCTGCCAAGCCTCGAAGAGATTCCTGAGGTGTCCCTCGTTACTAGACAGGAGTCCTGACGTCACTGAAGAAACTCGTGTTTTGAAGGGCCATCCCCGCCGTAAGTCGAGAACATACCCCAGGTCCCCGCCGCAACTCGAGAAAAACCATGAGACTTCCCCCTAGAGGCGAGATGAGGCCCCATTCCCCTGCAGTGCATGCAGAGCTATTCCGTGATCCCATTCAAACAAGTCAGGAGCTTCGACTTGCTTCATGGATCTCGAGACAGTCCCCAAGAACACTGTCACCAGTCTAGACGGACCCTGAGGTCACCCCAGCAACGCAAAGCAGCTCCATGTGCCCCAAATCAACTCGAGATGAGGCCCGATTCCCCTGCATTGACTCCAGAGCCATTCCCCGTTCCCCATTCAGCACGACCGGTGTCTCGACTTCCTTCAGGCAACTCCAGAGATGCCCCGAGAACACTGTCCCAAGTCTAGAGGAACACCAACTTCAGCACAGCAACTCGAGGAATGCTCCGTGTACCCCAAATCGTCTCGAGATGAGAGCTGATTCCCTGGCTTAGTCTCAAGACGTATGCCAACTTCCCAGAAGCACCTCAGGTGGAGGCTTCTCTCAGCTATAAGTATGTGGGAGGGACCCCGAGTTTGCTGCCTCCAGGGGAATATACAGCGAGAAGCCCTAACTTGAAAGGAGGCCGGATTTCCTTGCAGTGGCTTGAATACAGGCTCGTCTTTCATCTCACAACATGAAGGGATGTCTGAATCCCCTGTGGAGACCTTAGAGAAAGCCCTAGGTCCCTGCCTCATTTTGACGGAATGCCTCACATCCCGCTGACACCTCGAGAGGCACGCGGAGTTCATTGCTTCAAAAGGTGACGATGCCTGACTCCTCTTGAATACTGATAGGAATCCCAAAATCCCTGTGGCTACTGGAAAGGGTCCTTGGGTGCCCTGCCTCACCTCAAGAAGCGTCTCTTTTGCCCTGCAAAGCCTCGAAGAGATTCCTGAGGTGTCCCTCGTTACTAGACAGGAGTCCTGACGTCACTGAAGAAACTCGTGTTTTGAAGGGCCATCCACGCCGTAAGTCGAGAACATAACCCAGGTCCCCGCCGCAACTCGAGAAAAACCATGAGACTTCCCCCTAGAGGCGAGATGAGGCCCCATTCCCCTGCAGTGCATGCAGAGCTATTCCGTGATCCCATTCAAACAAGTCAGGAGCTTCGACTTGCTTCATGGATCTCGAGACAGTCCCCAAGAACACTGTCACCAGTCTAGACGGACCCTGAGGTCACCCCAGCAACGCAAAACAGCTCCATGTGCCCCAAATCAACTCGAGATGAGGCCCGATTCCCCTGCATCGACTCCAGAGCCATTCCCCTTTCCCCATTCAACACGACCGGTGGCTCGACTTCCTTCAGGCAACTCCAGAGATGCCCCGAGAACACTGTCCCAAGTCTAGAGGAACACCAACTTCAGCACAGCAACTCGAGGAATGCTCCGTGTACCCCAAATCGTCTCGAGATGAGAGCTGATTCCCTGGCTTAGGCTCAAGACGTATGCCAACTTCCCAGAAGCACCTCAGGAGGAGGCTTCTCTCTGCAATAGGTATGTGGGAGGGACCCCGAGTTTGCTGCCTCAAGGGGAATATACAGCGAGAAGCCCTAACTTGAAAGGAGGCCGGATTTCCTTGCAGTGGCTTGAATACAGGCTCGTCTTTCATCTCACAACATGAAGGGATGTCTGAATCCCCTGTGGAGACCTTAGAGAAAGCCCTAGGTCCCTGCCTCATTTTGACGGAATGCCTCACATCCCGCTGACACCTCGAGAGGCACGCGGAGTTCATTGCTTCAAAAGGTGACGATGCCTGACTCCTCTTGAATACTGATAGGAATCCCAAAATCCCTGTGGCTACTGGAAAGGGTCCTTGGGTGCCCTGCCTCACCTCGAGAAGCGTCGCTTTTGCCCTGCCAAGCCTCGCAGAGATTCCTGAGGTGTCCCTCGTTACTAGACAGGAGTCCTGACGTCACTGAAGAAACTCGTGTTTTGAGGGGCCATCCCAGCCGTAAGTCGAGAACATACCCCAGGTCCCCGCCGCAACTCGAGAAAAACCATGAGACTTCCCCCTAGATTCGAGATGAGGCCCCATTCCCCTGCAGTGCATGCAGAGCTATTCCGTGATCCCATTCAAACAAGTCAGGAGCTTCGACTTGCTTCATGGATCTCTAGACAGTCCCCAAGATCACTGTCACCAGTCTAGACGGACCCTGAGGTCACCCCAGCAACGCAAAGCAGCTCCATGTGCCCCAAATCAACTCGAGATGAGGCCCGATTCCCCTGCATTGACTCCAGAGCCATTCCCCGTTCCCCATTCAACACGACCGGTGGCTCGACTTCCTTCAGGCAACTCCAGAGATGCCCCGAGAACACTGTCACAAGTCTAGAGGAACACCAACTTCAGCACAGCAACTCGAGGAATGCTCCGTGTACCCCAAATCGTCTCGAGATGCGAGCTGATTCCCTGGCTTAGGCTCAAGACGTATGCCAACTTCCCAGAAGCACCTCAGGAGGAGGCTTCTCTCAGCAATAGGTATGTGGGAGGGACCCCGAGTTTGCTGCCTCAAGGGGAATATACAGAGAGAAGCCCTAACTTGAAAGGTGGCCGGATTTCCTTGCAGTGGCTTGATTACAGGCTCGTCTTTCATCTCACAACATGAAGGGATGTCTGAATCCCCTGTGGAGACCTTAGAGAAAGCCCTAGGACCCTGCCTCATTTTGACGGAATGCCTCACGTCGCGCTGACACCTCGAGAGGCACGCGGAGTTCATTGCTTCAAAAGGTGACGATGCCTGACTCCTCTTGAATACTGATAGGAATCCCAAAATCCCTGTGGCTACTGGAAAGGGTCCTTGGGTGCCCTGCCTCACCTCAAGAAGCGTCTCTTTTGCCCTGCAAAGCCTCGAAGAGATTCCTGAGGTGTCCCTCGTTACTAGACACGAGTCCTGACGTCACTGAAGAAACTCGTGTTTTGAAGGGCCATCCCCGCCGTAAGTCGAGAACATACCCCAAGTCCCCGCCGCAACTCGAGAAAAACCATGAGACTTCCCCCTAGAGGCGAGATGAGGCCCCATTCCCCTGCAGTGCATGCAGGGCTATTCCGTGGTCCCATTCAAACAAGTCAGGAGCTTCGACTTGCTTCATGGATCTCGAGACAGTCCCCAAGAACACTGTCACCAGTCTAGACGGACCCTGAGGCCACCCCAGCAACGCAAAGCAGCTCCATGTGCCCCAAATCAACTCGAGATGAGGCCCGATTCCCCTGCATTGACTCCAGAGCCATTCCCCGTTCCCCATTCAACACGACCGGTGGCTCGACTTCCTTCAGGCAACTCCAGAGATGCCCCGAGAACACTGTCCCAAGACTAGAGGAACACCAACTTCAGCACAGCAACTCGAGGAATGCTCCGTGTACCCCAAATCGTCTCGAGATGAGAGCTGATTCCCTGGCTTAGGCTCAAGACGTAGGCCAACTTCCCAGAAGCACCTCAGGAGGAGGCTTCTCTCAGCAATAGGTATATGGGAGGGACCCCGAGTTTGCTGCCTCAAGGGGAATATACAGCGAGAAGCCCTAACTTGAAAGGAGGCCGGATTTCCTTGCAGTGGCTTGAATACAGGCTCGTCTTTCATCTCACAACATGAAGGGATGTCTGAATCCCCTGTGGAGACCTTAGAGAAAGCCCTAGGTCCCTGCCTCATTTTGACGGAATGCCTCACATCCCGCTGACACCTCGAGAGGCACGCGGAGTTCATTGCTTCAAAAGGTGACGATGCCTGACTCCTCTTGAATACTGATAGGAATCCCAAAATCCCTGTGGCTACTGGAAAGGGTCCTTGGGTGCCCTGCCTCACCTCGGGAAGCGTCCTTTTGCCCTGCCAAGCCTCGAAGAGATTCCTGAGGTGTCCCTCGTTACTAGACAGGAGTCCTGACGTCACTGAAGAAACTCGTGTTTTGAAGGGCCATCCCCGCCGTAAGTAGAGAACATACCCCAGGTCCCCGCCGCAACTCGAGAAAAACCATGAGACTTCCCCCTAGAGGCGAGATGAGGCCCCATTCCCCTGCAGTGCATGCAGAGCTATTCCGTGATCCCATTCAAACAAGTCAGGAGCTTCGACTTGCTTAATGGATCTCGAGACAGTCCCCAAGAACACTGTCATCAGTCTAGACGGACCCTGCGGTCACCCCAGCAATGCAAAGTAGCTCCATGTGCCCCAAATCAACTCGAGATGAGGCCCGATTCCCCTGCATTGACTCCAGAGCCATTCCCCGTTCCCCATTCAGCAGGACCGGTGGCTCGACTTCCTTCAGGCAACTCCAGAGATGCCCCGAGAACACTTTCCCAAGTCTAGAGGAACACCAACTTCAGCACAGCAACTCGAGGAATGCTCCGTGTACACCAAATCGTCTCGAGATGAGAGCTGATTCCCTGGCTTAGGCTCAAGACGTATGCCAACTTCCCAGAAGCACCTCAGGAGGAGGCTTCTCTCAGCTATAAGTATGTTGGAGGGACCCCGAGTTTGCTGCCTCAAGGGGAATATACAGCGAGAAGCCCTAACTTGAAAGGAGGCCGGATTTCCTTGCAGTGGCTTGAATACAGGCTCGTCTTTCATCTCACAATATGAAGGGATGTCTGAATCCCCTGTGGAGACCTTAGAGAAAGCCCTAGGTCCCTGCCTCATTTTGACGGAATGCCTCACATCCCGCTGACACCTCGAGAGGCACGCGGAGTTCATTGCTTCAAAAGGTGACGATGCCTGACTCCTCTTGAATACTGATAGGAATCCCAAAATCCCTGTGGCTACTGGAAAGGGTCCTTGGGTGCCCTGCCTCACCTCAAGAAGCGTCTCTTTTGCCCTGCAAAGCCTCGAAGAGATTCCTGAGGTGTCCCTCGTTACTAGACAGGAGTCCTGACGTCACTGAAGAAACTCGTGTTTTGAAGGGCCATCCCCGCCGTAAGTCGAGAACATACCCCAGGTCCCCGCCGCAACTCGAGAAAAACCATGAGACTTCCCCCTAGAGGCGAGATGAGGCCCCATTCCCCTGCAGTGCATGCAGAGCTATTCCGTGATCCCATTCAAACAAGTCAGGAGCTTCGACTTGCTTCATGGATCTCGAGACAGTCCCCAAGAACACTGTCACCAGTCTAGACGGACCCTGAGGTCACCCCAGCAACGCAAAGCAGCTCCATGTGCCCCAAATCAACTCGAGATGAGGCCCGATTCCCCTGCATTGACTCCAGAGCCATTCCCCGTTCCCCATTCAACACGACCGGTGGCTCGACTTCCTTCAGGCAACTCCAGAGATGCCCCGAGAACACTGTCCCAAGTCTAGAGGAACACCAACTTCAGCACAGCAACTCGAGGAATGCTCCGTGTACCCCAAATCGTCTCGAGATGAGAGCTGATTCCCTGGCTTAGGCTCAAGACGTAGGCCAACTTCCCAGAAGCACCTCAGGAGGAGGCTTCTCTCAGCAATAGGTATATGGGAGGGACCCCGAGTTTGCTGCCTCAAGGGGAATATACAGCGAGAAGCCCTAACTTGAAAGGAGGCCGGATTTCCTTGCAGTGGCTTGAATACAGGCTCGTCTTTCATCTCACAACATGAAGGGATGTCTGAATCCCCTGTGGAGACCTTAGAGAAAGCCCTAGGTCCCTGCCTCATTTTGACGGAATGCCTCACATCCCGCTGACACCTCGAGAGGCACGCGGAGTTCATTGCTTCAAAAGGTGACGATGCCTGACTCCTCTTGAATACTGATAGGAATCCCAAAATCCCTGTGGCTACTGGAAAGGGTCCTTGGGTGCCCTGCCTCACCTCGGGAAGCGTCCTTTTGCCCTGCCAAGCCTCGAAGAGATTCCTGAGGTGTCCCTCGTTACTAGACAGGAGTCCTGACGTCACTGAAGAAACTCGTGTTTTGAAGGGCCATCCCCGCCGTAAGTCGAGAACATACCCCAGGTCCCCGCCGCAACTCGAGAAAAACCATGAGACTTCCCCCTAGAGGCGAGATGAGGCCCCATTCCCCTGCAGTGCATGCAGAGCTATTCCGTGATCCCATTCAAACAAGTCAGGAGCTTCGACTTGCTTCATGGATCTCGAGACAGTCCCCAAGAACACTGTCACCAGTCTAGACGGACCCTGAGGTCACCCCAGCAACGCAAAGCAGCTCCATGTGCCCCAAATCAACTCGAGATGAGGCCCGATTCCCCTGCATTGACTCCAGAGCCATTCCCCGTTCCCCATTCAGCACGACCGGTGTCTCGACTTCCTTCAGGCAACTCCAGAGATGCCCCGAGAACACTGTCCCAAGTCTAGAGGAACACCAACTTCAGCACAGCAACTCGAGGAATGCTCCGTGTACCCCAAATCGTCTCGAGATGAGAGCTGATTCCCTGGCTTAGGCTCAAGACGTATGCCAACTTCCCAGAAGCACCTCAGGAGGAGGCTTCTCTCAGCTATAAGTATGTGGGAGGGACCCCGAGTTTGCTGCCTCCAGGGGAATATACAGCGAGAAGCCCTAACTTGAAAGGAGGCCGGATTTCCTTGCAGTGGCTTGAATACAGGCTCGTCTTTCATCTCACAACATGAAGGGATGTCTGAATCCCCTGTGGAGACCTTAGAGAAAGCCCTAGGTCCCTGCCTCATTTTGACGGAATGCCTCACATCCCGCTGACACCTCGAGAGGCACGCGGAGTTCATTGCTTCAAAAGGTGACGATGCCTGACTCCTCTTGAATACTGATAGGAATCCCAAAATCCCTGTGGCTACTGGAAAGGGTCCTTGGGTGCCCTGCCTCACCTCAAGAAGCGTCTCTTTTGCCCTGCAAAGCCTCGAAGAGATTCCTGAGGTGTCCCTCGTTACTAGACAGGAGTCCTGACGTCACTGAAGAAACTCGTGTTTTGAAGGGCCATCCACGCCGTAAGTCGAGAACATAACCCAGGTCCCCGCCGCAACTCGAGAAAAACCATGAGACTTCCCCCTAGAGGCGAGATGAGGCCCCATTCCCCTGCAGTGCATGCAGAGCTATTCCGTGATCCCATTCAAACAAGTCAGGAGCTTCGACTTGCTTCATGGATCTCGATACAGTCCCCAAGAACACTGTCACCAGTCTAGACGGACCCTGAGGTCACCCCAGCAACGCAAAACAGCTCCATGTGCCCCAAATCAACTCGAGATGAGGCCCGATTCCCCTGCATCGACTCCAGAGCCATTCCCCTTTCCCCATTCAACACGACCGGTGGCTCGACTTCCTTCAGGCAACTCCAGAGATGCCCCGAGAACACTGTCCCAAGTCTAGAGGAACACCAACTTCAGCACAGCAACTCGAGGAATGCTCCGTGTACCCCAAATCGTCTCGAGATGAGAGCTGATTCCCTGGCTTAGGCTCAAGACGTATGCCAACTTCCCAGAAGCACCTCAGGAGGAGGCTTCTCTCTGCAATAGGTATGTGGGAGGGACCCCGAGTTTGCTGCCTCAAGGGGAATATACAGCGAGAAGCCCTAACTTGAAAGGAGGCCGGATTTCCTTGCAGTGGCTTGAATACAGGCTCGTCTTTCATCTCACAACATGAAGGGATGTCTGAATCCCCTGTGGAGACCTTAGAGAAAGCCCTAGGTCCCTGCCTCATTTTGACGGAATGCCTCACATCCCGCTGACACCTCGAGAGGCACGCGGAGTTCATTGCTTCAAAAGGTGACGATGCCTGACTCCTCTTGAATACTGATAGGAATCCCAAAATCCCTGTGGCTACTGGAAAGGGTCCTTGGGTGCCCTGCGTCACCTCGAGAAGCGTCGCTTTTGCCCTGCCAAGCCTCGCAGAGATTCCTGAGGTGTCCCTCGTTACTAGACAGGAGTCCTGACGTCACTGAAGAAACTCGTGTTTTGAGGGGCCATCCCAGCCGTAAGTCGAGAACATACCCCAGGTCCCCGCCGCAACTCGAGAAAAACCATGAGACTTCCCCCTAGATTCGAGATGAGGCCCCATTCCCCTGCAGTGCATGCAGAGCTATTCCGTGATCCCATTCAAACAAGTCAGGAGCTTCGACTTGCTTCATGGATCTCTAGACAGTCCCCAAGATCACTGTCACCAGTCTAGACGGACCCTGAGGTCACCCCAGCAACGCAAAGCAGCTCCATGTGCCCCAAATCAACTCGAGATGAGGCCCGATTCCCCTGCATTGACTCCAGAGCCATTCCCCGTTCCCCATTCAACACGACCGGTGGCTCGACTTCCTTCAGGCAACTCCAGAGATGCCCCGAGAACACTGTCCCAAGTCTAGAGGAACACCAACTTCAGCACAGCAACTCGAGGAATGCTCCGTGTACCCCAAATCGTCTCGAGATGCGAGCTGATTCCCTGGCTTAGGCTCAAGACGTATGCCAACTTCCCAGAAGCACCTCAGGAGGAGGCTTCTCTCAGCAATAGGTATGTGGGAGGGACCCCGAGTTTGCTGCCTCAAGGGGAATATACAGAGAGAAGCCCTAACTTGAAAGGTGGCCGGATTTCCTTGCAGTGGCTTGATTACAGGCTCGTCTTTCATCTCACAACATGAAGGGATGTCTGAATCCCCTGTGGAGACCTTAGAGAAAGCCCTAGGACCCTGCCTCATTTTGACGGAATGCCTCACGTCGCGCTGACACCTCGAGAGGCACGCGGAGTTCATTGCTTCAAAAGGTGACGATGCCTGACTCCTCTTGAATACTGATAGGAATCCCAAAATCCCTGTGGCTACTGGAAAGGGTCCTTGGGTGCCCTGCCTCACCTCAAGAAGTGTCTCTTTTGCCCTGCAAAGCCTCGAAGAGATTCCTGAGGTGTCCCTCGTTACTAGACACGAGTCCTGACGTCACTGAAGAAACTCGTGTTTTGAAGGGCCATCCCCGCCGTAAGTCGAGAACATACCCCAAGTCCCCGCCGCAACTCGAGAAAAACCATGAGACTTCCCCCTAGAGGCGAGATGAGGCCCCATTCCCCTGCAGTGCATGCAGGGCTATTCCGTGATCCCATTCAAACAAGTCAGGAGCTTCGACTTGCTTCATGGATCTCGAGACAGTCCCCAAGAACACTGTCACCAGTCTAGACGGACCCTGAGGTCACCCCAGCAACGCAAAGCAGCTCCATGTGCCCCAAATCAACTCGAGATGAGGCCCGATTCCCCTGCATTGACTCCAGAGCCATTCCCCGTTCCCCATTCAACACGACCGGTGGCTCGACTTCCTTCAGGCAACTCCAGAGATGCCCCGAGAACACTGTCCCAAGACTAGAGGAACACCAACTTCAGCACAGCAACTCGAGGAATGCTCCGTGTACCCCAAATCGTCTCGAGATGAGAGCTGATTCCCTGGCTTAGGCTCAAGACGTAGGCCAACTTCCCAGAAGCACCTCAGGAGGAGGCTTCTCTCAGCAATAGGTATATGGGAGGGACCCCGAGTTTGCTGCCTCAAGGGGAATATACAGCGAGAAGCCCTAACTTGAAAGGAGGCCGGATTTCCTTGCAGTGGCTTGAATACAGGCTCGTCTTTCATCTCACAACATGAAGGGATGTCTGAATCCCCTGTGGAGACCTTAGAGAAAGCCCTAGGTCCCTGCCTCATTTTGACGGAATGCCTCACATCCCGCTGACACCTCGAGAGGCACGCGGAGTTCATTGATTCAAAAGGTGACGATGCCTGACTCCTCTTGAATACTGATAGGAATCCCAAAATCCCTGTGGCTACTGGAAAGGGTCCTTGGGTGCCCTGCCTCACCTCGGGAAGCGTCCTTTTGCCCTGCCAAGCCTCGAAGAGATTCCTGAGGTGTCCCTCGTTACTAGACAGGAGTCCTGACGTCACTGAAGAAACTCGTGTTTTGAAGGGCCATCCCCGCCGTAAGTCGAGAACATACCCCAGGTCCCCGCCGCAACTCGAGAAAAACCATGAGACTTCCCCCTAGAGGCGAGATGAGGCCCCATTCCCCTGCAGTGCATGCAGAGCTATTCCGTGATCCCATTCAAACAAGTCAGGAGCTTCGACTTGCTTCATGGATCTCGAGACAGTCCCCAAGAACACTGTCACCAGTCTAGACGGACCCTGAGGTCACCCCAGCAACGCAAAGCAGCTCCATGTGCCCCAAATCAACTCGAGATGAGGCCCGATTCCCCTGCATTGACTCCAGAGCCATTCCCCGTTCCCCATTCAGCACGACCGGTGTCTCGACTTCCTTCAGGCAACTCCAGAGATGCCCCGAGAACACTGTCCCAAGTCTAGAGGAACACCAACTTCAGCACAGCAACTCGAGGAATGCTCCGTGTACCCCAAATCGTCTCGAGATGAGAGCTGATTCCCTGGCTTAGGCTCAAGACGTATGCCAACTTCCCAGAAGCACCTCAGGAGGAGGCTTCTCTCAGCTATAAGTATGTGGGAGGGACCCCGAGTTTGCTGCCTCAAGGGGAATATACAGCGAGAAGCCCTAACTTGAAAGGAGGCCGGATTTCCTTGCAGTGGCTTGAATACAGGCTCGTCTTTCATCTCACAACATGAAGGGATGTCTGAATCCCCTGTGGAGACCTTAGAGAAAGGCCTAGGTCCCTGCCTCATTTTGACGGAATGCCTCACATCCCGCTGACACCTCGAGAGGCACGCGGAGTTCATTGCTTCAAAAGGTGACGATGCCTGACTCCTCTTGAATACTGATAGGAATCCCAAAATCCCTGTGGCTACTGGAAAGGGTCCTTGGGTGCCCTGCCTCACCTCATGAAGCGTCTCTTTTGCCCTGCAAAGCCTCGAAGAGATTCCTGAGGTGTCCCTCGTTACTAGACAGGAGTCCTGACGTCACTGAAGAAACTCGTGTTTTGAAGGGCCATCCACGCCGTAAGTCGAGAACATAACCCAGGTCCCCGCCGCAACTCGAGAAAAACCATGAGACTTCCCCCTAGAGGCGAGATGAGGCCCCATTCCCCTGCAGTGCATGCAGAGCTATTCCGTGATCCCATTCAAACAAGTCAGGAGCTTCGACTTGCTTCATGGATCTCGAGACAGTCCCCAAGAACACTGTCACCAGTCTAGACGGACCCTGAGGTCACCCCAGCAACGCAAAACAGCTCCATGTGCCCCAAATCAACTCGAGATGAGGCCCGATTCCCCTGCATCGACTCCAGAGCCATTCCCCTTTCCCCATTCAACACGACCGGTGGCTCGACTTCCTTCAGGCAACTCCAGAGATGCCCCGAGAACACTGTCCCAAGTCTAGAGGAACACCAACTTCAGCACAGCAACTCGAGGAATGCTCCGTGTACCCCAAATCGTCTCGAGATGAGAGCTGATTCCCGGGCTTATTCTCAAGACGTATGCCAACTTCCCAGAAGCACCTCAGGAGGAGGCTTCTCTCTGCAATAGGTATGTGGGAGGGACCCCGAGTTTGCTGCCTCAAGGGGAATATACAGCGAGAAGCCCTAACTTGAAAGGAGGCCGGATTTCCTTGCAGTGGCTTGAATACAGGCTCGTCTTTCATCTCACAACATGAAGGGATGTCTGAATCCCCTGTGGAGACCTTAGAGAAAGCCCTAGGTCCCTGCCTCATTTTGACGGAATGCCTCACATCCCGCTGACACCTCGGGAGGCACGCGGAGTTCATTGCTTCAAAAGGTGACGATGCCTGACTCCTCTTGAATACTGATAGGAATCCCAAAATCCCTGTGGCTACTGGAAAGGGTCCTTGGGTGCCCTGCCTCACCTCGAGAAGCGTCCTTTTGCCCTGCCAAGCCTCGCAGAGATTCCTGAGGTGTCCCTCGTTACTAGACAGGAGTCCTGACGTCACTGAAGAAACTCGTGTTTTGAAGGGCCATCCCCGCCGTAAGTCGAGAACATACCCCAGGTCCCCGCCGCAACTCGAGAAAAACCATGAGACTTCCCCCTAGAGGCGAGATGAGGCCCCATTCCCCTGCAGTGCATGCAGAGCTATTCCGTGATCCCATTCAAACAAGTCAGGAGCTTCGACTTGCTTCATGGATCTCGAGACAGTCCCCAAGAACACTGTCACCAGTCTAGACGGACCCTGAGGTCACCCCAGCAACGCAAAGCAGCTCCATGTGCCCCAAATCAACTCGAGATGAGGCCCGATTCCCCTGCATTGACTCCAGAGCCATTCCCCGTTCCCCATTCAACACGACCGGTGGCTCGACTTCCTTCAGGCAACTCCAGAGATGCCCCGAGAACACTGTCCCAAGTCTAGAGGAACACCAACTTCAGCACAGCAACTCGAGGAATGCTCCGTGTACCCCAAATCGTCTCGAGATGAGAGCTGATTCCCTGGCTTAGGCTCAAGACGTAGGCCAACTTCCCAGAAGCACCTCAGGAGGAGGCTTCTCTCAGCAATAGGTATATGGGAGGGACCCCGAGTTTGCTGCCTCAAGGGGAATATACAGCGAGAAGCCCTAACTTGAAAGGAGGCCGGATTTCCTTGCAGTGGCTTGAATACAGGCTCGTCTTTCATCTCACAACATGAAGGGATGTCTGAATCCTCTGTGGAGACCTTAGAGAAAGCCCTAGGTCCCTGCCTCATTTTGACGGAATGCCTCACATCCCGCTGACACCTCGGGAGGCACGCGGAGTTCTTTGCTTCAAAATGTGACGATGCCTGACTCCTCTTGAATACTGATAGGAATCCCAAAATCCCTGTGGCTACTGGAAAGGGTCCTTGGGTGCCCTGCCTCACCTCGAGAAGCGTCCCTTTTGCCCTGCCAAGCCTCGAAGAGATTCCTGAGGTGTCCCTCGTTACTAGACAGGAGTCCTGACGTCACTGAAGAAACTCGTGTTTTGAAGGGCCATCCCCGCCGTAAGTCGAGAACATACCCCAGGTCCCCGCCGCAACTCGAGAAAAACCATGAGACTTCCCCCTAGAGGCGAGATGAGGCCCCATTCCCCTGCAGTGCATGCAGAGCTATTCCGTGATCCCATTCAAACAAGTCAGGAGCTTCGACTTGCTTCATGGATCTCGAGACAGTCCCCAAGAACACTGTCACCAGTCTAGACGGACCCTGAGGTCACCCCAGCAACGCAAAGCAGCTCCATGTGCCCCAAATCAACTCGAGATGAGGCCCGATTCCCCTGCATTGACTCCAGAGCCATTCCCCGTTCCCCATTCAACACGACCGGTGGCTCGACTTCCTTCAGGCAACTCCAGAGATGCCCCGAGAACACTGTCCCAAGTCTAGAGGAACACCAACTTCAGCACAGCAACTCGAGGAATGCTCCGTGTACCCCAAATCGTCTCGAGATGAGAGCTGATTCCCTGGCTTAGGCTCAAGACGTATGCCAACTTCCCAGAAGCACCTCAGGAGGAGGCTTCTCTCAGCAATAAGTATGTGGGAGGGACCCCGAGTTTGCTGCCTCAAGGGGAATATACAGCGAGAAGCCCTAACTTGAAAGGAGGCCAGATTTCCTTGCAGTGGCTTGAATACAGGCTCGTCTTTCATCTCACAACATGAAGGGATGTCTGAATCCCCTGTGGAGACCTTAGAGAAAGCCCTAGGTCCCTGCCTCATTTTGACGGAATGCCTCAAAATCCGCTGACACCTCGAGAGGCACGCGGAGTTCATTGCTTCAAAAGGTGACGATGCCTGACTCCTCTTGAATACTGATAGGAATCCCAAAATCCCTGTGGCTACTGGAAAGGGTCCTTGGGTGCCCTGCCTCACCTCGAGAAGCGTCCTTTTGCCCTGCCAAGCCTCGAAGAGATTCCTGAGGTGTCCCTCGTTACTAGACAGGAGTCCTGACGTCACTGAAGAAACTCGTGTTTTGAAGGGCCATCCCCGCCGTAAGTCGAGAACATACCCCAGGTCCCCGCCGCAACTCGAGAAAAACCATGAGACTTCCCCCTAGAGGCGAGATGAGGCCCCATTCCCCTGCAGTGCATGCAGAGCTATTCCGTGATCCCATTCAAACAAGTCAGGAGCTTCGACTTGCTTAATGGATCTCTAGACAGTCCCCAAGATTACTGTCACCAGTCTAGACGGACCCTGAGGTCACGCCAGCAACGCAAAGCAGCACCATGTGCCCCAAATCAACTCGAGATGAGGCCCGATTCCCCTGCATTGACTCCAGAGCCATTCCCCGTTCCCCATTCAACACGACCGGTGGCTCGACTTCCTTCAGGCAACTCCAGAGATGCCCCGAGAACACTGTCCCAAGTCCAGAGGAACAGCAACTTCAGCACAGCAACTCGAGGAATGCTCCGTGTACCCCAAATCGTCTCGAGATGAGAGCTGATTCCCGGGCTTATTCTCAAGACGTATGCCAACTTCCCAGAAGCACCTCAGGAGGAGGCTTCTCTCAGCAATAGGTATGTGGGAGGGACCCCGAGTTTGCTGCCTCAAGGGGAATATACAGCGAGAAGCCCTAACTTGAAAGGAGGCCGGATTTCCTTGCAGTGGCTTGAATACAGGCTCGTCTTTCATCTCACAACATGAAGGGATGTCTGAATCCCCTGTGGAGACCTTAGAGAAAGCCCTAGGTCCCTGCCTCATTTTGACGGAATGCCTCACATCCCGCTGACACCTCGAGAGGCACGCGGAGTTCATTGCTTCAAAAGGTGACGATGCCTGACTCCTCTTGAATACTGATAGGAATCCCAAAATCCCTGTGGCTATTAGAAAGGGTCCTTGGGTGCCCTGCCTCACCTCGAGAAGCGTCCTTTTGCCCTGCCAAGCCTCGAAGAGATTCCTGAGGTGTCCCTCGTTACTAGACAGGAGTCCTGACGTCACTGAAGAAACTCGTGTTTTGAAGGGCCATCCCCGCCGTAAGTCGAGAACATACCCCAGGTCCCCGCCGCAACTCGAGAAAAACCATGAGACTTCCCCCTAGAGGCGAGATGAGGCCCCATTCCCCTGCAGTGCATGCAGAGCTATTCCGTGATCCCATTCAAACAAGTCAGGAGCTTCGACTTGCTTCATGGATCTCGAGACAGTCCCCAAGAACACTGTCACCAGTCTAGACGGACCCTGAGGTCACGCCAGCAACGCAAAGCAGCTCCATGTGCCCCAAATCAACTCGAGATGAGGCCCGATTCCCCTGCATTGACTCCAGAGCCATTCCCCGTTCCCCATTCAACACGACCGGTGGCTCGACTTCCTTCAGGCAACTCCAGAGATGCCCCGAGAACACTGTCCCAAGTCTAGAGGAACACCAACTTCAGCACAGCAACTCGAGGAATGCTCCGTGTACCCCAAATCGTCTCGAGATGCGAGCTGATTCCCTGGCTTAGGCTCAAGACGTATGCCAACTTCCCAGAAGCACCTCAGGAGGAGGCTTCTCTCAACAATAGGTATGTGCGAGGGACCCCGAGTTTGTTCCCTCAAGGGGAATATACAGCGAGAAGCCCTAACTTGAAAGGAGGCCGGATTTCCTTGCAGTGGCTTGAATACAGGCTCGTCTTTCATCTCACAACATGAAGGGATGTCTGAATCCCCTGTGGAGACCTTAGAGAAAGCCCTAGGTCCCTGCCTCATTTTGACGGAATGCCTCACATCCCGCTGACACCTCGAGAGGCACGCGGAGTTCATTGCTTCAAAAGGTGACGATGCCTGATTCCTCTTGAATACTGATAGGAATCCCAAAATCCCTGTGGCTATTGGAAAGGGTCCTTGGGTGCCCTGCCTCACCTCGAGAAGCGTCCTTTTGCCCTGCCAAGCCTCGAAGAGATTCCTGAGGTGTCCCTCGTTACTAGAAAGGAGTCCTGACGTCACTGAAGAAACTCGTGTTTTGAAGGGCCATCTCCGCCGTAAGTCGAGAACATACCCCAGGTCCCCGCCGCAACTCGAGAAAAACCATGAGACTTCCCCCTAGAGGCGAGATGAGGCCCCATTCCCCTGCAGTGCATGCAGAGCTATTCCGTGATCCCATTCAAACAAGTCAGGAGCTTCGACTTGCTTCATGGATCTCGAGACAGTCCCCAAGAACACTGTCACCAGTCTAGACGGACCCTGAGGTCACCCCAGCAACGCAAAGCAGCTCCATGTGCCCCAAATCAACTCGAGATGAGGCCCGATTCCCCTGCATTGACTCCAGAGCCATTCCCCGTTCCCCATTCAACACGACCGGTGGCTTGACTTCCTTCAGGCAACTCCAGAGATGCCCCGAGAACACTGTCCCAGGTCTAGAGGAACACCAACTTCAGCACAGCAACTCGAGGAATGCTCCGTGTACCCCAAATCGTCTCGAGATGAGAGCTGATTCCCTGGCTTAGGCTCAAGACGTAGGCCAACTTCCCAGAAGCACCTCAGGAGGAGGCTTCTCTCAGCAATAGGTATGTGGGAGGGACCCCGAGTTTACTGCCTCAAGGGGAATATACAGCGAGAAGCCCTAACTTGAAAGGAGGCCGGATTTCCTTGCAGTGGCTTGAATACAGGCTCGTCTTTCATCTCACAACATGAAGGGATGTCTGAATCCCCTGTGGAGACCTTAGAGAAAGCCCTAGGTCCCTGCCTCATTTTGACGGAATGCCTCACATCCCGCTGACACCTCGAGAGGCACGCGGAGTTCATTGCTTCAAAAGGTGACGATGCCTGACTCCTCTTGAATACTGATAGGAATCCCAAAATCCCTGTGGCTACTGGAAAGGGACCTTGGGTGCCCTGCCTCACCTCGAGAAGCGTCCCTTTTGCCCTGCCAAGCCTCGAAGAGATTCCTGAGGTGTCCCTCGTTACTAGACAGGAGTCCTGACGTCACTGAAGAAACTCGAGTTTTGAAGGGCCATCCCCTCCGTAAGTCGAGAACATACCCCAGGTCCCCGCCGCAACTCGAGAAAAACCATGAGACTTCCCCCTAGAGGCGAGATGAGGCCCCATTCCCCTGCAGTGCATGCAGAGCTATTCCGTGATCCCATTCAAACAAGTCAGGAGCTTCGACTTGCTTCATGGATCTCGAGACAGTCCCCAAGAACACTGTCACCAGTCTAGATGGACCCTGAGCTCACCCCAGCAATGCAAAGCAGCTCCATGTGCCCCAAATCAACTCGAGATGAGGCCCGATTCCCCTGCATTGACTCCAGAGCCATTCCCCGTTCCCCATTCAGCACGACCGGTGGCTCGACTTCCTTCAGGCAACTCCAGAGATGCCCCGAGAACACTGTCCCAAGTCTAGAGGAACACCAACTTCAGCACAGCAACTCGAGGAATGCTCCGTGTACCCCAAATCGTCTTGAGATGAGAGCTGATTCCCTGGCTTAGGCTCAAGACATATGCCAACTTCCCAGAAGCACCTCAGGAGGAGGCTTCTCTCAGCAATAGGTATGTGGGAGGGACCCCGAGTTTGCTGCCTCAAGGGGAATATACAGCGAGAAGCCCTAACTTGAAAGGCGGCCGGATTTCCTTGCAGTGGCTTGAATACAGGCTCGTCTTTCATCTCACAACATGAAGGGATGTCTGAATCCCCTGTGGAGACCTTAGAGAAAGCCCTAGGTCCCTGCCTCATTTTGACGGAATGCCTCACATCCCGCTGACACCTCGAGAGGCACGCGGAGTTCAGTGCTTCAAAAGATGACGATGCCTGACTCCTCTTGAATACTGATAGGAATCCCAAAATCCCTGTGGCTACTGGAAAGGGTCCTTGGGTGCCCTGCCTCACCTCGAGAAGCGTCCCTTTTCCCCTGCCAAGCCTCGAAGAGATTCCTGAGGTGTCCCTCGTTACTAGACAGGAGTCCGGACGTCACTGAAGAAACTCGTGTTTTGAAGGGCCATCCCAGCCGTAAGTCGAGAACATACACCAGGTCCCCGCCGCAACTCGAGAAAAACCATGAGACTTCCCCCTAGAGGCGAGATGAGGCCCCATTCCCCTGCAGTGCATGCAGAGCTATTCCGTGATCCCATTCAAACAAGTCAGGAGCTTCGACTTGCTTAATGGATCTCGAGACAGTCCCCAAGATCACTGTCACCAGTCTAGACGGACCCTGAGGTCACCCCAGCAACGCAAAGCAGCTCCATGTGCCCCAAATCAACTCGAGATGAGGCCCGATTCCCCTGCATTGACTCCAGAGCCATTCCCCGTTCCCCATTCAACACGACCGGTGGCTCGACTTCCTTCAGGCAACTCCAGAGATGCCCCGAGAACACTGTCCCAAGTCTAGAGGAACACCAACTTCAGCACAGCAACTCGAGGAATGCTCCGTGTACCCCAAATCGTCTCGAGATGAGAGCTGATTCCCTGGCTTAGGCTCAAGACGTATGCCAACTTCCCAGAAGCACCTCAGGAGGAGGCTTCTCTCAGCTATAAGTATGTGGGAGGGACCCCGAGTTTGCTGCCTCAAGGGGAATATACAGCGAGAAGCCCTAACTTGAAAGGAGGCCGGATTTCCTTGCAGTGGCTTGAATACAGGCTCGTCTTTCATCTCACAACATGAAGGGATGTCTGAATCCCCTGTGGAGACCTTAGAGAAAGCCCTAGGTCCCTGCCTCATTTTGACGGAATGCCTCACATCCCGCTGACACCTCGAGAGGCACGCGGAGTTCATTGCTTCAAAAGGTGACGATGCCTGACTCCTCTTGAATACTGATAGGAATCCCAAAATCCCTGTGGCTACTGGAAAGGGTCCTTGGGTGCCCTGCCTCACCTCGAGAAGCGTCCCTTTTGCCCTGCCAAGCCTCGAAGAGATTCCTGAGGTGTCCCTCGTTACTAGACAGGAGTCCTGACGTCACTGAAAAACTCGTGTTTTGAAGGGTCATCCCCGCCGTAAGTCGAGAACATACCCCAGGTCCCCGCCGCAACTCGAGAAAAACCATGAGACTTCCCCCTAGAGGCGAGATGAGGCCCCATTCCCCTGCAGTGCATGCAGAGCTATTCCGTGATCCCATTCAAACAAGTAAGGAGCTTCGACTTGCTTAATGGATCTCGAGACAGTCCCCAAGAACACTGTCACCAGTCTAGACGCACCCTGAGGTCACCCCAGCAACGCAAAGAAGCTCCATGTGCCCCAAATCAACTCGAGATGAGGCCCGATTCCCCTGCATTGTCTCCAGAGCCATTCCCCGTTCCCCATTCAACACGACCGGTGGCTCGACTTCCTTCAGGCAACTCCAGAGATGCCCCGAGAACACTGTCCCAAGTCTAGAGGAACACCAACTTCAGCACAGCAACTCGAGGAATGCTCCGTGTACCCCAAATCGTCTCGAGATGAGAGCTGATTCCCTGGCTTAGGCTCAAGACGTATGCCAACTTCCCAGAAGCACCTCAGGAGGAGGCTTCTCTCAGCTATAAGTATGTGGGAGGGACCCCGAGTTTGCTGCCTCAAGGGGAATATACAGCGTGAAGCCCTAACTTGAAAGGAGGCCGGATTTCCTTGCAGTGGCTTGAATACAGGCTCGTTTTTCATCTCACAACATGAAGGGATGTCTGAATCCCCTGTGGAGACCTTAGAGAAAGCCCTAGGTCCCTGCCTCATTTTGACAGAATGCCTCACATCCCGCTGACACCTCGAGAGGCACGCGGAGTTCATTGCTTCAAAAGGTGACGATGCCTGACTCCTCTTGAATACTGCTAGGAATCCCAAAATCCCTGTGGCGACTGGAAAGGGTCCTTGGGTGCCCTGCCTCACCTCGAGAAGCGTCCCTTTTGCCCTGCCAAGCCTCGAAGAGATTCCTGAGGTGTCCCTCGTTACTAGACAGGAGTCCTGACGTCACTGAAGAAACTCGTGTTTTGAAGGGCCATCCCCGCCGTAAGTCGAGAACATACCCCAGGTCCCCGCCGCAACTCGAGAAAAACCATGAGACTTCCCCCTAGAGGCGAGATGAGGCCCCATTCCCCTGCAGTGCATGCAGAGCTATTCCGTGATCCCATTCAAACAAGTCAGGAGCTTCGACTTGCTTAATGGATCTCGAGACAGTCCCCAAGAACACTGTCACCAGTCTAGACGGACCCTGAGGTCACCCCAGCAATGCAAAGCAGCTCCATGTGCCCCAAATCAACTCGAGATGAGGCCCGATTCCCCTGCATTGACTCCAGAGCCATTCCCCGTTCCCCACTCCGCACGACCGGTGGCTCGACTTCCTTCAGGCAACTCCAGAGATGCCCCGAGAACACTGTCCCAAGTCTATAGGAACACCAACTTCAGCACAGCAACTCGAGGAATGCTCCGTGTACCCCAAATCGTCTCGAGATGAGAGCTGATTCCCTGGCATAAGCTCAAGACATATGCCAACTTCCCAGAAGCACCTCAGGAGGAGGCTTCTCTCAGCAATAGGTATGTGGGAGGGACCCCGGGTTTGCTGCCTCAAGGGGAATATACAGCGAGAAGCCCTAACTTGAAAGGCGGCCGGATTTCCTTGCAGTGGCTTGAATACAGGCTCGTCTTTCATCTCACAACATGAAGGGATGTCTGAATCCCCTGTGGAGACCTTAGAGAAAGCCCTAGGTCCCTGCCTCATTTTGACGGAATGCCTCACATCCCGCTGACACCTCGAGAGGCACGCGGAGTTCATTGCTTCAAAAGGTGACGATGCCTGACCCCTCTTGAATACTGATAGGAATCCCAAAATCCCTGTGGCTACTGGAAAGGGTCCTTGGGTGCCCTGCCTCACCTCGAGAAGCGTCCCTTTTGCCCTGCCAAGCCTCGAAGAGATTCCTGAGGTGTCCCTCGTTACTAGACAGGAGTCCTGACGTCACTGAAGAAACTCGTGTTTTGAAGGGCCATCCCAGCCGTAAGTCGAGAACATACCCCAGGTCACCGCCGCAACTCGAGAAAAACCATGAGACTTCCCCCTAGAGGCGAGATGAGGCCCCATTCCCCTGCAGTGCATGCAGAGCTATTCCGTGATCCCATTCAAACAAGTCAGGAGCTTCGACTTGCTTAATGATCTCTAGACAGTCCCCAAGATCACTGTCACCAGTCTAGACGGACCCTGAGGTCACCCCAGCAACGCAAAGCAGCTCCATGTGCCCCAAATCAACTCGAGATGAGGCCCGATTCCCCTGCATTGACTCCAGAGCCATTCCCCGTTCCCCATTCATCACGACCGGTGGCTCGACTTCCTTCAGGCAACTCCAGAGATGCCCCGAGAACACTGTCCCAAGTCTAGAGGAACACCAACTTCAGCACAGCAACTCGAGGAATGCTCCGTGTACCCCAAATCGTCTCGAGATGCGAGCTAATTCCCTGGCTTAGGCTCAAGACGTATGCCAACTTCCCACAAGCACCTCAGGAGGAGGCTTCTCTCAGCAATAGGTATGTGCGAGGGACCCCGAGTTTGCTGCCTCAAGGGGAATATACAGCGAGAAGCCCTAACTTGAAAGGAGGCCGGATTTCCTTGCAGTGGCTTGAATACAGGCTCGTCTTTCATCTCACAACATGAAGGGATGTCTGAATCCCCTGTGGAGACCTTAGAGAAAGCCCTAGGTCCCTGCCTCATTTTGACGGAATGCCTCACATCCCGCTGACACCTCGAGAGGCACGCGGAGTTCATTGCTTCAAAAGGTGACGATGCCTGACTCCTCTTGAATACTGATAGGAATCCCAAAATCCCTGTGGCTATTGGAAAGGGTCCTTGGGTGCCCTGCCTCACCTCGAGAACCGTCCTTTTGCCCTGCCAAGCCTCGAAGAGATTCCTGAGGTGTCCCTCGTTACTAGACAGGAGTCCTGACGTCACTGAAGAAACTCGTGTTTTGAAGGGCCATCCCCGCCGTAAGTCGAGAACATACCCCAGGTCCCCGCCGCAACTCGAGAAAAACCATGAGACTTCCCCCTAGAGGCGAGATGAGGCCCCATTCCCCTGCAGTGCATGCAGAGCTATTCCGTGATCCCATTCAAACAAGTCAGGAGCTTCGACTTGCTTCATGGATCTCGAGACAGTCCCCAAGAACACTGTCACCAGTCTAGACGGACCCTGAGGTCACGCCAGCAACGCAAAGCAGCTCCATGTGCCCCAAATCAACTCGAGATGAGGCCCGATTCCCCTGCATTGACTCCAGAGCCATTCCCCGTTCCCCATTCAACACGACCGGTGGCTCGACTTCCTTCAGGCAACTCCAGAGATGCCCCGAGAACACTGTCCCAAGTCTAGAGGAACACCAACTTCAGCACAGCAACTCGAGGAATGCTCCGTGTACCCCAAATCGTCTCGAGATGCGAGCTGATTCCCTGGCTTAGGCTCAAGACGTATGCCAACTTCCCAGAAGCACCTCAGGAGGAGGCTTCTCTCAACAATAGGTATGTGCGAGGGACCCCGAGTTTGTTCCCTCAAGGGGAATATACAGCGAGAAGCCCTAACTTGAAAGGAGGCCGGATTTCCTTGCAGTGGCTTGAATACAGGCTCGTCTTTCATCTCACAACATGAAGGGATGTCTGAATCCCCTGTGGAGACCTTAGAGAAAGCCCTAGGTCCCTGCCTCATTTTGACGGAATGCCTCACATCCCGCTGACACCTCGAGAGGCACGCGGAGTTCATTGCTTCAAAAGGTGACGATGCCTGATTCCTCTTGAATACTGATAGGAATCCCAAAATCCCTGTGGCTATTGGAAAGGGTCCTTGGGTGCCCTGCCTCACCTCGAGAAGCGTCCTTTTGCCCTGCCAAGCCTCGAAGAGATTCCTGAGGTGTCCCTCGTTACTAGACAGGAGTCCTGACGTCACTGAAGAAACTCGTGTTTTGAAGGGCCATCTCCGCCGTAAGTCGAGAACATACCCCAGGTCCCCGCCGCAACTCGAGAAAAACCATGAGACTTCCCCCTAGAGGCGAGATGAGGCCCCATTCCCCTGCAGTGCATGCAGAGCTATTCCGTGATCCCATTCAAACAAGTCAGGAGCTTCGACTTGCTTCATGGATCTCGAGACAGTCCCCAAGAACACTGTCACCAGTCTAGACGGACCCTGAGGTCACCCCAGCAACGCAAAGCAGCTCCATGTGCCCCAAATCAACTCGAGATGAGGCCCGATTCCCCTGCATTGACTCCAGAGCCATTCCCCGTTCCCCATTCAACACGACCGGTGGCTTGACTTCCTTCAGGCAACTCCAGAGATGCCCCGAGAACACTGTCCCAGGTCTAGAGGAACACCAACTTCAGCACAGCAACTCGAGGAATGCTCCGTGTACCCCAAATCGTCTCGAGATGAGAGCTGATTCCCTGGCTTAGGCTCAAGACGTAGGCCAACTTCCCAGAAGCACCTCAGGAGGAGGCTTCTCTCAGCAATAGGTATGTGGGAGGGACCCCGAGTTTACTGCCTCAAGGGGAATATACAGCGAGAAGCCCTAACTTGAAAGGAGGCCGGATTTCCTTGCAGTGGCTTGAATACAGGCTCGTCTTTCATCTCACAACATGAAGGGATGTCTGAATCCCCTGTGGAGACCTTAGAGAAAGCCCTAGGTCCCTGCCTCATTTTGACGGAATGCCTCACATCCCGCTGACACCTCGAGAGGCACGCGGAGTTCATTGCTTCAAAAGGTGACGATGCCTGACTCCTCTTGAATACTGATAGGAATCCCAAAATCCCTGTGGCTATTGGAAAGGGTCCTTGGGTGCCCTGCCTCACCTCGAGAACCGTCCTTTTGCCCTGCCAAGCCTCGAAGAGATTCCTGAGGTGTCCCTCGTTACTAGACAGGAGTCCTGACGTCACTGAAGAAACTCGTGTTTTGAAGGGCCATCCCCGCCGTAAGTCGAGAACATACACCAGGTCCCCGCCGCAACTCGAGAAAAACCATGAGACTTCCCCCTAGAGGCGAGATGAGGCCCCATTCCCCTGCAGTGCATGCAGAGCTATTCCGTGATCCCATTCAAACAAGTCAGGAGCTTCGACTTGCTTCATGGATCTCGAGACAGTCCCCAAGAACACTGTCACCAGTCTAGACGGACCCTGAGGTCACCCCAGCAACGCAAAGCAGCTCCATGTGCCCCAAATCAACTCGAGATGAGGCCCGATTCCCCTGCATTGACTCCAGAGCCATTCCCCGTTCCCCATTCAACACGACCGGTGTCTCGACTTCCTTCAGGCAACTCCAGAGATGCCCTGAGAACACTGTCCCAAGTCTAGAGGAACACCAACTTCAGCACAGCAACTCGAGGAATGCTCCGTGTACCCCAAATCGTCTCGAGATGAGAGCTGATTCCCTGGCTTAGGCTCAAGACGTATGCCAACTTCCCAGAAGCACCTCAGGAGGAGGCTTCTCTCAGCAACAGGTATGTGGGAGGGACCCCGAGTTTGCTGCCTCAAGGGGAATATACAGCGAGAAGCCCTAACTTGAAAGGCGGCCGGATTTCCTTGCAGTGGCTTGAATACAGGCTCGTCTTTCATCTCACAACATGAAGGGATGTCTGAATCCCCTGTGGAGACCTTAGAGAAAGCCCTAGGTCCCTGCCTCATTTTGACGGAATGCCTCACATCCCGCTGACACCTCGAGAGGCACGCGGAGTTCATTGCTTCAAAAGGTGACGATGCCTGACTCCTCTTGAATACTGATAGGAATCCCAAAATCCCTGTGGCTACTGGAAAGGGTCCTTGGGTGCCCTGCCTCACCTCGAGAAGCGTCCCTTTTGCCCTGCCAAGCCTCGAAGAGATTCCTGAGGTGTCCCTCGTTACTAGACAGGAGTCCTGACGTCACTGAAGAAACTCGTGTTTTGAAGGGCCATCCCCGCCGTAAGTCGAGAACATACCCCAGGTCCCCGCCGCAACTCGAGAAAAACCATGAGACTTCCCCCTAGAGGCAAGATGAGGCCCCATTCCCCTGCAGTGCATGCAGAGCTATTCCGTGATCCCATTCAAAGAAGTCAGGAGCTTCGACTTGCTTAATGGATCTCGAGACAGTCCCCAAGAACACTGTCACCAGTCTAGACGGACCCTGAGGTCACCCCAGCAATGCAAAGCAGCTCCATGTGCCCCAAATAAACTCGAGATGAGGCCCGATTCCCCTACATTGACTCCAGAGCCATTCCCCATTCCCCATTCAACACGACCGGTGGCTCGACTTCCTTCAGGCAACTCCAGAGATGCCCCGAGAACACTGTCCCAAGTCCAGAGGAACACCAACTTCAGCACAGCAACTCGAGGAATGCTCCGTGTACCCCAAATCGTCTCGAGATGAGAGCTGATTCCCTGGCTTAGGCTCAAGACGTATGCCAACTTCCCAGAAGCACCTCAGGAGGAGGCTTCTCTCAGCAATAGTTATGTGGGAGGGACCCCGAGTTTGCTGCCTCAAGGGGAATGTACAGCGAGAAGCCCTAACTTGAAAGGCGGCCGGATTTCCTTGCAGTGGCTTGAATACAGGCTCGTCTTTCATCTCACAACATGAAGGGATGTCTGAATCCCCTGTGGAGACCTTAGAGAAAGCCCTAGGTCCCTGCCTCATTTTGACGGAATGCCTCACATCCCGCTGACACCTCGAGAGGCACGCGGAGTTCATTGCTTCAAAAGGTGACGATGCCTGACTCCTCTTGAATACTGATAGGAATCCCAAAATCCCTGTGGCTACTGGAAAGGGTCCTTGGGTGCCCTGCCTCACCTCGAGAAGCGTCCCTTTTGCCCTGCCAAGCCTCGAAGAGATTCCTGAGGTGTCCCTCGTTACTAGACAGGAGTCCTGACGTCACTGAAAAACTCGTGTTTTGAAGGGCCATCCCCGCCGTAAGTCGAGAACATACCCCAGGTCCCCGCCGCAACTAGAGAAAAACCATGAGACTTCCCCCTAGAGGCGAGATGAGGCCCCATTCCCCTGCAGTGCATGCAGAGCTATTCCGTGATCGCATTCAAACAAGTAAGGAGCTTCGACTTGCTTAATGGATCTCGAGAGAGTCCCCAAGAACACTGTCACCAGTCTAGACGCACCCTGAGGTCACCCCAGCAACGCAAAGAAGCTCCATGTGCCCCAAATCAACTCGAGATGAGGCCCGATTCCCCTGCATTGTTTCCAGAGCCATTCCCCGTTCCCCATTCAACACGACCGGTGGCTCGACTTCCTTCAGGCAACTCCAGAGATGCCCCGAGAACACTGTCCCAAGTCTAGAGGAACACCAACTTCAGCACAGCAACTCGAGGAATGCTCCGTGTACCCCAAATCGTCTCGAGATGAGAGCTGATTCCCTGGCTTAGGCTCAAGGCGTATGCCAACTTCCCAGAAGCACCTCAGGAGGAGGCTTCTCTCAGCAATAGTTATGTGGGAGGGACCCCGAGTTTGCTGCCTCAAGGGGAATATACAGCGAGAAGCCCTAACTTGAAAGGCGGCCGGATTTCCTTGCAGTGGCTTGAATACAGGCTCGTCTTTCATCTCACAACATGAAGGGATGTCTGAATCCCCTGTGGAGACCTTAGAGAAAGCCCTAGGTCCCTGCCTCATTTTGACGGAATGCCTCACATCCCGCTGACACCTCGAGAGGCACGCGGAGATCATTGCTTCAAAAGGTGACGATGCCTGACTCCTCTTGAATACTGATAGGAATCCCAAAATCCCTGTGGCTATTGGAAAGGGTCCTTGGGTGCCCTGCCTCACCTCGAGAACCGTCCTTTTGCCCTGCCAAGCCTCGAAGAGATTCCTGAGGTGTCCCTCGTTACTAGACAGGAGTCCTGACGTCACTGAAGAAACTCGTGTTTTGAAGGGCCATCCCCGCCGTAAGTCGAGAACATACACCAGGTCCCCGCCGCAACTCGAGAAAAACCATGAGACTTCCCCCTAGAGGCGAGATGAGGCCCCATTCCCCTGCAGTGCATGCAGAGCTATTCCGTGATCCCATTCAAACAAGTCAGGAGCTTCGACTTGCTTCATGGATCTCGAGACAGTCCCCAAGAACACTGTCACCAGTCTAGACGGACCCTGAGGTCACCCCAGCAACGCAAAGCAGCTCCATGTGCCCCAAATCAACTCGAGATGAGGCCCGATTCCCCTGCATTGACTCCAGAGCCATTCCCCGTTCCCCATTCAACACGACCGGTGTCTCGACTTCCTTCAGGCAACTCCAGAGATGCCCTGAGAACACTGTCCCAAGTCTAGAGGAACACCAACTTCAGCACAGCAACTCGAGGAATGCTCCGTGTACCCCAAATCGTCTCGAGATGAGAGCTGATTCCCTGGCTTAGGCTCAAGACGTATGCCAACTTCCCAGAAGCACCTCAGGAGGAGGCTTCTCTCAGCAACAGGTATGTGGGAGGGACCCCGAGTTTGCTGCCTCAAGGGGAATATACAGCGAGAAGCCCTAACTTGAAAGGCGGCCGGATTTCCTTGCAGTGGCTTGAATACAGGCTCGTCTTTCATCTCACAACATGAAGGGATGTCTGAATCCCCTGTGGAGACCTTAGAGAAAGCCCTAGGTCCCTGCCTCATTTTGACGGAATGCCTCACATCCCGCTGACACCTCGAGAGGCACGCGGAGTTCATTGCTTCAAAAGGTGACGATGCCTGACTCCTCTTGAATACTGATAGGAATCCCAAAATCCCTGTGGCTACTGGAAAGGGTCCTTGGGTGCCCTGCCTCACCTCGAGAAGCGTCCCTTTTGCCCTGCCAAGCCTCGAAGAGATTCCTGAGGTGTCCCTCGTTACTAGACAGGAGTCCTGACGTCACTGAAGAAACTCGTGTTTTGAAGGGCCATCCCCGCCGTAAGTCGAGAACATACCCCAGGTCCCCGCCGCAACTCGAGAAAAACCATGAGACTTCCCCCTAGAGGCAAGATGAGGCCCCATTCCCCTGCAGTGCATGCAGAGCTATTCCGTGATCCCATTCAAAGAAGTCAGGAGCTTCGACTTGCTTAATGGATCTCGAGACAGTCCCCAAGAACACTGTCACCAGTCTAGACGGACCCTGAGGTCACCCCAGCAATGCAAAGCAGCTCCATGTGCCCCAAATAAACTCGAGATGAGGCCCGATTCCCCTACATTGACTCCAGAGCCATTCCCCATTCCCCATTCAACACGACCGGTGGCTCGACTTCCTTCAGGCAACTCCAGAGATGCCCCGAGAACACTGTCCCAAGTCCAGAGGAACACCAACTTCAGCACAGCAACTCGAGGAATGCTCCGTGTACCCCAAATCGTCTCGAGATGAGAGCTGATTCCCTGGCTTAGGCTCAAGACGTATGCCAACTTCCCAGAAGCACCTCAGGAGGAGGCTTCTCTCAGCAATAGTTATGTGGGAGGGACCCCGAGTTTGCTGCCTCAAGGGGAATGTACAGCGAGAAGCCCTAACTTGAAAGGCGGCCGGATTTCCTTGCAGTGGCTTGAATACAGGCTCGTCTTTCATCTCACAACATGAAGGGATGTCTGAATCCCCTGTGGAGACCTTAGAGAAAGCCCTAGGTCCCTGCCTCATTTTGACGGAATGCCTCACATCCCGCTGACACCTCGAGAGGCACGCGGAGTTCATTGCTTCAAAAGGTGACGATGCCTGACTCCTCTTGAATACTGATAGGAATCCCAAAATCCCTGTGGCTACTGGAAAGGGTCCTTGGGTGCCCTGCCTCACCTCGAGAAGCGTCCCTTTTGCCCTGCCAAGCCTCGAAGAGATTCCTGAGGTGTCCCTCGTTACTAGACAGGAGTCCTGACGTCACTGAAAAACTCGTGTTTTGAAGGGCCATCCCCGCCGTAAGTCGAGAACATACCCCAGGTCCCCGCCGCAACTAGAGAAAAACCATGAGACTTCCCCCTAGAGGCGAGATGAGGCCCCATTCCCCTGCAGTGCATGCAGAGCTATTCCGTGATCGCATTCAAACAAGTAAGGAGCTTCGACTTGCTTAATGGATCTCGAGAGAGTCCCCAAGAACACTGTCACCAGTCTAGACGCACCCTGACGTCACCCCAGCAACGCAAAGAAGCTCCATGTGCCCCAAATCAACTCGAGATGAGGCCCGATTCCCCTGCATTGTTTCCAGAGCCATTCCCCGTTCCCCATTCAACACGACCGGTGGCTCGACTTCCTTCAGGCAACTCCAGAGATGCCCCGAGAACACTGTCCCAAGTCTAGAGGAACACCAACTTCAGCACAGCAACTCGAGGAATGCTCCGTGTACCCCAAATCGTCTCGAGATGAGAGCTGATTCCCTGGCTTAGGCTCAAGGCGTATGCCAACTTCCCAGAAGCACCTCAGGAGGAGGCTTCTCTCAGCAATAGTTATGTGGGAGGGACCCCGAGTTTGCTGCCTCAAGGGGAATATACAGCGAGAAGCCCTAACTTGAAAGGCGGCCGGATTTCCTTGCAGTGGCTTGAATACAGGCTCGTCTTTCATCTCACAACATGAAGGGATGTCTGAATCCCCTGTGGAGACCTTAGAGAAAGCCCTAGGTCCCTGCCTCATTTTGACGGAATGCCTCACATCCCGCTGACACCTCGAGAGGCACGCGGAGTTCATTGCTTCAAAAGGTGACGATGCCTAACTCCTCTTGAATACTGATAGGAATCCCAAAATCCCTGTGGCTACTGGAAAGGGTCCTTGGGTGCCCTGCCTCACCTCGAGAAGCGTCCCTTTTGCCCTGCCAAGCCTCGAAGAGATTCCTGAGGTGTCCCTCGTTACTAGACAGGAGTCCTGACGTCACTGAAAAACTCGTGTTTTGAAGGGCCATCCCCGCCGTAAGTCGAGAACATACCCCAGGTCCCCGCCGCAACTCGAGAAAAACCATGAGACTTCCCCCTAGAGGCGAGATGAGGCCCCATTCCCCTGCAGTGCATGCAGAGCTATTCCGTGATCAAATTCAAACAAGTAAGGAGCTTCGACTTGCTTAATGGATCTCGAGACAGTCCCCAAGAACACTGTCACCAGTCTAGACGCACCCTGAGGTCACCCCAGCAACGCAAAGCAGCTCCATGTGCCCCAAATCAACTCGAGATGAGGCCCGATTCCCCTGCATTGTCTCCATAGCCATTCCCCGTTCCCCATTCAACACGACCGGTGGCTCGACTTCCTTCAGGCAACTCCAGAGATGCCCCGAGAACACTGTCCCAAGTCTAGAGGAACACCAACTTCAGCACAGCAACTCGAGGAATGCTCCGTGTACCCCAAATCGTCTCGAGATGAGAGCTGATTCCCTGGCTTAGGCTCAAGACGAATGCCAACTTCCCAGAAGCACCTCAGGAGGAGGCTTCTCTCAGCAATAGGTATGTGGGAGGGACCCCGAGTTTGCTGCCTCAAGGGGAATATACAGCGAGAAGCCCTAACTTGAAAGGAGGCCGGATTTCCTTGCAGTGGCTTGAATACAGGCTCGTCTTTCATCTCACAACATGAAGGGATGTCTGAATCCCCTGTGGAGACCTTAGAGAAAGCCCTAGGTCCCTGCCTCATTTTGACGGAATGCCTGACATCCCGCTGACACCTCGAGAGGCACGCGGAGTTCATTGCTTCAAAAGGTGACGATGCCTGACTCCTCTTGAATACTGATAGGAATCCCAAAATCCCTGTGGCTATTGGAAAGGGTCCTTGGGTGCCCTGCCTCACCTCGAGAAGCGTCCTTTTGCCCTGCCAAGCCTCGAAGAGTTTCCTGAGGTGTCCCTCGTTACTAGACAGGAGTCCTGACGTCACTGAAGAAACTCGTGTTTTGAAGGGCCATCCCCGCCGTAAGTCGAGAACATACACCAGGTCCCCGCCGCAACTCGAGAAAAACCATGAGACTTCCCCCTAGAGGCGAGATGAGGCCCCATTCCCCTGCAGTGCATGCAGAGCTATTCCGTGATCCCATTCAAACAAGTCAGGAGCTTCGACTTGCTTAATGGATCTCGAGAGAGTCCCCAAGAACACTGTCACCAGTCTAGACGGACCCTGAGGTCACCCCAGCAACGCAAAGCAGCTCCATGTGCCCCAAATCAACTCGAGATGAGGCCCGATTCCCCTGCATTGACTCCAGAGCCATTCCCCGTTCCCCATTCAACACGACCGGTGTCTCGACTTCCTTCAGGCAACTCCAGAGATGCCCCGAGAACACTGTCCCAAGTCTAGATTAACACCAACTTCAGCACAGCAACTCGAGGAATGCTCCGTGTACCCCAAATCGTCTCGAGATGAGAGCTGATTCCCTGGCTTAGGCTCAAGACGTATGCCAACTTCCCAGAAGCACCTCAGGAGGAGGCTTCTCTCAGCTATAAGTATGTGGGAGGGACCCCGAGTTTGCTGCCTCAAGGGGAATATACAGCGAGAAGCCCTAACTTGAAAGGAGGCCGGATTTCCTTGCAGTGGCTTGAATACAAGCTCGTTTTTCATCTCACAACATGAAGGGATGTCTGAATCCCCTGTGGAGACCTTAGAGAAAGCCCTAGGTCCCTGCCTCATTTTGACGGAATGCCTCACATCCCGCTGACACCTCGAGAGGCACGCGGAGTTCATTGCTTCAAAAGGTGACGATGCCTGACTCCTCTTGAATACTGATAGGAATCCCAAAATCCCTGTGGCTACTGGAAAGGGTCCTTGGGTGCCCTGCCTCACCTCGAGAAGCGTCCCTTTTGCCCTGCCAAGCCTCGAAGAGATTCCTGAGGTGTCCCTCGTTACTAGACAGGAGTCCTGACGTCACTGAAGAAACTCGTGTTTTGAAGGGCCATCCCCGCCGTAAGTCGAGAACATACCCCAGGTCCCCGCCGCAACTCGAGAAAAACCATGAGACTTCCCCCTAGAGGCGAGATGAGGCCCCATTCCCCTGCAGTGCATGCAGAGCTATTCCGTGATCCCATTCAAACAAGTCAGGAGCTTCGACTTGCTTAATGGATCTCTAGACAGTCCCCAAGATCACTGTCACCAGTCTAGACGGACCCTGAGGTCACCCCAGCAATGCAAAGCAGCTCCATGTGCCCCAAATCAACTCGAGATGAGGCCCGATTCCCCTGCATTGACTCCAGAGCCATTCCCCGTTCCCCATTCAGCACGACCGGTGGCTCAACTTCCTTCAGGCAACTCCAGAGATGCCCCGAGAACACTGTCCCAAGTCTAGAGGAACACCAACTTCAGCACAGCAACTCGAGGAATGCTCCGTGTACCCCAAATCGTCTCGAGATGAGAGCTGATTCCCTGGCTTAGGCTCAAGACGTATGCCAACTTCCCAGAAGCACCTCAGGAAGAGGCTTCTCTCAGCAATAGGTATGTGCGAGGGACCCCGAGTTTGTTGCCTCAAGGGGAATATACAGCGAGAAGCCCTAACTTGAAAGGAGGCCGGATTTCCTTGCAGTGGCTTGAATACAGGCTCGTCTTTCATCTCACAACATGAAGGGATGTCTGAATCCCCTGTGGAGACCTTAGAGAAAGCCCTAGGTCCCTGCCTCATTTTGACGGAATGCCTCACATCCCGCTGACACCTCGAGAGGCACGCGGAGTTCATTGCTTCAAAAGGTGACGATGCCTGACTCCTCTTGAATACTGATAGGAATCCCAAAATCCCTGTGGCTATTGGAAAGGGTCCTTGGGTGCCCTGCCTCACCTTGAGAAGCGTCCCTTTTGCCCTGCCAAGCCTCGAAGAGATTCCTGAGGTGTCCCTCGTTACTAGACAGGAGTCCTGACGTCACTGAAGAAACTCGTGTTTTGAAGGGCCATCCCCGCCGTAAGGCGAGAACATACCCCAGGTCCCCGCCGCAACTCGAGAAAAACCATGAGACTTCCCCCTAGAGGCGAGATGAGGCCCCATTCCCCTGCAGTGCATGCAGAGCTATTCCGTGATCCCATTCAAACAAGTCAGGAGCTTCGACTTGCTTCATGCATCTCGAGACAGTCCCCAAGAACACTGTCACCAGTCTAGACGGACCCTGAGGTCACCCCAGCAACGCAAAGCAGCTCCATGTGCCCCAAATCAACTCGAGATGAGGCCCGATTCCCCTGCATTGACTCCAGAGCCATTCCCCGTTCCCCATTCAACACGACCGGTGGCTCGACTTCCTTAGTGCAACTCCAGAGATGCCCCGAGAACACTGTCCCAAGTCCAGAGGAACACCAACTTCAGCACAGCAACTTGAGGAATGCTCCGTGTACCCCAAATCGTCTCGAGATGAGAGCTGATTCCCTGGCTTATTCTCAAGACGTATGCCAACTTCCCAGAAGCACCTCAGGAGGAGGCTTCTCTCAGCAATAGGTATGTGGGAGGGACCCCTAGTTTGCTGCCTCAAGAGGAATATACAGCGAGAAGCCCTAACTTGAAAGGAGGCCGGATTTCCTTGCAGTGGCTTGAATACAGGCTCGTCTTTCATCTCACAACATGAAGGGATGTCTGAATCCCCTGTGGAGACCTTAGAGAAAGACCTAGGTCCCTGCCTCATTTTGACGGAATGCCTCACATCCCGCTGACACCTCGAGAGGCACGCGGAGTTCATTGCTTCAAAAGGTGACGATGCCTGACTCCTCTTGAATACTGATAGGAATCCCAAAATCCCTGTGGCTATTGGAAAGGGTCCTTGGGTGCCCTGCCTCACCTCGAGAAGCGTCCTTTTGCCCTGCCAAGCCTCGAAGAGATTCCTGAGGTGTCCCTCGTTACTAGACAGGAGTCCTGACGTCACTGAAGAAACTCGTGTTTTGAAGGGCCATCCCCGCCGTAAGTCGAGAACATACCCCAGGTCCCCGCCGCAACTCGAGAAAAACCATGAGACTTCCCCCTAGAGGCGAGATGAGGCCCCATTCCCCTGCAGTGCATGCAGAGCTATTCCGTGATCCCATTCAAACAAGTCAGGAGCTTCGACTTGCTTCATGCATCTCGAGACAGTCCCCAAGAACACTGTCACCAGTCTAGACGGACCCTGAGGTCACCCCAGCAACGCAAAGCAGCTCCATGTGCCCCAAATCAACTCGAGATGAGGCCCGATTCCCCTGCATTGACTCCAGAGCCATTCCCCGTTCCCCATTCAACACGACCGGTGGCTCGACTTCCTTCAGGCAACTCCAGAGATGCCCCGAGAACACTGTCCCAAGTCTAGAGGAACACCAACTTCAGCACAGCAACTCGAGGAATGCTCCGTGTACCCCAAATCGTCTCGAGATGAGAGCTGATTCCCTGGCTTAGGCTCAAGACGTATGCCAACTTCCCAGAAGCACCTCAGGAGGAGGCTTCTCTCAGCTATAAGTATGTGGGAGGGACCCCGAGTTTTCTGCCTCAAGGGGAATATACAGCGAGAAGCCCTAACTTGAAAGGAGGCCGGATTTCCTTGCAGTGGCTTGAATACAGGCTCGTCTTTCATCTCACAACATGAAGGGATGTCTGAATCCCCTGTGGAGACCTTAGAGAAAGCCCTAGGTCCCTGCCTCATTTTGACGGAATGCCTCACATCCCGCTGACACCTCGAGAGGCACGCGGAGTTCATTGCTTCAAAAGGTGACGATGCCTGACTCCTCTTGAATACTGATAGGAATCCCAAAATCCCTGTGGCTACTGGAAAGGGTCCTTGGGTGCCCTGCCTCACCTCGAGAAGCGTCCCTTTTGCCCTGCCAAGCCTCGAAGAGATTCCTGAGGTGTCCCTCGTTACTAGACAGGAGTCCTGACGTCACTGAAGAAACTCGTGTTTTGAAGGGCCATCCCAGCCGTAAGTCGAGAACATACACCAGGTCCCCGCCGCAACTCGAGAAAAACCATGAGACTTCCCCCTAGAGGCGAAATGAGGCCCCATTCCCCTGCAGTGCATGCGGAGCTATTCTGTGATCCCATTCAAACAAGTCAGGAGCTTCGACTTGCTTAATGGATCTCTAGACAGTCCCCAAGATCACTGTCACCAGTCTAGACGGACCCTGAGGTCACCCCAGCAACGCAAAGCAGCTCCATGTGCCCCAAATCAACTCGAGATGAGGCCCGATTCCCCTGCATTGACTCCAGAGCCATTCCCCGTTCCCCATTCAACACGACCGGTGGCTCGACTTCCTTCAGGCAACTCCAGAGATGCCCCGAGAACACTGTCCCAAGTCTAGAGGAACACCAACTTCAGCACAGCAACTCGAGGAATGCTCCGTGTACCCCAAATCGTCTCGAGATGCGAGCTGATTCCCTGGCTTAGGCTCAAGACGTATGCCAACTTCCCAGAAGCACCTCAGGAGGAGGCTTCTCTCAGCAATAGGTATGTGGGAGGGACCCCGAGTTTACTGCCTCAAGGGGAATATACAGCGAGAAGCCCTAACTTGAAAGGAGGCCGGATTTCCTTGCAGTGGCTTGAATACAGGCTCGTCTTTCATCTCACAACATTAAGGGATGTCTGAATCCCCTGTGGAGACCTTAGAGAAAGCCCTAGGTCAATGCCTCATTTTGACGGAATGCCTCACATCCCGCTGACACCTCGGGAGGCACGCGGAGTTCTTTGCTTCAAAAGGTGACGATGCCTGACTCCTCTTGAATACTGATAGGAATCCCAAAATCCCTGTGGCTACTGGAAAGGGTCCTTGGGTGTCCTGCCTCACCTCGAGAAGCGTCCCTTTTGCCCTGCCAAGCCTCGAAGAGATTCCTGAGGTGTCCCTCGTTACTAGACAGGAGTCCTGACGTCACTGAAGAAACTCGTGTTTTGAAGGGCCATCCCCGCCGTAAGTCAGGAACATACCCCAGGTCCCCGCCGCAACTCGAGAAAAACCATGAGACTTCCCCCTAGAGGCGAGATGAGGCCCCATTCCCCTGCAGTGCATGCAGAGCTATTCCGTGATTCCATTCAAACAAGTCAGGAGCTTCGACTTGCTTCATGGATCTCGAGACAGTCCCCAAGAACACTGTCACCAGTCTATACGCACCCTGAGGTCACCCCAGCAACGCAAAGCAGCTCCATGTGCCCCAAATCAACTCGAGATGAGGCCCGATTCCCCTGCATTGTCTCCAGAGCCATTCCCCGTTCCCCATTCAACACGACCGGTGGCTCGACTTCCTTCAGGCAACTCCTGAGATGCCCCGAGAACACTGTCCCAAGTCTAGAGGAACACCAACTTCAGCACAGCAACTCGAGGAATGCTCCGTGTACCCCAAATCGTCTCGAGATGAGAGCTGATTCCCTGGCTTAGGCTCAAGACGAATGCCAACTTCCCAGAAGCACCTCAGGAGGAGGCTTCTCTCAGCAATAGGTATGTGGGAGGGACCCCGAGTTTGCTGCCTCAAGGGGAATATACAGCGAGAAGCCCTAACTTGAAAGGAGGCCGGATTTCCTTGCAGTGGCTTGAATACAGGCTCGTCTTTCATCTCACAACATGAAGGGATGTCTGAATCCCCTGTGGAGACCTTAGAGAAAGACCTAGGTCCCTGCCTCATTTTGACGGAATGCCTCACATCCCGCTGACACCTCGAGAGGCCCGCGGAGTTCATTGCTTCAAAAGGTGACGATGCCTGACTCCTCTTGAATACTGATAGGAATCCCAAAATCCCTGTGGCTACTGGAAAGGGTCCTTGGGTGCCCTGCCTCACCTCGGGAAGCGTCCTTTTGCCCTGCCAAGCCTCGAAGAGATTCCTGAGGTGTCCCTCGTTACTAGACAGGAGTCCTGACGTCACTGAAGAAACTCGTGTTTTGAAGGGCCATCCCCGCCGTAAGTCGAGAACATACCCCAGGTCCCCTCCGCAACTCGAGAAAAACCATGAGACTTCCCCCTAGAGGCGATATGAGGCCCCATTCCCCTGCAGTGTATGCAGAGCTATTCCGTGATCCCATTCAAACAAGTCAGGAGCTTCGACTTGCTTCATGGATCTCGAGAAAGTCCCCAAGAACACTGTCACCAGTCTAGACGGACCCTGAGGTCACCCCAGCAACGCAAAGCAGCTCCATGTGCCCCAAATCAACTCGAGATGAGGCCCAATTCCCCTGCATTGACTCCAGAGCCATTCCCCATTCCCCATTCAACACGACCGGTGTCTCGACTTCCTTCAGGCAACTCCAGAGATGCCCCGAGAACACTGTCCCAAGTCTAGAGGAACACCAACTTCAGCACAGCAACTCGAGGAATGCTCCGTGTACCCCAAATCGTCTCGAGATGAGAGCTGATTCCCTGGCTTAGGCTCAAGACGTATGCCAACTTCCCAGAAGCACCTCAGGAGGAGGCTTCTCTCAGCTATAAGTATGTGGGAGGGACCCCGAGTTTGCTGCCTCAAGGGGAATATACAGCGAGAAGCCCTAACTTGAAAGGAGGCCGGATTTCCTTGCAGTGGCTTGAATACAGGCTCGTCTTTCATCTCACAACATGAAGGGATGTCTGAATCCCCTGTGGAGACCTTAGAGAAAGCCCTAGGTCCCTGCCTCATTTTGACGGAATGCCTCACATCCCGCTGACACATCGAGAGGCACGCGGAGTTCATTGCTTCAAAAGGTGACGATGCCTGACTCCTCTTGAATACTGATAGGAATCCCAAAATCCCTGTGGCTACTGGAAAGGGTCCTTGGGTGCCCTGCCTCACCTCGAGAAGCGTCCCTTTTGTCCTGCCAAGCCTCGAAGAGATTCCTGAGGTGTCCCTCGTTACTAGACAGGAGTCCTGACGTCACTGAAGAAACTCGTGTTTTGAAGGGCCATCACCGCCGTAAGTCGAGAACATACCCCAGGTCCCCGCCGCAACTCGAGAAATACCATGAGACTTCCCCCTAGAGGCGAGATGAGGCCCCATTCCCCTGCAGTGCATGCAGAGCTATTCCGTGATCCCATTCAAACAAGTCAGGAGCTTCGACTTGCTTAATGGATCTCGAGACAGTCCCCAAGAACACTGTTACCAGTCTAGACGGACCCTGAGGTCACCCCAGCAATGCAGAGCAGCTCCATGTGCCCCAAATCAACTCGAGATGAGGCACGATTCCCCTGCATTGACTCCAGAGCCATTCCCCGTTCCCCATTCAACACGACCGGTGTCTCGACTTCCTTCAGGCAACTCCAGAGATGCCCCGAGAACACTGTCCCAAGTCTAGAGGAACACCAACTTTAGCACAGCAACTCGAGGAATGCTCCATGTACCCCAAATCGTCTCGAGATGAGAGCTGATTCCCTGGCTTAGGCTCAAGATGTATGCCAACTTCCCAGAAGCACCTCAGTAGGAGGCTTCTCTCAGCTATAAGTATGTGGGAGGGACCCCGAGTTTGCTGCCTCAAGGGGAATATACAGCGAGAAGCCCTAACTTGAAAGGAGGCCGGATTTCCTTGCAGTGGCTTGAATACAGGCTCGTTTTTCATCTCACAACATGAAGGGATGTCTGAATCCCCTGTGGAGACCTTAGAGAAAGCCCTAGGTCCCTGCCTCATTTTGACGGAATGCCTCACATCCCGCTGACACCTCGAGAGGCACGCGGAGTTCATTGCTTCAAAAGGTGACGATGCCTGACTCCTCTTGAATACTGATAGGAATCCCAAAATCCCTGTGGCTATTGGAAAGGGTCCTTGGGTGCCCTGCCTCACCTCGAGAAGCGTCCTTTTGCCCTGCCAAGCCTCGAAGATATTCCTGAGGTGTCCCTCGTTACTAGACAGGAGTCCTGACGTCACTGAAGAAACTCGTGTTTTGAAGGGCCATCCCCGCCGTAAGTCGAGAACATACCCCAGGTCCCCGCCGCAACTCGAGAAAAACCATGAGACTTCCCCCTAGAGGCGAGATGAGGCCCCATTCCCCTGCAGTGCATGCAGAGCTATTCCGTGATTCCATTCAAACAAGTCAGGAGCTTCGACTTGCTTCATGGATCTCGAGACAGTCCCCAAGAACACTGTCACCAGTCTAGACGCACCCTGAGGTCACCCCAGCAACGCAAAGCAGCTCCATGTGCCCCAAATCAACTCGAGATGAGGCCCGATTCCCCTGCATTGTCTCCAGAGCCATTCCCCGTTCCCCATTCAACACGACCGGTGGCTCGACTTCCTTCAGGCAACTCCAGAGATGCCCCGAGAACACTGTCCCAAGTCTAGAGGAACACCAACTTCAGCACAGCAACTCGAGGAATGCTCCGTGTACCCCAAATCGTCTCGAGATGAGAGCTGATTCCCTGGCTTAGGCTCAAGACGTATGCCAACTTCCCAGAAGCACCTCAGGAGGAGGCTTCTCTCAGCAATAGTTATGTGGGAGGGACCCCGAGTTTGCTGCCTCAAGGGGAATATACAGCGAGAAGCCCTAACTTGAAAGGCGGCCGGATTTCCTTGCAGTGGCTTGAATACAGGCTCGTCTTTCATCTCACAACATGAAGGGATGTCTGAATCCCCTGTGGAGACCTTAGAGAAAGCCCTAGGTCCCTGCCTCATTTTGACGGAATGCCTCACATCCCGCTGACACCTCGAGAGGCACGCGGAGTTCATTGCTTCAAAAGGTGACGATGCCTAACTCCTCTTGAATACTGATAGGAATCCCAAAATCCCTGTGGCTACTGGAAAGGGTCCTTGGGTGCCCTGCCTCACCTCGAGAAGCGTCCCTTTGGCCCTGCCAAGCCTCGAAGAGATTCCTGAGGTGTCCCTCGTTACTAGACAGGAGTCCTGACGTCACTGAAAAACTCGTGTTTTGAAGGGCCATCCCCGCCGTAAGTCGAGAACATACCCCAGGTCCCCGCCGCAACTAGAGAAAAACCATGAGACTTCCCCCTAGAGGCGAGATGAGGCCCCATTCCCCTGCAGTGCATGCAGAGCTATTCCGTGATCAAATTCAAACAAGTAAGGAGCTTCGACTTGCTTAATGGATCTCTAGACAGTCCCCAAGAAAACTGTCACCAGTCTAGACGCACCCTGAGGTCACCCCAGCAACGCAAAGCAGCTCCATGTGCCCCAAATCAACTCGAGATGAGGCCCGATTCCCCTGCATTGTCTCCAGAGCCATTCCCCGTTCCCCATTCAACACGACCGGTGGCTCGACTTCCTTCAGGCAACTCCAGAGATGCCCCGAGAACACTGTCCCAAGTCTAGAGGAACACCAACTTCAGCACAGCAACTCGAGGAATGCTCCGTGTACCCCAAATCGTCTCGAGATGAGAGCTGATTCCCTGGCTTAGGCTCAAGACGTATGCCAACTTCCCAGAAGCACCTCAGGAGGAGGCTTCTCTCAGCTATAAGTATGTGGGAGGGACCCCGAGTTTGCTGCCTCAAGGGGAATATACAGCGAGAAGCCCTAACTTGAAAGGAGGCCGGATTTCCTTGCAGTGGCTTGAATACAGGCTCGTTTTTCATCTCACAACATGAAGGGATGTCTGAATCCCCTGTGGAGACCTTAGAGAAAGCCCTAGGTCCCTGCCTCATTTTGACGGAATGCCTCACATCCCGCTGACACCTCGAGAGGCACGCGGAGTTCATTGCTTCAAAAGGTGACGATGCCTGACTCCTCTTGAATACTGATAGGAATCCCAAAATCCCTGTGGCTATTGGAAAGGGTCCTTGGGTGCCCTGCCTCACCTCGAGAAGCGTCCTTTTGCCCTGCCAAGCCTCGAAGAGATTCCTGAGGTGTCCCTCGTTACTAGACAGGAGTCCTGACGTCACTGAAGAAACTCGTGTTTTGAAGGGCCATCCCCGCCGTAAGTCGAGAACATACCCCAGGTCCCCGCCGCAACTCGAGAAAAACCATGAGACTTCCCCCTAGAGGCGAGATGAGGCCCCATTCCCCTGCAGTGCATGCAGAGCTATTCCGTGATCAAATTCAAACAAGTAAGGAGCTTCGACTTGCTTAATGGATCTCGAGACAGTCCCCAAGAACACTGTCACCAGTCTAGACGCACCCTGAGGTCACCCCAGCAACGCAAAGCAGCTCCATGTGCCCCAAATCAACTCGAGATGAGGCCCGATTCCCCTGCATTGTCTCCAGAGCCATTCCCCGTTCCCCATTCAACACGACCGGTGGCTCGACTTCCTTCAGGCAACTCCAGAGATGCCCCGAGAACACTGTCCCAAGTCTAGAGGAACACCAACTTCAGCACAGCAACTCGAGGAATGCTCCGTGTACCCCAAATCGTCTCGAGATGAGAGCTGATTCCCTGGCTTAGGCTCAAGACGTATGCCAACTTCCCAGAAGCACCTCAGGAGGAGGCTTCTCTCAGCAATAGTTATGTGGGAGGGACCCCGAGTTTGCTGCCTCAAGGGGAATATACAGCGAGAAGCCCTAACTTGAAAGGCGGCCGGATTTCCTTGCAGTGGCTTGAATACAGGCTCGTCTTTCATCTCACAACATGAAGGGATGTCTGAATCCCCTGTGGAGACCTTAGAGAAAGCCCTAGGTCCCTGCCTCATTTTGACGGAATGCCTCACATCCCGCTGACACCTCGAGAGGCACGCGGAGTTCATTGCTTCAAAAGGTGACGATGCCTAACTCCTCTTGAATACTGATTGGAATCCCAAAATCCCTGTGGCTACTGGAAAGGGTCCTTGGGTGCCCTGCCTCACCTCGAGAAGCGTCCCTTTTGCCCTGCCAAGCCTCGAAGAGATTCCTGAGGTGTCCCTCGTTACTAGACAGGAGTCCTGACGTCACTGAAAAACTCGTGTTTTGAAGGGCCATCCCGGCCGTAAGTCGAGAACATACCCCAGGTCCCCGCCGCAACTAGAGAAAAACCATGAGACTTCCCCCTAGAGGCGAGATGAGGCCCCATTCCCCTGCAGTGCATGCAGAGCTATTCCGTGATCAAATTCAAACAAGTAAGGAGCTTCGACTTGCTTAATGGATCTCTAGACAGTCCCCAAGAAAACTGTCACCAGTCTAGACGCACCCTGAGGTCACCCCAGCAACGCAAAGCAGCTCCATGTGCCCCAAATCAACTCGAGATGAGGCCCGATTCCCCTGCATTGTCTCCAGAGCCATTCCCCGTTCCCCATTCAACACGACCGGTGGCTCGACTTCCTTCAGGCAACTCCAGAGATGCCCCGAGAACACTGTCCCAAGTCTAGAGGAACACCAACTTCAGCACAGCAACTCGAGGAATGCTCCGTGTACCCCAAATCGTCTCGAGATGAGAGCTGATTCCCTGGCTTAGGCTCAAGACGTATGCCAACTTCCCAGAAGCACCTCAGGAGGAGGCTTCTCTCAGCTATAAGTATGTGGGAGGGACCCCGAGTTTGCTGCCTCAAGGGGAATATACAGCGAGAAGCCCTAACTTGAAAGGAGGCCGGATTTCCTTGCAGTGGCTTGAATACAGGCTCGTTTTTCATCTCACAACATGAAGGGATGTCTGAATCCCCTGTGGAGACCTTAGAGAAAGCCCTAGGTCCCTGCCTCATTTTGACGGAATGCCTCACATCCCGCTGACACCTCGAGAGGCACGCGGAGTTCATTGCTTCAAAAGGTGACGATGCCTGACTCCTCTTGAATACTGATAGGAATCCCAAAATCCCTGTGGCTATTGGAAAGGGTCCTTGGGTGCCCTGCCTCACCTCGAGAAGCGTCCTTTTGCCCTGCCAAGCCTCGAAGAGATTCCTGAGGTGTCCCTCGTTACTAGACAGGAGTCCTGACGTCACTGAAGAAACTCGTGTTTTGAAGGGCCATCCCCGCCGTAAGTCGAGAACATACCCCAGGTCCCCGCCGCAACTCGAGAAAAACCATGAGACTTCCCCCTAGAGGCGAGATGAGGCCCCATTCCCCTGCAGTGCATGCAGAGCTATTCCGTGATCAAATTCAAACAAGTAAGGAGCTTCGACTTGCTTAATGGATCTCGAGACAGTCCCCAAGAACACTGTCACCAGTCTAGACGCACCCTGAGGTCACCCCAGCAACGCAAAGCAGCTCCATGTGCCCCAAATCAACTCGAGATGAGGCCCGATTCCCCTGCATTGTCTCCAGAGCCATTCCCCGTTCCCCATTCAACACGACCAGTGGCTCGACTTCCTTCAGGCAACTCCAGAGATGCCCCGAGAACACTGTCCCAAGTCTAGAGGAACACCAACTTCAGCACAGCAACTCGAGGAATGCTCCGTGTACCCCACATCGTCTCGAGATGAGAGCTGATTCCCTGGCTTAGGCTCAAGACGAATGCCAACTTCCCAGAAGCACCTCAGGAGGAGGCTTCTCTCAGCAATAGGTATGTGGGAGGGACCCCGAGTTTGCTGCCTCAAGGGGAATATACAGCGAGAAGCCCTAACTTGAAAGGCGGCCGGATTTCCTTGCAGTGGCTTGAATACAGGCTCGTCTTTCATCTCACAACATGAAGGGATGTCTGAATCCCCTGTGGAGACCTTAGAGAAAGCCCTAGGTCCCTGCCTCATTTTGACGGAATGCCTGACATCCCGCTGACACCTCGAGAGGCACGCGGAATTCATTGCTTCAAAAGGTGACGATGCCTGACTCCTCTTGAATACTGATAGGAATCCCAAAATCCCTGTGGCTATTGGAAAGGGTCCTTGGGTGCCCTGCCTCACCTCGAGAAGCGTCCTTTTGCCCTGCCAAGCCTCGAAGAGTTTCCTGAGGTGTCCCTCGTTACTAGACAGGAGTCCTGACGTCACTGAAGAAACTCGTGTTTTGAAGGGCCATCCCCGCCGTAAGTCGAGAACATACACCAGGTCCCCGCCGCAACTCGAGAAAAACCATGAGACTTCCCCCTAGAGGCGAGATGAGGCCCCATTCCCCTGCAGTGCATGCAGAGCTATTCCGTGATCCCATTCAAACAAGTCAGGAGCTTCGACTTGCTTAATGGATCTCGAGACAGTCCCCAAGAACACTGTCACCAGTCTAGACGGACCCTGAGGTCACCCCAGCAACGCAAAGCAGCTCCATGTGCCCCAAATCAACTCGAGATGAGGCCCGATTCCCCTGCATTGACTCCAGAGCCATTCCCCATTCCCCATTCAGCACGACCGGTGTCTCGACTTCCTTCAGGCAACTCCAGAGATGCCCCGAGAACACTGTCCCAAGTCTAGAGGAACACCAACTTCAGCACAGCAACTCGAGGAATGCTCCGTGTACCCCAAATCGTCTCGAGATGAGAGCTGATTCCCTGGCTTAGGCTCAAGACGTATGCCAACTTCCCAGAAGCACCTCAGGAGGAGGCTTCTCTCAGCTATAAGTATGTGGGAGGGACCCCGAGTTTGCTGCCTCAAGGGGAATATACAGCGAGAAGCCCTAACTTGAAAGGAGGCCGGATTTCCTTGCAGTGGCTTGAATACAGGCTCGTCTTTCATCTCACAACATGAAGGGATGTCTGAATCCCCTGTGGAGACCTTAGAGAAAGCCCTAGGTCCCTGCCTCATTTTGACGGAATGCCTCACATCCCGCTGACACCTCGAGAGGCACGCGGAGTTCATTGCTTCAAAAGGTGACGATGCCTGACTCCTCTTGAATACTGATAGGAATCCCAAAATACCTGTGGCTACTGGAAAGGGTCCTTGGGTGCCCTGCCTCACCTCGAGAAGCGTCCCTTTTGTCCTGCCAAGCCTCGAAGAGATTCCTGAGGTGTCCCTCGTTACTAGACAGGAGTCCTGACGTCACTGAAGAAACTCGTGTTTTGAAGGGCCATCCCCGCCGTAAGTCGAGAACATACCCCAGGTCCCCGCCGCAACTCGAGAAAAACCATGAGACTTCCCCCTAGAGGCGAGATGAGGCCCCATTCCCCTGCAGTGCATGCAGAGCTATTCCGTAATCCCATTCAAACAAGTCAGGAGCTTCGACTTGCTTAATGGATCTCGAGACAGTCCCCAAGAATACTGTCACCAGTCTAGACGGACCCTGAGGTCACCCCAGCAATGCAAAGCAGCTCCATGTGCCCCAAATCAACTCGAGATGAGGCCCGATTCCCCTGCATTGACTCCAGAGCCATTCCCCGTTCCCCATTCAACACGACCGGTGTCTCGACTTCCTTCAGGCAACTCCAGAGATGCCCCGAGAACACTGTCCCAAGTCTAGAGGAACACCAACTTTAGCACAGCAACTCGAGGAATGCTCCGTGTACCCCAAATCGTCTCGAGATGAGAGCTGATTCCCTGGCTTAGGCTCAAGACGTATGCCAACTTCCCAGAAGCACCTCAGTAGGAGGCTTCTCTCAGCTATAAGTATGTGGGAGGGACCCCGAGTTTGCTGCCTCAAGGGGAATATACAGCGAGAAGCCCTAACTTGAAAGGAGGCCGGATTTCCTTGCAGTGGCTTGAATACAGGCTCGTTTTTCATCTCACAACATGAAGGGATGTCTGAATCCCCTGTGGAGACCTTAGAGAAAGCTCTAGGTCCCTGCCTCATTTTGACGGAATGCCTCACATCCCGCTGACACCTCGAGAGGCACGCGGAGTTCATTGCTTCAAAAGGTGACGATGCCTGACTCCTCTTGAATACTGATAGGAATCCCAAAATCCCTGTGGCTATTGGAAAGGGTCCTTGGGTGCCCTGCCTCACCTCGAGAAGCGTCCTTTTGCCCTGCCAAGCCTCGAAGAGATTCCTGAGGTGTCCCTCGTTACTAGACAGGAGTCCTGACGTAACTGAAGAAACTCGTGTTTTGAAGGGCCATCCCCGCCGTAAGTCGAGAACATACCCCAGGTCCCCGCCGCAACTCGAGAAAAACCATGAGACTTCCCCCTAGAGGCGAGATGAGGCCCCATTCCCCTGCAGTGCATGCAGAGCTATTCCGTGATCCCATTCAAACAAGTCAGGAGCTTCGACTTGCTTCATGGATCTCGAGACAGTCCCCAAGAACACTGTCACCAGTCTAGACGCACCCTGAGGTCACCCCAGCAACGCAAAGCATCTCCATGTGCCCCAAATCAACTCGAGATGAGGCCCGATTCCCCTGCATTGACTCCAGAGCCATTCCCCGTTCCCCATTCAACACGACCGGTGTCTCGACTTCCTTCAGGCAACTCCAGAGATGCCCCGAGAACACTGTCCCAAGTCTAGAGGAACACCAACTTCAGCACAGCAACTCGAGGAATGCTCCGTGTACCCCAAATCGTCTCGAGATGAGAGCTGATTCCCTGGCTTAGGCTCAAGACGTATGCCAACTTCCCAGAAGCACCTCAGGAGGAGGTTTCTCTCAGCAATAGGTATGTGGGAGGGACCCCGAGTTTGCTGCCTCAAGGGGAATATACAGCGAGAAGCCCTAACTTGAAAGGAGGCCGGATTTCCTTGCAGTGGCTTGAATACAGGCTCGTCTTTCATCTCACAACATGAAGGGATGTCTGAATCCCCTGTGGAGACCTTAGAGAAAGCCCTAGGTCCCTGCCTCATTTTGACGGAATGCCTCACATCCCGCTGACACCTCGAGAGGCACGCGGAGTTCATTGCTTCAAAAGGTGACGATGCCTAACTCCTCTTGAATACTGATAGGAATCCCAAAATCCCTGTGGCTACTGGAAAGGGTCCTTGGGTGCCCTGCCTCACCTCGGGAAGCGTCCCTTTGGCCCTGCCAAGCCTCGAAGAGATTCCTGAGGTGTCCCTCGTTACTAGACAGGAGTCCTGACGTCACTGAAAAACTCGTGTTTTGAAGGGCCATCCCCGCCGTAAGTCGAGAACATACCCCAGGTCCCCGCCGCAACTAGAGAAAAACCATGAGACTTCCCCCTAGAGGCGAGATGAGGCCCCATTCCCCTGCAGTGCATGCAGAGCTATTCCGTGATCAAATTCAAACAAGTAAGGAGCTTCGACTTGCTTAATGGATCTCGAGACAGTCCCCAAGAAAACTGTCACCAGTCTAGACGCACCCTGAGGTCACCCCAGCAACGCAAAGCAGCTCCATGTGCCCCAAATCAACTCGAGATGAGGCCCGATTCCCCTGCATTGTCTCCAGAGCCATTCCCCGTTCCCCATTCAACACGACCGGTGGCTCGACTTCCTTCAGGCAACTCCAGAGATGCCCCGAGAACACTGTCCCAAGTCTAGAGGAACACCAACTTCAGCACAGCAACTCGAGGAATGCTCCGTGTACCCCAAATCGTCTCGAGATGAGAGCTGATTCCCTGGCTTAGGCTCAAGACGTATGCCAACTTCCCAGAAGCACCTCAGGAGGAGGCTTCTCTCAGCTATAAGTATGTGGGAGGGACCCCGAGTTTACTGCCTCAAGGGGAATATACAGCGAGAAGCCCTAACTTGAAAGGAGGCCGGATTTCCTTGCAGTGGCTTGAATACAGGCTCGTTTTTCAGCTCACAACATGAAGGGATGTCTGAATCCCCTGTGGAGACCTTAGAGAAAGCCCTAGGTCCCTGCCTCATTTTGACGGAATGCCTCACATCCCGCTGACACCTCGAGAGGCACGCGGAGTTCATTGCTTCAAAAGGTGACGATGCCTGACTCCTCTTGAATACTGATAGGAATCCCAAAATCCCTGTGGCTATTGGAAAGGGTCCTTGGGTGCCCTGCCTCACCTCGAGAAGCGTCCTTTTGCCCTGCCAAGCCTCGAAGAGATTCCTGAGGTGTCCCTCGTTACTAGACAGGAGTCCTGACGTCACTGAAGAAACTCGTGTTTTGAAGGGCCATCCCCGCCGTAAGTCGAGAACATACCCCAGGTCCCCGCCGCAACTCGAAAAAAACCATGAGACTTCCCCCTAGAGGCGAGATGAGGCCCCATTCCCTGCAGTGCATGCAGAGCTATTCCGTGATCCCATTCAAACAAGTCAGGAGCTTCGACTTGCTTAATGGATCTCGAGACAGTCCCCAAGAACACTGTCACCAGTCTAGACGGACCCTGAGGTCACCCCAGCAACGCAAAGCAGCTCCATGTGCCCCAAATCAACTCGAGATGAGGCCCGATTCCCCTGCATTGACTCCAGAGCCATTCCCCGTTCCCCATTCAACACGACCGGTGGCTCGACTTCCTTCAGGCAACTCCAGAGATGCCCCGAGAACACTGTCCCAAGTCTAGAGGAACACCAACTTCAGCACAGCAACTCGAGGAATGCTCCGTGTACCCCAAATCGTCTCGAGATGAGAGCTGATTCCCTGGCTTAGGCTCAAGACGTATGCCAACTTCCCAGAAGCACCTCAGGAGGAGGCTTCTCTCAGCAATAGGTATGTGGGAGGGACCCCGAGTTTGCTGCCTCAAGGGGAATATACAGCGAGAAGCCCTAACTTGAAAGGAGGCCGGATTTCCTTGCAGTGGCTTGAATACAGGCTCGTCTTTCATCTCACAACATGAAGGGATGTCTGAATCCCCTGTGGAGACCTTAGAGAAAGCCCTAGGTCCCTGCCTCATTTTGACGGAATGCCTCACATCCCGCTGACACCTCGAGAGGCACGCGGAGTTCATTGCTTCAAAAGGTGACGATGCCTGACTCCTCTTGAATACTGATAGGAATCCCAAAATCCCTGTGGCTATTGGAAAGGGTCCTTGGGTGCCCTGCCTCACCTCGAGAAGCGTCCTTTTGCCCTGCCAAACCTCGAAGAGATTCCTGAGGTGTCCCTCGTTACTAGACAGGAGTCCTGACGTCACTGAAGAAACTCGTGTTTTGAAGGGCCATCCCCGCCGTAAGTCGAGAACATACACCAGGTCCCCGCCGCAACTCGAGAAAAACCATGAGACTTCCCCCTAGAGGCGAGATGAGGCCCCATTCCCCTGCAGTGCATGCAGAGCTATTCCGTGATCCCATTCAAACAAGTCAGGAGCTTCGACTTGCTTCATGGATCTCGAGACAGTCCCCAAGAACACTGTCACCAGTCTAGACGGACCCTGAGGTCACCCCAGCAACGCAAAGCAGCTCCATGTGCCCCAAATCAACTCGAGATGAAGCCCGATTCCCCTGCATTGACTCCAGAGCCATTCCCCGTTCCCCATTCAACACGACCGGTGTCTCGACTTCCTTCAGGCAACTCCAGAGATGCCCCGAGAACACTGTCCCAAGTCTAGAGGAACACCAACTTCAGCACAGCAACTCGAGGAATGCTCCGTGTACCCCAAATCTTCTCGAGATGAGAGCTGATTCCCTGGCTTAGGCTCAAGACGTATGCCAACTTCCCAGAAGCACCTCAGGAGGAGGCTTCTCTCAGCTATAAGTATGTGGGAGGGACCCCGAGTTTGCTGCCTCAAGGGGAATATACAGCGAGAAGATCTAACTTGAAAGGAGGCCGGATTTCCTTGCAGTGGCTTTAATACAGGCTCGTCTTTCATCTCACAACATGAAGGGATGTCTGAATCCCCTGTGGAGACCTTAGAGAAAGCCCTAGGTCCCTGCCTCATTTTGACGGAATGCCTCACATCCCGCTGACACCTCAAGAGGCACGCGGAGTTCATTGCTTCAAAAGGTGACGATGCCTGACTCCTCTTGAATACTGATAGGAATCCCAAAATCCCTGTGGCTACTGGAAAGGGTCCTTGGGTGCCCTGCCTCACATCGAGAAGCGTCCCTTTTGTCCTGCCAAGCCTCGAAGAGATTCCTGAGTTGTCCCTCGTTACTAGACAGGAGTCCTGACGTCACTGAAGAAACTCGTGTTTTGAAGGGCCATCCCCGCCTTAAGTCGAGAACATACCCCAGGTCCCCGCCGCAACTCGAGAAAAACCATGAGACTTCCCCCTAGAGGCGAGATAAGGCCCCATTCCCTGCAGTGCATGCAGAGCTATTCCGTGATCCCATTCAAACAAGTCAGGAGCTTCGACTTGCTTAATGGATCTCTAGACAGTCCCCAAGATCACTGTCACCAGTCTAGACGGACCCTGAGGTCACCCCAGCAACGCAAAGCAGCTCCATGTGCCCCAAATCAACTCGAGATGAGGCCCGATTCCCCTGCATTGACTCCAGAGCCATTCCCCGTTCCCCATTCAACACGACCGGTGGCTCGACTTCCTTCAGGCAACTCCAGAGATGCCCCGAGAACACTGACCCAAGTCTAGAGGAACACCAACTTCAGCACAGCAACTCGAGGAATGCTCCGTGTACCCCAAATCGTCTCGAGATGCGAGCTGATTCCCTGGCTTAGGCTCAAGACGTATGCCAACTTCCCAGAAGCACCTCAGGAGGAGGCTTCTCTCAGCAATAGGTATGTGGGGGGACCCCGAGTTTGTTGCCTCAAGGGGAAGATACAGCGAGAAGCCCTAACTTGAAAGGAGGCCGGATTTCCTTGCAGTGGCTTGAATACAGGCTCGTCTTTCATCTCACAACATGAACGGATGTCTGAATCCCCTGTGGAGACCTTAGAGAAAGCCCTAGGTCCCTGCCTCATTTTGACGGAATTCCTCACATCCCGCTGACACCTCGAGAGGCACGCGGAGTTCATTGCTTCAAAAGGTGACGATGCCTGACTCCTCTTGAATACTGATAGGAATATCAAAATCCATGTGGCTACTGGAAAGGGTCCTTGGGTGCCCAGCCTCACCTCGAGAAGCGTCCCTTTTGCCCTGCCAAGCCTCGAAGAGATTCCTGAGGTGTCCCTCGTTACTAGACAGGAGTCCTGACGTCACTGAAGAAACTCGTGTTTTGAAGGGCCATCCCCGCCGTAAGTCGAGAACATACACCAGGTCCCCGCCGCAACTCGAGAAAAACCATGAGACTTCCCCCTAGAGGCGAGATGAGGCCCCATTCCCCTGCAGTGCATGCAGAGCTATTCTGTGATCCCATTCAAACAAGTCAGGAGCTTCGACTTGCTTCATGGATCTCGAGACAGTACCCAGGAACACTGTCACCAGTCTAGACGGACCCTGAGGTCACCCCAGCAACGCAAAGCAGCTCCATGTGCCCCAAATCAACTCGAGATGAGGCCCGATTCCCCTGCATTGACTCCAGAGCCATTCCCCGTTCCCCATTCAACACGACCGGTGTCTCGACTTCCTTCAGGCAACTCCAGAGATGCCCCGAGAACACTGTCCCAAGTCTAGAGGAACACCAACTTCAGCACAGCAACTCGAGGAATGCTCCGTGTACCCCAAATCGTCTCGAGATGAGAGCTGATTCCCTGGCTTAGGCTCAAGACGTATGCCAACTTCCCAGAAGCACCTCAGGAGGAGGCTTCTCTCAGCTATAAGTATGTGGGAGGGACCCCGAGTTTGCTGCCTCAAGGGGAATATACAGCGAGAAGCCCTAACTTGAAAGGAGGCCGGATTTCCTTGCAGTGGCTTGAATACAGGCTCGTCTTTCATCTCACAACATGAAGGGATGTCTGAATCCCCTGTGGAGACCTTAGAGAAAGCCCTAGGTCCCTGCCTCATTTTGACGGAATGCCTCACATCCCGCTGACACCTCGAGAGGCACGCGGAGTTCATTGCTTCAAAAGGTGACGATGCCTAACTCCTCTTGAATACTGATAGGAATCCCAAAATCCCTGTGGCTACTGGAAAGGGTCCTTGGGTGCCCTGCCTCACCTCGGGAAGCGTCCCTTTGGCCCTGCCAAGCCTCGAAGAGATTCCTGAGGTGTCCCTCGTTACTAGACAGGAGTCCTGACGTCACTGAAAAACTCGTGTTTTGAAGGGCCATCCCCGCCGTAAGTCGAGAACATACCCCAGGTCCCCGCCGCAACTAGAGAAAAACCATGAGACTTCCCCCTAGAGGCGAGATGAGGCCCCATTCCCCTGCAGTGCATGCAGAGCTATTCCGTGATCAAATTCAAACAAGTAAGGAGCTTCGACTTGCTTAATGGATCTCGAGACAGTCCCCAAGAAAACTGTCACCAGTCTAGACGCACCCTGAGGTCACCCCAGCAACGCAAAGCAGCTCCATGTGCCCCAAATCAACTCGAGATGAGGCCCGATTCCCCTGCATTGTCTCCAGAGCCATTCCCCGTTCCCCATTCAACACGACCGGTGGCTCGACTTCCTTCAGGCAACTCCAGAGATGCCCCGAGAACACTGTCCCAAGTCTAGAGGAACACCAACTTCAGCACAGCAACTCGAGGAATGCTCCGTGTACCCCAAATCGTCTCGAGATGAGAGCTGATTCCCTGGCTTAGGCTCAAGACGTATGCCAACTTCCCAGAAGCACCTCAGGAGGAGGCTTCTCTCAGCTATAAGTATGTGGGAGGGACCCCGAGTTTACTGCCTCAAGGGGAATATACAGCGAGAAGCCCTAACTTGAAAGGAGGCCGGATTTCCTTGCAGTGGCTTGAATACAGGCTCGTTTTTCAGCTCACAACATGAAGGGATGTCTGAATCCCCTGTGGAGACCTTAGAGAAAGCCCTAGGTCCCTGCCTCATTTTGACGGAATGCCTCACATCCCGCTGACACCTCGAGAGGCACGCGGAGTTCATTGCTTCAAAAGGTGACGATGCCTGACTCCTCTTGAATACTGATAGGAATCCCAAAATCCCTGTGGCTATTGGAAAGGGTCCTTGGGTGCCCTGCCTCACCTCGAGAAGCGTCCTTTTGCCCTGCCAAGCCTCGAAGAGATTCCTGAGGTGTCCCTCGTTACTAGACAGGAGTCCTGACGTCACTGAAGAAACTCGTGTTTTGAAGGGCCATCCCCGCCGTAAGTCGAGAACATACCCCAGGTCCCCGCCGCAACTCGAAAAAAACCATGAGACTTCCCCCTAGAGGCGAGATGAGGCCCCATTCCCTGCAGTGCATGCAGAGCTATTCCGTGATCCCATTCAAACAAGTCAGGAGCTTCGACTTGCTTAATGGATCTCGAGACAGTCCCCAAGAACACTGTCACCAGTCTAGACGGACCCTGAGGTCACCCCAGCAACGCAAAGCAGCTCCATGTGCCCCAAATCAACTCGAGATGAGGCCCGATTCCCCTGCATTGACTCCAGAGCCATTCCCCGTTCCCCATTCAACACGACCGGTGGCTCGACTTCCTTCAGGCAACTCCAGAGATGCCCCGAGAACACTGTCCCAAGTCTAGAGGAACACCAACTTCAGCACAGCAACTCGAGGAATGCTCCGTGTACCCCAAATCGTCTCGAGATGAGAGCTGATTCCCTGGCTTAGGCTCAAGACGTATGCCAACTTCCCAGAAGCACCTCAGGAGGAGGCTTCTCTCAGCAATAGGTATGTGGGAGGGACCCCGAGTTTGCTGCCTCAAGGGGAATATACAGCGAGAAGCCCTAACTTGAAAGGAGGCCGGATTTCCTTGCAGTGGCTTGAATACAGGCTCGTCTTTCATCTCACAACATGAAGGGATGTCTGAATCCCCTGTGGAGACCTTAGAGAAAGCCCTAGGTCCCTGCCTCATTTTGACGGAATGCCTCACATCCCGCTGACACCTCGAGAGGCACGCGGAGTTCATTGCTTCAAAAGGTGACGATGCCTGACTCCTCTTGAATACTGATAGGAATCCCAAAATCCCTGTGGCTATTGGAAAGGGTCCTTGGGTGCCCTGCCTCACCTCGAGAAGCGTCCTTTTGCCCTGCCAAACCTCGAAGAGATTCCTGAGGTGTCCCTCGTTACTAGACAGGAGTCCTGACGTCACTGAAGAAACTCGTGTTTTGAAGGGCCATCCCCGCCGTAAGTCGAGAACATACACCAGGTCCCCGCCGCAACTCGAGAAAAACCATGAGACTTCCCCCTAGAGGCGAGATGAGGCCCCATTCCCCTGCAGTGCATGCAGAGCTATTCCGTGATCCCATTCAAACAAGTCAGGAGCTTCGACTTGCTTCATGGATCTCGAGACAGTCCCCAAGAACACTGTCACCAGTCTAGACGGACCCTGAGGTCACCCCAGCAACGCAAAGCAGCTCCATGTGCCCCAAATCAACTCGAGATGAAGCCCGATTCCCCTGCATTGACTCCAGAGCCATTCCCCGTTCCCCATTCAACACGACCGGTGTCTCGACTTCCTTCAGGCAACTCCAGAGATGCCCCGAGAACACTGTCCCAAGTCTAGAGGAACACCAACTTCAGCACAGCAACTCGAGGAATGCTCCGTGTACCCCAAATCTTCTCGAGATGAGAGCTGATTCCCTGGCTTAGGCTCAAGACGTAGGCCAACTTCCCAGAAGCACCTCAGGAGGAGGCTTCTCTCAGCTATAAGTATGTGGGAGGGACCCCGAGTTTGCTGCCTCAAGGGGAATATACAGCGAGAAGATCTAACTTGAAAGGAGGCCGGATTTCCTTGCAGTGGCTTTAATACAGGCTCGTCTTTCATCTCACAACATGAAGGGATGTCTGAATCCCCTGTGGAGACCTTAGAGAAAGCCCTAGGTCCCTGCCTCATTTTGACGGAATGCCTCACATCCCGCTGACACCTCAAGAGGCACGCGGAGTTCATTGCTTCAAAAGGTGACGATGCCTGACTCCTCTTGAATACTGATAGGAATCCCAAAATCCCTGTGGCTACTGGAAAGGGTCCTTGGGTGCCCTGCCTCACATCGAGAAGCGTCCCTTTTGTCCTGCCAAGCCTCGAAGAGATTCCTGAGTTGTCCCTCGTTACTAGACAGGAGTCCTGACGTCACTGAAGAAACTCGTGTTTTGAAGGGCCATCCCCGCCTTAAGTCGAGAACATACCCCAGGTCCCCGCCGCAACTCGAGAAAAACCATGAGACTTCCCCCTAGAGGCGAGATAAGGCCCCATTCCCTGCAGTGCATGCAGAGCTATTCCGTGATCCCATTCAAACAAGTCAGGAGCTTCGACTTGCTTAATGGATCTCTAGACAGTCCCCAAGATCACTGTCACCAGTCTAGACGGACCCTGAGGTCACCCCAGCAACGCAAAGCAGCTCCATGTGCCCCAAATCAACTCGAGATGAGGCCCGATTCCCCTGCATTGACTCCAGAGCCATTCCCCGTTCCCCATTCAACACGACCGGTGGCTCGACTTCCTTCAGGCAACTCCAGAGATGCCCCGAGAACACTGACCCAAGTCTAGAGGAACACCAACTTCAGCACAGCAACTCGAGGAATGCTCCGTGTACCCCAAATCGTCTCGAGATGCGAGCTGATTCCCTGGCTTAGGCTCAAGACGTATGCCAACTTCCCAGAAGCACCTCAGGAGGAGGCTTCTCTCAGCAATAGGTATGTGGGGGGACCCCGAGTTTGTTGCCTCAAGGGGAAGATACAGCGAGAAGCCCTAACTTGAAAGGAGGCCGGATTTCCTTGCAGTGGCTTGAATACAGGCTCGTCTTTCATCTCACAACATGAACGGATGTCTGAATCCCCTGTGGAGACCTTAGAGAAAGCCCTAGGTCCCTGCCTCATTTTGACGGAATTCCTCACATCCCGCTGACACCTCGAGAGGCACGCGGAGTTCATTGCTTCAAAAGGTGACGATGCCTGACTCCTCTTGAATACTGATAGGAATATCAAAATCCATGTGGCTACTGGAAAGGGTCCTTGGGTGCCCAGCCTCACCTCGAGAAGCGTCCCTTTTGCCCTGCCAAGCCTCGAAGAGATTCCTGAGGTGTCCCTCGTTACTAGACAGGAGTCCTGACGTCACTGAAGAAACTCGTGTTTTGAAGGGCCATCCCCGCCGTAAGTCGAGAACATACACCAGGTCCCCGCCGCAACTCGAGAAAAACCATGAGACTTCCCCCTAGAGGCGAGATGAGGCCCCATTCCCCTGCAGTGCATGCAGAGCTATTCTGTGATCCCATTCAAACAAGTCAGGAGCTTCGACTTGCTTCATGGATCTCGAGACAGTACCCAGGAACACTGTCACCAGTCTAGACGGACCCTGAGGTCACCCCAGCAACGCAAAGCAGCTCCATGTGCCCCAAATCAACTCGAGATGAGGCCCGATTCCCCTGCATTGACTCCAGAGCCATTCCCCGTTCCCCATTCAACACGACCGGTGTCTCGACTTCCTTCAGGCAACTCCAGAGATGCCCCGAGAACACTGTCCCAAGTCTAGAGGAACACCAACTTCAGCACAGCAACTCGAGGAATGCTCCGTGTACCCCAAATCGTCTCGAGATGAGAGCTGATTCCCTGGCTTAGGCTCAAGACGTATGCCAACTTCCCAGAAGCACCTCAGGAGGAGGCTTCTCTCAGCTATAAGTATGTGGGAGGGACCCCGAGTTTGCTGCCTCAAGGGGAATATACAGCGAGAAGCCCTAACTTGAAAGGAGGCCGGATTTCCTTGCAGTGGCTTGAATACAGGCTCGTCTTTCATCTCACAACATGAAGGGATGTCTGAATCCCCTGTGGAGACCTTAGAGAAAGCCCTAGGTCCCTGCCTCATTTTGACGGAATGCCTCACATCCCGCTGACACCTCGAGAGGCACGCGGAGTTCATTGCTTCAAAAGGTGACGATGCCTGACTCCTCTTGAATACTGATAGGAATCCCAAAATCCCTGTGGCTATTGGAAAGGGTCCTTGGGTGCCCTGCCTCACCTCGAGAAGCGTCCTTTTGCCCTGCCAAGCCTCGAAGAGATTCCTGAGGTGTCCCTCGTTATTAGACAGGAGTCCTGACGTCACTGAAGAAACTCGTGTTTTGAAGGGCCATCCCCGCCGTAAGTCGAGAACATACCCCAGGTCCCCGCCGCAACTCGAGAAAAACCATGAGACTTCCCCCTAGAGAAGAGATGAGGCCCCATTCCCCTGCAGTGCATGCAGAGCTATTCCGTGATCCCATTCAAACAAGTCAGGAGCTTCGACTTGCTTCATGGATCTCGAGACAGTCCCCAAGAACACTGTCACCAGTCTAGACGGACCCTGAGGTCACCCCAGCAACGCAAAGCAGCTCCATGTGCCCCAAATCAACTCGAGATGAGGCCCGATTCCCCTGCATTGACTCCAGAGCCATTCCCCGTTCCCCATTCAACACGACCGGTGGCTCGACTTCATTCAGGCAACTCCAGAGATGCCCCGAGAACACTGTCCCAAGTCCAGAGGAAGACCAACTTCAGCAAAGCAACTCGAGGAATGCTCCGTGTACCCCAAATCGTCTCGAGATGAGAGCTGATTCCCTGGCTTATTCTCAAGACGTATGCCAACTTCCCAGAAGCACCTCAGGAGGAGGCTTCTCTCAGCAATAGGTATGTGGGAGGGACCCCGAGTTTGCTGCCTCAATGGGAATATACAGCGAGAAACCCTAACTTGAAAGGAGGCCGGATTTCCTTGCAGTGGCTTGAATACAGGCTCGTCTTTCATCTCACAACATGAAGGGATGTCTGAATCCCCTGTGGAGACCTTAGAGAAAGCCCTAGGTCCCTGCCTCATTTTGACGGAATGCCTCACATCCCGCTGACACCTCGAGAGGCACGCGGAGTTCATTGCTTCAAAAGGTGACGATGCCTAACTCCTCTTGAATACTGATAGGAATCCCAAAATCCCTGTGGCTACTGGAAAGGGTCCTTGGGTGCCCTGCCTCACCTCGAGAAGCGTCCCTTTGGCCCTGCCAAGCCTCGAAGAGATTACTGAGGTGTCCCTCGTTACTAGACAGGAGTCCTGACGTCACTGAAAAACTCGTGTTTTGAAGGGCCATCCCCGCCGTAAGTCGAGAACATACCCCAGGTCCCCGCCGCAACTAGAGAAAAACCATGAGACTTCCCCCTAGAGGCGAGATGAGGCCCCATTCCCCTGCAGTGCATGCAGAGCTATTCCGTGATCAAATTCAAACAAGTAAGGAGCTTCGACTTGCTTAATGGATCTCGAGACAGTCCCCAAGAACACTGTCACCAGTCTAGACGCACCCTGAGGTCACCCCAGCAACGCAAAGCAGCTCCATGTGCCCCAAATCAACTCGAGATGAGGCCCGATTCCCCTGCATTGACTCCAGAGCCATTCCCCGTTCCCCATTCAACACGACCGGTGGCTCGACTTCCTTCAGGCAACTCCAGAGATGCCCCGAGAACACTGTCCCAAGTCTAGAGGAACACCAACTTCAGCACAGCAACTCGAGGAATGCTCCGTGTACCCCAAATCGTCTCGAGATGAGAGCTGATTCCCTGGCTTAGGCTCAAGACGTATGCCAACTTCCCAGAAGCACCTCAGGAGGAGGCTTCTCTCAGCTATAAGTATGTGGGAGGGACCCCGAGTTTGCTGCCTCAAGGGGAATATACAGCGAGAAGCCCTAACTTGAAAGGAGGCCGGATTTCCTTGCAGTGGCTTGAATACAGGCTCGTCTTTCATCTCACAACATGAAGGGATGTCTGAATCCCCTGTGGAGACCTTAGAGAAAGCCCTAGGTCCCTGCCTCATTTTGACGGAATGCCTCACATCCCGCTGACACCTCGAGAGGCACGCGGAGTTCATTGCTTCAAAAGGTGACGATGCCTGACTCCTCTTGAATACTGATAGGAATCCCAAAATCCCTGTGGCTACTGGAAAGGGTCCTTGGGTGCCCTGCCTCACCTCGAGAAGCGTCCCTTTTGCCCTGCCAAGCCTCGAAGAGATTCCTGAGGTGTCCCTCGTTACTAGACAGGAGTCCTGACGTCACTGAAGAAACTCGTGTTTTGAAGGGCCATCCCAGCCGTAAGTCGAGAACATACCCCAGGTCCCCGCCGCAACTCGAGAAAAACCATGAGACTTCCCCCTAGAGGCGAGATGAGGCCCCATTCCCCTGCAGTGCATGCAGAGCTATTCCGTGATCCCATTCAAACAAGTCAGGAGCTTCGACTTGCTTAATGGATCTCTAGACAGTCCCCAAGATCACTGTCACCAGTCTAGACGGACCCTGAGGTCACCCCAGCAACGCAAAGCAGCTCCATGTGCCCCAAATCAACTCGAGATGAGGCCCGATTCCCCTGCATTGACTCCAGAGCCATTCCCCGTTCCCCATTCAACACGACCGGTGGCTCGACTTCCTTCAGGCAACTCCAGAGATGCCCCGAGAACACTGTCCCAAGTCTAGAGGAACACCAACTTCAGCACAGCAACTCGAGGAATGCTCCGTGTACCCCAAATCGTCTCGAGATGCGAGCTGATTCCCTGGCTTAGGCTCAAGACGTATGCCAACTTCCCAGAAGCACCTCAGGAGGAGGCTTCTCTCAGCAATAGGTATGTGGGAGGGACCCCGAGTTTACTGCCTCAAGGGGAATATACAGCGAGAAGCCCAAACTTGAAAGGAGGCCGGATTTCCTTGCAGTGGCTTGAATACAGGCTCGTCTTTCATCTCACAACATGAAGGGATGTCTGAATCCCCTGTGGAGACCTTAGAGAAAGCCCTAGGTCCCTGCCTCATTTTGACGGAATGCCTCACATCCCGCTGACACCTCGAGAGGCACGCGGAGTTCATTGCTTCAAAAGGTGACGATGCCTAACTCCTCTTGAATACTGATAGGAATCCCAAAATCCCTGTGGCTACTGGAAAGGGTCCTTGGGTGCCCTGCCTCACCTCGGGAAGCGTCCCTTTGGCCCTGCCAAGCCTCGAAGAGATTCCTGAGGTGTCCCTCGTTACTAGACAGGAGTCCTGACGTCACTGAAAAACTCGTGTTTTGAAGGGCCATCCCCGCCGTAAGTCGAGAACATACCCCAGGTCCCCGCCGCAACTAGAGAAAAACCATGAGACTTCCCCCTAGAGGCGAGATGAGGCCCCATTCCCCTGCAGTGCATGCAGAGCTATTCCGTGATCAAATTCAAACAAGTAAGGAGCTTCGACTTGCTTAATGGATCTCGAGACAGTCCCCAAGAAAACTGTCACCAGTCTAGACGCACCCTGAGGTCACCCCAGCAACGCAAAGCAGCTCCATGTGCCCCAAATCAACTCGAGATGAGGCCCGATTCCCCTGCATTGTCTCCAGAGCCATTCCCCGTTCCCCATTCAACACGACCGGTGGCTCGACTTCCTTCAGGCAACTCCAGAGATGCCCCGAGAACACTGTCCCAAGTCTAGAGGAACACCAACTTCAGCACAGCAACTCGAGGAATGCTCCGTGTACCCCAAATCGTCTCGAGATGAGAGCTGATTCCCTGGCTTAGGCTCAAGACGTATGCCAACTTCCCAGAAGCACCTCAGGAGGAGGCTTCTCTCAGCTATAAGTATGTGGGAGGGACCCCGAGTTTACTGCCTCAAGGGGAATATACAGCGAGAAGCCCTAACTTGAAAGGAGGCCGGATTTCCTTGCAGTGGCTTGAATACAGGCTCGTTTTTCAGCTCACAACATGAAGGGATGTCTGAATCCCCTGTGGAGACCTTAGAGAAAGCCCTAGGTCCCTGCCTCATTTTGACGGAATGCCTCACATCCCGCTGACACCTCGAGAGGCACGCGGAGTTCATTGCTTCAAAAGGTGACGATGCCTGACTCCTCTTGAATACTGATAGGAATCCCAAAATCCCTGTGGCTATTGGAAAGGGTCCTTGGGTGCCCTGCCTCACCTCGAGAAGCGTCCTTTTGCCCTGCCAAGCCTCGAAGAGATTCCTGAGGTGTCCCTCGTTACTAGACAGGAGTCCTGACGTCACTGAAGAAACTCGTGTTTTGAAGGGCCATCCCCGCCGTAAGTCGAGAACATACCCCAGGTCCCCGCCGCAACTCGAAAAAAACCATGAGACTTCCCCCTAGAGGCGAGATGAGGCCCCATTCCCTGCAGTGCATGCAGAGCTATTCCGTGATCCCATTCAAACAAGTCAGGAGCTTCGACTTGCTTAATGGATCTCGAGACAGTCCCCAAGAACACTGTCACCAGTCTAGACGGACCCTGAGGTCACCCCAGCAACGCAAAGCAGCTCCATGTGCCCCAAATCAACTCGAGATGAGGCCCGATTCCCCTGCATTGACTCCAGAGCCATTCCCCGTTCCCCATTCAACACGACCGGTGGCTCGACTTCCTTCAGGCAACTCCAGAGATGCCCCGAGAACACTGTCCCAAGTCTAGAGGAACACCAACTTCAGCACAGCAACTCGAGGAATGCTCCGTGTACCCCAAATCGTCTCGAGATGAGAGCTGATTCCCTGGCTTAGGCTCAAGACGTATGCCAACTTCCCAGAAGCACCTCAGGAGGAGGCTTCTCTCAGCAATAGGTATGTGGGAGGGACCCCGAGTTTGCTGCCTCAAGGGGAATATACAGCGAGAAGCCCTAACTTGAAAGGAGGCCGGATTTCCTTGCAGTGGCTTGAATACAGGCTCGTCTTTCATCTCACAACATGAAGGGATGTCTGAATCCCCTGTGGAGACCTTAGAGAAAGCCCTAGGTCCCTGCCTCATTTTGACGGAATGCCTCACATCCCGCTGACACCTCGAGAGGCACGCGGAGTTCATTGCTTCAAAAGGTGACGATGCCTGACTCCTCTTGAATACTGATAGGAATCCCAAAATCCCTGTGGCTATTGGAAAGGGTCCTTGGGTGCCCTGCCTCACCTCGAGAAGCGTCCTTTTGCCCTGCCAAACCTCGAAGAGATTCCTGAGGTGTCCCTCGTTACTAGACAGGAGTCCTGACGTCACTGAAGAAACTCGTGTTTTGAAGGGCCATCCCCGCCGTAAGTCGAGAACATACACCAGGTCCCCGCCGCAACTCGAGAAAAACCATGAGACTTCCCCCTAGAGGCGAGATGAGGCCCCATTCCCCTGCAGTGCATGCAGAGCTATTCCGTGATCCCATTCAAACAAGTCAGGAGCTTCGACTTGCTTCATGGATCTCGAGACAGTCCCCAAGAACACTGTCACCAGTCTAGACGGACCCTGAGGTCACCCCAGCAACGCAAAGCAGCTCCATGTGCCCCAAATCAACTCGAGATGAAGCCCGATTCCCCTGCATTGACTCCAGAGCCATTCCCCGTTCCCCATTCAACACGACCGGTGTCTCGACTTCCTTCAGGCAACTCCAGAGATGCCCCGAGAACACTGTCCCAAGTCTAGAGGAACACCAACTTCAGCACAGCAACTCGAGGAATGCTCCGTGTACCCCAAATCTTCTCGAGATGAGAGCTGATTCCCTGGCTTAGGCTCAAGACGTAGGCCAACTTCCCAGAAGCACCTCAGGAGGAGGCTTCTCTCAGCTATAAGTATGTGGGAGGGACCCCGAGTTTGCTGCCTCAAGGGGAATATACAGCGAGAAGATCTAACTTGAAAGGAGGCCGGATTTCCTTGCAGTGGCTTTAATACAGGCTCGTCTTTCATCTCACAACATGAAGGGATGTCTGAATCCCCTGTGGAGACCTTAGAGAAAGCCCTAGGTCCCTGCCTCATTTTGACGGAATGCCTCACATCCCGCTGACACCTCAAGAGGCACGCGGAGTTCATTGCTTCAAAAGGTGACGATGCCTGACTCCTCTTGAATACTGATAGGAATCCCAAAATCCCTGTGGCTACTGGAAAGGGTCCTTGGGTGCCCTGCCTCACATCGAGAAGCGTCCCTTTTGTCCTGCCAAGCCTCGAAGAGATTCCTGAGTTGTCCCTCGTTACTAGACAGGAGTCCTGACGTCACTGAAGAAACTCGTGTTTTGAAGGGCCATCCCCGCCTTAAGTCGAGAACATACCCCAGGTCCCCGCCGCAACTCGAGAAAAACCATGAGACTTCCCCCTAGAGGCGAGATAAGGCCCCATTCCCTGCAGTGCATGCAGAGCTATTCCGTGATCCCATTCAAACAAGTCAGGAGCTTCGACTTGCTTAATGGATCTCTAGACAGTCCCCAAGATCACTGTCACCAGTCTAGACGGACCCTGAGGTCACCCCAGCAACGCAAAGCAGCTCCATGTGCCCCAAATCAACTCGAGATGAGGCCCGATTCCCCTGCATTGACTCCAGAGCCATTCCCCGTTCCCCATTCAACACGACCGGTGGCTCGACTTCCTTCAGGCAACTCCAGAGATGCCCCGAGAACACTGACCCAAGTCTAGAGGAACACCAACTTCAGCACAGCAACTCGAGGAATGCTCCGTGTACCCCAAATCGTCTCGAGATGCGAGCTGATTCCCTGGCTTAGGCTCAAGACGTATGCCAACTTCCCAGAAGCACCTCAGGAGGAGGCTTCTCTCAGCAATAGGTATGTGGGGGGACCCCGAGTTTGTTGCCTCAAGGGGAAGATACAGCGAGAAGCCCTAACTTGAAAGGAGGCCGGATTTCCTTGCAGTGGCTTGAATACAGGCTCGTCTTTCATCTCACAACATGAACGGATGTCTGAATCCCCTGTGGAGACCTTAGAGAAAGCCCTAGGTCCCTGCCTCATTTTGACGGAATTCCTCACATCCCGCTGACACCTCGAGAGGCACGCGGAGTTCATTGCTTCAAAAGGTGACGATGCCTGACTCCTCTTGAATACTGATAGGAATATCAAAATCCATGTGGCTACTGGAAAGGGTCCTTGGGTGCCCAGCCTCACCTCGAGAAGCGTCCCTTTTGCCCTGCCAAGCCTCGAAGAGATTCCTGAGGTGTCCCTCGTTACTAGACAGGAGTCCTGACGTCACTGAAGAAACTCGTGTTTTGAAGGGCCATCCCCGCCGTAAGTCGAGAACATACACCAGGTCCCCGCCGCAACTCGAGAAAAACCATGAGACTTCCCCCTAGAGGCGAGATGAGGCCCCATTCCCCTGCAGTGCATGCAGAGCTATTCTGTGATCCCATTCAAACAAGTCAGGAGCTTCGACTTGCTTCATGGATCTCGAGACAGTACCCAGGAACACTGTCACCAGTCTAGACGGACCCTGAGGTCACCCCAGCAACGCAAAGCAGCTCCATGTGCCCCAAATCAACTCGAGATGAGGCCCGATTCCCCTGCATTGACTCCAGAGCCATTCCCCGTTCCCCATTCAACACGACCGGTGTCTCGACTTCCTTCAGGCAACTCCAGAGATGCCCCGAGAACACTGTCCCAAGTCTAGAGGAACACCAACTTCAGCACAGCAACTCGAGGAATGCTCCGTGTACCCCAAATCGTCTCGAGATGAGAGCTGATTCCCTGGCTTAGGCTCAAGACGTATGCCAACTTCCCAGAAGCACCTCAGGAGGAGGCTTCTCTCAGCTATAAGTATGTGGGAGGGACCCCGAGTTTGCTGCCTCAAGGGGAATATACAGCGAGAAGCCCTAACTTGAAAGGAGGCCGGATTTCCTTGCAGTGGCTTGAATACAGGCTCGTCTTTCATCTCACAACATGAAGGGATGTCTGAATCCCCTGTGGAGACCTTAGAGAAAGCCCTAGGTCCCTGCCTCATTTTGACGGAATGCCTCACATCCCGCTGACACCTCGAGAGGCACGCGGAGTTCATTGCTTCAAAAGGTGACGATGCCTGACTCCTCTTGAATACTGATAGGAATCCCAAAATCCCTGTGGCTATTGGAAAGGGTCCTTGGGTGCCCTGCCTCACCTCGAGAAGCGTCCTTTTGCCCTGCCAAGCCTCGAAGAGATTCCTGAGGTGTCCCTCGTTATTAGACAGGAGTCCTGACGTCACTGAAGAAACTCGTGTTTTGAAGGGCCATCCCCGCCGTAAGTCGAGAACATACCCCAGGTCCCCGCCGCAACTCGAGAAAAACCATGAGACTTCCCCCTAGAGAAGAGATGAGGCCCCATTCCCCTGCAGTGCATGCAGAGCTATTCCGTGATCCCATTCAAACAAGTCAGGAGCTTCGACTTGCTTCATGGATCTCGAGACAGTCCCCAAGAACACTGTCACCAGTCTAGACGGACCCTGAGGTCACCCCAGCAACGCAAAGCAGCTCCATGTGCCCCAAATCAACTCGAGATGAGGCCCGATTCCCCTGCATTGACTCCAGAGCCATTCCCCGTTCCCCATTCAACACGACCGGTGGCTCGACTTCATTCAGGCAACTCCAGAGATGCCCCGAGAACACTGTCCCAAGTCCAGAGGAAGACCAACTTCAGCAAAGCAACTCGAGGAATGCTCCGTGTACCCCAAATCGTCTCGAGATGAGAGCTGATTCCCTGGCTTATTCTCAAGACGTATGCCAACTTCCCAGAAGCACCTCAGGAGGAGGCTTCTCTCAGCAATAGGTATGTGGGAGGGACCCCGAGTTTGCTGCCTCAATGGGAATATACAGCGAGAAACCCTAACTTGAAAGGAGGCCGGATTTCCTTGCAGTGGCTTGAATACAGGCTCGTCTTTCATCTCACAACATGAAGGGATGTCTGAATCCCCTGTGGAGACCTTAGAGAAAGCCCTAGGTCCCTGCCTCATTTTGACGGAATGCCTCACATCCCGCTGACACCTCGAGAGGCACGCGGAGTTCATTGCTTCAAAAGGTGACGATGCCTAACTCCTCTTGAATACTGATAGGAATCCCAAAATCCCTGTGGCTACTGGAAAGGGTCCTTGGGTGCCCTGCCTCACCTCGAGAAGCGTCCCTTTGGCCCTGCCAAGCCTCGAAGAGATTACTGAGGTGTCCCTCGTTACTAGACAGGAGTCCTGACGTCACTGAAAAACTCGTGTTTTGAAGGGCCATCCCCGCCGTAAGTCGAGAACATACCCCAGGTCCCCGCCGCAACTAGAGAAAAACCATGAGACTTCCCCCTAGAGGCGAGATGAGGCCCCATTCCCCTGCAGTGCATGCAGAGCTATTCCGTGATCAAATTCAAACAAGTAAGGAGCTTCGACTTGCTTAATGGATCTCGAGACAGTCCCCAAGAACACTGTCACCAGTCTAGACGCACCCTGAGGTCACCCCAGCAACGCAAAGCAGCTCCATGTGCCCCAAATCAACTCGAGATGAGGCCCGATTCCCCTGCATTGACTCCAGAGCCATTCCCCGTTCCCCATTCAACACGACCGGTGGCTCGACTTCCTTCAGGCAACTCCAGAGATGCCCCGAGAACACTGTCCCAGGTCTAGAGGAACACCAACTTCAGCACAGCAACTCGAGGAATGCTCCGTGTACCCCAAATCGTCTCGAGATGAGAGCTGATTCCCTGGCTTAGGCTCAAGACGTATGCCAACTTCCCAGAAGCACCTCAGGAGGAGGCTTCTCTCAGCTATAAGTATGTGGGAGGGACCCCGAGTTTGCTGCCTCAAGGGGAATATACAGCGAGAAGCCCTAACTTGAAAGGAGGCCGGATTTCCTTGCAGTGGCTTGAATACAGGCTCGTCTTTCATCTCACAACATGAAGGGATGTCTGAATCCCCTGTGGAGACCTTAGAGAAAGCCCTAGGTCCCTGCCTCATTTTGACGGAATGCCTCACATCCCGCTGACACCTCGAGAGGCACGCGGAGTTCATTGCTTCAAAAGGTGACGATGCCTGACTCCTCTTGAATACTGATAGGAATCCCAAAATCCCTGTGGCTACTGGAAAGGGTCCTTGGGTGCCCTGCCTCACCTCGAGAAGCGTCCCTTTTGCCCTGCCAAGCCTCGAAGAGATTCCTGAGGTGTCCCTCGTTACTAGACAGGAGTCCTGACGTCACTGAAGAAACTCGTGTTTTGAAGGGCCATCCCAGCCGTAAGTCGAGAACATACCCCAGGTCCCCGCCGCAACTCGAGAAAAACCATGAGACTTCCCCCTAGAGGCGAGATGAGGCCCCATTCCCCTGCAGTGCATGCAGAGCTATTCCGTGATCCCATTCAAACAAGTCAGGAGCTTCGACTTGCTTAATGGATCTCTAGACAGTCCCCAAGATCACTGTCACCAGTCTAGACGGACCCTGAGGTCACCCCAGCAACGCAAAGCAGCTCCATGTGCCCCAAATCAACTCGAGATGAGGCCCGATTCCCCTGCATTGACTCCAGAGCCATTCCCCGTTCCCCATTCAACACGACCGGTGGCTCGACTTCCTTCAGGCAACTCCAGAGATGCCCCGAGAACACTGTCCCAAGTCTAGAGGAACACCAACTTCAGCACAGCAACTCGAGGAATGCTCCGTGTACCCCAAATCGTCTCGAGATGCGAGCTGATTCCCTGGCTTAGGCTCAAGACGTATGCCAACTTCCCAGAAGCACCTCAGGAGGAGGCTTCTCTCAGCAATAGGTATGTGTGAGGGACCCCGAGTTTACTGCCTCAAGGGGAATATACAGCGAGAAGCCCAAACTTGAAAGGAGGCCGGATTTCCTTGCAGTGGCTTGAATACAGGCTCGTCTTTCATCTCACAACATGAAGGGATGTCTGAATCCCCTGTGGAGACCTTAGAGAAAGCCCTAGGTCAATGCCTCATTTTGACGGAATGCCTCACATCCCGCTGACACCTCGGGAGGCACGCGGAGTTCTTTGCTTCAAAAGGTGACGATGCCTGACTCCTCTTGAATACTGATAGGAATCCCAAAATCCCTGTGGCTACTGGAAAGGGTCCTTGGGTGTCCTGCCTCACCTCGAGAAGCGTCCCTTTTGCCCTGCCAAGCCTCGAAGAGATTCCTGAGGTGTCCCTCGTTACTAGACAGGAGTCCTGACGTCACTGAAGAAACTCGTGTTTTGAAGGGCCATCCCCGCCGTAAGTCGAGAACATACCCCAGGTCCCCGCCGCAACTCGAGAAAAACCATGAGACTTCCCCCTAGAGGCGAGATGAGGCCGCATTCCCCTGCAGTGCATGCAGAGCTATTCCGTGATTCCATTCAAACAAGTCAGGAGCTTCGACTTGCTTCATGGATCTCGAGACAGTCCCCAAGAACACTGTCACCAGTCTAGACGCACCCTGAGGTCACCCCAGCAACGCAAAGCAGCTCCATGTGCCCCAAATCAACTCGAGATGAGGCCCGATTCCCCTGCATTGTCTCCAGAGCCATTCCCCGTTCCCCATTCAACACGACCGGTGGCTCGACTTCCTTCAGGCAACTCCTGAGATGCCCCGAGAACACTGTCCCAAGTCTAGAGGAACACCAACTTCAGCACAGCAACTCGAGGAATGCTCCGTGTACCCCAAATCGTCTCGAGATGAGAGCTGATTCCCTGGCTTAGGCTCAAGACGAATGCCAACTTCCCAGAAGCACCTCAGGAGGAGGCTTCTCTCAGCAATAGGTATGTGGGAGGGACCCCGAGTTTGCTGCCTCAAGGGGAATATACAGCGAGAAGCCCTAACTTGAAAGGAGGCCGGATTTCCTTGCAGTGGCTTGAATACAGGCTCGTCTTTCATCTCACAACATGAAGGGATGTCTGAATCCCCTGTGGAGACCTTAGAGAAAGACCTAGGTCCCTGCCTCATTTTGACGGAATGCCTCACATCCCGCTGACACCTCAAGAGGCCCGCGGAGTTCATTGCTTCAAAAGGTGACGATGCCTGACTCCTCTTGAATACTGATAGGAATCCCAAAATCCCTGTGGCTACTGGAAAGGGTCCTTGGGTGCCCTGCCTCACCTCGGGAAGCGTCCTTTTGCCCTGCCAAGCCTCGAAGAGATTCCTGAGGTGTCCCTCGTTACTAGACAGGAGTCCTGACGTCACTGAAGAAACTCGTGTTTTGAAGGGCCATCCCCGCCGTAAGTCGAGAACATACCCCAGGTCCCCGCCGCAACTCGAGAAAAACCATGAGACTTCCCCCTAGAGGCGAGATGAGGCCCCATTCCCCTGCAGTGTATGCAGAGCTATTCCGTGATCCCATTCAAACAAGTCAGGAGCTTCGACTTGCTTCATGGATCTCGAGAAAGTCCCCAAGAACACTGTCACCAGTCTAGACGGACCCTGAGGTCACCCCAGCAACGCAAAGCAGCTCCATGTGCCCCAAATCAACTCGAGATGAGGCCCGATTCCCCTGCATTGACTCCAGAGCCATTCCCCATTTCCCATTCAACACGACCGGTGTCTCGACTTCCTTCAGGCAACTCCAGAGATGCCCCGAGAACACTGTCCCAAGTCTAGAGGAACACCAACTTCAGCACAGCAACTCGAGGAATGCTCCGTGTACCCCAAATCGTCTCGAGATGAGAGCTGATTCCCTGGCTTAGGCTCAAGACGTATGCCAACTTCCCAGAAGCACCTCAGGAGGAGGCTTCTCTCAGCTATAAGTATGTGGGAGGGACCCCGAGTTTGCTGCCTCAAGGGGAATATACAGCGAGAAGCCCTAACTTGAAAGGAGGCCGGATTTCCTTGCAGTGGCTTGAATACAGGCTCGTCTTTCATCTCACAACATGAAGGGATGTCTGAATCCCCTGTGGAGACCTTAGAGAAAGCCCTAGGTCCCTGCCTCATTTTGACGGAATGCCTCACATCCCGCTGACACATCGAGAGGCACGCGGAGTTCATTGCTTCAAAAGGTGACGATGCCTGACTCCTCTTGAATACTGATAGGAATCCCAAAATCCCTGTGGCTACTGGAAAGGGTCCTTGGGTGCCCTGCCTCACCTCGAGAAGCGTCCCTTTTGTCCTGCCAAGCCTCGAAGAGATTCCTGAGGTGTCCCTCGTTACTAGACAGGAGTCCTGACGTCACTGAAGAAACTCGTGTTTTGAAGGGCCATCCCCGCCGTAAGTCGAGAACATACCCCAGGTCCCCGCCGCAACTCGAGAAAAACCATGAGACTTCCCCCTAGAGGCGAGATGAGGCCCCATTCCCCTGCAGTGCATGCAGAGCTATTCCGTGATCCCATTCAAACAAGTCAGGAGCTTCGACTTGCTTAATGGATCTCGAGACAGTCCCCAAGAACACTGTTACCAGTCTAGACGGACCCTGAGGTCACCCCAGCAATGCAAAGCAGCTCCATGTGCCCCAAATCAACTCGAGATGAGGCACGATTCCCCTGCATTGACTCCAGAGCCATTCCCCGTTCCCCATTCAACACGACCGGTGTCTCGACTTCCTTCAGGCAACTCCAGAGATGCCCCGAGAACACTGTCCCAAGTCTAGAGGAACACCAACTTTAGCACAGCAACTCGAGGAATGCTCCGTGTACCCCAAATCGTCTCGAGATGAGAGCTGATTCCCTGGCTTAGGCTCAAGATGTATGCCAACTTCCCAGAAGCACCTCAGTAGGAGGCTTCTCTCAGCTATAAGTATGTGGGAGGGACCCCGAGTTTGCTGCCTCAAGGGGAATATACAGCGAGAAGCCCTAACTTGAAAGGAGGCCGGATTTCCTTGCAGTGGCTTGAATACAGGCTCGTTTTTCATCTCACAACATGAAGGGATGTCTGAATCCCCTGTGGAGACCTTAGAGAAAGCCCTAGGTCCCTGCCTCATTTTGACGGAATGCCTCACATCCCGCTGACACCTCGAGAGGCACGCGGAGTTCATTGCTTCAAAAGGTGACGATGCCTGACTCCTCTTGAATACTGATAGGAATCCCAAAATCCCTGTGGCTATTGGAAAGGGTCCTTGGGTGCCCTGCCTCACCTCGAGAAGCGTCCTTTTGCCCTGCCAAGCCTCGAAGAGATTCCTGAGGTGTCCCTCGTTACTAGACAGGAGTCCTGACGTCACTGAAGAAACTCGTGTTTTGAAGGGCCATCCCCGCCGTAAGTCGAGAACATACCCCAGGTCCCCGCCGCAACTCGAGAAAAACCATGAGACTTCCCCCTAGAGGCGAGATGAGGCCCCATTCCCCTGCAGTGCATGCAGAGCTATTCCGTGATTCCATTCAAACAAGTCAGGAGCTTCGACTTGCTTCATGGATCTCGAGACAGTCCCCAAGAACACTGTCACCAGTCTAGACGCACCCTGAGGTCACCCCAGCAACGCAAAGCAGCTCCATGTGCCCCAAGTCAACTCGAGATGAGGCCCGATTCCCCTGCATTGACTCCAGAGCCATTCCCCGTTCCCCATTCAACACGACCGGTGTCTCGACTTCCTTCAGGCAACTCCAGAGATGCCCCGAGAACACTGTCCCAAGTCTAGAGGAACACCAACTTTAGCACAGCAACTCGAGGAATGCTCCGTGTACCCCAAATCGTCTCGAGATGAGAGCTGATTCCCTGGCTTAGGCTCAAGATGTATGCCAACTTCCCAGAAGCACCTCAGTAGGAGGCTTCTCTCAGCTATAAGTATGTGGGAGGGACCCCGAGTTTGCTGCCTCAAGGGGAATATACAGCGAGAAGCCCTAACTTGAAAGGAGGCCGGATTTCCTTGCAGTGGCTTGAATACAGGCTCGTTTTTCATCTCACAACATGAAGGGATGTCTGAATCCCCTGTGGAGACCTTAGAGAAAGCCCTAGGTCCCTGCCTCATTTTGACGGAATGCCTCACATCCCGCTGACACCTCGAGAGGCACGCGGAGTTCATTGCTTCAAAAGGTGACGATGCCTGACTCCTCTTGAATACTGATAGGAATCCCAAAATCCCTGTGGCTATTGGAAAGGGTCCTTGGGTGCCCTGCCTCACCTCGAGAAGCGTCCTTTTGCCCTGCCAAGCCTCGAAGAGATTCCTGAGGTGTCCCTCGTTACTAGACAGGAGTCCTGACGTCACTGAAGAAACTCGTGTTTTGAAGGGCCATCCCCGCCGTAAGTCGAGAACATACCCCAGGTCCCCGCCGCAACTCGAGAAAAACCATGAGACTTCCCCCTAGAGGCGAGATGAGGCCCCATTCCCCTGCAGTGCATGCAGAGCTATTCCGTGATTCCATTCAAACAAGTCAGGAGCTTCGACTTGCTTCATGGATCTCGAGACAGTCCCCAAGAACACTGTCACCAGTCTAGACGCACCCTGAGGTCACCCCAGCAACGCAAAGCAGCTCCATGTGCCCCAAATCAACTCGAGATGAGGCCCGATTCCCCTGCATTGTCTCCAGAGCCATTCCCCGTTCCCCATTCAACACGACCGGTGGCTCGACTTCCTTCAGGCAACTCCAGAGATGCCCCGAGAACACTGTCCCAAGTCTAGAGGAACACCAACTTCAGCACAGCAACTCGAGGAATGCTCCGTGTACCCCAAATCGTCTCGAGATGAGAGCTGATTCCCTGGCGTAGGCTCAAGACGTATGCCAACTTCCCAGAAGCACCTCAGGAGGAGGCTTCTCTCAGCAATAGTTATGTGGGAGGGACCCCGAGTTTGCTGCCTCAAGGGGAATATACAGCGAGAAGCCCTAACTTGAAAGGCGGCCGGATTTCCTTGCAGTGGCTTGAATACAGGCTCGTCTTTCATCTCACAACATGAAGGGATGTCTGAATCCCCTGTGGAGACCTTAGAGAAAGCCCTAGGTCCCTGCCTCATTTTGACGGAATGCCTCACATCCCGCTGACACCTCGAGAGGCACGCGGAGTTCATTGCTTCAAAAGGTGACGATGCCTAACTCCTCTTGAATACTGATAGGAATCCCAAAATCCCTGTGGCTACTGGAAAGGGTCCTTGGGTGCCCTGCCTCACCTCGAGAAGCGTCCCTTTGGCCCTGCCAAGCCTCGAAGAGATTCCTGAGGTGTCCCTCGTTACTAGACAGGAGTCCTGACGTCACTGAAAAACTCGTGTTTTGAAGGGCCATCCCCGCCGTAAGTCGAGAACATACCCCAGGTCCCCGCCGCAACTAGAGAAAAACCATGAGACTTCCCCCTAGAGGCGAGATGAGGCCCCATTCCCCTGCAGTGCATGCAGAGCTATTCCGTGATCAAATTCAAACAAGTAAGGAGCTTCGACTTGCTTAATGGATCTCGAGACAGTCCCCAAGAAAACTGTCACCAGTCTAGACGCACCCTGAGGTCACCCCAGCAACGCAAAGCAGCTCCATGTGCCCCAAATCAACTCGAGATGAGGCCCGATTCCCCTGCATTGTCTCCAGAGCCATTCCCCGTTCCCCATTCAACACGACCGGTGGCTCGACTTCCTTCAGGCAACTCCAGAGATGCCCCGAGAACACTGTCCCAAGTCTAGAGGAACACCAACTTCAGCACAGCAACTCGAGGAATGCTCCGTGTACCCCAAATCGTCTCGAGATGAGAGCTGATTCCCTGGCTTAGGCTCAAGACGTATGCCAACTTCCCAGAAGCACCTCAGGAGGAGGCTTCTCTCAGCTATAAGTATGTGGGAGGGACCCCGAGTTTGCTGCCTCAAGGGGAATATACAGCGAGAAGCCCTAACTTGAAAGGAGGCCGGATTTCCTTGCAGTGGCTT